CACAGCTACGGTGCCATACGCACCCTTACAACACATGCTTGACAGCCCTAACCCTCAAATGGTCGTTGTTTTCTTAAGCATCTTACTTGCTTGTCAACCAAACCGTGTTTACACCGCGAGATACTCGTTGACCGATTATTATCTGTGTCTATATCTACCTAGTAGGTAGTCGAGAACTACACGGCTATTGTGGTGTGCTGTTCATGGTGCATAGAAATCACTAACTAAAACATCGGTGTGCGTACCTTACCTTAACTTACCTTAGGTTCGGCGGATTAGTCTTTGGTTGTATAGCCGAAAGACTTGCAACGATAGTCTGCCGAATATTTTTCAAGGTTATTAGTTCAGCCTAGTTTGACGTGCTACTGTATTTAGCTATGCACAATACTGAAAGCATCACTCGGTACATGTTTGACGATCGTCGTCTAGTGCCGTGATCGACGGAATTTAAGACTCTATAGCGCCAACCCAGCCGTCTGTTTTATGGCGGAGCCCGGCTCCTCCCTCACCTAGGTATCGGGTTCGAGACCTACCTATATGCATGCGCACACCCTGTCTACACCTCTTCGTGCTGCTTCTACATGATACAAACCTGTATTACCTGTCGAAAGCGGTGGCGTCTACACCATACCCGATGTGCTACCTACCGGGTTTTGGATAGTCGACAGTAACCCGGATTCTAACACTCGTGACTATCTTAGGTAGGCAATTACCTTACCTAAAGTTCCTCGCACCCTCGGCGAATTCCCCAAATCATCTAGCAATGGTAGAGCTAGCTTAGGTTATACGTTCCTGCTTGTCGCCCGCATAAGTCACACCAACTTATGTATTGACATGGACATGGTTCCCCCTCATCTCTTAGGAGATATCTGTATCTTACCCAACGCATAAAACCGACTAGGCCACGTGGGAGGATCTAAGGCAAGGGCCATCGTGCTTTTACCAGCCGGTAGGGTTTCATCGGGGTTTGCTTTTCTCATTTACCCTTTCTGGTGGTATTCCAAGGAAGGGTACTTACATGGTCTGCTCGTGGAGCTGGGTCGTGTAGAGTTTGGTTGAGCTAGACGTCAAATAGCTAGGTAGTTATGTGTATATGCCAATGCTTCCTCCCCGGGAATTGGCCAGGGTGAAAGGGTAGCGTGGGGTCGAATAGCCTCATCCTCCTCTTTCCCCCTCTCTTCTCCTCCCTTTCCAGCTTCGTGTGCGTATATCAATGCCTCGTGGCACAAGATCGGGTAAGGCCAGCTGTGGTGGAGACAGGCATCTTTCATCGTCCAGTGCAAGCAGCTCATCAACTAGTTATTTGTTGTTTGTCCCTTCAGCAAAGCAAAGCCGATGAGAGTCGGGCTTGAAACGGCTAAGCGACGTAGAGACATACATACATGCATACATAGCAGCTATCGCGAGAAGTCTGACGTGGACACTCTATCTCTAGGTATTCTCTTATGCGATACACAGGCAGATAGACACCTAGTTATTGACATCGGACGGCGGACCCCGCGCGAAGTCAAAGAACAAAGAGACGGGAGATGGATATGCTAATTGTCTACCTAGTTTAGCTCCCCCCCCCCCCTCTCCAACCAGATGCTGGGCATAAGCTTCGACTCTGTTCGTGATAAGTCATACTGCGATACGGAGAGGAGGGATACGCTCGAACAGCTGCTGCTAGCTAAGTTCCACGAACATCGGATGTGCACTAGACACGATGCGATGGCCTTCTGCCTCATGATGAGGGTTTTGCTGAGCCAAACCTCCCGGCGCCGGGGGGGCTTCTCGACGTTGTCTACCTATAATGATTCGTTATTTCTTTGCCATGCCATGCTATGATAGGTATGCCGATGGGTGATAATGACGACGACGAGGATCAGTGATCGGAGTAAGAGGGGTCAGAGGGATCTAGAGAAAAGTGAAAGCTAAATAATAGAACTACCTACTAGGTACCTAGGCAGGCCATGAACGTCGTGAGGGAAAAAAAAGCTGGTTCCAATCAAGTTTTCTATCCATACCTACCTACCTACCTACCTACCTACCCAACTTCAGATTACTTAAGAGGGTTAGGGGGGGTCTTTGACATATCAAGAGGTACAATACCTACACAGGAGGTATATAGATATAGGTATCTACCTAGGTAAGGGCGAGGACTACTTACACAGCACCGGTAATCGTAACGAAGAGCATACCTACCTACCTACCTTACCTACCTACAAACAAACAAACCTAGCACGAGATAACTAACCCAGGGCAAGAAAGAAAACAACAAGAACATTCATACCTATCCCGTAGGTAGCAACATTTTTTTTTTCATCACTACATTAACCTAGCGAGTGATATCTACCACAAACTTCCACCACGCACTAGGCCTCATTTTCCCTTAGACTTGCTGCCGGGCCCGCCCGCCCGTTCGTTCGTTCGTTCCATCGGGATCGGTATCGGGACCGCAGATCACGACCACAGCGGTAAGCAAGCAAGCAGCCTACTATACAAATATGTACCTAGGTAGGTAGGCAGTGGGGCAGTGAAGGAGAGCCCGAAGCTTTTAAAAAGACACAAAAGCGGCGGGACATACCTATCATGCATAGATAGGTACGGTAGAAGGCACTTAATAAGAAACATATCCGGTATAGGTAGGCATGTAACAAGCGTTGATATTCCACCGCGGCGGTGCCCGGTGCCCGTGAATCGCCAATCGCCAAACGCCAATCGCCTTTCCTCCCTAACTGTTTACCTTCTTTGTCTTCTTACCCATCCATCCATCCATCCATCCATCCATCAATCCATACTTCGTACATACATACCTACATACATACATGCCTACCCATCTACACACTATTCATCGTCTACACGCAACCTCACCACCCCCATCCTATGTACCTGCGCAAACGCAAGAGAGAGGAAAGTAAATAAACCATGATTTGTGATGTTGTCCGATTACCCTCGCTCTCTCATTCTCAGGTTGCGTTTCCATATTGAAATCTTCAAGAAATTGGGAGAAAGCATCTTGCTTCTTGATTTTGCACCACCTAGCCTAGTCTTGTATTTATTTTATTGTATTGTCTTATCTTGTCTTGTTTTGTCTTGTCTCGAATGAACTTTACACTGTTGGGGAAAGAATGCCTAGATACGACATCAAATGCTCAAGTTATGATGGAAGAAGAGATACATCACGTAGAAAGGTACCTCTAGATGGATACGGATAGGTAAGAGGGCGGAGGGCAGACAGTAGAGAGAAGCAAGTAAGTCAGGTAGATAGATAGGTATGCGGATGAAAGAAAAGAGAATAAATATGACAATGCTCCCTAATCTGAAATACTATGTTTGATATGGTTTGATTTGATTTGTTTGAATGGATGGATGTGAATCGAGGTGTCCGTCTAAAGATGTGGCTAAGCTATAATTATGAGATAGAGATAAAAATAACCAAAGGAAGTCTGATGAAAAAAAAAAAAGGAGGAAGATAGCAAGGAAAGGTATAATGATAAAAGTTAGTTTGTCCCTGCCGCTCCCGTCTAGATACGACGCACTGATGCGATCCCCGTTCCATGAGCCCAGAACACCCAGGGAATCAGAAAAAGGAGGACATAGGTAAATCGAACGTAGGACATAAGACGGTTTTATGTCCAATGGGAAGCCTGGGTAAATCGCACTCGAAGCACGGAAAACCCCCTCCCCCTTTTCTCGGTCGTTGGATTCACCTATTTCCTTTCCCCTTTCCCCTTTCCGCCCCTTTAGATGCCACAGCCTAAACCAGCCAGCCCGAACCTAGCTTTCCTGCCCGGTGTTTGAAAGACCCATGCCCAAGTACTCCTTCGCTTTTTTTTGTCCGTCACCCATTGCGTATGTGAATGATCCACCGAGATTATAGGAAAAAAAGAACCCGAAAATAGACCCTCTCTTAGGGTCATATGCACTGCCAAAATGGGGAAAGGAGAACGCTGCTTCAATGCTAACAAGTTGGGGATGTCGATGCACAAGGAGGACATGTTCCAATTCTTCTCTTTTCTTTTTTCTTTTTTTGGTATCCCCCAAGATATCAAATGTGGACCTCAACTCTCTTCCGATGCTAAGATGCTTTGACACCGTTGGTTGCCCTAGTATCCGACCAAATTTACCAAACACCAGCCGGCCGAGGCCCCCAGAGAAACGAAGGATCCGAGTGTGTATATATGCCCCCCACCCTCACTCCATCTTACACAATTCCCAGCCTAATTTTAGCCAAAAATGTTCTCGAGAATGTCGTACGTAGAAGAATGGTATTGCCATTTGCTGAGTTTTTTTTTTTTAGGTATGGCTGGATGTGTTTGCGCCGAATGTTCTTTTTCTTATGGCCATGCTGTAGATATAGAACAAGGACGTACGTAGATAATACAATCAACAACAATCTCCCCCCTTTCCCTAACCATATCGGCCGTGATACACTCGCCTGGCTCGAGACGCTATGAAATACAACCTAGATCATACCCATGCCAAGCCCGGCCAGAGTCGTTAGTCCGAAGAGATCGGGAACGGTAGCGTGGACGATAGGAGGCGGAAGTCGTAAAAAGAAGCAAAACGCAATGCTGATGACCCGCTGAAAGTAAAGAAAAACAAAACCCCGAAAGATGCCTCCATGTGACCTAGTCTTCAGCAGAATACCGAGATGACTCTCAAACTCCCAGGCAGCCAGCAACCACGCTGTGGTTCATTGGGGGAATCGTGGTGATGGAAATGTCGACGCCAACGCTATAATAATAAAAAAAAGAAAAAGAATCCATGCAGTTACCATCCCCAGTCGCAAATGCCAGTACAAATGCAGCCATTAGCCAAGCACTCCCATGCTCGAGGATCCAAAGGTAAACGCAACGATTCTTGAACGGCTGCCTGTCAATAGGCTAGGTAGGATCCGTAAGAGTCGGGAGCGCCGCTTACCGATCCCCCCACTTCGAAAATCTCCTACAAACGCCTGTGCACAATTCCCAAAATACGCAATGCATGTCTCTCTATATGCTTGATTTGACATTCGTTTATCGCCCCATCATATAAGGTGGAAATGCCGATGCGGAACCGTTCATGGCTGGGGGAGGGCTAACAGTAGATATCGGCCCATTATTAAACGGGCTACTCCATACATTACTGCTGGTTGCTGAAGAGTACGGAGCACTCACCCCATTGGGTATTGCTGTCCCGCCATTGTAAGTGATACGGCCTAAGCCAGGAGGAGCAGAAAGGCCAGGAGGAGGACCATTGGCGCTCGTGAAACCGTTACCGGGTCCTGCCATCATCCCATTCATACCTGTCATAGCGGCAGGGCCTGTCTGGCCGGGAGTTTGTCCCGAACGCACGCCTAAGGGGTTTTTGGAGAAGCTCAGACGAATGCCCCCTTTAATGCTGTTGTGAAGAGGGGTGCCGTATAACTCATGGAGGGCTTTCGTAGCAAACGAAACATCCTCGAACTCCACAAAGCACATGGGGCCATTCTGCTTTGTGCGAAAACATAGACGCTTGTAGCCTCGCTGCTTGGAAAACATAGCTTTTAGTTCTTCTTCAGATGTATCGATCGGCAGATTGCCGACATAGAGCGTGTTGCACGGGGGATTCTGATCAGCAGGGTTCACGGGCGGGAAGTTACTATGGCGCTGAAACTGCTGGTTGCCCATCTGATAATTCATCGAGTGGCTCGCACTGTTTATTACGGTTGGTGACATAGTGTTGCCATGTGCAGAGAGAGGCGTCATGCTTGGGTGTCCATACTGCGGCAAGGTTGCTGGGCCGCCACTCGTATTCAGGGACAGGCTGGCCATGCGACTAATTGGTAGCTGCGGAGCCGTGGCCCTCCGTTGTTGTGTCGCACCATTTTCAGCGTAGGCTACCGGGTCTTTCAATAGTTCGCGGGTCTCATCATCCTCGGCCACGTCATGGTTGATGAGGGTCTTGCCTGAAATACGTGTGCGCTCACTGAGATGGTTACCGATAGGCGACTGTGGGGAAAAGAGGCTCTGATAATGCGCGCTAGATTCTGGGTTTGGTAGCTCGTTCCCATACATACCATTCATACCATTCATAGGCGGCGAGATATTCTCTAGCGACTGAAAGGCTCCGTTGAATCGAGATGACTGACGCGAAGCGGGGCCTGATGAAGTGGTGGAGGAGGGACCACTCGAGGATGGGGCAGAGACTGCCGTGTCAACGGGGTGTCTTCTCGTTGTAGCAGGACTGCCGGATATAATCTCGACAATCAACTCGACATCGCTTGAAGTAATGGACTTGCCATGCAGCATGTCTTTGGCCTGGTGTGCTCCAGTGGGAGTCTTGAATCTTACAATCGCCGACCGAAAACCTGGATCGTTAGACTGCTCCACAGGTACCATCTCGATATCCAATAACTCCTGGGAGAATATAAGCATGAGACGAAGCTTTTCCTCGGGAGTGTCGGCGGGTAGACGACGAATCAAGATGGACGAGGCGGGAGAAGGATTCGTTGCGAAAGGGGTGCCGACGGGTTTGTTGGTCGTATCGCGTTCATAGGGGTGAACCGCGCCGATAGATAGTTGGTATGGCGGTTGAGTAGATTGCCCAGTAGATCTGAAGTGTTGCGATTGCGGAAGAAAACCAGAGGCAGCCATGATAGTGGCTTTGGTGGCAGCAGCCGAGGTAGAAAGAAAATGATTTGCACGAGCGGTCGATAGAGTATGAGAGAAGGCAGACTTAGTGGATGTAGACGTATTTGAAACCACACCTGGGGTACTTAGGTCCACGTTCATGCTTATAGATGCATGCAATCAGGCTGCCCTACGAGAGGTGCCTGAATTTTAGGGGCCCTATGACAATTCGCAGTCGAGCACTCCGGATGACGATCGCGCTGATCGTGGAATAGTGGATGAAAAGTAGGTGTCGCAGACTCGGGAAATGGGTTTTGAGATCTTTACAGACAAATGTGGGTGCGCCGCCAGGCTGCGGCGCGCGGGTATTAGATACAATAAAATGTAAGGGCGTGTATTACTAGTTGGCGCGAATGACAGGCTACGGGATACTAGATTGATTTGTCCAATCTTGTGGCAACGGCGCCGACGCGACTTGAGCGGAAAAATGGAGAAGAGTGACGATGTTTTGGGGGGGATGGAGGACGCGATAAGACAAGCGGCACGAAGGAATGCGGAATGCAGGTTGCAGGTGCAGGTCGCCTCGGAAGACCAAGGAAAATAATAATAAAAAGAATAAAAAGGAGAGAGGGCGTGTCGTGTTAGGTAGGTCAGTAAAGTTAAAAAAAAATAATAGAAGTAAGGCTAGGTAGGTAAATAGGTAGGTCAGGCAAAATGGATAGAGAAGTAAGTATTTGGGAATAATAATAATAACGAGGTTTGGGGGTTGGAGAAAAGAGATAATCTGTACGTTTGGGTGCAGATATGATAATAGTAGATGGTGGGATGGATTGGAAGGGGGGGGGGGCGTGGGAGAAAAAAAAAAAAAAGGAACCCTTTCATTCAATCTCTTTGGCTTTGTGGTCGTTAGTGGTTGTCGTACAAGTAGAGATGGGTTGTTACAGGGATTAGTAGTGGGTTGAAGGAGAAGAAGAAAATAAAAGAGGGTTAGAGGATGGGAAAAGGGCTGTCCTGTTCCTGATCTGGCCCGTCCAGGATTAATGGATGGGTAGACAAGGATATGATGGGATGGGGGAAATGTGTCTAGCCCTTGGATTCCTCGATGGGAAGCATCGAACTGCATGCTACATATGCTACTTAATGGAAGAAGGGGGGGTTGATTGATCACTTTCAGGTCCGTGAGTTCTAAAGCTGTTTGAAAGTTGATTATTGAGTACACGTTACTTGCATTAACCTATGGGACCTGTACCTAATCCAGCTAAGGTTTACCCACTAGGTACTGCTTGGATGAGAAGAAGTTTGTATCCTGTACGTGCGTGTCTAGTTATCTATTGACCACCATAGTACCTGACAAATTCAACCTCAAGTTTTCAAAGTTCAAAGTTCAATGTTCTTTAGGTTAGAGCAAAATACATGTACATATATGTATGTACTACATAGAATCAATTATGAGAGATCAATTATTGATAGCGTTCAATGTTAGCTCGAAAGAGGTTATGTACACGTAAGGCCGAATACCTACTAGTAGTAGACATTTATGTAAGTACGGTATGCACATGGTACATAGTAATAGGAGAATGATGGATGAACTACATGTAAACTTACGCAGCTTTAGAGCTCCGGGGTTGCATGTGTTTTTTCCTTCTTTTTCTTCTTCTTCGCCTTCTTCTAACATACTCTCTCAGACAGCAAATCGAATCGTCTGACGGTTAAAAAAGATACGCACCTAGTAAAAGAACAAAAGAAGAAAAAACTTTATTGGACTCCGTACTTTACGTGATTGCCATTGGATCTAACTAATAGGCCCTGGTAGATACATACATAGCAGATATACAATAACCTACATACATTGCATGTACTATAGTACTATAGTTGACCCTCCATTATGGAACTCGGGACAGGTGCACGCTAAAACGCAACTGTATGTAGGCTGGCCTAGCTAGCAGGCTTAGTCGCTAGTTCCGGTGTGCATTTGTAGAGTGCACTATGTATGTAGAAGCAGCTAATTGCCGGGGGTACAAAATGTGGGTTTGGGTGTGGGTATGGGTGTGGCAGTGTCCTTGCAGCTTGCAACTGCAAGCCAGTGCAAGGACAGGACTGCAAGGACTGCAAGCAGCGAAAAAAAAGATGGGATCAATCATTTATTTGCTGGGATGTGGGTGTAAACGGGGCTCGGCTCTTTCTCTTTCTCCCTCCAAGAACAAGACATCTAGATTGATGAATTCAGAATTTCAGAGGTGACAGTAACTGGGTATGTATTGTTACCTCTTATGTACTATGTACGTAAATATCCATCTACATTTACGCAAACACTAACTATTATGTATCTACGAACCCAGTTAGTAATGATCCAAACAGCTACCTAAAAGGAATCATTCCAATGAATTCCAGTTGTCTAAACCCTGCTTCTTCTCCACAACCTCCCATCCGTTCCCATTGGCCCGTGTCTAACAATGAAACATGGGATGATGGGATGAGTGGACGGGGAGCCGTTTTGTGTGATTTTAGCGTAAACTAGCGTGCGATGCTTCAATGTTGGGATTCTTGGGAACCCGAGAGATTCCTTTAAAATACCTAGGTACATACGTATATATCTATATATACGACATCTGGACATCTGGAACTAGGTAATCAGGATCGAGATAATACTGAACTGGCTATACCTACATTAGCAGTGATAGGTACACTAATAGGCTGGGTATACATATGTATCCGCCCACCATCTGATCTAAGTTGATAGTTTTGCATGTTTCTATTCCAAGTTCTACGATGTTACGATGAATCTTGGTATGCATATTAAGGATGTATGTGATGTTCTGTTCATACCTAGTAGGTACTAAACAAAATGAGAATACAACCTCCAGTGTTTTCAAAGCACCAACGTAACTATCAAGCAAACATATGTATAATATGGATGTAAGTATCCTATCGTCTAAGTTAGAAACGTAGGGTTTAGCAATAGGAGCAGCGACTCTAAATCGTAAAGGCAGTTTCTACCTAGTACCTACTAGCACATGGCACCGGCCGACATCATGAGGCTACATGTATATGTATGCTTGCAATTGCATTGTAGGATCTAGTTATATGCAGTCTCTCCCTTTTTTCCTTTCAGACCTGAAGACCTACATATGTAGGTAAGATACATGTATAGGTGTAATCTATCTACTAGACATATGCGGGTGTGTATTACATAAGTACAGCTGGAAAAGGAGGTTAGGCACTTTAATATTATTGACTCACATTATGAAGAGATATAGGTAGGTAGGTATGTATTGAATGAGATGCTGAGGATTGTCTGGAACCTCTTTGCCGTATGTTTAATTCCTTACGACCCACCCGAGGAAACCGCCCCTTCTGCTACATACTAGGTTCGATAAGCGTGGGTTATCGTACCAATTGAAATGTAACCTGAAGTCGTTTAAAGAATTTGGTGTGGTGGATTAAAACAAAGGGGGTTGATGCCGAGGTCCAAAGGCAATTCGAACATTCAATGTTGAGTTGAAGTCACATACATAGCAGGTACCTAGAAGGAAATGGCTTCACACCTTCACTTTCAATATTATATATTATACATGTGCCTAACCAAGTACATACTAATAATTCGTTCTCTTACCCCAATTTCATTCCATAATAGGCTATCAAATATTATCACTCAAACTGTCTTGGACAAATCCATCAAAATCTCGAACTTGAGGGGGGTTTTGTGTTACCAGGTGACCCGGGATCGAGGAATCGGCTTCCAACTCCGAGCCCCCCAGGTCGGATATGGACTAGGCCAGATACTAAGTGCTAGGTACTGAGATATTTTTCGAACCAACATGAAGTATACTACATAGTATAACAATGACCCGGTTAGAGAAGGCTTTACTGGTTATGGCTGGGCAGATAATACCAAGAAAGCATTCCAGTGAAGTCGGGGAAGGATGCATCTGTAGTATATTACTAGATCTGGGTGCGTTCATAGACCGACCGGTGAGAGTCAGGCAACAAGGCAGCGTTCAGATGTCGGGCGACGTAAAAGGTTTATATGCAAGGTAGGTATGGATGGGATGCATGTACTGTCGTACTCTATGTAAGTGGTGAGGGTATCGGGTCCCAGCAGCACAACGCCAAGACATGCAGATAGCTGGAGGCCCGATGCTACGTAGACCTCACACATCTGTCTGTCTCCACAAAATGCTATCTCTCAAGGTTCCTTTTAGACTTACTTCTGACAAGTCTTGGCTCTTCGCGAGAGCTGGGTACTATGTATATTAGATCGTGGAGAAAAGCGCATGTTATAAATACAAGTTACTGCGAATCTAGGAAGCTCCAGTGATCGACATGAAGCTTGATTAGATGAGCTGAAACTGTTCCCGTTACCTGTCTAGGATATGGGGCATACAAACTTACAAACTGTCCAAACCAAAATATAACAAAGAAGGTTTTAACTATATCGAGGGAAAAGAAGACATACATACTTGAGCCGTGTCGCAAATCTTTCAAGAACGCGCGTCCAGGTTTAGAAATCGCCCGGTCTCCGTTTTTTCATGCCTGGCATTTAAACTCGAAGATGAATTAGAGTTAAGACGGCCAAAGGCAGCCGATCTTTATGTTACGGCAATCTTTTGTGGTTTGTGCATGTTGGTCTCGTCCCGAGTGTGTCGTCCTTGTACGGAGCAAGTTGCCGATTTACTTAACCTAGATCCCACTCATGCGGCCACGACCCACACGGCCCACGGCTCATGGATTCCATGTTGCCGTGGTAGATGTACGCAGTATCTCGCTCTTTCAAAGGCGATTAGGTATCTTGAAGATACCTAGATCGTTGATCCAGTCGAGATAAGCTTAGGTAGGTGGCTTTACCGACGAACCTATTCGTACTTAGCTAAATAAGTGCATAACTGCCTATATACTATAATATATGTATATCAATGTTTAGGTTAAATTTCTCGTTTCTCGTTTCTCATTTCCTCACTGATACCCGAGGTAGTATAGTGTATGGTTTGTATGCCTACATATAGTGTAGTATAACATGAATTGATTGTAGTGGTTCAAGTTACTATTACTAGGTAACACTTGAGTGGACATCATTCATGTTACCAAGGTACTTGCTACCTAGGGTAGCTATGTACCTAGTACTATGTGGAGAGCACTCCACCTCCATAAGAGTGACGACCTTTCCTAAATTCGATACTGCAGGTGGAGTGTGGATTCCCCACTAGGCCCCATATCACGTTAGTCTCTTCCTGCCGCAACTCTAGCTCGTTGTGTACAGATTAGTAGACGCTGTTCAGCCTTAGCGGCTTTTCACAGTCCATCCAATGGTGCAGAAACAGGCAATTGCTCTCTCTCTCTCTATTCCAACATTGAACGCCATCCATGGATGCCATGCTATGCCTCAACTCCACCCCTCCCCCCCTGCTACATAGTACCAGCATACCTAGGATACATTAGGTAGGTACGGTACATAGTTAGTGCTCCTAAAACAACTTATCTTGCATCACTTTATCTCCTCTCGCCCTACACATGGCATGGCATACATAATTGCATCCCAGGCTGTTACTACGCCGTACGTACACTAAACACAACGCTCAGTAGTGAAAACTCTAACTTGATGTGCATCTGGGCATTTAACGAATCTGCTAAAACAGCGATCGAAATAGAAAGATCTCGATTATCAGCACCGCCAAGAATATGAAGCGTTCCAACATTCAACATCGTGTGGACATAACTAATATAAGGCTATTCATGTTGAGCTACCATGGTAAACAACTCAATTCACCAAATCTCTTCTCTCATCATTGCCGTTATTATCCTTTTCAACCATTCTTGGGGGAGTATATAACACACCTAATGCAGCGCTCATCGTAATACACATATTCTCTCCTATTCCCATATCGTCCTCCTCCACATCCCTTACGGCATCGCCCTTATACTCAAAAGCATATGGATATGGTCAACTACTTAACCTGGACACGAGCCATACGATCTTGACCTCTCTTGTGGTCTCGTGGTCTCATGACCCCTACCGCACCACTGCGAATTCACCGTTGCAATAGAACCCTGCCATACACGAGGATAGAAAGAAACATCAGCCTCATGTGAATCGACGATAAATGTCCCATGTTGGTCGATGTAGGTCTAGGTAGGTATTGCTGGGTAAGGTGGCCTTATCGTAAACCCGCAGGTTGGGTTACATGACATAATACTCCCCTCCGTGAAAAAGCAAAGGAAGAAAAAGGGAAAAGAAAAGGTATTTCTCGAGTTTGAGACATAATGGTTGGCTAACTTTTGAGACAAGAAATGGAACGACTCCCGATTCGTCCTTTCTCCTATACATATGTAGCAGCCACTGTACCTGGACTAGACCGTGGCTCTTCTCTATCTCATCACCATATAGTATACCTACCTACCTCCATACCTAGGTACCTACTATGGATGTGCTAGACCTTCAAGAGTCCTCGGCTTGGCACGCTTATATACCGTTATGCAGGAGAGATGCAACGCAATTTGCGTGTATTACGCATGCATCAATGCTCGCGCAGATGCATCTCGACTGCTCGAGTAAGCAATATGGGGGTTCGATGGTATTTTAATCTATCGAGTTACTCTACCGTACTAGGTAGTCGCATTCGTCAAGAAATGTAGGATTTCCTGGCCTATGAATTATGCGGGGATTATCTTATTCATCACAACGGTAAGTAAATGCCCCCAGCCTCATGCATGGCGCCATGATAGGGCAACATGGTGATTTTAAAACCCGTCTACCTGTTAAAGTCAACTCTGGGGACACACTTGTCTCGTCGGTGGCTTTCTTTGAAACGAAGAACGGGGGTGCTATCGATTCGATTTCCATGAGTCCGCGAACCTACATTGTCTATGTAATGGCGCAGGTTGTTCAGAACAGGTAGTCGGTGTTGTATATTTGTTAAGTACCTAGGTCGGTAGGTACATACTCGACAGACAATTGGAAGAGTATTCCCAACGATTTGGATACATGTATTGACGACTGACCATACCTTAGGTAGGCTACATATTACCCCTGTCGAAACGAACAGGCGATGGTGCCGTAGGAAAAAAGAAAGGGTGGGCTTTTGCAACATGCAAACGCTCCTACATACATCGTAGGTGGTTTTACTGACGCTGTTTTCATTCACCGCTATACTGAGTTAGCCCCCTTAACCCAAACTAAGTGATGCTCGTCAATATTCCAATCCTTAGGGGGCATTTGGCTTGACACCTTTGGATTTTACCACCTTCACACGCAGCGCTCGATGCTTTCTTAGTTTGAAGTAAGTTGTCTGCTTGCTACCTTTTTTTTATAGCAATGCACAGCTTATTACAACTTTACTAGTTGATGTGCAGGGGCAGCAATCAATCAATGAGCTGAGCTTTATGATACTAGAGCATTGAAACTCGCGTACAGATCAGTTATTGCCGACACACAGCCCACCTAGCCTACCTGACCAGGCGACCCCCACGGTGTTTCACTGCCAGATGGTGCACTCTTGAGACTCAAATTGTCTAGAATGCTTCTAGATCGACCTCTTACCCACAATGGGGTTAATTGGAGCCCATTATGAGGGACAAGGCGCCACTTGGCTTATCGCTGGCGAGGGAGCCCCGTTCAACAGAGACCAGTGGTTTCTGCTCACCGAACACCAGCCTTATCCCCTCGAGACCCAACACCGGGCTTTTTAGCGCCCCCCATTAAAACCTCACACGGGCCAGGCTCGCTACCAGCTTTTTACCATCGACTATGTACCGGTTCAAATAATAGGCGCGTTTTTACGTGTAGCAGCAACGCGTGGTACTTAATTTTTTGGTCCTGTTTGTACTCATCCTTCAACGCTCGAGAAACCTTCTTAACGACGACACCGACGGCGATGGGTTTAATAATAACGATATGTTGCTTATTTGTTTTAATATATTTAGGTTAGCGATAGGAGAGCCAGCCAAGTCGTATACAAGCTGTTAATTTATTTAATTCTAAATATAATTAATAAAAGTGGCATAAGTTAATCGCTTGACTTTTAAATGCCTTATTCAAAAAAAGACGCGTACAAGTATCAAAAGTTTAATTGATTTTTCTCTTCGAAGTAGTGTACAAAATGTTCAAAATAAGCTCAGATAAATATATGGAGAGTAGGTCCAAGCTCTTGTATTTTATTCGCCAGCGAGGCTTAAAATATGGGGGGCGCTAAAAAGCCCGGTGTTGGGTCTCGAGGGGATAGTGCTGATTGCCGTGCGTTTCACTTCGGATAACTTCCATGATTCCGATTAACTACATGAATATTACCTGTTTGAACGCCACGTACTAATCTAGGAGAAACCTAACAATTTTTGCCTTGCTTACTTACTATGTTGCTCAAGCCTTAAAACCGGATGTTGAAGAAAGTGAAATATTTTCTTCTTTTTTTAATATCATACAAACCTAAAGGAAACGCCCGGTGCTTCTAGCGTGGGATCGCGGTTTTCAATTATGGCGAGTAGTGAGGGTGCCGTGCACCCCCCTCGCCTCGGGCACATGCCCGGTACCGATCCCCGTCGCGTGCTAACGAATTACTTGTCTTTCAAACATTTCTATTACATACACAACCTAGGTTGGGTAGGTAGGTAGGTGTGTATTGTAGAATACCTAGGCACGCACCTTGGGGTTGGGAGCTGAAATCTTCAAAGAGCAAAAGCAGGCTGGCCAGGAGGCGTCCCGTGCTTTCGCAGCCACCAACATCACACATCTGTACCCCGTCATGGGTCCTTCCTCCTTCCTGGCAGCGCAAGGTGTACACGTGTATGTCATGCCTGTCGCCTGTTGCTGCAGAACGCCTTAACAGCCTGCGACCAGGGACTTGGCGCATGCCCGTGCCGTAAAGGGTTCTGGATGGTGCTCCAGGGAGGTGGGTTATTCTTTTCTCTCATTGCCAATGGGAGTGGCGGTGACCCGCGTGCTTCTGAAATCACATGCTATGATGCGCCGCACTGATATCTGTACCCTGGGTAGGCAGGCAGGCAGGCAGGCAGGCAGGCAATCAATACATATGTATGGCCTCTCTAACCAAGTGAGAATTCTGTTATAACTGCTTATCTAGGGAAGATGTGCGTGTTGTGACAACAGCAACCAGACCCTAGTTCATGTTTACCTAAGTACAGGCTTTTGCTTTTCTTTTCAACCCTCTCGGCCGGCCCGCCCTGAACTTTTTACTGGCTGAAATTTTATGATATTATGATAGGTCATGTATTAATATCAGGATGAAGTGGGATGTTGATTGAAAGGCGGGGGGGGGGGGGGCATCTGGCCAAAATGACCAACGAGTTTGTATGGTTAGAAGGAAGACAACTCGAGGATGGGATTCGTTTTCACACACCCCCCAACCCAACTGACTGACTGCAACCCCACAGCCCCGGGGGCCAAGCCGTCCCGGGGCTCAACGTCGTTGTTGAGGATTCCCCGTGCAACGGCCCCGCCTTTCCCGATTCTTTTATTTAGCACATTTGCGTCTGACATGATAAAGAGTACTTTTTTTTTTCCTTTTCATCCATGCCAGAGTATAAGAGAAGGGAGGATTTTAGGGTCAGAAGGGTGCAGACCACTGCCCTTAAATATCATCTAGATCTAGATCTCTCATCCCTTAGCCAGGTACAAGTAACCTTAGAAGGCACTAGGTAAGCAGGTACACACATGTCTACACTACAATAGTCGGTACATTACATTACATTTATACGAGCCGCTTTCGATTTTTAAATCTCCGACGGTGGAGTAAGTATAGATCTTGACGATCGTCGAGATCTGATCTTCAGAGTTCAAAGATCATTAGGTAACACAAATGTACCTACCTACCCTACCCTACCCTACCCTACCCTACCCTAGATAGGTACAGTACAGTAGACAGATGCTTGCCAAAGAGGCAGACAAGTAAAGCGACAACCCGACGACGGGGGTCAGGAGGGGAGGGAGGGGGTTGGGATGTCTGATTGCCAAGGCGGAACTAACTCCGTCGCGAGATCTCTCCAGTTGGAGAAAATCTCACGATGCTGGGTAGGTATGTGGAATGACGACGTACTATGTAACTAAATGGTGTAGTACCTGACTAAGTGGGGACTGCTACTCGGTAGCTTGGACTCTCTGGTAAGCGCGCCGACGCGAACGTGATAGGATAGATTTGGCTGTCTATAAATAGTAAATATAGGTATATGGCTTCGGCGTATTATAAACTGGTTTACTGATCGTAATATTGTTATAGTGCTCTTGGTTTATAGCGACTAGTGAATACCTAGGCATTGGCAAACTGTGAAAATTGGTGCAACTAGTTAGCAGATTACATGGTAGAGATGTTAGCTGAAGTAATATCGCGCTATAAATGATTTCTGGGCATAGTTGTAGCAAATGGATACTGTAAGTGCCTCCTACTGGCCTCTTTTCTGTGAGCTAGATAAACATAGCCTCTTTATGTTTGAATGTATTTCTTAATTTGAGCATATATTATTCATTTCATGTGTTATGCTTTGATTAGATGGTAGGACTAGGTACTTAGGTAGGTATTGGCACTCGTCGAATCTCGCATGCCTATGCATGTGGATATGAAGATGTGTCCATAGGCTAAGTAAGCTCCTTGGAGGCTGGAGTAGGTAGATAGGTATCAAGGTTTGATCGTAGGTTAGGAAGTTTGTCAACCATAAGAGTTGTTATTGTCATTGTTGGTGATGGATACCTAGGTATACGTATGAATAAGAAAGATGGTTATCAGACTCAGGGTTGGTGTAAGGACTTACATCACATATGTGTTTGCAGCTTTTTGTACAAAAAGGAAGGCGTGTCAATGCCTCAAACGTTTTGGTTTTATTTGGTTGATGAAATGGCTTATGTAGTACCTATAGCACCTACCTAGGGTACCTAAGGGTTTGAGCGAGGAAGTTTATATCGTGTCATTGTGCTATCGTGCCTTCCGCTCAACGTGAAAGTCCAAATAGTCAGGAGTAGTTGCTACCCAGCACATAGTAGCTGTATACGCGGGAAATAAAAATTTCAATTAAATCCATTCTTCATCCCCTCACCTATCCTTTGCCTCCTCAAGCAAAGGTCTCTAAGCGTGACTATTTTTGATGAAATTGAACTGTGAAGTCAAAGAAGATAGGGGAACAAGGACAACACCGGCAAAATGTATGGCGACCATCTTCATGACCTTCCAGGACAAGTAGAGCCTATGGAAGTTTACAAAGACAAGGACAGACCCAGACGCCCATCAACATCACGGCAACCAGGGACCGAAACCAAATCATCGCCTTGCCTACCATTTACGAGACTAGCCTATTACTGGATATCAACCCCCCCAAGACTATGCAAAAGAGTTGCTCGATATCTTTTAGCAGTGATGGCCGCTATCGTATACATCACCTTTTGGTACCCAATCACTGGGCCCTATACAACACCTGCTATTCACAGCACAGCTGGTGCATGGGGCCCTCACCTTCAGCCCCTCCCAAAGTCGCGAGTAGGAGAACTAAGAGATACATTCAGTGGCTATAAGCATCGCGGCAAATCATGCGACATCTCCTCCTTAGATCTTCACGCTCCTGTTGGATCCATATGTGCAGATAAAAACACGATGCTAACCGCCATGTCATCTGGTGGCCGGATTGGAAAAGATGCGCCGTACCTGCCTCGAGGTTGCGATATGCAATGGTTCAACACGAGGGAGGTTTGTGAAATCTTGGGCCGATACTCTCAAGTCATTCTTGTGGGCGATTCAATGCTGAGGCATGTTATTGGGGCGCTCAATATTTTGATTCGAGAGGATTTGGGTTATGGAGGAGTCACTGATTGGAACTTCAATGAAGAGGAAAAGTATGGTGGTAACCGTAGGTTCTCGCTCACATATGATCATTGCTAATCTCAGAGCTACAGACAAAAGTGCTTTTGCAATAACCAATTCGACGTGCACGACTGCTCTGTCCAGGGCATCTTTAGCACAGCGGATGTCATAGAACATGACCCACTAAGCTTGGTGTGCCCCAGGATCATTCCGGAATGGAACACAGATCTGAGGAGTGAGTGCTACGCTTGATATCAGTGATCCGTCATGCTTACACAATATGGTAGTTGAGCAGATAGTGCGGTACCCGGCCCCGGAAGACGAGTATCAACGGCTCCAGAAGGCAATCGATCCAAATCCTTCGCAGCGAAAGGCATTCGTACTCGGCCATGGACTCTGGAATGATTTAGATGTGGGCCAATCCCTTAGCTGGCTGGATGTGGTCCTCGACACGATCGAGGCAAAGACAAAAGCGCGTACGCGGCTGCGGGGCCGTAGCTCTCGAGTCAACTTACCGGTCCTCTTGGTAACGCCAAACGCGGCGGGAGACAAGAAACCGGACCAGTGGATTGTTAGCCAAGGAAATAAGGCCCTTGTTCGGTTCGAGCAAGCGATGGCGGTAGAAGCAGCCAAGAGGCGTATCGATCATCTGGGGACGTGGAACATGAGTATACAGGCAACCCTATACGACGGCGTGCATATGGATATGCGCGGCAATCTGTTGAAAGCTATGATGGTCATAAACTGGTTGAACCTATTGGAGCCTTGAAGGGGGGTGCAGTGCAGCATCGGAGACGTGTGTCTATAACTACGATTTTCCTTAATTAATCGGCAAGGGATAATAGCGCTCCGGACCGGTCGCGTCGCCGTGGGGTTTCGGTGCAGGAAGAGGGGAGGGGAGGTTAAGAGAACACGTGAGATGGTGTCACAATAACCGAACAGGTTCTAGAACGACCAAAGGCAGCGATTGTATCTTTGTATCTGTATGTATGTTCCGGGATGCGGGTACTTTCTGCAATGCAGGAAAGCTAATAGGGCTATGAATTCGCTTACTGCATGGGGATGGGGTTATTGGGAATTGGTCGGTTCTGTGCTTCTTTCTCTCATCATGCAAGGGGTCTTCTCGCCCCAATCGCTCTGATAGGAAGCTACTCCGCCGGCTTGGGTACCGTACAGTTTGTATATTACCCTACCTAGGTATGTATGTACGTAGTGTAGCACTGGGAACAAACAATGCCTGCACATTGGAGGGCGGCGCGTTCAATTCCGATTAGTTCCAGGTATCGCTTGTGAAAAGATTCCTGCAAACGGATGACTGACAGATGAGGAAGTGGTTACGGGGATGTGTAGATTGGGATGGAGATTGGGATGGGATGTTGTCGGGTGGGCCGGGATGTAGTGTAGGTAGATAGGGTAGATTGTCGATGGGTAGGTAACGGGTTCATTCACTCCTGGGTGCATGTGGTAGGGATGCGTGAGACCCGGTAGGGCCGGTACGTACATATATCTCGGACTGATAGGTAACTACATGTAGGTAATACTATGTAGATGCTGGGCTAGGTAGTGTAGAGAGGTACCTACATGTAGGTTGATTGTATCGTGCGGTACAATACATAAGTAACATGTATGTATGTAAGGTATATGCCGCCGTGCATACCCGGGACTGGGATGCGGCAATGTGGGTTTTTTTTTTATTGGGCTGCTGCCCAGGTGGTCTAGATTAATTCCAAGGTTCGTTTATAGATACATATGTGGGTAGGTAGCTAAGGTAGGCCTATATGTATGTATGTATGTATGTATGTACTGGCTGGGGCTGTAACTATGCATTAGGAGCCTCGGTTGTGTTTTTTTTTGTTTGGAAGTGGGGATGGATTGGATGGATGGATGGATGGATGGATTGGGTTGGGGTTTGAGATACATCGATCGATTGTCGTACTGATTTCCGAGTCAAGACGTCCTTGGCTGGGTGCCTAGGTGTACTAGCTTATCGTAGATGGGTGATGGGTATTGGGTAGGTAGGTAGGTAGGTATACGTGGTTGTTGGCAGGCGGATGGCGGATGGCGGACTAGGTACGAAAGGGATGGGATGGGTTTGTTTGTTTGTATTGTTCGAAAACTTTTAGGGCATGTGGTGACTTGGTGATGGTGTTAGTCGAGGTCAGGTGGATGCTTAATGGGGGGTGATGTGATGATGATGGAAAAGGGGAAAGGGGGGGGGGGAATGGGAGGTTGGAGAGGCTGTTGCTTGTGTGGTTCGGTAGCTACCTATCTACCTAGCTATCTATTCTCCCTTTCTCTTTTTTGTCTCTCCTTCACTATCCCTTGTTTTTTTTTTTGGCTTCCTTGATGTGTTTGGGGGGTTAGGGGGGTTGGTGACTGCCGCGGGTGGGTAAAGGTACTTATCCGAGCCAGAGAGCTGGCGCCATCCTAGGATTTACGTGATGCTATCCACATAGTTGGGTTGGGCTGCAAGCTACCCGGCAACCGGGTATCTGGCGGCGTAAGCGGCGTACCTGGTCTGACTTATGAGTATGTTGGTTTGTGTTTTGACGTAGGTAAAAGGGACATATTATTGGGAGTAGGTTATGTGCATCCAGACGCTGACACAAATGGCTCTGGCTGTAGCCTCCGGTCCGGGACTCTTGTGCCGGATTATTTCGAGGTTCGGTGCCTTTAATGGTATTCTAAAGAGTCCATCTCTTAGACAAGTAGGTGGCGTACTATGAATGGCCTTTGGAGCACGAGGCGAGCGTTGGTGAGTTAGGAGCTTGCCACTTTTGAGCTGACGTTAAGCAATCCATTCGAGAGATAATCATAGGTATTTTTCAGCCCTGTTGAGTCCAGAGTGACTGGTATAGATGAGATGCCGTAAGCGGAGGATAGTCTCTAGTCCTTTGCGTCTTTCTCTGCCGTAAAGTTGTAAGGTGACCACTACTCCATTAAAACCCTTTAAACATAGAAAATAAAATACCTGATGAAATAGATAGAAAAAGAAGGGATATAATCGATGCTGTCTATCCATGTAAGAAAGACCTGGAAACGCACGGGCCATTGTTTAGGGGGTTGTTGCTTACCCCTGAATCTACTCTGGTTGAGATTTTTGCATATGTTACTTCTCATGAAGAGATGGGGTTTGTTCTGGAGGATATACGGTATGTCATTGATGGATAGCTTATTTGATACTATACCTAGGTACCTAGGTACGAAACGCTTGAAGGCTTCATACGGAGTCAGAATGTTGAAGCCACATCATAACGCAACCTCAGGCTTTCCAAATTTGGACTTTTCTCTAGCTTATAAAGTCCAAATATCTCTAGGTACTAAGGTATACACTGCTTTCACTCAAGTCTCCCTTTAACGTAGCCAATGATACTGAAAGGCACAACCCCATCACCGGGCTTACTTGCGTTGATGATAGGATACAAGTACGCGGGTGCCGTCCACGCCATCCACAGACCCACCCAGAGGAAGCCAAAACAGCTCTGTACGACTGACGGGAATGCCTTAGTAAGACCTCTTGACCTGACCAAGTCTTCGATAAAAATCCCGAGTGGTTGGATCAGGAAGAAGGGAAGTGCCCCAGAGTCTTGCATTGAAATCCCTAGGTTGACTACTATTTAGCCCGGACTCTTTTGATACGGCAGCAAGCACATGAGTAGGTAGGTGCGTACCTGAGGAAACGTCTATGACGACGTGCCAGAGGCCGGATATGAGGAATATCATGCAGGGGCGGATGTACCGAGCTGGCCTACCACCTCTCCGAAGCCGGCAAACGTCGTGTATCACGTAGTTCGCCATAGCGTCAAGCCGATGGCTGTTGATTTGGTGCCAGAATATGCTGTAAAGCGGCCAGGGGTTAGAAGATTATTCGGGCATAAGGGGTAAGCCTGTGTGGTGCATACCTCCAAAAGTACCGCAGGCTGGATATCCTCGAGATGGGCCCATTGAAGGGCGGCCAGTCTAGCGGGGAGCTTAGACGCGCCGCTACACAGACGAATGCCGCGATCGAGTAGACTCCGCGCTGGAAGGATACGAGGCCAGCGCCAAGCCCTACGGCAGCGAAGAATCTCATTACGAGTTCCCGCAGCGTCACTTCCCGGATCCTGGAGAATAGGCCGATTTTATCAAGCGAATAGAACTCTTCAGCCATGTAATCGTCATTCTGCGAGGAGTTCATAGCATCGAGGATCAGGTAGCAGACGATGATTGTCAATCCTGTGTCCAGCAGGAAACGCCGACGAGAATGCAGCTTCGCGTCTAATGTGGGCACGTTCCGGACCTGGTACGGGGTGTTGATGAAGCGCCATGAGAAGAAGACTGATACGCCGAACATCAAACGAGCTTTAGCACCTGGTGGTGGATAAGAGGGTTGTGCTGCTCTTGGCTGCGGCTCTGCACTACCACCGCTAACCCGCGATGCCCCCCTGACTAGTAGGCCATTTTTCGCAGGCCCCTGAGCGTCGAAGCTCCAGCGGTTGAGCAGCACGACGTCTACGTAGTGCAGGAGCGAAGAGGTCGTGTACCCGCCCACAGCTGACGCCCAAGAGCTTCGGGCGAAGTAATCAGGGCAGCGCGAGACGCAATGCCATGTTAAGCAGGTTAAGACGGGCAGACACGCTATGCGTAGGAACGAGGAGGGGGGTGTAAATCCGGCGGTGATGACGATTAGTAGGAATACGCTGGTGAGGTCGAATAAGGGGTGGTAATCCATCTCGTGTACCTAGGTACTGGGTAGGTAGTGTGATTGAAGCGAGGGAATTGGATGAAATCAAGAGCACGTGGAAAGGTGCATAATCAGATGTTTGCGAGGAGTACGTAGGTAGGTAACGTGGACCAAGTGATAGAAACCACGGGCCTGCGGAAGAAGTGGTTGGAAAGTGCTGCCTGTTGCTGCCTAAGCACGCGGGCTAGATACCTAGTAGACTAGCTTGACAGGGAGGAAGGCCAAAAAGGGGGTAGGGTGTTAAGGGGTTGTTGGTTGGTGATATCTTCACGATATGGTTTGTGCAGCCAACAAAACTTCGAGGGTATTTGGTAACAGTCGCATGAGGTTTGTTGGTGCTTAAGCGTTAGGTTAATCTTTGAGATTAATATGGTTTTCTACTCTAAGCCTTGTTGAGTATGCCTTCTAGACTAGGTACCTAGTATGCAGTTCTAGGTAGTGCCGCATATAGCGCTCTTGAAGGGATGTTTACACGTTGCTTGGTAGGCTGGTAAAGAGATACATCAAGGAAATACTACAAGTTGATAGAAAAAGGGGGGGGGGCCGTGGTACCTGTGAATACATTTCCAGGTTATCAGTTGGCAAGTCGTCAAATCTCACATTCGCGTAAACAAGGTAAAACTTCTATAAACAAATATCTACACTCTTATGTGCACCAGCCTTGTCGCCACTAAGTAGCGTAACGTACCTAGTAAATCCCACACCGAGTAGCTTAAGTAAAATGGTGTCTTCACGGTGGAAGAGAAAAGAAAAAAACCGCCAACGCCTTGTATGCTTAGTCCCCTTATTCCACATCATCCACCTTTACCCTCTTCGATTCAGGGTCTTCGGCGTCGAATAGAGGGCGCTTTGTTTGCGTGTAATCTTTCTCTTCTACGTCCCCAGGAGGAGATATACCTGGGGTCTCTGGGATAATTTCATCGTCGTCAATTGCGCTTGCCTCCCCATCCTCTGATACTTGTATGAATGAATTGAGTACTTTTAGAGCTGGGATATCTATTGTTCGAGAAGGTGGGTTGTTCTCGTACATGCTCTGGATCAGTCCAGAGTCCTCAGGTTCTTCGGCCTGCGTTTCCGGCGTAGGCCCCTGGTCCGGCTGGTCTTCTTGGAACAGGTCTTCAGTGTCTCTCTGGTCATCTAAGTCCATAGGCTCAACATCTTCATCTGTGACCACTTGAGCCTTCGATATTTCGTTTACTTCGTCTACTTCATCTACTTCGTTTACTTGCTCTGGCCTTTGATCATCATTCCGCTTTGCCGACTCCTCCTGGGGTGTTTCTTCCGGGTCGGGTTGGTCAATATCGGACTCATCGACATCAGATTCTGGCGATTGTTCCACTACAGGCTCGGGCTCTCCTATTTTAATAAGGACTAGATCCTTTGAATTTGAATCCAAGAACACTTCATCAGACATCGTGTTGTATCCTTGGGCATGATTCTTCAAATTGTCCGGAATGTGCCTAGACTTGGGCCCAGGCACATCGAGACCGACACGAACGATATACCCGGACTTTTCGATCGTGTGGTTTGCACACGAAGACATCATCGACTGCCTGTACTCGTCTACGTCGTAATGCTCTTCGAAGTCTGCAAAAACGAAGTCGGTCGATACTTCTCCGCCTCCCTTTTGGCGCATTCTTCGATACACTAGAGTCTTCAGTCGGCGCAGGACTTCCCGGCAGATAGCGTAGGCGACGTGTCCCGTAGCCCAGGTCTCCTCGACGTCCGGGGTATGAAAGGGTCGGAATTTACTAGGGCAGAATCCAATGCTACCCTCTCTCAGAACCTGTGCTAGTCGGGCCTCCACGAACTTTTTCCGAGCGTCGCGGCCTTCGCGGGATGGGTCGACGATGGTATACTCGGTAACTACGCGGTCAGTGTACTCTCCCGAGTCTGTTCTTGCGCCCTTGGACGGCCGCAGGTGTAGTATGATGGTCACCCAATTGCTGTTCACGCCCGTGCTGCTGTTCATGCTCGTGGGGACGGGCCACAACACGAACTCGCGCTCGCGGATGTTCCCAAAGAACTGGTGTACTAATAGGGTCGAGGTGTCACATCTTGTGCTCCGAATGTGGTCGAAGCCTTCCTCGAAAAGTACGGTATCGTCTAAAAACAGCCCACAGCTTTGCTCGGCGCCCCTGGTCACCCACGGCGTTGAGACGATGCTGGGGTCGGCCATGTGTCGGTGCTGCCAAAACAAGGCCGTGAAAATGCTGATGTCGCTGATAGGGCGGTCCCTGCATATCTGCATGCGATACATCGCACTGGCATCCTCCTTGATTGCCCTGATAGTTTTGGTTGTCTCAGCGCTAAGGGTCGATCCCCAGCCATAATCGAGGAAATCGTTTCGAACGAGCCGAGCGGCGGATGTAGGAACCCCAGAAGGCATCTTTGATGGGATGGCTTGCGTTATTAACTTCGACTGTTTATAGATTATACCTATTCAACTTTCCAACTTCCTAGTTACCAACGTTTAGGTAAGTTGAGTGTCGTGTTGATTCAGTGTTGTAGTAAATTTTATGATCTCTACCAGGTGGGACAGGATCTTATGTATGAAATGGATATATATAAACAGTCTCGATACAACTTCTTAGTTTGTTCGGTATCTTGTTTCATGTTCCATGATACAGTCATCGTAGCTTTGATTTAATGGAGTGAAAGCCACGATGTATGACCAGTATCGTTGTACATACTGCTTGAGTCTCACTTCGTAATTAGAAGTTGAGGGATACTTTTTCAGTCGAGCCATGTTGCCTTTGAAAGCTTTGTGAAGTAGCGAGCAGAGTGACGGATGCGGCAACAAAGAGGGCTATCAATAAGGGCCAACTAGGGACGTGAAGCAAAGAGCAGAATTCATAAATCCCATTGAAAGCTTACACAATGAGATTCTGCAGTGACAATGCGATTGTCATATGTATCATGAACCCCTTTCTTTGGCAGGCCTCCCATTTTTTATTTTTGTAGCTGCTGTCCGCGCCTCATGGCATACTCACCTATGCAACAACTACTTTAACCCCCCTATTTTTATCTACGACTAAGACATATTTTCTGATGGCGATGTGATTATTATATTTGACAGTTAAACTAAACATGTTCTCTATATGTACTCCTTCTTTGTTTTAACCCCGAGGCCAGCAATGACCTTGCTACGAGGGCATTTAGCCGGAATCACTTTTGGCGTGTACCTACTATATACGTCTTCTATGAATGTGGACACATTTACAGACATTATTACATAGATTAAAGCCGCAATGTTACTGCGCTACACTTATACTTCATTCTAGATACTATGCTTGCCCTGACTTCTATAATTGCCTCTCGTGCTTTGTCTGGCTAGTAGAAAATCATTCATCGGTCGAAGTGTACGCCCATAGCACCGAAATACCCTCACATACACATACAGTAAGTACCTTAGTAGTCTTGTATTAGACATGCCTTTTCATCGCCCCCGGTTATTCCGCTACTGCTGGCAGACGATTTTGGCATCCTTGATCGTTGTATATTCGCCATTTGCGCTTACCTACGCGCTGAACCCCGATACCTGTTCTTCAGATCCCTACCTATCCCTACTGGATTTTCGAACTCGATTATCAACCTGTCCGCTTCCCATTGATGAGGATTCAGCGATTGACACCGGGTCTTGGGCACCCTGGAAGCGTCGTCCATACTGCATAGAGCCATACCTCGACGGGCCCGGGCCTTCGTTTTGCGTGTACACGTTCGAGCCCTTCCGCGGAGACCAAGGGATCAGCATAGTCACCACGCCAGCGCTGGCGGCGAGTGTAGTGGATGTCCTGGACGATGCAATTGTGCCACCTAAGCTCAAAGACCACTCGGTCGAAGCTAGCCAGAACAGTCCGCCATACACCATCGGCTATATTCCCAACAAGGGGAAGGGACTGATCGCGCAGCGGCAGATCCGCAAGTGGGAGGTCGTTTTCGTGGACTACCCTTCGCTGCTCGTGCACCTGGACGTTTTCGACGTCGTAGATGCCGAGGCCCGGCAAGACCTTCTCGAGCGAGCTTTGCACCAGCTACCGGAACACCAGCGGGATGTGGCGTTGGCTTTAGCGCGGAGCACGGGGGGCGAGCCGATCGAAGATATCATGAGAACGAACATTTTTGGTGTTGAGATGGGCAGTGATATACAGCACCTAGGGTTGCTGCCAATTGGCTCGGTTAGTTGACTCTTGGGGCTGTTTGTTTGTTTAAGGGGCATTGTGACTGATACAAAGGTTCTTAGAGGATAAATCATGATTGCACACCAAAGTAAGCAACGACCAAGTACCGACCAGAACAAAGGCTGATAAATATGTAGCGTCTTTTGGCGATACTCGGAACGAACACTGGCAGTAGAAGTATTAGCGTTACGAGACATTGAAGCTGGAGAAGAGATCACGCAAAGTTGTAAGCCCCCCCTTCCCCCCTTTTTTTCATCGAGCTCCCATTCGAGAAGTTAACACACCATAGACGTCCCCCTCGGGCTCCCCTACAAAGAACGCACCGAAGGTCTCAAGAGTTGGGAGTTCACGTGCAGCTGCTCCTTATGCACTGCCCCGAAATCCCGACGCGCCAGATCAGACCAGCACCGAGACCGACTGCAACTCATCTACCACCAGCTGAACGAGGGCGCGACGGGGAAGGCAGACCTCTCGGTAAGTACTGTGGGGAAGCTAACGAGGGAGATGGAAGCGCTGGTGCGGGAAGAGCAGCTCGAGGTGCAGCTGCTCGTGTACTACGGCGCGGTCGCGAGGGCGTACTTGCGCGTGGGCGATGTAGCGGCGGCAAGGAGATACGTTGATAGAAATGAGGAGCTGTGGGCGCGGTATGCGGGTGACGAGCAGGATTACTTTGCGGGGATGGAGCAGCTGCGGCATGAGTTGGAGGAGCGGGAGAGGGCGGCGTTGAAGAGTGGAAATGGAAATGTTTGATCACATTGTAATTCGCACGTCAACCTTAGACCAAACGAGTCCAGTGATCGACGATGAATTCGATTCTATAATTCTGATTCATAAACGACAGGTGTCTTACCTACCTACCTAAGGTATAGATGCAATAACTCACCCACACGAGATATCCCACAATATCCACATATACCACAAATTCCCAAGCATACAACTTTCCAACTTTCCCATCTCTATTTGACTCGCATCGCCCATAAATCTATTATAGCTAGGTAGAGTTTGAACTCGACTCAAGCGATGTAAATGCCCCAGATGTGATGTGTGATCCACAACTTCATAATTCATAAGATAAAAGAAATTGTCGCCACGAAACCCCTAAATTTGCCTCCTCATGACTCTGATAAAAAAAAAAAAAAAAAAAAAAAACCTCCATATGCAAGACTGGAGCGAGCAACGAACCGAATCCGAACCGAACCGTACAAGGGAAGAAAAGAAAAATGACAAGTCAGACCTGAGAACCTCCCTGCCGAGCCCAATCTACCTAGGTATCTAACCCATGCCCCTTATAATTTGGTACAGTCAATAAAGGAGACAGTCTATACAACCCCCTGATTTCATCCGGACATCATTGAATCCGCAGTTCCTCAACCCACTCCGCTCCACCATTCGTGTCATGGAGTTTTGTACGGGTTCTGGGATTTTCCTTTCTTCTTTTTTTTTTGCGACGACGACCACTCCGCAAGGTCGCCATTCGTAGGGAGCACCAGACCCCGTCGCATATGACTCGAGGAGAGTCCAACGACTAAAGCAATTCTCATCCCTTACCTACCCAAGTAAGTAAGCACCAACTCAGGCACGCACCCCCTCAATAATCCGGCCTCATCTCAAAGCTGCCCACCGAGAAAATCTCAAACTGCACCCTCTCGGGCTTAACGCCGCTCCTGCGCAAGTGGCTCGCCGCCTGCAGCATGAACTTCTCCGGCCCGCAAATGTAGTACTCGGCCGAGCTGTGTGCCAAGTACAGATCCTCGGCCGTCAGCGACAGGAAGTCATTGTCGAACGACGAGGTGTACGACAGCACATCGCTGTCGGAGAGGCGGGACTTGAAGAACTTGGTGCGCATGTTCGGGTGGTTGCGGGCCATCTTCTCGACGTGTGCCTGGAAGGGCGCGTCGTGCCGCGAGGCCTGGATCCAGGAGACGGGCCGCGTGATGCGCCGCTCGACAACGGTGTTGAGCATCGAGAGCAGAGGGGCGACGCACACGCCGGCGGAGATCAGGACCAGGGGCATCGAGTTGTTGTCCATGTCGGTGTTGAGCGAGAAGGAGCCGGCCGGGTGCGTCAGCTCGATGGTGTCGCCCTCGTGGAACTCGTCGATCAGCGAGTTCGACACGACGCCCACCTTGTACGGCTGGATGCTGCCGATGCTGCTGTCGGAGGCGCTGCTCGCCGCGGAGGACACGGTCATGGCGTCGTCGCCCCGCCCGTAGTCCGGGTTCGTCCCCTGGTCCCGCTTCACCGTGATCCGGTAGTGCGCGTGGCTCGGCGCGTCGCTGAGCGAGTACTGCCGCAGCTGCACGAACTTCATCCCGGGCACCGTGATCCGCAGCGTGATGTACTGGCCGGGGAGGAAGGTCGGCAGCGGCTTGCCGTCGACGGGCTTCAGCGTGAAGGAGACGATGTTGCCGCCGACGGTCTCGTTCGTTTTGCGGTAGATCATGAACTTGCGCCAGCCCTTCCAGGCCTCGAAGGCGCGGTACAGGTGCGCCTCGCGGCCCGTCAGCATCTTCGCCATCACCCAGTAGGCCTTCGTCCAGGCCATCTTCACGTCGGGGGTCATGGCGGGGCCGAGCACGGCGGAGAAGGCGCGCAGCAGGTACTTGCCGACGATCTCGTAGTGGTCGGGCTGGATGTTCAGGGAGGCGTGCTTCTGGGCGACGCGCTCGAGCTTGGGGACCAGCTCGCTGATGTTGACGATGTTGGAGGCGAAGGCGAGGATCAGCTGGGTCAGGGCGTGCGGCTGCTTGCCCGTGTGCATGTTCACGGTGTTGAAGTAGTTGTGGAGCTCGGGGTGGTCGCGTAACATCGTCTTGTAGAAAACCGTCGCTATGTGCTCGCCGTGCTGCTGCAGGGCTGGGATCGTGTCTTTGACCAATCTGGTCTCTTGGTAATTGAGCATGTTGACTGGTCCGATCGTCGGGTCCATGTAGCTCTTTTTTTTATTTTCTTTTTTATTTCCCTTTCTCTTCTTTTACTCTCGATCTCGACGATCGTCGATTGATACTAACTTGGTTAAGGTTACCTAGATGGGCGGAGGTATGGTACGATATAGGAGATCCGTGTATATGATCGCTTTGATGGGAGAGATTGTCAATGATGGACTGAGCAACTTTAAGATAAGTAATAAAGAAGCCCAAAAAAGGTCTATTCGCCTAATAGCGTTCTTATCGAAGGAGGACTTGTTGATCTAACTATAGGTAGGTAAATATCTAGGTAGTATAAAGATAATTACCCGGACTCTTCAAAGTTCACACACAAAAGATGGCATTCGTTCGAAATTAAATTGTTACCCTGTTTGTTTAACTCATCGGATGGCGAAAACGAACAAAAAAAGACAAAAAAGATCACAAGTGTTCCCAACACTTTTTTTTATGCTCTATTATGTTATGTACCTACTTACCGCCTTGTGCTCGTGATGCATTATGTTCTAGTTTCCGGTTGTGGAGTTTTTCTCGTCTTCATCGCAGGCTTGGACTGAGGATCTCCATTTTCTATTACAGGGAGTAGCATGATGGATACTTGTGACTTGAAACCCGGGGAATACCGGGCCTGTGTTAGAACGCGAGTTGTGGTACTGTACGATAGTAGGGCAAACGATACTACGAACGATAGTACATGATATCTACATGATAACTACACGATACTACAGAGTAGCTTGAGCCGAGATGGCACGATATGACGGCATTTACATGTGTGGCTTGCAAGGTCTCAGGCCAAATCTCGACATCGAACGATTACCAGTTTTCTAGAATTGTTTTAAATAGCTCCGACGTGCCGAAGCACCATACGCAGTCACACACCTTTATACCCAAAGTAACTAAAACCGGGGTCGATGCCATGTGGCTTTTGGGGGGGGGGAATCTAAGATGGCTAGCCAGGGGAGGGGGATCAATGCATGTGCCATGTTCATGTAGCTCATGTCGGTTCATGATCTTCTATTGGTGATGGTTCTTGATAGCTGAATGGATGAAAGTTTTAGAATATGCATTTACTATATAATTCTAACCAGCTTAGAAAATGCCACCGGAGCTAGTAAAAAAAAAAAAAAAAAAAAAAAAAAAGTGATAAGGAGAAGAAAAAAAGACTCAAAAAAGGGAAGAAGACACAAAAGTGAATGCCGTTTACGGCCGGGGATGTTCGTAACGAGCTGGTAAGGAGCTGGGTTGGGTTTAAACGAGATCCGAACGCTTTGATTCGTGACAACGTTTCAAACTTGGTACTTGGTCTGCAGCTAGACTGTCTAGACACCCTAACCTAGAGTGTTCTAGCCTTGCCCTACCAGGTATCTTCTACCAGGTACCAGGTATGAATTCGGTCCACCTTCCCGCCAGCCTTTGTTTCCGCCATGGATGATAGATGATGGCTGATGGCAGTTGGCTGTGATGACTTGGTAATTTGTAAGACTGACACATAGTTATTAGGCCGCTAAGCCCTTTGAAAGTCCCTTGAGGTGTCATCGTTGTATTATTGCGTGTAAATATTTCCCGACGATGTGGGGTTCATGGAATTCATACTATGTAAAATACTAAGTAACTAAGATGATTGTCAGTAGGTCGGTAGTTACTGTATGCAGATGATAAGGGTCCTCCCTCCCTCCCTTATTATTGCGTCTATGTATGTAGTGTAGATCCTCCCAAGTCCGGATCCGATCCATACCCTTGAGCCCTATCATTAGTGTAGTTCTAAACTAAGCGAGACCCAAGTTTACCAAGATTCAGCTGTCACTAACTACACTAGTCGTCCATCACAATAGAGATATGTAAATGCACATACACAAAATGATAAACCTCCACGCTCTTCCAAGGTTGCCAAGGGTCTATTGGATTCTCGGCTATAGAAATTCTACCATAGTAGCTATGCCTAGGCTTGTATGTATCACACCATGTCGTCCAGTCTTCAGCACAGACTGGGAAATATTACGAGCAAATCTCCGATCAAAGCAAGCCTCTTTTATCGGAGAATATTCCGTCCTACTCTGAGTCTGACTTATTCATTCCGCTATGCATTCCGCCGTGTGCCCCTCTCTCGAATCCCAACCTCTTTGTGTTCTAGTTGTGCAAGAAGCAAGATATGGGTTGTTTTGATGTCAATCTTTCTTTGATCGGGTTAACTCATAGTCAGTGATAGTGTCATGCTAGTCTGGGCGATTGGCATGATAGGTAAAAAAAAAAAAAAAACATGTGAGAGAATATCCCCAATAGGTATTTTACCTAGGTATCTACAAACCATCCCTAGTATATGACGAGAATCGAAATGGTATAGTACTGTATCATAGTATGTCCGATGTCGAGCGTGGGTGGTGTGACCTAAACGTTAGCCCATCCCCCCTCCTCCCTCCTCCCCCCCAAATCTGCCGAGTCCAACTCCGAGCCCGTCCCTAATTGACCCCCCCTATACCCCAAAGAACCATCTTCCGAGGTCTGTCCAGCCACCGCTGCCATCCATCAGCTGCGCCGCCGGGCTCACAAACGTGTCCGCCGGCTTCGTGGACACGCCGAAGAAGCCGTACTCGACCACCCAGCTCTGGGCATCGAGCCACTTCGACACCTCCTTCGTGAACAGATCCACCTGCGCCCTGTCGCGGTTGACGCTCGCGATCTCGCCACCGATCATCGGTAACTTGTACGTGTCGTGCTGCCGCTTGAAGAAGGCCTTGGCGTTCTCGACCTCGGCGGCCGACGCGCTGTTCTGCAGCGTGTAGAAGTGCGCGTTGACGTAGTCGGGCTTCTCGCTGCTGCCCAGCTTGCCCATGAAGGCCTGCAGCCACTGGATGCCGTCGGGGTCGCTCGCGCACGCCGGGCTCGCCAGCTTCACGCCGTACTGCCTGCGCAGGGGAAGCATCTGCGCCTTCCACTTCGCCGCCGCGTCGCCCGGGTCGATCCCCTGCCGCTCCGGCTCGTTGAAGAAGTGCACGATGGCATTACCCTTCTGCGCTGCCGCTTCTGCTACCAGGCTGCTCCACGCGTCGCCCTGCAGGTGCGCCGGCCCCCACACCGTGGGGCGGAAGGGGATGGTCTTGGGCACCTCGGCCGGCCGCTTCGTGTTCCAGTTGAAGACCGACTTGATGGCCTTCGACCCGGCCAGCTGGCCCGCGGACTTGAGGATGCCCGGGATGCTGGCTTTCTCGTTCGAGAGGACTGGGTCCCAGAGTACCACGCGCTTGCCGCTGGCGCCGAGGAGCTTGGGCACGCCGATTTCGATGTCGATGGGTGCGGCTAGGGTAGGGCTCGCGAAGAAGACGCAGGCGGCTAGGCAGGCTAGTTGCCTGATGCTCTGAGCTACCATCATGGTGGTGGGTCGTAAGGTAGGTAGGCAGGTAGGTATAGAAAGGAGAGACCGGTGATGGAGAGACAAGCTACCTGGTGAGGATAGACAGAGCGAGGCGTAGGCAAGTACGAAACTACAAGATCTATTTCATGATCAAGACGTGAGGAATCCTCTGCTACTTATCCTCTTCCCCAGCTCTGCAATCCACACCGTACGGCTGGGGGCCATGTGCAGGGAAAGAATTTACGTGCTACCTACCTTTCATCCGTACAAACACAGTAGATTAACTAGATCCGTGAATAGGATCAAGAAAGACCCCACCCCCAAGAGATGAGATGTACGGTGTTAATAGCTGGATTGCTTCATGCAAACCTAGCATGTCCAGCTCTAAAAATATACTGATCTATACCCCAAGCTAGAGCAGATCAGCACGCACGCAGAGGCGTGGCTGCGGCACGACGTCAGCCAAATGTGGAAAATATCTCTTCTGAAACCATCTTACTCGATCTGCTATATTCGTACCTGCATATTCAGTGGCCTCAATTGGATAGGCGTCTTATGGAATGGATTGCTTACGCTTTTCCTATGAGAGCAGGTACTAAAGTATTGCTGATGTTAGGTAACTACCAGGCACTTCGAACGTGATTGAGCGATTCGAAGCGTACGAGAGCAGAAAGATTATATCAGCAGCATCTTCACACCAAAAGAGCTGACCCGGATCCTGCTCCTTCGCGTCCAAAAATCTCCATTGCCTAATGATCCAATTGCGAACGGCGCCCTAGACCGCAAAGCTTTGCCGAATTAAGATTTGATCATGATATCGACACAGGGATCTGGGAGATCCTGCCTCGCAGCGAGCTGCTGGTATCAGACATCGCGGCTTCGGCCAACACCCTTGGCGAGGCTCCTACGGGAGCAAGACGCTAGGCACCAGAGCGGCACGGATTTTGACGGGCTATACTAGGGCAAAATCAAGCGAGCAGTATAAGTTGCGGAATCATAGGCGGGAATCGTCTACCTTGAGCAGGATCAAATTAGATGTATAGGGCAAATGACGCTATTTCCATCGTTGTGCCAAGGTAGTGGCGACGGCATGGTGCTGGAAATGATACGAGGTGCAATCATAGATCCTGGGGTTTGCACGCGGCACGGCTCCACGGATTTGTTCGCTGTCAGGTGAAGTCCACGGGGAGATTGGCGGCCGTCCTTCCCTAGGTTAGATGACTTCAGTGTAGTACCAGGTAGGGGGTTTAATAACTGCTCTTTACTCTCTAGCTTGGTGGTATGAATTAAAGGTCTAGGAGTGTCTCTTCAAGGTCTTATTAACCATTTTATCTCCCAACAAGCAAGGACAGTGTAGATCTAAGTAAATTGAGAAAAGTCGAGGGTATTTCATCACAGTTCCCCTAGCTCGTCACAGACTACTCATGTAGGCGATGGACAGATATAGAAGATGTTGCCTTGCGTGTACTGATGGCCTAGACCTGAACGGAATAATGACAATAAGTTGCCTACCTAGGTACCTAGGTACCTAAGCATTCAATCCTTCGGTGACATTCTATGTCTTGATATTATCTATTTTCATGTAACTAAAGCGGGCAAGTTAGACTCAACTGTAGAACTCGGAATAGCTTCATATTGCAAACAAGCCTTCGGTAGTTGACAAGACGCTTCAATTCTGCTTAGTACCAAGAACCTCAACACATCGACCTTCTACCGAACAGGTAAGAAAACGATACGTTCTGAAAATCTAAGACATGCCATTGCCTATAAATACTACCTAGGGAAATAAATCCCTATTACCTATGGCAATGTGAATACCTAGGTAGCCAAGTCGAAACTCACCCAGTGAAACGGGCAGCTAGGCACTGCACATCACCGCCTCATTGATCGGGGACTACTAGGCATTCACTATATATAATGAAACTACCAGGTCTAATATCATGGAAAATGTCGTCCTCGACGACACTAAAGCTCCATGGCGCAGTGGAAGCGCGCCGGGCTCATAACCCGGAGGACCTCCGATCGAAACGGAGTGGAGCTAGAGTCCTATTTTTCTTTTTCTTCCTCAGTTTTTTTTCTTTCTCTCCCTTTCTACAACAGCTGCTTTTGCCTAGTAAATAGCCGTTTTCTGTACTAGAGTTTAGCTCCCGTGCGAGACAAAAAAAAAAAACTTCTCCTTTTTTGTGACTAAGAGTTAGTTAGTTCAGCGTTGGTTCTTCTCCTGCAGTAACTTACCTAAGGTTAGGGTAGTTGAGCCGCAAATGTGGTTCCCCTGATGGCGGTCTTGCATGTGGCTTCAGTGTGCTGTGCAATAGACGCCTTAAAGGATGTTGCAAACAGATCACAGCAAACACCTATCTCATTGACAGAGAGACGTATCGTGTGCGGAACTATCAAAAATACCCGGATCCTGATAACAAGACAGTTTAGGGAAAAACAGAAGCAGCACATTCACTTCCACCAAAAAATTGTAAACACTTATCAGGTTTAACCGACCATAGATATCTGGTACCTACCTATATAAACGCGATGTATCATGTAGCTAGCTATCGCCATCGATATCGAACCTCGAATACCGTCCAGCAGACCACACTCATCATCAACCTTTTTATGGTAGATATGACACAGCCCCAGCTCCAGCTATCATACAAAAAGATTCATCTTCATCGTCATCGTTTCATTCAATATTATTATGCATTTCCAGCCGAGCCACGGCACCACTCGGGGCATAATTAGGTAGGTACCTACTCAATCAATAACCCTTCCCCTGCCTTTGCCTTTGCCTTTGCCTTTGCCTTTGCCTAAGGTTGCTTTACCCCCCTATCTGAGTTCACCATTACGATCCAAACCCCCTCCTTCCCCTTTTTAAAAACCCCAACCCAACCCAACCAACCAACCCCCCCCTGATTTGAACCCTGAATCCAAACCACCCCATAACAGGCACCATCGTCATCACCGCTGACAACTCCCCTGAAACTGCCCCAAGTCCTCCCACGTCAGCGGAAAGTGGCTCCCGGACAAACTGCTCTGCTGCTGCTGCTGACACTGGCTCTGGTTCTGCTCCTCCTCCACCTCCTCCACCAGCGTACTCGCAAAGCTCCTCCAGTCCTCCGACAACAGGTCCAGCGGCGGCAGCATCCCATCATCGGGATTGAAGATGGGGAAGTCAAGGTTCATGGGCGAGGTCGGAGAGGGCGCTAGCGGCGCGGGCGGGAGGGCTTTGTCGGTTGTGAAGCGTGCTGGTTGTTGTTGTGGTGGTGGTGGCTGTGGTTGGAGGGGGTAGCTTTGGTAGGTGCTGAGCATGGTCGGCCGTTGCCGTTGCGGCTGGTGTGGGATCGCTAGGCTGAGGCTCGGCGGCATGGGCGCGGGGATGGTGGTGGTGGTGGTGGTGGTGGTGTGCCGCGAGGAGTCGGCGGAGGGGACCCGGCGGCTGTGTCGGGCTGTTATGCCGGGGATCGCGGACGTCGATGCGGAGCGTCGAGGCATGGCGGGTGATCGGGGCATCACGGAGATGTGTTTGGGCGTCGTGGTCGGCGACGGCTGCGGCGTTCCCCCCTGGCTCAGCGACGTCGAGCGTGGGCGGAAGACGACGTGCACGCAGGTGTACGCCATCTCGACGACGTGTTCGGCGGACTCCTTGGTGCCGTCGAAGAACTCGAGGAGGTCCTGCAGCTGGCCGGGGTTCTCATTTTCAACGAACCCCTGCGCGCGGCCCGTCGACTCCGGGCTCCAGCTGAACATCGGCTGGTGTCCTCCGAAGTCGTTCTGCTTCCGGGCGATGAGGGCCTTCCAGGCCTCGTGGATGAGGTGCTGGTGCAGCAGGCCGTAGATGACGTTGGAGTGCAGCCAGTTGACCTTGGTGAAGCCGGACTCGAAGTGCACGGCGACGTGGTCGATGTGCTTCTCGAACTTGCCGTGCAGGGCGGCGCAGAAGCCGCAGCCCCAGGCCCGCCGCTTCCGCAGGTGCTTGACGACGGTCTCGGCGTGCGGGCACGTCTTGCACCCGTGGGCGGACTTGTGGTGCTGGTTGAACGTGTTGGGGCCCCAGAAGCTCTGGTTGCAGTTCGGGCACGGGTACTTTCGCGATCGCTCGTGGAACTCCTCCTCGTGCCGCTTCCAGTCGAACTTCCGCTTGAAGGTCTTGTCACAGGACGTGCACCAGAACTTTGCTTCCGACGACAGGGCTGTCGTCGATGAGACTGAGCTTCGTGTTGATGTCGAGGAGAAGACGCTATCGCGGCTTGAGCAGCTAGATCGGGACGAAACGGATGTTCGCTCTCTAGGGGGTTGGGTGAAGGGATTGCTGTAGCTGAAATTTGGTATGGAAGAGTCTATCGACACGAGTCAATTATTTTAATACTTCACCTAGGGACTCAAGGGGGTTATCTCGTACGGTCAGCTACTCCTGAATTTTGCCGTTGTTGTTGTTGCGGCTGTTGCTGCTGCTGCTGCTGTTGTGATGTTTCCCCTAATAAGGCGATCAGAGCGTCATGGCTAAGACCGGATTGCTTGAGGGCTTCGAGATGCTCTCGTGCCTGTTCCAATACCCTCGATGGATGATCCATTACACTGATCCTAATCGCAATTGGCTTTTGTGAATAGGTGGTTGGTAGGTTCCTAGGTTAGGTAGATTATAGAAATATGTGGTGTATGTGTGTGAAGGAATAAGCGATCAAATCTAGATCGAAAAAAGAAGAGAATGGCGTTGAAGAAACCACGGAAGTGTAGATTTACGTTGGGCAAAGCTGAACGTTGCACCCGCGAGCGATTCGGTTACTTTCTGTATATATTACCTACCCCCCTCAACACACAAACCACCCCCGTCTGTTGCTTCGTCATGTTCGTACATAGCTACATGTAGTATGTATGCCGCGGTACGATACCGCGCATCATCCCATGTTAGGTAGCTGGCTAGCTGCTTAGTAGGGGAACAGTACAAGAAGAGTACAAGTTGTACAAGTAATCCATGTGGAATTGTTCATTAATCCAAAGGAGCCCTTGTTCGGTCCCCGGCCTGGGATGACAAGCAACTGGCTGACTGGGCAAAAAAAACTGACAGAGAGAGAGTAAACGACCAAAAAAAAAAAGGGCAGCAAACAGGGGGGAAAGGGGACTGGGAGGTAATCGATGGGTCGGCTTAACCTGAAACGAGTCGATGCTAGCCATCCAACTCCTCATTGTTTCGAAACACGCGCGACGGTGGGATGAAGCCTCCAATAAGAGGCGTGATTGACGGCGAGGGGCAAGCGAGCGACCAAGACTGGATCAAGCCGGATCAACCGTGGACCCATTGACGATCCACGATCAGCCTAGGGAAACTCGGAAGCCTAACATCTTTACCTACCCTCCTAGGGCTTTTACCCTTGGCGAAGAACCATGCAGATAATCCGTTTCAAGATTTGCCAGGTCATGTTTGTTGCATATAATTGGTTCGTTATTTGGTTTGACCCTGTCGTGGCCCGGATTCGTCACAATTAGATCTAATATCTCTCTTTCTGAAGGAAACTTGAGAAACTTCCCTTCCACCTGCAAGATCATCATCTTCGTTTATTTCTTTTTTTTTAATTTCCTTCCGCAACCTTAATCATTTCCAAGGTTCTGTCCACTTTGTTTAAAAGAAGCCTTATGTACGAACCTTGGGAAGAGAAAGAAACTAACCCCTTATGTATTGTACCTAAGTGAGATTTCCGCGAGAGAGTGACTACTTCGTAAGTTCGTACCTCGGTAGGTAACATGATAGGTCCGGTTTTGACCCAGAAAATACTTACGTTTACCCCTGTTATTCTAAGGATACCTACGGTAACTACCATACTATGTCGTAGTAGTCGGACTGTCGGACCAGGTCTGTCCCACTTGGGGGATGGGCTTGGCGTCCTGGGGCGGCCCCTTTCTGAATCTGGGCTACGCCGAAGCAAACAGACACTGAACAATGAACATACATACCATCTTGAACATATTACATATATTACGTAGCATTTAACATTATGGATAGGTCTTATGCTGTGCCTATTATATTATTATTATAGCCAGCTACGCCGCCACGTGTGTAGATGATATAAGCCTTCAAAAGATGACGGCATCTGGGGTAGACAACAACTATTATTGGCAACAAATCTTGTCTTTAAATAACATCTTATAACTCCTACACAAGAGAAAGAAAATATTTAGAAATGATTTCAAGTCCCCCGAGTGTTTGACGGCCTGGCCTTTCTTTCGTTTTGAAACAAGAATCCGAAAACGACAAAAAAAAAAAAAGACCGTGACAACTTTGAAATCAATTGACCACCGTGGTCTCCGTTTCAACTTCTCTTGGCTTTGTGCGATTTAGGCATACAAAATCCCTAGTCCCTACCAAGTGATCATTAACACCTACCTATTTATGTCGACACTCGGTCGTTATAGTATCTTCATGTCTTACAATCCTAACCTTACGAAGCAGCTGGACAATTGGTCTTGAATGAATACCATCTCACTGGAAATCTTCAATCTCATCTAACTACATGCACACAGTTACAATCACCTGCCTCTCCATACCCATCCTTGATCGTTTGCTGCCGGCCAAAAAAAAAAAAAAAATAGTAGCAATGAAGAAAGCAAGGATGTGCCTTGGGGTGGGTCGATGTCGTGTTGTCGTACGACGCTATGTACGTCTGCAGTCCTCGTCACTACATAACTCCTGTATGTACGCCGCCTTCGTCGGTGTTGAATTTGGCTATGTGGTACCGGCGATGGCACGAAGTAAAACAACGGTTGAAAAAACATCGACAGTCGCACCGATATAATTACGACTCTGCCCTACGTATGCACCTACCTTTTAATTTCCTACGCACTTGAGTAGATATGTACTAGGCAACTATATAATCATGTAAGTTCTCTGCCAATATTGCTCAGAGTTTGGGGAGAAGTTCACAATCGATACCCGGATAATAGGTAGGTAGGTGTGGCCCGAAGTTTCCATCACAATACCTACATGTAGCTCTTAAAAGCAAGTACATTGATGTCTATCCCAAGTATCGCGATTGAGGAAAGTTGGCTGAGCGTTCTCAAGTTGCGATAATGGCTAGATATTATTACGATCGAGGCGACTGAACGATATTCTAGGGGATGCCATGGATGCAAATGGGGTCAATCCAGTATTGAGCTTGAGAAAATCCTATGATCTGATCCAAGTAGTAGTACCCATAACCCATTGAAATGAGCGAGTCGTCCATGTTATTTAGAGAAAGAGAAAGGCACCGAAACGGGTTCGAAGCTACCGTACCTAGGAAACATGCGTTTGACCCAAATGCGCGGGAAACTCAGGACGGACATCTCGGAGCAATGAAAGGGGCCACTCGGACCAAAAACGCCAACCGACCCAATCCAGCGTATAAGTACCTAATGAAAATGCATCCTCCACAGCTCCTGATCAAAGCTTGCCGAAAAGTCGCTCCGCGAGTACACCGCCAAGCTATTATCGCTGACAAGCAAGTCTCCCTTTTCCCAAGTATGATGATACGCAACGCGCCGGTCATATAGCAAGCTTGTAAGTGCCTCGCACGCGCCATACAAATCACTATTATTACCACTATCGCCGCTATTGGCCTTAGGAAAGGTAGTAGTAGATGTGTTATCCATGGGAACATGTAGAGCCTCTAACCTCGTCTTCGATCTTGCACATGGCTCTTGGTACCGTAGACGCCGGCGGACGGTTACCGGGTGACTGATTTCAAGGGGTAGACCATGAATAACCGTTGATTCGAAGGAAGAAGTAGACACGGTCCATGCAAGGGGGTGGAGTGACGAGGGCGGCAAACGAGGGGGTACATGCTTGAGTATGAGGCTCGAAGGGGAGAACAGAGTTCGCTCCATGTCCTTGGGGGGCGATGTCACAGCCGCGAAGAACTGGAACCTATCTCGACCGTGTAAGTCCGGAACCAGGAATGATTAAGCAAGCAAATAGACGGGAAAATGTCTCACCTCGGCGGCTTCGGGCCTAGCTCTTTCCCGCCGTTCTTTTGTGCATGAGGAAGGCCATTGTGATGGAACGACATCCAGTGCATCGACAGCACATTTTCCAAGCCCCTGGTACCTGCGCTTTGCTCTTCAACCTCACCCATGCTTCCAAACTTCCACGGTACCGGGACGCCGAGCTCCGCCGCTTTACCCAGGAACAAGTCTCTGTCTCGTGTGTGCGCGAAGCCTCGAAGCACAACAGGGGAGTTAGCCTGCGCTAATGCGCGCACCTTGTCCGCGTGCACGTCGCGGATAGAGAGCGTGTTGCGGCCTGCCTCGGGCCGGATAATGAAGCCGGCGGGGTACTGCGGCTCGCACACGATACTGCCCTTTTCGGTCGCCCAGTACAGTAAGTCAGACTTTTCACGGAAGTAGCTGGGCCGGCTATGCTCGTCGTAGACAAGCTCGAAGGTATCGTCAGCTTCGAAGTCGGAGCGGTGGCCTGTGAGGGTGGTGCCATCGAGTCGGAATGCGATGGCGCAGTGCCACGGCGTGGTGAATGCTGTGTCTGTTGGCAGGAGGTTAATGGAGAGTTTGTTCTCGCCTGTTGAGGGGTGGATAGAGAGTCTGAGACGGTCGGGAAATCTGTCCCGAACAGCTCGAGCGAATGCCTATGCCGTGTTAGTCAACGTTCCCATCTAAGTCTCTACAGAGTGCCTCGTTGTAGGCATTCGTGAACTGCGCGAGGACAACTCACATCACCTCTCATGAGCATCTGCTTGGCAATGTACTCAATTCCCCTTTTATACTTAGTCTTGCTTCGTTCCTCGCCGATGGGGTACACAGTTTGCAGGTCAGTTTCCAGGAACTTTATATACCCCCTGTATGTCAAACAGGTATCCTCATCCTCCGATATCCTAAGCGAGACATTAAATCCGGGTCTGCTGAATTGTTGCAACAGAGCATGGCGAAAATTGGTAGCGTTGGCGACGTCTGGCCTAGGGTTAACGTTTTCAAAGACACATAAGGTCATAGTATGGTATCATCTAGGAAGGTCGAAGTCGTGGATCTGGAGTGAATTTTCACAGTTGAATAGGTACATACATCTAATTTCGTCTAGTTGGTTGGGGACATCAATATTAACTATATCCTTAAGTCGACAGAATTCAATATAGGTAAAATCCTTTCTTGCTTTTAACGCTCGAAGGGCTTCACCGTAAGCCCAGACGTCTTTGTCTGGTACCCCGAGAAGGTCTATTTCGGATTAATGAGAAGATCTATCTTGTGATGAGGATCGAGTACCGTTATATACCAGTCCATCAGAGACTATCATTAGCCTCGCGCCTGGAGTATAGATATCTGCGATTGAAGCACATAGACCATTTAGATGTGCTAAGGCAAACTCCTCTGCCTTGTCGGGAAGACGTCCAAGAACTTTGGTGCTCGTATTTGGTGACTTGAAAGGGAAGGCAGGAAGACACATGAGTATTGTCTCTCGAACCAACACCTTGGAATATATCTGGACCAGGAAATTAACCCCATTGCTGATTTTCCCTAACGGATCTCGTGCGAGCCTGTATCGTGAAATGATGTTTAAGATACGCGAGGCGGTTTCCAAGTGAATATGTTCTAGGTTATTCAGCTTCTCATCCAGAGTTGTTGTAGATGCCAAGTTATCGGCAGTATCGAGCTTCACGGCGGATGGCATCTTGTGAGCAAGTTTCAGCAATCAGGTAGCAATCAGATATGGTAGAACCAACGAGCTGAGTACATGTCTGCAAGGTGAATGTAGACCCGTTAGATGATACATAGGATACCTCGACCAGCCTCGGTGACATCCTGAGGTCTTTATTCACCCGGACGTCTATTTGAGAAGAGCCGACTTGGCAGACACTGTGTTGTATATTGACAAGCCAAGTGTTGTAGCACGCCAATAACAGTTGCAACTTTATAGTGTGCGTTTACGGAAGCACGGCTAAAGGGGTCCAGGGCGAAGTTCAAATTCGCCATTCCATGACCAGCGAGTCGCATATACGTATTCAGAGACCTATTCGCCCTCCAGCACGCATGTGGCATGTAATGAACCTGGATTGTGCTCTGAGTCGTCTCGTGACGGTCCGAAGAGTTCTTTACTTTTCCCGAAGGAGAAGCTTAATAAGTTGAAACTATGGTGAGAATGGTTCCGCTTCATACCATCTCTATAACATTATCGACCTTAATCATACCTAGGCACCTAGGTAACTACGAATAGGATATACTGTCTGCGGAAGGGGTAATATTTGGTCAGCAATCCGATAGTCACAGCCTCATTCAATATTTTAGGTCGTAGTAGGTATTTGTGGGATTGAGGAAAATATTGCCATCTTAACGGAATCTGTAGTATTGATAAAATAATCGCTCGTTGTATGCAGGTGGGTTTGAAAGATGAAGTAATAATAAGGCACTTTTATTGTTTGCCCACTACTTGATCCAGACTCGGCCTTTCCGCATGACCAATGAGGCTCTTGACAAGTCACCGGCGGAGTTGTGTAGTTTGAATTGTGACCAAAATCCCGGTTCTTGGAAACAAAACGAGCCTTGCTCTTTGGCTCAGTTGCATTTTGTCACTTCACCTGTCTCCAGAGGAAGTTACCAGCCTCGACAGAGTTAGGGTTGAAAATTGTTCGAGTACCACCCCCGCCGTTGGTAGGTTAGATAGCAATCTAATAAAGAATCGATATATACAGCTGAAGACGAATCGTAGCTATGTTCGTTTCAAAATTAGGAGCTGGTCATATCATCCCGATCGGTGACGCGGCCAACGTTCATTTGGTGAACAGGGTGTAAGGCTTGAACACGGGTATTGTGGATGTATCCGGGCTCAGCTGTGGGAGCACCGAGCAGCGGCGCCGTAATTGAGTGCTACAATAAAGTTGATCCATGGCTTAAGGATCGGGAATTATTGACGCTGCAGCAACCCTGCCTACATACCTAGTATTGTACATGGTAGTATGTAGGACACTACCTGGTAGGTTTGTAGCATATCGCAGGATTGGATCTGAATCGAGCAAATCGCACAACATACTTGCCTTTGCCTACCTACCTAAGAATTATAGGTTATGTAGGTACATATATGTATTTCCAGAAACCTGGTTGGGTCAAGAAGGGACTGGTTTTGTGCTTTTCAGGTGGTAGTATATGCATACATAGCTAGTAGAGATCGTGGAAGAAGATTGGTAGTTAACTACATGTATTAACATAATATTACTTGATGTCTTATCTTATCGCTTGATTGGCCGTGCGCAACAATTTAAGCTGCACATGTATGTACCGGTACCTCATACTAAAGTGCTCAGCTAAGCCGAGCCGAGGTAGCTAGTACTGAGAACCAAAACATCATTTGGAATTGAAGTGGGAAACTGCAGCTACTGGGGGGGGGGATACTGGGGGAATACTGGGGGGCCGTTTAGCTGGAGCTTTAACGTGACATAGTAGAAGTTACTATGTGTTATAGTTAGGACAGCATCTAAGTTTTAACTATCTCATCATCATCACCGACGCTTTCTTTTTATTCATCATTACAATAATACCTATTCTCATTTCTACCTACATACCTATACATACATATTTCTATCCTTAGTTACATACCAAACCAAATCAAACCAATAAATCATAAATCCTACAATTGCGCCAATCTTAAACCGCACCCACATTTGCTATTCTTGTCCTATCCTTTTCTTATCCTTTATCCTTCCTTCATCAAATCAATCAATCAATCAATCACTCATCTTCCTCTCATGTTATTGCCTTTACCAATTTAATCTACCTAGCAACTATTCAATTTATACCTATCAATTGCTTTGGCCATGCCACTACCCGCCGATCATTTGAAAAACTCCCCGTCGCGTTCCTCCAGCAAATCCCAGAATCCAGTTCAGAGCGTCCTCTCCATGCCGCCCAAATTCTTACATATGTATGGCGACTTCATTACCAAAAATGCCCACCAGGTCTCCCAAATCGAAAGTGCCTTGCGCTCTCTGACTTACATAATCCCCGGCCGTTTCCGCGACGCTGAAATCGCCTCAGAGACTTTACACTCTGGTGTCCAACTGCTATCCCTCTATCACGATGCCGTTCTCCGTGGAGCCATCTCGAAGATACCCGCTCTGGCCTCCAAAATACCCAATCCACACTCGCGTTATACCAGGTTTTGGACAGCTAAGAGTATGGTATATCGGAGAATAGCCTTGTTGCTGCAGATTGTGCAGTACACAGAATTACTATGGGAAATGGCGGCCAAACGAAAGGGGGAGAAGATTCGCTGGCGTGTAGTCATATTATTAGAGGCCATAAAAGCAATTTGCCGCTTCTTGTTATTGCGAGTCACCAACTCCAGACCTCTTGTTACACCACCACTACCCGAACGAGAACCGCTCCCCCCAGATGCTGAACAAGACGATAACGATGCTCTCAAGGAGTTGATGGGCGAGGACACATACTCAAACGGGAGTTCCAACAAAGCTGCTCACGAGAAAGAATGGGCAATGCCACGAATTGGGACAAGCTTTCCAAGCTTGCCTAACCCCAGCGATATCAGCTCTTACTTGATGGGCCGAGTTCTGACAGCAGACGATATCAAGCCCGCAGCAAAGCTGCTGAACACGCTCTCTCGTTCCGGGCAGACAGCTGAGATCTTGCACATCCTTTCGCCCCTAGCATATGCCATTGCTTTATCGAGGACTAAGGATAAGAGGTCTTGGGCACCATGGCTTATTGGCTTCAGCATGGAGTATGCAGCACGACAATTGCGTGACCGAGGCTTACGCAGCACAGCTTTAGAGAACGAAGAATGGGGCAAACGCTATTGGGCAGCAGGCTGGTGGACCATGAGAGGTGCTTTCTACGAAAACCTCACCAAGGGTCTCATTACTGGAGTACGCCGTCGTATGCCTAGCCTTGTCTCCGGCATAATGGAGGATTACGAATACCTGTGGGATAATTATTACTTCAGTACTAGCGCTTGATAGATCTGATACGATCAGGTCTGAGTCAAGTGTGTTGAGCTGAGTAGGACATGATACACCATGTCACTAGACGGGTTTACCGTCAAAATTGAGATCGTCTATTGACTTCTCGTAACCTAATCGATAATTCTTCAATTATTACCCATCACTGTATAATACCTATACATTGGTAACCTCGGTCGGAACTTGGCGGGATATAGTCCTCGATACAGGGCACTCGGCATATTTGGCGAGGCCCCAAGCACGACTTTCACCTCAAGACTGGATAGCCACCTCGATGTTGGTTTACTATAATCTTAAATAAGCACCAATGTATACCTGCCTACGCAGACGCCTCGAAAGCTATTTAGGCACCGCCAAGGTGTTAACAGTTCGAGGAAATCGATCGTATCAAATGGATTGAAGCCCCGGTTTACATTAACCATGGGGGGTTCAATGCCGTCCCAGAATTTCTTTATTTCTTTTAGTTCTCTAGTCTGCCCGACAACCGTAGCACCTCGTTAGGTGAGGTTGTCAAGAGCATGGAGAAGAGGCCGAGAATTTCATACTATCATAAATACGCGGAATAGTACATGAACTCGCAAGAGTTATTTCAGAGGTTCTCTCAAGGAATCACTAGAACGTTGGGCTTTGGGCACAATCGCCACCAATACCACAAACTGTACCATTATTAACAGACAAAGCGTACAGATACCCCCTCATACACTATTTGAACCTATTGGATTGGTTCGTGTACGATAATTTCTAGATCGGCTATGTCAACAGTATGTCCATCTCATGGAATACCTACTGGGTACCTGTTCATCCAATCTTTGGCACTGGAAAGTGCACCAGCACCACAAATCGATAAAATAACAGGAATTCCGACATCGATGAGCCTTGGCTTTATAGCTACTTAGGAGGAGGCTGGGTCGGTATTTCAACAGCAACTGTTATTGAAAAAAAATCATCAGACAATCCTCTATATCGACATGGCTTGGGTCGATGTATAGTATATACCTGCTATCCATGGATACCTTTATCTCATGTGATTCCTGGCGGCGACGTCTAGTACATACCTATATACCCTCATATTCCGATCACATCGATGGAGGTAGATAGGGTATTAAACAGCTAATCCGGCTTCGAATACGCCCTCATCGACGCATTCATCCATACCAAACTTGTCTCGGTCACCTTACGCCGAACTAAGTTCCTAGGCGTTTGATTCACATTCGAGCCTGTCTCCATATTCTATCTACGCAACTTAAATCAAAAGACCTACCCTACACCTAGGGCCATACAGCCTACTCTAATAGCCTTACTACCACAATCAATAATCGCTCTTCGTTACACGACAGAACGCCCCCGAATTCATCCACATGTCGTTGTACTGCCCCGCTGTGCATCAACTAGACGGTGCCGCGAAGCGCAGTTGTCTCATGGCTTGGGTTCCCCAAAACGCGGGGCTGGCAACAGCAACAGCGTGAAGACGTGCGGGCGTTGAGTCAGATGAACGGACATTGTGATCATGCTAGCTGGTCCGCAAGGCTAGAGGCAACGTTCAGGAATCTAGGCTACCGCACTTCGTGAAGTCAGGTCTGGGCTGTGCAGGAAGTTGTGCTGAAGGTTAGCTTGCAAGTGCTCTGGTCCGAACACGATCCCAGAACATGCTTACGAGGGTTGTACCGCGTGGACGAAGCGATTTCGAGGTACTACCGTGACGTAGAACATGCTTTAGACATGGATGGGAGTGAAATTTAACGATCTCTTGAGATATGGTTATAGAGCGAAGAGACGAGATAGAGTCACTGCAGCGGTCAAGAGTACGGGACAACGCAGTCTTTTCAGTTGTTTAAAACGTTGAGAAAACGTTTCGGTTTGCTGCTTCGGTTAAAAATGAGGGGGGTTGGGTTCGACGGAGCATTCTTATGTATGGCGAAAGGGTAGAATGTGCTTAGGAAGCACGGGGATATTGATGTCTCCTGAATAGAATGAAGGTGGTCTGTAAGATTCATGAGGTAGAGTTACGTGGAAACTCCTGTTCATATTCTATGTCATACCCCAATGCAACCCATCTCATAAGTATGGAGTAACAAGTCAATAGATAAGACGAATTTCAAAGTTATTACATTGCTAAGCTATCTTTGAAATACACTTAAGATTCTACCCCTTCATAATGCGTAAAGAGTTCCATCAGTTAACCCTATGTCGTTTAGCCAGTCCAGACAGCGGGCCCGGGGGTCTTGTATGAAGTACCCTTGCCCTGGTAGATGTCGACCTGTATAATGCGTTAGCCTCCGAGCACATGGGACCAAAAGTAAAAAAAGCAAACCCAACTCACCATGATACCAGGGTCCGACTGCGCAGCATAAGCCGGAATCGAAGTAAGCAAGTCCACCGGCGGCGTCGCCGTGCCGGAGCCGGTGACAGTAATCTGCGCGCACTCGGGGTAGAACTGCGGCGTGTTCGCCTGGTGGAGGGCCAGCAGCTCGTGGCGGATGAGGTAGTTCCCGGGCTTCAAGCTTTCCGGGATCCGCGACGACCACTTCAGGTCCTTGTAGATGACGGCGGTGCCCCAGTTGTTGCTGTTGAGCACGTCGCCGGTCAGGCCCATCTCGTCGATCTTGAACCACTTCTTCGCCTTCCCGTCGCAGGAGGCGAAGGCGCCGTCGCAGGGGTACAGCCACACCATCACGGGCCCCTGCTGGTGCGTCCACTGCTTCCAGACGGCGGTCACGTTGGCCCCCGCCGCGACCTCGGCGGAGACGGGCGCGGAGGTCCCGCCGTTGCAGGTCATCAGGGCGTCGGTCACCGTCATGATCGGGTTGTAGTCTTTCCACTGCCGCTGGATCGTCTGCGCGCCGGCGACGGGCGAGAAGCCTTGGTACCCCTCGTACGCTTTGCCGCCGATCTCGTAGCTGGTCACGGCGCCGTGGGCGGCGGCGAGGGAGGGGGCGAGGAGGAGGAGGGGGAGGAGGGAGGGGAACATGTTGGATGGGGCTGGGCTAAGGTAAAAAAGTGCTGGATACTAGGATGGGGGCAAAGAAGCCAAAAAACTGAAAAGAAAGGCCTTGGCACCCGGGGAGGGGAGAGAGAGATGCGGTGGTATTTATGCTGATCGGGCGCTGGGCTGGAGGAGAGAGCTGGATTTCGTAGCAGGGTGTTGGGTGCTGGCGAGAGTAGGGTAGGGTAGGGTAGTGGCAGCGCAACATCGTAGATATATCTAGGATTCTATTTTCAATATATCCTTAGGTTGTTTAATTTCTATATCCATCCTCTGTAGGTAAGTGGGCAACGGCATATGCGCGATCCGATATGTGATGCTTGGGGGGATTACCTCACCCAGGCCAAATAATTTCTAAGCGTGTAGAGGGAGGAAGGGAAGGGAAAGGGGGGGGGGGCTACCATATTCGACCCCTTCCCGCGACGTAGCGACATGAGAGCAGAAACCGAGAGAAGCCAAAGATCTAAGATCCGGTCAAGCGGACCGATACGTAGGAAGGCACCTAGTCAGACTTCCGGGCCAAAGCATCTCAACGACTGGGCCTCCGATAATACCTCCCTACCTAGTGCTTAGTCGACATTTTAGAACTCTCTCGCTCGGTGAAATATAGCAAGCGTGTCCCTCAAATCTACAAATCTCTCTAACCTATATGAACTCTCAATCAGGTGGTGTGGCTCTGGAGGCAAGCTGATTGGGGCGGCCGACGAAAACGAGGCGGACTCCTGACTCCCCACCTTCGCATTATGGGTTTGCATATATTCGGTGGTCTTGGGTCCGGGGAAGGTTTCATCGCAGCTCTACCTACATAGTAGATTCCTGCAAGTCTGTAAGGGGGTCGGCGTTATTAGTGTATAATGTGGTCATGCCTCAAATATAATGGGCAGCGTTGATGGAATGGCTTTAGGCTATATCCATAGGTTAAATTCGAGATATCTCGGATTCTTCCCCCCTAGTCTACTTGGTTGGATGCGGACTCGAGAGATTCCGGGGGAGCTTAGTAAAGGTATTCCTAATTATATTTCTAGAAAATGACTAGACAATAGCTGAATATCATGTGGACTAGAACTGTATAGTGATTTGGAATTCCCAAAATAGAGGGATGCTATTAACATTCATCCTGGTTGATGAATAATGCATCGTATTCTTCTAAACGACAAGTATGGATCTGGACTAAAACTTGTCCCTGGTATTCATACTCGATAAAATCACTTGGTGAGAAGCGTACTCATTCTGCTCGCAGGGATATTGATCTGTAGGCTAGGTAGGTAGGTTCTTGCTCTTCACGATAGTCCATCGACGAGGCGATGAACGCTAGGGTAGAAGCGCTTCTCGTCCCCGTTATTGCTTTAGCCTTGGGTCTTGGGCATGTGTAGCTTTGTGATATCGAGATTACAGGGACCCTTTCCTCGGCACCAGAGACTCAGTGGGTATTACGCAGTGAAGGATGAGATATGAGCAACACAGTCCGATGGATAACGGGGCACGACATTGACCCTTCATATAAAGTTTCCTGTATCGCTTTATCTAGTGTTAAGCATTTATGGGTATCCTACGTAAAATCATAAACCATTAAGCTCTCCCTTCCTTTCGACTCTTTCAAAACAATGACCATTTCGTCATCGAAGCCGACCCAATTCCGTCTATCGTCCCACTGAATCGGCGCTGCGTTATTGTCCGGGGCAGCATTTACATCGTCCCCTTCATCGGTTACGGGTTTCGAGGTTGGACGGACCTCAATACTCTTTCCATGTGCCCTACCCTCCAACTCCCAGACCCGAATCTCCTCGCCACGACAGCTGACGCTAACTGCTTTTCCACGAGCTGTAATCTCTGCGTCGCTGATGCCCGATGTGTGTCCCCATAGCCTGATGCCTGGAGATATAGAAAGGGAGGTGGCATTGGACGTGCAGAGATGTAGTATTAATGTGTTGTCCGGGAGAGTTGCAAGGAGGTAAGGATGGGTGTAGCATAGGTTAATAGGGCCATCAAGATCATTATCATCGTGAGCTGGAGAAGGCGTAGATGGGTTCATATGCTGGGCTGGAGACGCTGGTGGAGATGGGAAACGAGACGAGCTGGCTCGGATAGGTAATGTATAAGCTAACCGGGTGGCCGTGATATCTGGCGTGGTTTTTGATTTAGAGGTAGAAGGACGGAGGTGTAAATCTTGGATACCCAAGGACCACCCCTGAAGAGTGGAGAACGTGTAAGCTATGGATGCTATATTGCTTCCTGCTGTTTTTCGTATAGAAAGTGCTAGCGGCGCTCTAGAAGTATGTGACTTGAGAGATGTGAGAAGGTATGGTGCTTGCAGTGTTGTTTGTCTGGAGCCATGCGGCATCTTCGGCCTTGAAGGTCTCGGTCTCAACTCGGTCTCCAAATCATCTATGGCTTCGCACTCCGAACTTCGCTTGACTTGATTGGTAATTACTTCACTGTTGGATTTCACGACAGAAGCGCGATCTGTTTTGGGAGGCCCATCAAACGTGTATAAAGATATAACCACGGACTTGGTAGCGGTTAAAAGGTAGGGATAGGAGAAGGCGATCCCTATTAACTCCCCGTTGCTAGACTTCTCGTGACGATATCTTCGTAGCAGCGATTTACCTCGTACATTCAACTTCCACACACCAAAACTACCATCAACGAAACCAATAGCAATTTCCAAGATATGGCTTTTAAGCTCTTGGTCATCTATCGCAATGCAGCTCGGTGCAGGCTCAGAGTCGGCTTCACCTAATTCTGTCTGGGCTAGGAGCTCCCGAGTTTTTAAATTCCAAGCCCGTAGACCCGTTTCCGAATCTGCAGTTACTGCGATGCCCTCGGACACTTTGACGAGCATTTTATGTGACGGAATGGCCGAGGGTACTGATAACTCTCGCCCAAGGGGTAACTCTTCCACGGCGCATTTTCCTCTGGACCAGTTATGTCGCAGCTTGTATTGCTTCTTCCAGTCTCTCTCTCGATCTTCTAAGTTGCCAACATGCATGTCTACCCAGCCCCCTCTTCTCCCGTCCGCCCATACTGCTTTGCGAGACGAATAATGCAGCTTCCCTTCTCTGGCTGAACCATCACGGAATCCAGGTATGCGAAGGGCGCGCGGGAGAACGAAGCGCGAATAATATAAGCGTTTCCATATTTGCGAGTCGCCGAATAAACCGTAGAAGTGTCGTGACACTGGCGCAATATTTAAGAGGTCTGGGAGGGGTAGAAAGGTGAGTATGCGAACAAGGAGTTCGTCGGATAATGGTGATAGCAAATCTAGAGACACGGTGTGGCGGGGTTTTTTGGTTATCGTTGACCTGGACGCGTCGTCGGCTTCGGTCCGTTTTCGCTTGTATGTCATCTTGGGTTTACTACTTGCTCGAATTCGAGTATTTGATCCAGCCCGAGAGCAATACAATTGATATGACAGTTAGTAGTCGAGTCGCCGGTGTTAGATAGCCGATACTAAGACCAAGACTAGGTGAATGCCATTTCAATATGAAGTTGTATGGAAGTGGGAGGAGCGGGAAGAATCGCATTGGTGCATTGAAGATGGGAATTCGGCGTTACTCTGTACGACATCGGATTTAAACTTTACCATCTTGGTTGACTTGCCCGCTTACGTAACGGGTACCTAGTAGTTACTAGGTAGTAGGTACTAGGTACATATGTAGCCAACATTAGTCCGATAAATGTACTTCGTACCTCTCATTCATTTCCAAGTTCCAACAAAGTTCAAGGTCAATTCTTCAACTTTAAACATTAACATGAACATCAATGATGCTGCTACTATGCATGTCCATATAACTTTGAATATATTCAGGATATGTCGTATATATAATGTCCCCTAACCCTCAATCCTGATATCAATGACTCGTCGTACATATACCACGCTAAATAGTAGTTATCCGTACGCTAACGCAGTAGATATAACGTCGAAGTTGTAATATCCATGGATGGCTATCATATATTGCCAAGATGCCAATTGAAACGACAAATTCTATTCTGAAAAAGTGATGGCCGATCCAATGACTACTAGATAGTAAAGCATGGGACAGCCTGGATTCGAAACTGACTGACATTAGTTAGAAACATCTGGGACCATCGCATATCCATGCTCGGGATCCGCGGGAGCCGACGTTCCAATAGACAGCAAACGCTGTGGATGGTTGGCCGCCTAAATTTAGAGATTCATCAATCATCACCTTATTAAGATACTATAAGCACGAGAATGAATAGAAGATAGTCAAAAGCTACCAATTCTTCTTATATGCCAACAAGAAAATCAGGGCATTTATCATCATGGAGCCCGACACGCCCGAAGACCGTCCCGGGTCTCCGCTTCGGCGAGCTGTAAGTCTATCTCCGACCCAAATCCGAGAATCCGGCCTCCGTCGGGACCCGTCACGCCTTGGATCTACCTTGACTATCGTTATATCGAGAACATTTAACTGAATAAAAGCATCCTTATTGAACTAGTGTGACCAATGTAGACTTAGAAAGGTAAGGAGCCCTGCTACTGGCCCCCGTTTAAGTCATTACTTAGTATCTACTGACCCCGATTGATAGATACGGTGTAACAAGGAATACCCGTGCTCCAACTGCCGAAGTGCTAGACGATCATGTAGTTCTACTGGTGTTGGCCAGAAACCAAAGGAGCCACGGCAACGTGTACTCATATCTAGCCAATAGTGAGCATGCTACCTATACCTAAAGTAACGAAAGGGTGCCGTCCATGGGTACTAACCCCTTTTCAGTGAGAGGAAGATCGATTTGATCGAGGAGCGGCTTGGTGGTATCGAGACTCTCTTACGGAACTTGAGCCCCATCTCATCATCAACATCTCCATCCACCGCAGAGGCTTCTACGCGACGGTCTGCCAATAAGTCAACCTCCTGGTCGCCAAACCGCCAAGACGATGCATCAAGCACCGTCTTCGACCCAGAGGATGTTGGTGACTTCGAAGGTAACTCGTCTATGGCAGCGCACACGGCCTTCGCAAGCGAGTTCCTCGAGAATGCCGTGCAGAGCACCCCGCTCCAGTTACAGGGCGTCAGCAGCAAGATGGACGCTGCCCTGTCATCGTTGCGGCATCTGGTTAACATGCAAGAGAACCGGCGCGCCGTCTCATCCTTCCACGAGTTTCGCTTACAGGGTCAGAAACAATCGTCTAAAGCTACATTGCGGGACTTGCCGTTACCTCCTATGACTCTTGTGGCGGAGAAGCTTAAGGAGATGAAATGTACGAGGTTATCTTGCCTTGACTATTGCTTTATTACCCCTTTTTTATTCATTGACTGTTGGGAGACATGCTGTAACCATAGCTCACTAACCTTTAGTCGCAGTTGGGCCGCTTCCCGTGATGCTCGCCGTGATCTATTCCTTCATTGACATGGAACACTTCATCAACCAATGTCGCCGGGTATATTTCAATATGGACGACATCACCGATGCAACTTTCATCTACGTCATGTCCGGGCTCGCATATCTCTTTTTAGACTGTGGGCTAACCTCGAAGACTCCTGAGGAGAGAGCTCAATACGACTCGTATTGTCGGATGTGTCAGAAGAACCTGGAGACTGTGTTGTCGCAAGTCAAATTACTCATGCCAGTTACGATGGAAAGTCTCGAAGCCTTGCTTATGGCGGTAAGTCTTCGACCCCCTTTTATGCTTACGTGGTATGGAGGATACATAGAAGCCTGGTCAGGTAAAAAACCTGGGCTCGACGTTGGCTGATATAACTAATTTAACAGGCCAGCTTCTCGATTGACGTCTCACGGCCATCACTAGCATGGTTGTTAGTATCCATGGCGGCGCATATGTGTCGAACCCTTGGTCTTCACCAAGTCCACTCTATGAAGGGCGATACACTGCAAAAAAAGGCCGATAAATCACTTCTATTCTGGTGTACGTATATGCTAGACAAAGGACTCTCGCTCCGACTAGGGCGCGCGTCTATCCTACAAGACTACGACATCTCGCTGCCGCATATCGTGCCCGAGGCCAAGGTTGAATATCCTGGCACGGAGATCATGACACTGTGGATCAAGCATGCGCAGATCCAAGGCCGCGTATACGAGCGTCTATATAGCCCAGGCGCTCTGCGACAGCCCGACATGTACCGTGTCGAACAAGTAGGCATCCTGGCTACGGAGCAGAGACGCATCATGGAAGAAAGCCTGGTGCTCTTTAACGAGTTTAATGACTCTACCCTACCCGATAGGAATACTTTCGCCATCGAGCTCAAGTCTGATCACGTCTCGCACTTATCCTCGCTGGCGCTCATTTACCGCGCCTTGCCCCCCAACGGCCCGCGTTCCCGCACATTCTCCGACGAGTGTGTCGACGCTGCCCGGGCGGCCATGTTATGCCATCAAGAGGCGATGGAGATGATGCACGACCAGTCGCTGAAGATTGTGTACATCCACTGGTGAGATCTCTCCTCCCCCTTCTCTCCCTCCATCTTCCTCCCCAACCCCCTCTTCAACATCTCCTAACCGACACTTTGCAAAACAGGACAATCCTCTACGCCCCCTTCATCCCCTTCATCGTGATCTTCTGCCTCGTGATCGAGACCTCCAGCGCCGACGACCTCAAAGGGCTCGCCGACTTCGTGCACTCCCTCGAGGCCGCCACCGAGCTCTCCCACTCCATCAACAAGCTGCACCAGCTGTGCGAGGTCCTGTACAACGTCGCGCAGCTGTACGTCGAGGCCAAGGCCCAGCAGCCCCTTGACCAGGATATGGTCCCCGTGGGTAACGAGTTCAATATGTATCTTAGTCAGTTGGGGTTCATGCCCATGGATGAGGGCGCGGCGGCTGGGCTAGCGGGTTTTGAGGTGGGCGATGGTGGTGGTGGAGGAGGAGGAGGGGATGGTAGTGGTGGGGTTCATGGTGCCGATGATGACGCGAGTAGGTCTATGGCGCAGACGACGCAGCTCGGCGACTGGTTCTCGGGGAACAATCATATGCTGGGGATGCTGGAGGAGGATCTCTCGGGGATTAATCCCTCGGGGTGGCCGTCGTGAGCGGAGTCCCGAGGCAGGCTTGGACATAGATCGCATGGTAAGGTATATACATCCTAGATTGTTTAGAGCAGCAGTCCAAGGCTAGGAGGCTGTACTAATGAGGTTGAGTGTACATAATCGCAAGTATCTCACCATCTGGTACTACATATGTAGATGAGTATAACCGGCGCTCGCTACTCTCATTGAAAGCCATATGCCTGGGTTAGGTAGGTAGGTATTCATAATAGACTGTTGGAAGTTGGTGAATCGATATACTCTTCAATATTGTTTATCTGAGGATGCATATGAGCATCCCCAGCACGTGAACAAAAAGCATAACGTCAAGAGATAATGAACTTTTTTTTTTGAATTTACTTTCCATGTAGTCATCCGAAGAATTGCTTAGTCTCAAGCCACGGATATATCTTCTAGCCGATGACTAAAGTGCCAACACCGTATATATACACACCTACACACCTACACACACACGCAGTCACTCGTTCATAACCGCACAATGCCCCGCTCCTTGCCAAACCACATGATGTAAGCTGGGCAATGGTTCGAGCTAGGTACATCGTGATACAGCTAGACATATCGCACTATATATAATTCCTTGAACTGTCTTGAATTGCATTGGATTGTATTTGTTCTTTGTCATTTTTACGAACTGTCTCTGCCAGCGGCGCGTTCGGCCTCGAGCTCCTGCTCGGCGCGGACGTAGTACTTGGCGGTGTCGATGCCGTGCTGGGAGTGGTTGACGAAGTTGAACCAGGGGAGGGCGGCGAAGAAGAGGGCCGAGTAGCGCGACTGGCGCGCGGCGACGCCCTGCAGGTGTGGCGACAGCTTGCTCTCGCCGTACAGCGGCTCCCCGGCTTTCACTTTCGCCACCATCTCCTGCATGTCCAGCTCCACCTCGCGCGCGTTCTCTGACATGCCGTAGAAGCGTACTGTATGTGGGGGGTTAGTGATGTGGTTAGCTGCCTTCCTAGATAGACTAGGGATAGACGGCGGGCGAGTGGGAACGTACGGCACGATCGTTGGTAGAAGTAGAGGAACCCGCCTATGGCGCCGATCACGCCGGCGAGGCGCATCGCTCGGGCGAAGCCACCGCGGCCTACTTGAGACGGCGCAAACTTCTCCATCGTCCATAGGAGACCCGGACCTCCGGCTGCGGCGATGGTGCCGTGGAGGTAGTCTGATGGTCGGGCATAGCCTACTACTCTCTTGAAATGTCTTGAAGTGTCGTCGTTTGTTAGTCATGCTAAGTCCTAGTATGTGTACACCTAGGGTAAATAAATCGAAGCGGTTACGTACGGGTCATTATCGATGAGCTATATTGTCACTATCTATTAGCATTATCTTCCATCTTATATCTCTCTACCTTACAGACCCGCTGGGAAAGAGAGCAATTGATTTGTGATGACATACAGGAAAGTCGGTCTTGATGACCCTGCTGGGAATATAGGTCTGCTGTGGAGGGTTCGCCATGGTCGCGGAAGACTGCCCAGCAAGCTTCGATGTATTCCGGTTCCCGTTTTATTTCAGTTTCAACTGATAAATGATGGACAATTGATAATTGAAATTCAAAGCTTCCGAATCGCCAAGTTCCATCGTTTGGATGATGTAAGCGGCATTTCTTCGGTTATCATAATCATAAACATATGTACTTCACTAAGTGGGGGCTATGGTGGTGCTATGACCACCTTAAATCTTGACCATCAGCCCAATTGAATTCAATCTATTTCGAACCAGGGTCTATGGTGGTAACCCCACGTTAAGTCGCGTCTTTGGATTATTTGACGCGACTTAATTCATTAATTACTTCCCGAGCTCATCTACCAGCACATGTAACAGTTCAACATTTACGGAGGCCTTGGCGATAAAAGCTACAGCAACAATGGCGCCCATAGCAGATAGCGGCAATTCGGCATCGAAGAGACCACTAAATAACGATAGCATTGATGATTACGACGTCGATGATGACCCTTTCGCCCAGTTAGGGATTGGAGCTACGAACAATGAGCCACAGTCCAAAAAGCGGAAAGACGCTACAGGCCTAGGAATTGACGAGGCCGTAGCTGTCCAAAAGAAACCAAGAGCACCTAATGTGAAGCTAGACGAGAGTCGTCTATTATCGGCGAAGGGCATACCGAGGTTGCGACGAAAGGCATGCGATTTGAAGTTTAAAGGAAAAGGCCACGAAGTAGGAATTCCTCTCTTTACTTTCTCGCTTACGAAACAGTCGCCTACGCTACGTGGAAGAAGAACTAACAGCTATATAGTTCTCAGACACAGCTAGACTTCTCTCATTCTACCAATTATGGTTCGATGACCTCTTCCCGAAGGCGAAATTCCTAGATGCTGCAGCCATGGCGGAGAAAGCGGGCCACAAGAAGTACATGCGCATGAAGCGAATGGAGTGGATTGACGAAGGAAAACCTAAACTTACATCGGTTGAGGACTACTACGAAGATCTCTTTGGCGAGCCCAACAACGCACCCGAGGAACGTGCGCCTGCAGTGTTCCCCGCAAAGCTTGCGCCCATATTCCAGGACAGCGAGAGGGCTAAGACACCAGCCCGAGATGATGTGCCCGACGATGAAGATTTGTATGGTGCCACGCCGATTGCTACCAGGACTAAACAACCCGAAAGCACGTCGCTGTTTGGAGGTGCAGATAATGCGGCGAGACCTGCAAATACATCACTGTTTGGAAATGGAGCCAATACGTCTCACAATGATGAACCAGACGAGGACGACCTCGATGCGCTGATGGCCGAGGAGGAAGCACAACGAACGAAACCGCCTGCTCCTCTTTTCGGCAATGGGGGAAATAATATGTCACAGGATGAGCCAGATGAAGACGATCTGGATGCGTTAATGGCCGAGGCCGAGGCTGAAGCAGCGCCGAAAGCTCCAAGTAACGGGTTTGATGTTGCGCCGAAACTGGCCCAGACTGTTGAGAATGAGGAGGACGACCTGGATGCTTTGATGGCGGAAGCGGAAGCAGAGGATCAAGGTCAGAATCAAGCAAAACAAGCTAGTGACGAAACAAGTCGGAACCAAGAGAAAGCACCAGGCAAGCCAGAAAATGTAGCAGATATGGATGAGGAAGAGGCCATGGCTGAAATGGATGGTCTCTGGTGATGACTAGGTAATACTGGATGCCTAGACTTGACGCGACGACGTAATGAACTAATGGATATACCTGACAACCAGGCACCTAAAATGTAATTTTTAATGCTTCTTTGTGACTTGTGCCAACATTGTATGCTGTTCATGATTTCTACAATATATTTCTTGATAACTTCAATCGAGGCATATATCGTTTACGTACCTACCCTAGGTAACTACCTAACCTAGTACTGTGTAGTAATCCTTATCGATAACAAACAGCTCCAAACATCCCACTTCGGGCTGGCATTTAATACTAAATGGTACTTCGATACAACGTCATTTGACAGCTACAACATTGAATTTCACATCTTGTCAGCTTCTATAACTGTTACTAGTACCTTACCTTGTTTCGAACTTGCCGGTTCGAAGTAATCATGGCGTCTCCTGACCTGGTTGAAGCTATACAAAAGCTTCATATCAGTAATAATGGAGACGATACCAACATCGATGACATATTATTCCAACAAGGCCCACGCAAGAAACTGAAGCAGGATCCAATCGCTCTTAAAGCAGAGCTTGAGCAAAAATACCTGACTCCCTCCAATAAGTTCTCTGTCGAATGGCTTAACCGTTTGCAGCAGAGATGGGACTCCCCTACAGATGTTACTGAGCTATTTCGTATGGCACCAACGCAGACCCGAACCATCACACGTTTCCAACGACAGGGCCTTGAAGGCAGAGTAACCGGATATAAGAATGTCACTATACCTGCAAATAGTGCCACTGCGAAGAACTCTACATCCTTGATGCGCAAGCCCGGCGGCCGTGCTGACTTTGTGCGAGGAGCTGCCGGTTTCTTCCCCTTTGCGCCTGGTGGCTTGGATGGAGTCGAGGCTACTGCCGCACTTGAGGATCAGATGGTACGTCCTGACGTTGGCGCTAGCAACAAGTTGGAGCGCGTTATCACACTTGGTGCCGAAGGTGGAATTCTCGAAATAGCTCCTGGCATGGAAAGAGGCATTTACTTCAACAAGAAGAAATCCCAGGCCCACGAGAAAGAAGCAAAGGCGACTGAAGATGAACTTAACCAGGAACCTGAGCAAGGACCCGAGAATGCGGATGCCGATACCCATGCAACTACTAATGCCGTCGAGGAAGAGCAAGACGAGGAGAGTGAAGATATTGACACGCTCTTGCCAGTCGAGTTCCCAGCCTTGGAACCACATGGCAATCTTGCGGTATCTAGTGCGAGAAAGGCTGGCCGAGAATGGGCTCACATGGTAGACATTAATAGGGGCATCCCTAATTTCAGAGAGCTTGTCCCCGACATGGCCAGAGAATGGCCATTTGAGCTTGACACCTTCCAGAAGGAGGCCATTTATCATCTTGAGAGTGGCGACTCGGTCTTTGTCGCTGCACATACATCAGCTGGAAAGACGGTCGTGGCTGAGTATGCAATCGCATTAGCCGTCAGACATATGACCAAGGCCATTTATACCTCGCCTATCAAAGCTTTGAGCAACCAGAAATTCCGCGATTTCCGACAAACTTTTGACGAAGTTGGTATCTTAACGGGCGATGTTCAAATCAACCCTGAGGCGAGCTGTATAATTATGACTACCGAGATTCTCAGGAGTATGCTATACAGAGGTGCTGATCTAATCCGAGACGTGGAATTTGTCATTTTTGATGAGGTTCATTATGTCAACGATTTAGAGCGTGGTGTGGTATGGGAAGAAGTCATCATCATGCTTCCCGAGCATGTTTCACTTATTCTCCTCTCTGCCACTGTTCCCAACACGTACGAATTTGCCTCATGGGTTGGTAGGACCAAGAAAAAGGATATATACGTCATCTCCACGCCAAAACGACCAGTCCCCTTGGAACATTTCTTATGGGCCGGCAAGAACATCCATAAGATAGTGGACAGTGAGAAGAGATTCATAGAAAAGGGATGGAAAGAGGCCGATCAGGCACTGCGTGGAAAAGACAAGGTACTTGCAGCACCAGCTACTAGAGGAGGTAACAATCAACGAGGAAACCCTAGAGGAGGGCCTCAGCGCGGCGGTCAGCAACGCGGTGGTCAACGCGGAGGTGGCCAGCAGAGGGGCAGGGGAGGACCTCCTAGAGCTGGCCATGCGCCTGGTCATATGGGCCGTGCAGGAAGACCAGGTGGTTTTACCTCAGTTAACCAAGACAAGAACCTCTGGGTTCATCTTGTACAGTTCTTGAAAAAGAACAATCTACTGCCCGCTTGCATATTCGTCTTTTCCAAGAAGAGATGCGAAGAGAACGCAGATGCGTTAAGCAACCAAGACTTTTGCACAGCCCAAGAAAAGAGCCACATTCATATGATCATTCAGAGGTCAATCGCTCGTTTACGACCCGAGGACCGGATTCTTCCACAGATAGTCCGTATGCGTGAGCTTTTGGCTCGGGGTATTGCCGTGCATCATGGTGGCCTCCTGCCGATTGTCAAGGAAATCGTTGAGCTCCTGTTTGCCCAGACACTGGTCAAGGTTCTTTTCGCAACGGAAACCTTTGCTATGGGCCTCAACTTACCAACCAGAACTGTTGTGTTCTCCGGCTACCGAAAGCACGATGGTCATTCATTCCGAAATCTCCTTCCGGGAGAATACACTCAGATGGCTGGCCGAGCTGGCCGTCGCGGACTTGACCCGGTTGGGTCCGTGATCATTGTGCCTCCAGGTGGCGGAGATGAGGCACCGCCCGTAGTCGATCTACAGAAGATGATACTAGATCCACCTAGCAAGTTGCGATCTCAGTTCAGATTGACTTACAACATGATTCTGAACCTACTAAGAGTGGAAGCTCTGAAGATCGAAGAGATGATTAAGCGCAGCTTCTCCGAACATGCCACTCAGCAGTTACTCCCGGAGCATGAGAAGGCTGTGAGGGTATCGGAGGCTGATTTGGCCAAAGTGAAGCGAGAGTCCTGCACAATCTGCGACGAATCCCTAGAACAATGTCACCAAGCTGCGATGAATTACAAGCAGTTGACACAGGAACTTTACAAGAGTCTTCTCACTATACCTATCGGCAAGAAGCTTTTCACACAGTCACGGCTCATCGTATGGAACAAGGATGGAGTACGAACTCCAGGAATCCTCTTGTCAACCGGTGTTAGCACCAAGACAGCGAGCGGCCAGCCAACGCTTCACGTGTTTGAGATCCGAACCGACCGCGAAACTCGCAATTCAACAGATCTACTACCTTTTGTCCACACATTCCGAAATCTATTCACGCCTCTTCCCCGTAACAAGAGAAATATATCTGCGAAGCCTGTTCACGTACAACTTAGTGACATCGAGTGCCTTACCGGCAAAGTCACTACCGGGATCGTGCCTGACTACTTCGACCATGGAGAAGGGCGTTCGAGAGCAAGAGACATCATGCTGGACATCTGCAGAACGTGGGAGTCAGATATATGGAATGAGGTTAGCCTTACCAAGATCAAGAATCTGCCGATACAGGAGATTATTGAGAAGCGAAGACAAGAGGAGGCGATAATCAAAAATACCGCGACTACGTTCTGCGGTAATTTCTTGAAACATGTAAGTCTTTCTGATTTGTGTACAGTCCAGTATACTTCCATTATCATTGTGGTTAATATGCTGACTTCAACTCTAGTTCGCAATGTGCCATGATCAGTGGCTTATTAAGGAGCACATTTTGTCGCTTCGGTCTGCTCTTGCAGATCAGAACCTCCAATTGCTACCAGACTACGAACAACGTATTCAAGTTCTCAAAGACCTTTCTTTCATCGACGCCGATTCCCGCATCCAGCTCAAGGGCAAGGTAGCTTGCGAAATCCACTCAGCCGATGAGTTAGTCCTCACGGAGCTAATCCTCGACAACGTACTCGCGGATTACGAACCAGCTGAGATTGCTGCCCTGCTCTCGGCCTTCGTGTTCCAGGAGAAGACAGAATCAATACCAAATCTAACTGGCAGTTTGGAGCGCGGGATGAAGACCATCATCGAGATCAGCGAAAAGGTCAACACGGTGCAGACGGAGCACCAGGTGATCCAAAGTACAGAAGACAGCAACGACTTCGTATCGCGCCCACGCTTCGGTCTCATGGAAGTCGTGTACGAGTGGGCACGCGGCATGAGCTTCAAGAATATCACGGATCTGACGGATGTGCTGGAGGGCACCATTGTGAGAACTATTACGAGACTGGACGAGACGTGTCGGGAGGTCAAGAACGCGGCGAGGATCATCGGAGATCCGGAGCTGTATCAGAAGATGCAGACGGCGCAGGAGATGATCAAGAGGGATATTACGGCTGTGGCTAGCTTGTACATGTAAGGGGGTTTGACCTTACTTTACTTTATGTCTACCTGGCGAGGGACAATTTTGGAACGGGACGGGAAAACGGTATATGAGGTATGTTCGAAGTGGAGTCTCTAATTCTCTTGTTACAATGTTTGAAGGCAAGAGTATCATCGAGAAGATAAAATGGCGCGGCGTAGTAATGTGGTAACGATGATGATTAAGTACCAAGGTTAGGTGTTATAACGATAGTTAGATCCTAACCTGGTGCTGTTAAAGCTATTACTTAGGCATATTAAATATTAAGTATACCTAGTATATGATTTTGGCGGCATTTGTGTGGTGTGACGCAAAAGGGTCAGTTCTCGTAGTGTGTGGAAAAAGGTGTCAAGGCTTCTGGCTTTGGAACCAATATTCGCATCTATCAATACCTACCTAGGTACCTACCCAGGTACGTAGGTATACTACAGCGAGCGTTTGGACTTTGCGACTCATCTTGTAAGATAGGTATTGTATTCCTTTTCAAGATCAATTCGTTGGAGTTTGGGCATAGAAGGAGTAGAAGGAGCACGAGTAGGTAAGTAGTGTTGCACCTCATAAGAATCCCCTTATGATCAAACCACCGCATATATGATGTTGACTTGAATTATTCTACATTTTGAGATACACTCGTCGCTATCCACAATGGACTCGATAATAGATGTGCTAACCTTGAGCTTCCTGTGGTGGAGGCACTGGTGGCAATACTCCTTGCGCCCTGTTACATTATTCGTAGACGAACATCGTCACAAGATAAGTCAAACCACCCAATACCCAGCCATTAACTACAGAATTTGCCATCCGCCGTCTATCATCTAATGATACTCTCAGTGAATCAGAATGCGGGCTAAATATTTTGAGCAGCCAAAGCCCCATACACCTTCAAGATTCATGGAGTATTTTATGCATGAATCATAAAAGCTATCTATACTCACATTACATCAAGGCATAGGTCTAGAAGGACGTCGTCGTGAGAGATTACTCAGTCATACAATAGCGGAGCCAGTTCGTGAGGGGCTTTGCAATTCAGTTGTAGACGAGGAATACAGAAGCCATAGGAATAGACGCTGGTGAACCCCCTATCTTGGCTACGGACGTGACAGTACGATCGGACTGCTCCAGCGCATTTAGAAGTCGCTTCAGAGTCAGGATAGAAACAGGCTTAGGGAAAGAGTGTCAGACAGCAGAACCCAACTCTAGTTGCTGCCACATAACTCATCAAGCTCGCCCATCTTGACACATACCTACCTATCTAAAGCACACCAGTTCACATAGGAACATCTTCATAATCTGGGGAGGAAAACCTAGAGATACCATACCCATGACTAAGTAGTTTTTGCCCGAACCCCCTTGACGCGTGTAGAACGGCGGAGCCGTGTCCCACATCGGCGGTGCCATTTATTTATCGCGGGGGGGGGGGGGGCGGGAAGGAGATGAGATTCAAAAGGGGCCGCAATTCAGATAGCCCCAAACTCTAAAATGAATATTAAATTGGGAATTTAAACTGGAACAGAATATTCTATAGAAGGCCCATTTCAGACTGCTGACTACGTCTCCTATAGAACTTCGTCTCAGATCTCGGGTCTGGGCCGAGGGTTGGTTCCAGAGCTAGGTTAGGGTTATTCGTTCACGGGGAAGGCCTTAACCGTCGCCCTTTTGATGACTCAATGATTCCCACAAATAACCGCCTCGGTGCTTCCGGTGATCTGGGAAATATGAAACGGTAAACATCGTTCGAGAATTACTGAGTCTTGCTGGGCTATCCTTTGCTGGAGAGTTGGTGGTGTGTTGGAGAACCTTGGGTAACTAATTATTCTTGACTCGTAAGAATTCAAGGAAGACTGATCGGAGGGGGGTTCTGACGAGAGAGTATACTGACTCGTAATACATAAGTGCCCGCCTTGGTGCACAGCTGGCAGCAGTTATGCAGGGTATTTCCAACGAGAATGGAAAGAAAGTTTCATGATTCGAACTAATCATCTGGCAGCACCCTAGTCATCCATTCACCATCTATGAGGTATTAGTCTATGCTGTTGACAGAATCACGGCCTATCCGTTGTATTCAAGCCAGGGATTGGAAAGCACTAAAAACAGACAGATGTATGGCAGATGGCCTAATGTCTTTCGAGTATATATAGTCCCCCCTTCCGATGCTCTTCTTCCCTCTTTTTTGTTTCTTATTCACATCAAGTAGCTGGTCATTCATTATACCAACTTTCAACTACAACCTCAACTGACTTTCATTCTCTAAGTCCTTTGAGATATCACAACAATTAACATCACTCTCTCGATATACTTGTCTTGCTTTTTACATTCCTTAGGAAAAGCCTGACATTAAAATCACCCTACTACCACTTATTCTTTATCATCGTAACAAACTCGATCGTGAAGAATTACCACTCCCTCAAACCAACCAACCAACTTGATAACTATTTTGTGTTAACTAACACTATACACCACCACACAAATCAAGACTTAAAGATTTTCTCAAATATCAACAACAAAATGTTCTCTCTCACTCACTTCATCGTCCTGCTATTCTGCACGCTCGGCAGCGTCGTCCTCGCCTTCGACGGCGATCTCACCTACTACCAGCCGGGTCTCGGCTCCTGCGGCGAGACCAGCTCGGACTCCGACAGAGTGGTCGCGCTCGCCCCCGGCCAGTTCGAGAGCACGCCCGACGCCTGCGGCAAGATGATCCAGATCACGAAGGGGGATCTCAACGCGACCGCCAAGGTCGTCGACAAGTGTCCCGTCTGCACCCTCGGCTCCATCGACGTCTCGTCCACCGTCTTCCAGGAGATCGCCCCCCTGTCCGCTGGCCGCGTACAAATCACTTGGGAATACATGTAAAAAATGTAAAGCCTTTTCCTCTCTTCAATAACAGGATTAGAAAACCCAAACGCTCTTTTTTCTTTTTCTCTCAGAAGGCTTCAACTACTTCGCCTTACATGAAACAACATTCCTTCGCGCGGCCTCCGGGGGGGGCTTGTAGATGTGCTCTAGTACTCACTTAAAACCTACTGCACTATATCTACCACACTCTCACTGAAATGGACCCGAACTCGGAAACCAGACGCAATACATTACATGTAGAACTACACTATAGTACATACACACACACAGAGATCTCCTCACCGTGCTGGGCATGGGAAAATCAGGAATCTTGTACAAACACCACATCAACAAATATTAACGCAGGGACGACAAAGCACACATGAGAGGACAAAGTCAAGATGTATCCAAATGTATATTTTGAGATCACACTGGCCAAAAAAGTCCGTTTGATTTTATCTTAAGGGAGGTGTTTGGGTTAACCAAAAAAAAACATTCACTACTATATAAATCAGAAATTAGAATATACACAATACAACGCACGCCAAGTGCTATTGTGGTATCAAATAACTACCTCTTTCGCTTTCGTATCTTGCTGTGACTGCGGTGATGTATAATTCTGTAGAATCTAGTTCATATACTGGGACCATTGTCACACATCTTCCTACAAGTAGTTACTTCTCAGGTAAGTTTTAATATAAGATGAAGGTATCGCTATAGTTATCAATAACTAACTTACACTTCACACACACGTAGCCCCTAAACCCCCCATTCCCCAAACGTCCGCACAAACACCCTTAACTCCCGGACTAACAAACTACCAGCCTAAACCCATCCTTTCCATCCCAGTCCCTAGCCAATTTCTTTTTCTTCTTCCATGAGTGGATAACTAGTTATCAACCGAAATTTTTTTTCAATCAACCTGACTAAGTATGTATGTAACTGAAAAACCATCCCGTATATACCGCAATAACCGGCCCCTAATTCATCCAAAGCAAAAAAAAAAAAAAAGCATCTATCGATCTACAACTTGAGCTCGCCCGGTTAGCTCAATCGGTAGAGCGTGAGACTCTTAATCTCAAGGTTGCGGGTTCGACCCCCGCATCGGGCTCAATTCCTGATGATGATTCATTTCAAATCAACCATTTATTTTTTGTTTCTTTTTTCTTTGGTAAAAACTTGTTTTTTTTGGCGTCCTACAATTTGTAGGTACATAACTATGTACATAGGTTGAGTGGTGGTGGGTGGGTCCGCAAGCTTCATGATCAACAGGGGTCAACGAAAAAAAAAAAGAAAAAAGGAAAAACCACCAACCGTCGCGTCGCAAGAAGAATTACCCTCTTTTTACTTCTTGCGACAGTCGCTTTTCGAGATCACGAAAACAAGTCAAGAAACATAAATGTATAGGTAGATATATCATGCATTTCATTACTGATGGTACAATCTAGGTAGTACTTGAACCGTATCCCATAGCCGAGTCATATGTGATCACCTGGATCCGATCCTGAATATGCCCTCACGATGCCCTGCCGGTCACAAATAACCAAATTACATATCATAAATGTTAATAAACGTTTGATTGTCTTCTCATTTCATAGCGCATAGTGGTGGTACATAACCCATCTTCTATGCCCAAATATAAAACCTATTGGCATCATTGCAACCGCTCCTGTGACGCCCGCCAGTTGGCCCCCCCCGATATCCATTTGGCTCCGGAACTCCATTATGGGGAAAGTCGTATCCGCTTTCCACTGTCCAGTTCCGTTACCTCTCTACTCCTTTTTAATGATGTCACTGATAATACAAAATTCTGGGTTGGTGTCTGTTCTGGTAGGACGCTTGATCCAGGTCGGGAACTTGGCGATGATGAGGCTATAGTCGCCCCTCTCGATAATAATTCTAATTTCCGTTCTTCGATTTGGATTGCCCATAGTAGTGTGAGCAATACCTCTCGAGACGGTAAGCTGGTGCCCTCTGGCCACGTCTGCGGTCCACGGCTACGATCTCCCTTGATACCCGGGGATCCAAGTGCCAGCTCCTCGACCTGATCATCGCCTCCCTTCTTAGACACCAACCGCAATAACTCCATCGTCGCATCCTTTAGAGGACGCGCCAAGATGGGGCTGCTGGTTAAGAGTTTCTGAAGAGATTTGATTCTCAGAGTCGAAGAGGCTGAAAACTGGGTCCGGGTGTTCTTGGGCGACCGAGTCGCTTCCCGCGGTCGCGCCCTGAGCTGCGCCGCTAGCGTCGTCGGTGCTGAGGAACTGGTCGAAGTCGAAGTCCGGAAATTGGGGGGTCGAGTTACCAGCCAGATTATTGTACTCAAAATTGAGGGGGTCGGATGTAGGACTAAATTGGCCTTGAGCGCCCCACGAATCAATGTCAAAGGTTGCCGAAAGGCTGAAAGCATCACCGAAGAGGCTGTCAGCAGCATCTGAAGCTGCAGGAAGAGTGACAGTGCTAGAGGAGACGGTTGTTGCGAGGCCTTCCACGACTGAGGCACCTCCACCGACGGACACTGCAGGTCGCACAACACCGCTGCTGGATGTTGTATCTCGTCGGAGGTGGTAGCCACAGGGGTGGGGGTCATCACAACGTCTTCGGTGGCTGACGTGGGGGCATTGTCATCAGGGACAGGAGTGAGTTCGGGGGAAAGGGATGCAGGGTCGACGGTACCGTCCTGCTCCGGCATGAGGATGAAATCATTCATCATCCCGGGTTTGGCCTGAGCCGAGCCATCTTTTGATGAACCAAAAAGCGGCTGAGAAAGGGTAAGGGGAGAGGGCTGTAATCCATCAAGTGGAGATGAGCTGCGGCTAACACCGGAGCCTTGTCGGATTTTATTTAATTCATCCATCAACATTTCATTCGTCTTCTGCTGGTTTCGTAGCATGTCTTCTAGCTGTCTGTTTCGTTCTTCTAAAGCTTCCACCTCTTGTCTCTTGCGTTCTCGGGAAGATTGGGCTGCGCGACGGTTTCGTAGCACCCGCTCGACTCGTCGTTGCTCCTTCTCGTCCTCAGTCTTGGCTCGTTTCCTATAAGATGGTTAGCGGAGAGGATCTTGTTATCCATACATACAATCATCATACCTGGGAGGCAAGTTAGTCTTCGGCTCGGGGAGGACTTGGCCCCATGACTTTCGCTTCTTGGTCGGCTTCTTCTCGGAACTTTCGGGGGCCGGAGAAGGTGTAGGCGATGCTTCATCATCAACGTTCTGACTGGCAAGCCTATCCTCGCTCATGAACGACTGTGGAGTCATGACGCTTTCTAAGGGGTTCAACGCCGAAGATGTGTCGAAGAGAGAAGGGTAGGCATCTCCGGGAACGGACATCAGAGACTCGGCAGGAGAAGCCTCGAACTTGACTTGAGGAGTCGGTCCGGTTGTTTGTTGGCTTTCGTAGGCGGCCATATTGCTAGGAGGACTTTGGTTCGTCTGCTGTTGTATAATTCGTGCAAAGTTGGGTAGGCCGGCAAGTTTTAGTGGCCGTTGTAGCTTAGAAAACTGATGCAGAATAATAAAAATAAAAAGCTGAAAATGGTAAAGAGGTGCCGTCCTAATTCCTCAGTACAAATAGCAGCAGTAAATTCACCTGTCAATGCATAATTCTAGGCAAGACAGGGATTAATTACAGTGACTCAACCAGTTAGTCAGGTCAGGTGAGTGACGGTATGCGGTAGGCAGCAGGCAGTAGTGAAAGAATTAGTGTGTAAAACGAAAGTTAAACAAAAAGGACACCGTGGCCAACTACTAGATTTATGGTGTTGGGTGTGTGACTCTAGTGTTTTGATTGGTAGGTGGGATAAGCTCTGTGATTGACTGTGACTGCCACTTAAAATTTGGTTGTCCTGATGGGAGATGGAAGGCTCTCTTTATGTTCAACGTGTCCTGTTAGTAAGGAGTTCCCTTAGCGGCCTCAGGCATTCGATTTCCCCCTGTCCGTCTTAGGTGTGTCAGCCATTTGTGGGGCCATGGGGCCAAGGAGTGGTACGTATTGACCCCCTGGTTACGTTCAAATGTTGGCAGGTCGAGTTAGGTGTAACAGGGATGACAATGTCGGGGGCCTCGGGGGCAAGTACGACGGTACATACAAGACGAGGGAACCAGGGAAAGGAACGTCAGGGGTTAATAGATCTCAACATGGTAAGTGGATCTGTGGTACCAAGCCACCGAGACGAATGAGAACGAATGAGACTGGCTCTCTTAGACTCTCCCAGGCTCTCCACACTTCCACCATTAGGCACTTCCCTTTTCTCTTCCCTTCCATTCATTTAATTCCAATAGTTAATCTTTCATATTCATTGTCCGGCCCGGCATTGCAATCACGGACGGACGAACGAATAAATCTCAATCCATCTTTACCATGTATTCCAAAATTTTCCATTTGTGCAATTCAACCAAACTTTACTGTAACTACGCTTTACACACCTACTTATTGACTGCTACATTAACATGCCTGGATGCATGACCATGGGAGAGAAAGGTGCCGAGCTATTCCATAACTGTGCATTGAGGGTCCTATTGATGTCGCCATGCTGCCTCAACATATTCTAAGCATCAGAGAGGGTACAATGTTTTACGTGGATAGCCATGTGTGTGCCACGAATAGGATCCGTAGTGCAGTTAACATACACTATTGTCCTATCTCGTCATCCTACTGGCTCAGTACCCCTGAAGAGAGTTTAGTATTGATTCCCTCAGCCTCTATTTGGTGAATGGATCGACAGTTGAAGCCGCCTATTCGAAGAAATCCCCAAGGCTTCTTTGTGGTTATTATTAGCAATTTGCCCACTGAAAAACCTAGAACCCGCACACCTGTTAGCCAAGTTTATCAGCCGCCACTGACTTGCATACCGCCCGCTGAGGAACCTCACCTTCAATTCAAGTCTGCAAGTGAATAATAGTTACCAACAGTAGAAGGATTCATGACATCTAATCATTGTTACTGTTACTAACTACAGCTGCTACGATACTACTCTCTCTCTATCACTAACCACTGCTTTCAGGTTAGAGTTTATGATTTTTCAGGAACAGGTATAGCCTCCCTTTTACTTAGTATGACGTCTAAGCCAACTAAGTCAACGCACTGATTCACCACCAACACTCGGCCCTAACATCCTAAAATTCAACAGAGTGAGTTTAGGTAGATCCATATTTGTCAAAGGCTATTCTACCTCTCCCTTCCAATTGTCCAGATAAGGAACGACAGTACCGAAGTAATCCGGGGGAGAGGATTTTGAGGCACACTCTAATCGCAATTAATCGACACCCAGGGTATTAGCCTGTAACGCTGCCGAGCCAAAATGGTCGGCAAACTTGCGGTGGAAGGACCACCGAAGTTGTCCGCGCTGCTACCAAGCACTTATGCTTGGAATCTGGGGAAGATCCAGGCCTTGCGGCTGCAAATTCAGGAGAGACAATCAATTGTTCCCGTTGGTTAGACGACACTCCCGACTTGTGGTAACTTACATAGTATGTACCTACATTCCGAGGTCCTCCATTAGTGGAGGAATATAGTTAAAGCATTGGATCCGAAATAATTCAAAAGTGCTTTGGAGTGCAACCAAAGTCCGATCTATCTAATTCAATGTTGGTAGTATTTGAATTCTAAATAGTAACATTTGAACTTTCATGATTGCTGAACCCACGTCACCATAAACGCCCGCCCCGGTATTTCGATCAAATCTAAAATCTCACGATCCTCCAATGCAACAACTCATGTCGTACTTCTAAATGGAGGCAGCAATGCTCTACATTGAAGTGAAGCTCAGTTGTGGAGGTGGCTAATTGCGGCACGAAAGTCTTGCGTGCTTATGCGCTTATCTACCTACTAACCTAATAGGTAGGTACCAAAAGGGCCCTGTAGGTATTTTCGGTATTGGCATTCAAATATTGACTGTCCAACTTTTACATGGATGTTATTGTAGGGCCCGTCGCTTACCCATCTGTTACCGTCCTACGTCTCACAAATCACCGACGGTGAGAGATTTTTCGGATATCTCTGTTCGATTCAAAACTACAAACACGGACAAAAAACCGGTATAAAATGTTACATGGTCGATGTCGCAAGGTGATTCTAACAATGTTGCTGTTTCCATCTCGTGTCTAGGTAGTTATGTAAGAGACATCGTAATTAATGCTTCTTTTTTTGGCCCCTGGATCACCAACTCGGGTTCTCCTAATGTACATAAGCTTAATTCATAAGAAATTAGTCCGTGTTCTGCGATAGGGTCTTCGTCTATTAATGGTAACCTACCTACCTACCTAGGTAGGTAGATAAGTATTATACGATCTAACCTAGCTCTACAGTCAAGGCGATTTAGCGACGCTCGGTGTGGAGAGAGGTGGCATAGTCAATTCATGCGCCGCGCGCTAGAACGCCGTAGCATAACTTCTGTAACCTTCCTCGCTGCCGCGCCCTCGCATCTTCTTTGTAGATTGCCGCTACCATTTTTAGTATTATTATACGACGCTTGCTTTAACTTGAACTTGCTAACCTAGTTACCTAGGCTGCCTAGGTACCTACTTACAAGTTATGGCTAAATATTTTAGGGGGGTGGCAGAGAGACACACTAATAAGTTGGCAGCTCTTTGTTACTTACTGTAAATATTATTGTACGACACACTGGACCCTGACTATGGCTCGACGGCCGTTCGACGGTGAAACATTGTTTAAGGAGATCGATCTCCTACAACTGCTTAGCCCTTCCGTCCGAGTCTCTGCCATTCCACGATTAACCTAAACACCTTCCGCTTCAAATTGAGCATTGAGCACCAAGAGGTCCCCCGGCCAAGACCCAGTGGATCGCGGCCCTTCCGCACGTTGCATCCATTCGCCATTTTCCCCGCAAACTCGATGTTAATCAGCAGATCTGTACCATGCCCCTACACGTATGTAAATGCATCTTGCGATTTCTCCATGCCTCTATCAAAAATAAGACATCAAAAGGGGTCATATGGAACATGTTTATCATCACCTGAGTACTGCTAGTAGGTAGGCAGGCAGGTAACAACACATCTAATGTGCGTGTGTGTGTGTGTGTGTGAGATAGGCACATGTCCAAGATCAGCCACACTAAAAGCCGACCAATGAACCCTACTTAAGTCCTACGTACTAGGTGATTGGCGGGAAACATTTCAGGGACACTCACTCCCATCGCGGATTATATCAATCGAATTATGACTATCACAGCACAACAGGTGAGCTTTTTACGAATCAACCAATCCATACTTACCTACCTACCTACTGTACCTACCTACCTGGTGTATCGACCTACCCACAACCGTTATCATGCCCGACAGCGAAACTTGCAGTTTCCAGAAGAAGAAGACCAGGCCCGAAAAAGCAAAAGAGAGACAAAAGACGGACAGTGTGTCCGAGAGCATTGGGAAAAACCAAGACGCCTGTTTCAGGGAATTCTGGCGGCGGCCGGGGGCCCAGAACCCATTTCTACACTACCTACCTTAGCCCCCTTAGGCGGAACCATCCGAACACCAATAAGGAGATCCTCCGCCTTTTTGGTTCCGTAGTAGGGGAAAAGCTTTCGGGTATTTTATTCCAGAATCGAAGCGAGAGAGGCAGACTTGCCCGTATTGGAACACGAGGAAATCGGAACGCATTGCCATTGTGCCATTGCGATTACGATTACGTCTGCTCTCTAATACCCAAGATAAGTGAAGTAAAACGATGTTAGCTTGCCACGACTATGAGGGTCGCACCATAATACGTATGTATATATGTACTAGTCGCATGTATATGTGTGCTATCAACCCCTATTTTTCTCAACGACGATAAATCAAGCTATCTGATTCGATTCGCATCCCTTCGCTGCGGTACCTGTGCGTACCTTAGTGACCGTGACGTTGTCGACTTATGTAGGTAAGTAACCAATGTCGTGCTTCAAGCCAGACTGGATCGTCAATACATTACTGTATGTATGTACAAAACATGCCTACAATGAATGTATGTCCATAGCGGTATGTGTGTATTCCTCACGTAATGTTTTAGGCGTGATAAAAAGAGCAGCCCCTGAGTTTTTACGACGGCCAATCACATGCATGGGCGCTATTTGGTCAATTCCAGCTAGATCTTGCGTGGCGAAGCGTACGAAGCATCTCCCTCTCCCTGCTTTCCGTGTGTGGTAGGAGAGAGAGCCTACGTGCTTAGGTTAGGTAATTTGAGACAAAACAGAAGCGAGAGGGTAGCTGAGAATTAGCATTGCTAGTTCGTGTCGCAGATATATGTATAGAAATAGGGGTTGGATGTAAGATGAGTGATCTCTGTATTGCTACTTGCCAGGGTAGATTGGAAAGCTTACGAAGACGACTACCCTTAATACCGGAGGGATAGGATGTCTCGTGTTCATTGACCTCCCAAACATTCATTACTCAGTTGATGATTCCAGCGCCTTACTCAGATTTGCCTCTTCCCATCTCCCCTACCGTTGGATGTTTTGTAAGCCTGTGTAGTAAACCTGCGGGGACGACGCGACGATAGATAGACTAAGATAGTATCGCTCTAATTACACTATAGTAGTACATGAGATTGCGAATAAGAAACGATCGTGACAGTTCATTCCCCCAAAAACGAGGCGTTAGCGAGTCGGTTTTTGTTTGCCTTACTACCAGCTTTTGCGCTATGACGAGCAAGTTTTCCACTCTTATTTGTTATTCACTTGTTTAGACCGTGATGCTAGTTGGAATTAGATCAAAGATGATGAAATGAAAGAGGCTCAGACTTGCAATTGCAAGTACCTCGCAGTCTACATGGTACTAGATGCACATAGAATAGGCACATAGAATACCATAATATCGTGTGAATTAATTTGTTGATGATGTTCAATGTTGAATTCAAATTCATTTCGAAATTTGTGGTAGATGGTCTTATCGATAGACTCTATCGATAAGCACTAGTTATCGATAAATGGATGTGGCAGTTTTTGCTAACTGCCCCAAGCACGAGCCACCATACTGCGTCACTGGTCAGTGACTTTCGCCCCACCAATAAAACGCCGTGCGGCTAGGCCTAAGCGCATTCGCCGACGCATGCCATGAAGACCATGAAACATCATTCTTCTTAATTCACTTTATCATCAATCACCAACCACGACGATCCCCTCAACCGAACCCCCTTTCAACGATCCTCTGGGTGATTCTACCTCGTCACTTTAGGCACCTACATCGATACATTGCGACCAATCCAGATTGATCGCTCAACAGAGTCAACCTACAACCAACCCCCTCTAGCCTCCACCCCCGGACCCTATCATCATAATGTCGAATCGACAACTCGCCCGCGACACACAAGTCGAATTCCAAGCTCGCGTACGTTCTGCTTCGCCTCCTTTGGACGCCCGCCCATAATTCTCCGATCAATATACTAATACTCCATGCCTTCTGTATAGTTCCAAGCGAAGCAAGCACGGCGAGAGGCGCAAAAGGCCGCGAAGCAGGACCCGCTTCTCAAGAAGCAGATCCAGGACCTGCTGAAGAAGGGCGACACCGCGAAGGCGTATCAAAAGGCCAAGATGCTGCTCTCGAAGCAGGCTCTCGCCCAGCAGATGGACCAGATGGCCGACATGGCGGAGCTGAGCGTCGCCCAGATCCAGGCCAACAACGCCATGAACCGCATGACGCACATGATGGGCCAATCCTCCCGGACTATGACCGCGGCCCAGCGCAACATGAACCCCGAGCGTGTACGTTTCCATATCATCTCTCTCCACTCTTTGAAATCATTCAAACATATACACATATGTATACATAGATTTCGAGTGCTAACACCCCCCGCAGACCCTCATGACGCTCGAGCAGTTCAAGCAGCAGAACGAGGAATACGCCGTCAACAACGGCATCTACCAGGACGCCATCTCGCAGACGACCTCGCAGCAGGTGTCCGAGGACGCCGTGCACGAGCTCCTCGGCAAGCTCGCCGACGACGCCGGCGTCCAGCTCAACTCCCAGCTCAACTCCGCCCAGCCCAGCAAGGCCGAGCCCGCCCTGCCCCAGGCCAACGAGCCCACCGCCGAGGAGGAGGACGCCCTCCAGCAGCGCCTGCGCGCCCTCAGGGCTTAGAAAGCCGATGGCGATGATGGCGGCGGCGGCAGCGGCGGCGGCGGAGGTGGCGGAGATGAGGGGGAGGGGGAGGGCGAGTGTGTTCCGCAGGTGGCGGGGTGAATATACATACCTACATACGACCGACCCATGTCAGAAGGTGTGGCATTGGATTCTTGCTTTTGCTTCGAATCACGGTAGAATTTTACTATCAGCATGACGACATAAGGGGATATGTTTGGCGTTCCGGCTTTTTTTTCCTTTCCTTTCCCCCCTTTTCTCGGTTTTTTTTTTTTTTTTTTTTTTTTTGTGTTGGCTTAGGCACTCTTTTCTTTCCCCGCTGCGATGGTACGCTGCGAATACCATCGCATCGCCCACCCCAAAGACACTGCCGAAGAATGGGAATGGAGGTAGCTAGCTAACCTACTATAGCTAGGTATAGAACTCTTACACGCAAGAACTGGGAGAGGGCGTCTCGTCTGTGTTACTGTGTTTGTGGTACGCTTGGTGTCAATGTAATGAATCAAGAAAGCAAAGAAGCAGCGGGTAACTGTTGGAGTGTTGCTACCTACTGTACCTAACCTAGTAGGTACCTACTTAGGTAGCTTGACATAGTTACTTGATATATATAATGCTACATACCTACCTAAAGTCACACGTATAGATAAGGTGAATATCAAAAAAGGAAAACAGCCTTCCATGCCTAAGATATAGTTACAGACCAGACAGACAGACAGACAGACAGACAGACAGACAGACAGACAGACAGACAGACAGACAGACAGACAGACAGACAGACAGACAGACAGACTGGACTTGGTGATAATACCATACCATGAGGGGCGGGGCGTATGCACCTAACCTACCTACCTAGGTAGGTAAGTGAGTAATAGCTTGGTGCGCCTTGGACCTGACTTCTATTGTATTGTATTGTACCTAAGATATCAACTCGTAGGCCCTATTCATCAGTTTTTACTTGGCCTAACTAAAGTACCTACCTAGGTAGCTTGCATCCATTTTGTTGGTAGTCTGTCTATGACCAACCTACATCAAATAATGTGCAACGAAAAGCACCCATTGTTCCCCCCTATTCTAAGCCCCTTTATGTTGATGCCCTCAGGAGGTGTACCTACACCTGAATGTAGAGTAGCTACTCTTGGATGATGAACATTGGACATGAACTCACACAGAGATAGACGCTCATGGTAGTAATTGGAGTCTGGGAATGCGTGATAATAGTTGCACAAGATGTGTATAGGGCGGGCCGAGCAGCGTTCTACTTCCTCACTACAATGCCAAAAAAAAAAAAAAACATCTATGCACGGCACAATTTTGAGATGTGTTGTTGATTGATTCATTGAAGCAGACTCCTTGTTGTGTAGAGAACTACTACTGATCCTGAAGAGCAGATATCCATAGCCATCTAGGTGGGTATCTATACAAATGAATTCCCATCATATCCTTTCAAGTTTGGTTGCCTGGATTTCCAATAGAGACATGCATTCTTTCCCATTACTCTTATCCCTCCCACAGCAGCAGCTTGCTATCGTCGACGGGCGAGGGAAGGCAGCCCCCTGATTGGGGTCGTTCGTTTCTGCCGAACACCCCATCATTCGGGGGGCACTGACCTTACCAACCCCCGCCCACGTGGGCCCTAAGTGCCATTACGTTGGAACACTGCACAAGGCAGTGTAACAGCGTTACCAGGCCAGGCCATTCCTCATATATACCTACCTCCCCACAATCGACTGATTCTGGTTGTTGCGGTCCTGGTGTGATTCCTCAGTCGATTTGATAGATGTGGCCGTTCCCTTCGGGTGTTCACCCGCGAAAGAAGTGTCCAGATCCAGAAGTCGTAGAGGTGTGTAGTAGTCCACTCGAGCCCGACCTACAGCACTCGTCTCTGGGAGGCAAAGGTGATGTGCGCGGGGCGGGGCGGGGCACGACAGCCACATCGCTGACCTTAGAGTCACCATTCTTGTCGTGGCCGCCGTTACAGCTTGAGTTGGTTTCCCCGACCCCAACCTTGGTCAGTTCGGATCATTGACCACCTCTTAGACCATAGTCCAATACTCGACAAGGCAGGCCAAAAGAAGCATAGCCGGGTTGGACGGCTGGCCAGTTGTCTGGGCACATCTCCTCTCCCGAAGATGTCCTCGAGCAAGCTGGAGATGAGCGTGGTCGTTTTGATCTTGTCTCGACTTATTATATTTAGAGAGAAAGTCCGGCGTATTCCGTACCCGCTACTCGACCGTTGTAGAGGCAACTCACCACGCGACGACGACCACTCCCCATGAGTGTGCGGCGTCACTCCACAGGTTACCACCCAACCTTGGCTTTGGGTAGAGAGGACCGACCCAGTTTGGCCAGTCTTCCGGGTAGCACCGAGTTGGCCCAAGTCCAGTCAATGCATCCATGTACCGGCTCGATCGATTACCCAGTATTCTCCGGGACCTGCTGCGCCACCGTTGTACTGGCCGACGCTGTGGATGGGATTGAGTAATTGCCAAGGTACCGTGGGAAGGCCATCGGTGCCACCAATCTCCAACACGGGCGAAGCGTCGGGGTGGAGACGGGTTAGTGTGCAAGTGCTTCCTTGTCGCCTCCCCGGGATTATGGATGAGCATGTGTGCTGTGCCCATAAGGATATGGTGACTACACTCACCCTCGTGGTGGTGACTTCGATCGTCGGTCAGACAACCCTCGTAGGTGGAAGGTGTTCTCGTGAGATACGATGAGGAGCATATGATCAACCGACTATGCAGCTACACCTCATCCTCGAAGAGTTGAGTGGTGTCGAGGAGCGCGTCGATGGATCATTCGGCTAGGAATATAGGAGCCTGGCAACCCGGAAGCATCATGGCCATTGGAAAAGCAAGGCATCCACCTCCCTGTCCTGATGCATCCGAATACATCTCGACCGAGAAGTCAAAAGCCAAGCCGTGCATCTCCGCGACCACTCACGATGGGTCCTTGAAAAGGGCAAATGTGCAGGGGCTTCGGCCTCCCCCTACTGCCAGACAACGGTCCCAAGAAGCCGCCCACCAGCACCATAATCGTCAAAGATGGCGTCTGTGGGGACTGGCTAGGTTCGAAGGCTTCGTAAAGGTCTGGCTTGACCAGCAAGCGACCACCCACGCGATGTATGACTTCCAATACCAGAATCCCCCCACAGCCCAATCTTTACGCGTAGACCTGCTCGGTCGCCCCTTTTCCGGAGCCCTCGTTATGCCAATGCAGCCGTTGTAGCAGTGTCTCCATCGTTGTCGTTCGACTAAGGGATCATCGGTACACATGCGCGCAACACGCCACGTGGTCAAGAGGAGGAGAAAACAGCAAGAAACAAGACGTCTTGGGAATCCTCGTTGATACATCGTGTGTTCCTAGCCAGCCAGCCCTGGACTTGTCAGCGGGGCAGAACTGCAGTGGATGGGATTGTCAGCACTGCCAGAAACCAAAAGGCTCCTCAGCCGGGGCGGCTCGTGGGTCATCGGCTTGATGGAACGCATGAAGCGCTACCAGATGTGAGTCTCGGTATGGGACAATGCGCGAGACCAGAATGTCTGGTTTCTTCTTGAGCGCATACGAGGGGTCGAGCTTATATGCATCGGCTAGCTTCGGAGAGGCGTGCGTGAGCTGAGCACGGCAGACGGCCCGCTAGTTGGGAGGTAGACAACCTGGCTTGGAACCACATGAAAGTGTCCACCCGCAGCAACTGTACGAAGTTGGAATTAGACTATACCGGCCTTATCGTGACGTGTAGGACGAGTATTCCACAAGCGTCAGCGAACAGGTTGGCGTCCCTCCAGTGGACATCGCCTCCCACAGAGACATGGCGTCGGAAGCTGGGGAGTCTGGATTGAAATAGCCGACATTGTTGAACAGGCTGAGGCTGCCTTGGGGGTCAAGCGGTTGAGGTTGAACAACTCTTGGCGTCTCTGGTACCCCTCGTACAGTCTTTGGAACATTCGTTGTCACTCCTCGGATCGTGGCGACATTCTGAGGCATTGTCAAGAGACAAGACATTGATCAGTACCAATCAGTAGAATTAGCTGCTTCCATGGACGGGCTGAGTGCTTGGAGATGCACCGAGACACGTCTTTCGTTGGCGGGCCAACGCGGAGGACGCCGATGACCTGACTGACTCGACATGACAGCAACAAGGCAATTCATAGAGGTCCTCGTCAAACGGTCGCTGTGGCTATACGTACGCAAAATAGGCTTCTCTGTGCAGGCCAGAAATGAAAATGGAGTTTCCTGCCTCTCATTCGCCTATCCTTTAGCAGAGCGCGCTGTTTCTGCTGCAGTGCAGTCTAGGATACGTTCTCGCTCAAGGACAAACAACATGGCTCAGATGCGGGTACCGCGGTAGGCATGTTGAGCAAGAGCTATACCACAACGGGACTCAGCTGTGACATATGGCTTCCTGCTGGCTGCTCCGGACCAAAGAACGAGCCACCAAGATGATTCGGTCCTCTTTGGTTGACAAACTGCGCCTCCATGGTTCAACCCATCTCATTGGCGATTTCTGGTATCGTGTCGTCGGCTTGTGCAGATAGAGCAGCCAACCCCAGCAAGGTTTCCTCACCTTTGAAGTACAGGAGAGGCGGATGTATGGCCCGAAGAGCCCGCGCGGATCGCCTCGGGCCAAGCGCAACAGACACGGCCCACAGAGACCTAACCCCGAGTACAGCCGACCCCATGTGGGGATTATCTTGGTAGCAGAACCATCTCGGTAGCGAAGTCAACCAGATTGGGAACCTCAGCTGCACTCGAGTCAGGTTCCAAGGAGACCTCCACGTCTGTCCCATCTTCGACATCATCAGTCGGCAAGCTTAAGTCAAAGTCCTGCAGAGTCTGAACAGACAGACCGATACTTTCCTAATATATCGGCACGGCAGCGGCGGCACAACGGAAGGCGGAGTGTGGAAGCCCGCCATCCCCTGGCTACTGGGGCCAGCGACAGCTATACCAACCGTAAACATAATAAGAAGTATATAGCTTGGAGAACCATCGAGGGTCGAACTGTATAGAGAGATGGTCTGTCGGGATGACAACGGACGGTTAGCAGGACCGGACTTGGATACACAGGGTTCTGCAGGGCAACATTAGGTGAACAGCCATCCATCATGGCCGAAGAAAGACCCGGAAGCCTGCTGCTAGTGTGAGACAGTTTTGCTGTGGAACTTGGAGGGGTCGAATTGCGTCGAAGTGGAGTGTGTGCCCGTCCCAGCCGCTCCCGCAGTGGAAACACGACAGCCCCGGATCCCCGTCTGATAGGGACATAGATCTGGAAGGTGACCATACTTGCGACATCCTGCAGTGAGGCTGCGGTGGTGCTGCAGTGATGAGTAGCGGAAACCTTAACAGCGGCAGCGGCAAAAGGAAGACTATCGGAAAAGAAGACACAAAACGAGGAGGTAGCGAAGACAGTGATAACCATCTAGCTCACAAATGCCAGAAGAAGGAAACAAAACTCGATACCGGCACTTTGCGAGCTTGGGTGGAAGACTAAGATCGCCTCGTTGCTGAATCTGGTGTGAGATGAAACGGTTCCTAAGGCGTGTGAACAAAAGCATAGTTGGATGCGCTGGAGGGTAGATATAATTAGTCAAGACGAAACCCATTTTGATCTCTTTCATTCCTGGACTCCGCACCTCGATGTAAGGTCGAGGTCTGGAGCGACAACAGTGCTATTGAGGGAATTGTGGAAGATGTTGATTCGACACCTTGGGCTCTACCACCATGTCTCGTCTGTGAGCTTTCTCTTGCGTGCTTGGAGAGTTTCTGTTGCTGCGAGATGGGAAAGGTAGTCCAACAAGAGCCGAGCGCGGAGCGTGCTAGGGTTAGCCACGCTTCGTTTACGTTCAGAATGAACGCGCGTGGCCAAAGCAGTCAAGACCTACTTTCTGTGGTCTACCAACTTTGACGGGGCCGGTTTGCATGATGGCTCTGAGAACCAGCATCAAGCTAAACCGCCTAGGAGTGAGTGCGACGAGTGTGTGGTGCCCTGCATGGTTGTGGTGTTAGTGGATTGTGCGAAGACACCTTAGAAACAACTGTATAGTTGTGTGAGGTTGTGTGGCCGTTGATGTCGGATCCTTCGAAGCGAGGCAGTCAGTGTTGACATCTCTGGGGTTTGGTAGCGCAGGTGCGGACTACCTGACTGCTAGGTCGTCACCTGGCAGCCAGGTAGTCAGCGCGGGCGTGCCATAGGGTTCCCCTCGGCCCCTACGTGCGTAGGGGCCCATCGCATGTCATTCGGGCTGATGACTGGGGTCATGTTAGGAGCTCACTAGGTTAGAGAACAAACGAGACCCTTGGAAGTGTCGGTGGTGTCATGCTGTATTGACGTTCACGGCCCGTAGACGTACAGTACGTATCACATATCATGGCTCGCTCATTCAAATAAGGACCATAGTTGAATGAATGGCAGAGGACATGTACCAGAACTCCATCGCGACTGCGCAGGCGATGCACGATGGAGCATAGGCTCATAGTGGCCGCTCGTATTGGTCTTGTCTGGGCATTGACGCATCAATCCCCGCGCAAGAACAATGTTGTTCTGCGTCTTCTAGATCCCGCCCTGATTGAGGTAGCGACAGTAGCTTGACAAACACCGAGACATGTTAGTACATACCTAAAGAGCTTCATGTAATACGTGCCAACGATCAAAGTTGAACTCAGCCTTTACATAAGCTCTTTAAGTATGTACTAACCCTTATGGTCAGGATGTTGCCTTGTCTGTGACTGTTTCATGAGACCCTGTGCAACCGCTATTCTCTAGCCTATCATATCTTTGATATGGCTAAGCAGAGGACATGGAAAGTTGGACTCGAATAGCAGCTGGTCGGATTTATAAGGCGTACTTAGGTGTTACTCGCAACTAGCGGCGTCGCTTTGCAACAAGACCAACATGTGGTTCTGGAATAAAGTGGTCAGAGAAGGTGGAATGTTCAGGTTTGGATACTTGTTACTCACATGAGTTAGGCCAGCCAATCAGTGAATCTTCTTGGCCTGGCCTAAGACCTTGTTTGTTGGTAGCCTTGTTATCACCGTAGCGTTTGTTGTCATCTTGCCTCCGTGAAGATTAGTTTATGAAGTGTGATGAGGAATGCGAACAAGGAAGCAGCATTCAACGTACCAAGATTCGTTGGACTGCCCAGAGACGGCACAACCGTCGTGCTTCTCGCCGATGTTGCTTATTCGGTCAGTATCTTAGTTACCCAAGTAATGATGGCTGCTCAGAGTGTCTAACCTAATCCGTTTCTCGACGTCTTTTTCGAGATACAGCATTCTTGCTAGCATCGCTAACATGGGCATCGGCTTTTTCCTTGGCCTATTTGCCGTCTTCACGTCTTCGTAGATTAATGGGTGATCACACCCCTCGGTGAGGTATGAGGAGAACCTATGATGAAGTTAGCTACAGTCAACATGGTTCGATTCTCAGGTATTGGAACTGTGCAAGGAGTTAGATTCTTGATAAATTTGATCTGTTCGCTTACCATAAATAGTCTCTATCACCTTTGGGCGATTTCATGAGTAAGGTGATAGAGATGGATTAAAGGCAGAGGAGTTAAAAGCAGGGCGATGGGGGCATTTCTGCTGCGAAATGTCGTCAACGTTACCTGGGGATTTGCTTGAATCCCAGGTCGTTAACTGGAGATGTGATAAGAGTCTATTGAAGGGGGGGTAGAAGTATTGATCTTGCTCAGCTCAAATAGAATAGTTGAGAGATGATGTTCTTGCTGTCCTTGAGTCTTCAGAGAATTGGACGAGTTACAAGCAGTGCATATAACCTATTTAAACCAATTAGGTTAGTAGATACCGAAGGCAGAACAGTGTCATGCTATAGGTAACTTACGTTGAGGCTGTGTCAGGTTATAATGCCATTTGCTTCGTGTATGAATGTTTTCAAACCTCGAGTCGTCAATACTCGTGCAACATGGCCTTCATGATGAAGATACGCCCGTGTTTCACGGACTCCCCTTACTCGTTAACAAGTAATGTTAATCAAAGTGAGCTACGAAGGTAAGAGTTGGAAACGCAACAAGGGACACGAGTAGAGAAATTGTGACCAGAGAGTGCAAATGAACCATGACATACCGAAAGGATAGAAGCTAGAGGAGGAATGAAAAGGCTGGCTGGGAAAATAGCGTGCCAACGGAACACGGCTATTTGAAGCAAGTCGTATAGATGAAGGGGGCTGGCAAGCAAACGGAATAGGAAGCGAGAGTACTAGGTAGATGAGAATGTTGGAAGAAGAAAAAGAAATGTGAGTAGATGAGAGAGATTTATAATGGAATGTTATTGAAGAGATGGGGCAAAAGAAGAAGCAAGAGGTAGGACCTGATGAATGAGGGAATACTTAGGTAGAGAAAGAGCGCCGACATAATGATGAAACCGGCAGAAAGGTTAATGAAGCAATAAACCCATCGATGGAGGCCCGCAGAGAAGTTTATAGAAAGCGAGAGTCTTTAGACGGGCAGGAGAAGAAGTACCTAACGTAAGGAGTGGGAAGTGGCAGGAGGCAAAGACGTAGGTGAGGAGTCAGATGATAGATATATGTTGCAGGGCGAATTGCAACCAAACGGAAGGAAGAAGGATGGAAGAAAGCTTGGTTTATTCCAGACTACGATGAGTGAGTGCCAATATAAGGCAGGCCTAGTGGAGCCATGTGCCTTGGGGCCATGACTCCTCAGGCACCTGCAACAATATATGACTGGTATATATCTCTCTCCCTGTCTCTATTTGGCTTTACATACGAAACAAGGAAAGCTAAAGAGTGAAGTAGGCTCTTTGATTTTACTTGCCAAGTCGGGCTGGGTTGGAAGGAATGCTGTTAATAGTGAGTCATAGAAAAGGACGGTGGAGGTCAAGATGGAGGGTAAAGTAAATAAACATGGAATGAGAAGGTTTTTTTGTTATCTTTATAGGATCATGGAAACGACGAGTTACCGTACCTAGTCTATATACAGGATCATCAATGGCATCTACTAGGTGTGTAGTATCCTAGGCAGTGTTCAAACCTACATAGCAAGGAATCACTACTTGAGCATGTTTTGAACTACAACTATGGAGTCTTCAAAGTTTTGTTTGTTTTTTATTTCGTGCCTTCTTGTGCAAGTGTATGAGTTAAGTATCTAATACGGCTATGCCTAAGGTGAGCACATGGGTGGGAACAAGGTAAACCATTGAGTAAAGGGGTAGTGGGTACTTATGTGTACCGACCTACTAAAATATGGCCGTACCTGTCACATTTACGCGAATACCACGTGCACTTCATAAGTTTTCTGCTACTAGACATGCTGAGAAGGAGCAGAGAAACATGTATACTGCCTGGTGGGTAGAAAAGTACCCACTACTATGTACATAATATGTAGGTGCATGGGTGAAGAGACCAGACCATAAATACCCGTCCTGCGACTTCCTGGATGTATTCTACTTATATTAGACGCTATCTGGGACGTAGATTCCTTGTAGTTGGCAAAATTCCATAGGCTCCTGTGTATAGTTGGCCCCCAACAAGATTCAGGGGGTCTCCCCTATCTTGAGGTTTTTCAAAGAAACCATGGGGTTTTGGCCTCAATACTTCTCAAAATAAGTTTCGCTTCACCTAAAGGAAGGTATATTGATGTAGTATTGATGATATTTAGTGCAGAATCCCTATCTATCAAGGAAAATAGAGATTTGTCACTTTTCATGGCAGATTCGGTTAAGGTGAAGAGTTGTGCTAATTGCATATCGATTTTTGCAACCCACTTAATAGATAGTTACTATCTGGGTGTCTTTTATGTTATATATGCTTTTATGATAGCAAAATTGATAATTTCTCAGTGGGAAGTTTCCTTTAACTAAGCTATGTTACTACTGTGACCCAACAACCTATCTAGGAGTACTAAGGACTTTTCATAACTGTTGAGAATGAAATATGCATACTGAAGGGACTTGGTACTGTTCTGAGGTAATCTGGTATTACAATTAATGAGTACCTACCCAAATTGCTGTAATATAAATCGAATAACTTCAACGTGAATAGCTTCAATTGCTATTCAAGGCAATTTGTATTAGGTAAGCTACCTAGTACTGTCAGCCGCTAAGTGGGTCAGCAAAACTCTATTATCATGTAGTACCTACATACATCAATACATTGTATTGTACCTACATATGTACTAGGTAGTACTAGTAGCACTACTAGGCATAGTACTAGGTACATAATTCACATCCATGGATAGTACTTACAACGTAGTACATGTACGTACATGGTACATAGTAGGTCTAATTATAGTACCTACATATGTAGTAATATTCCGTCAAGTTGCATTACCCAAAACATTGAAGTCCTCTATCCTACATACCTAATGTACCTAGGTAGCTAACCTCACTATCTACAACAACACAACACGACACAACACAAAAAGTACCAGTCTGATATATGGTGCATTGCATCCCAACATCAAGTATAACCATTCACCAAACTTATCGGCGCAGTATTCATTGCCCATGCAGCTTCCACCCTCCTCATTTACTAAATAGTTCAAGGCGACACAAACCTACCCACTCACAATCCTGAGGGAAATAATCTTTTAATCTTCTATCGGTCCCTATGGGAAAGCTCTCCAGATTGAAAGCAGGTGAGAACCTCCAGACTTTCCTGTCTGCTTTTTATTTCGTCAACTTCTTCATCAATATGCCAGTCCGCCCTGTTAACCACGGCGAGGATTTTGACTGTTGGCGATGCCTTCTCAGCTATTTCAACCATCGTTCTGAGAAGAGACCGTCCAGCCCTGTGTCTTGCCTGTGATTTCTCTCCGGGCATCACACTACACCTATCCACACGGTCTAAAACAATCCAGATTGTCTTTTCGGCACCGGAGATACTCATCACCTCGAGGGCTATGCTCTGCAATTTGTCAAAAGTTCTGTTCACCTTCGTTCGTACTTCTTCCTTAGAGATGCCTGGCAGCTTTCTTATCTCGGCATACGACTGCAAATCCCCCCAGAGTCGAGAACATTGGTCCTCGTTTCGCAACGCTTTCTTATTCAATTCTAAGAGTCTGTCTGTAGATCAAAAACGCCAAAACTTCCGACCAGGTGTCATCTTCGTTTCGAAGGCCCAGTAGATAGAAGACGCATAGGTTGGAGCCTTGTAGAGTTTCGCTTTGCGTGAATTTACTAATCACACTGAACCCTACAGGTGACACCCAGCAATGGCGTGCTTGATTCTCTTGATTGGTGCCCAATAAGACGAGGACGACTGACTCGGAAGATTGTAGCCATTTCCTGTACGCGGAGGTACCCTTCACAGACCGGCAGCGTTCTTTGAGGGTCCCCTCTGTGTACCAGTTCTTCTGACCAAACTCAGCAGCAACGTTAGCTTGATGTTCGGCCAGATTGCAATGCCGATCATCGTCAGGAAGAGGGTTAACGCCAAGTAACTGGCTGGCTTTTTCAAGTTGGGTCTTGTCTGTATGATCCTGCAACTCTGACAACTGACGTTTTAGGTCTCCGTGTGAAGGTTGGTTTATTAGCCATCTCCCATCCATTGAGCATAGGACTTACCATTGACCTGGTATTCCAGTCCTAATTACTCATTGTTAGAAAATGCGCATGAGACGATCGCGGGAAACTAACTGTTGTTTATCACTTTAATTTCATGGTCGTACGACTGGAAGGATGGTACTTTTAGTCGTACGCTCTTCACTCTCGTCTTCGAACAATTTGACGGCCATCTCCCGTTGACATCTCTTCCCTACTATCCTTTTGAATCGCACCCGGATCGCGAAGAGATTCAAAAGCAGCCCATAGAGCGCGGCCGAATATTTCGCAAAATTTGCAATGCCGACAACTGTTGAAGTAGATGCAGGTTATGAGAGTTGTGTAGTTGGTTATATATTAGAAGAGTAAGTTCTAATGATAGCTACTGGAGATATAGATAGTATATATATGCCACAAATGTAAGGCAGATGTTACCAGCCACCCTATACTAGTTACCTAAATATTCTAACATTTCTACTTGAACCATACCTAGTGGTAATATGTTAGAAGCTTCCATTATTTTTCTTTTATAGGGTGTGATTTTTTATTTAGCTTTTAAGCTTGATGTAATCTTTGAACCGGGGATCGTCTGGTCCTTAATATCTTGAATCCCTTATCTGGACCAATTCCCAGACTTTTTGTAGAGATAGGATTAGGCACTCGTTTCTCCCACTATTCGTAGCGTCGGTGTTGTACCGGATTTCGGCAGTCTTCATGCCTCTTTTGTTCCGTAGGTATTCGACGAAGGAGCGCTGTTTACCCCATAGAATCGTGTGCCATCTGGTGTGTTCTGAAGCTGCCTCTACAGGGTCACAGTCCCAGATCAGGATCTTCTTTCCCTTTTGTTCAGGTGTTGCCCCGCTGACTATTATTATGACATACACGTGCCAGGCCCTATCCTTCCACTGATCTCCTATAATCGATCCGTTTGGTGTGCTGAATAGGCCGATCCAGGTTCGTTTTCCATACTTGGGTTCGCAGGCAAAAATTACTGAACAGGTCTTGAGTTTCAGGGTCAGGCATGTATCCCACCCAATTTGCTCGATCCTGATCACTGTGGAAAGAAATTGCTCGAGGGTGTACGTATGGTGCATTTCCATCTATCATTAGATCTTGGAACTGTTGTAGATATCGTCCTATTTCAAGCCCTGAAGATTCAGGATCGGTTGGCGGTTCGTGTAATAGTGTGAGTAGATTTAGGGAAGCCATATTGATAGGTGAACTTTGTGAGAAAAGGAAGGAAAGGGGAATATGAGCATACCCTACAGCTACCCTATATACGTGATAGACTTTAAGATTAAGGCATAAATCCAAAACTCCCACTCGCTTTATAAGCAAAGTCCTAACGTATCCCTAAAACGTATAAAAAAATCCCTAGATAATGGCTTAATAAGGCCATCCGCTATTTATTAAGCTGTGTTAACATATTTAAACTCCACCTCACCGGCAGCCTATTTTTCCCAAAAAAAATAAACATTTACCTTGATATATTTGGTCTAGCCGTAAAACTATAAATTCTTTGCTAAAATTAAAGCCCCTTAATTATCCCCCCAAATTATTATAGCTGGCATATCTCCTTTATTAACATTTAAATTAATTAATAATCTTTAAAGTTAAATAATTTCTTTAATAACATTAACCATCGCCTTAAATTTTAATTTACAAATAAAAATTGCCACTATAAATTATCTTTTGTAACTTTAACTTAGGACAACATTTCCAACATTAAAAATATACCCTAAAGTAAATTTGCAAATAAAAACATAACTTATATAATCGGCGTTTATTTATTTTATAAATGGCCTTAAATTACTTTAATAGATAAATTTATAGCTTAAAATGCCCTTAAAATATCTTAATACTCTCCGTATCGCCGATAGGTATACGGTAGTAAGGTTTTTTATGTAGCGGCTTAAATATAATATAGTATAAGCTATATTTGGCTGCGTTTTCATTATGGCATATATTAAGCATTTTATAGTTTTGGTATACCATTAAACGTTATCTTTTAAAGCCTTATAATCGTTTAAAAATTTAAGTATCTTACTAACCTTAATAAGGGTTACGTTGGGATTAACTTTCTATTATTTAAGATCCTTAATTATCCGTTTTAAGTAGGCCTTTTGGTTTAAGGTGACGGTTTTATTTGCTTTATCTCTTTTAATAATTATACTTAAGTAGTATATATAAAGTCTTAAATCCGTTATCTTAAACTTTTATGCTAGGAGGATTTTTAAGGTAGCGATCTCGGTTTTTAAAAGTCTTATAATAAGTAAATCGTTAATGTAAACGGTAATATATATGTAACCTTTTATAAATACGCTAACATTAAAATCTAATGCGTAGAATTTATACTCTTTTAAAAAGGTGGTTAAGGTTTAATATTATACTTTAAAAGTTTATTTTAACCCGTACAAGGCCTTTTTTAATTTATAATACTTGCTTAGGTTTTATATAAAATTAAAGGATTATTTAATATAAATGTTTTCATTTATATTTCCGTATAAAAAGGCGGTGATAATATTTATTTGTTTTAATTTAAGATTTAAAATAACGGCTATAACAAATATTACCTTATAACTTATAAGCTTAATAATTAAAGTAAAGGTATTAGTGTAATTTAACCCTTTTACTTATTTAAAACCCTTAACGACTTATTTTACTTTATAACGGGTAATTTTATTATTAGGTTTTTTTTTAATTTTATATATCCATTTTTCTAATAACGCCTTACGCCTTATAAGCAGGTTAATTAAGTTTTAAGTTTTATTATTTATTAAAGATTAGTATTTTAAATGCATGGCCTTATATTAGTTATGTGATTTTTCACCTTTTATAACTTACTTATAAGTTTTAAGCTTTATAGCTTTTATTATTATTAACATAATCCTTAATATGGTTATTGTGAATTTAAATGTATTAACTTTTAATTAGTATTTATTAAACTGTGTTAATTAAGTGTGTAGCCTTAGGTTATGTGCGAGAGGATCTTTTAAAGGGTTGTTTTAATAAATAAGTAAGTTAAGGGGTTCTTATATAAGCATCCCTAATTATAATCCCTCCAAGGGTTTGTTTTAATAGCTATGCCAGGCCTGGTTTTAGTGTGTCCAACGGTGCTAATTATATTATAATAGCCCTTTTAAGCGTTATAAGTTTTAATTCTAAGCTTAGTTACCTTAAAGCGTCTCATGCTTTCTTATAAGGTGTTTTTAAAATAACTTTACCGTTTTTTGTTATTTTTAAGGTGTTAGCGTTATTTTATACCTCCTTTGATAATAGTTTTAATAAAGATAATTATATGTTTTACCTTTTCTTAAACGAATTAAGGTTATTAATGGATTTATAAAGGTAGGTTTTTTTAAATATTATATTATTAACGTTAATAATTATATTATTATTTAATTAAAAAACTTTATAATTGCGAGAGCTATTGTTATTATATTTAAACATTTTATAATTAATTATTTTTAACTCGAATATACTAGCTTTTTTATTTAATAAGTAAAAGTTATTTACTTTTATTATAATTAAATATATTAGGTTAAGTGGTTTATTAAACCAAACCTTATATAAAATCTTTTTTAAGGTTTTATTTAATGATTAATTTATAAAATATACGGCTATTTAAATTATAATAAGCTAGTATTTATTAAGTATTTCATTATTTTAAGCTTATATTATTATTATTTTTGCTTTATTTTTTAACTTTCTAATAATATTTTTAATTAAACTACCTTATTAATATTACCTTATAATTAAGTAAAAAATAACTATTTCTTTTTATTAATAATATTATTAAAATTTATAACTTACGTGATTTTTTAATTTATTTAAGGTGATTATGTAATATCGCTTTTTTAGTTTTTCCCATTTTTTAAAAAAATCCTTAAAAGCTTTAAACCAATTTTTAAGTTGTTATATCGATAAAACCCAAATTATATAAGAGAAATTATAAGTAATAATAAGTTATCTTATATGTCTTTTATAGTTTTATGTGTTAATTAACATACCGGCTTTATTTAAGTGAAGGGATTTTAGTTTATAAGTTTTTTATTAGATGTTTCCTTTATAAAATTTCTTATATATCTTATTTTATATATAAATTTCATATAAGTAATATTCTTTTTATAAGGTGATTTTAATTGATATTTTTATTAATTATAAAAGGTTTTATTTTTTTATATGCCTTAAATATTTATGCTAAACTTTTAATGTAAGGTTATTAACGGTGTAAGAGTAAAGGGTTATATTAAGGCTTATTATATTAAAGGTATTATCCTTTTAATCGATTATATATAAGCCATTAATTTTAAAGGTTATAAGGAAAATTTTCTTTTTCTTTACCTTAAACGTTGATTTATTTTTAAAAAAAAATTCCGCATTTTTTTTTATTAATTATAATATTAATAAAAGGTTACAAGTTAAGTTAAAGTAATAAATAATATCTAAAACCTTAACCAGTTTAAGCCTTCCATTAATAACTACCGTAATATTAGCGGTATTTTATAATTTAAGGTTAATTGTTTTTTCTTTTATTCCATATATAAGTTATCCGATATAAAGTCGTAAATTAGTAAATAATTTTCTATCACAGCAAATAATTTAATTATAATTATTATTTAAAACCACTACCTTTTAAAATTTAACCGTTATTTTAACCGCCTTAATTTTAAGTAATGTCATTAAACTTATAACCTTAAGTGTTTTTTTAATATAAAAGTCTTTAAGGATAAAATTTAGGCAGCTTTATGTGGTTAAATTAATTAATTTAAAGGGGGTGTCGGCGGGTAATTATTAATTAAAGTCTTATAATTTAATGTTGTTAGGTAAGCGGCCTTAAAATACCCTGCTAAGAATGTTCGAAATAAATGATTTAAGGTGCTTATTTTTAAGGTTATCCCTTATAGCTAAGAAGGTGTTAATGTGTGTGAGGGTACTTTTTATAACCTATTATTTATATATAAGATTTATTATTACAAGTTTATTTTTATTATTAACTTATGGTTTTTTTCTTTTAAAGGTGCTACGCTAATTTTTAAGTTTTTTTTCCAAGTGTTTTTAAAAGTAAGCGGTTAAGTTATGAAAAGTTAATTACCAGTTAACGGAGATATAATATTAGTAAATAAAGCTATTCTTTTATTTCTTATTATTATTTATTTTATAAGCGGTTAAGGCGTGTTTATTATCCCTACCTTTAAGTTTTTAATTTTATTTTTCCTGTTAAGTTAGTCGAACGGTGTCGTTAATATTAACGATTAATTTAATAATTTCTTTAGTTTCATTACGTTTTGGTAAAATGTTATAAGTTTAAAAAAAAGTGATAAAAAAAGTATTATAATTTAAACTTAGAGTATATAAAAATTTATTAATTAAATGTAGTTTTAAAATTATATAGGTTATATTTAAGGCTTTAAAATTAGTTTAAAAAAGGCGAAGTTTAACTAATAATATTATAATTATATTTTTAATAATTAAAGATATATTATCTTATTTAAAAATAAGATTTTAAAAAATAATATTACTTTTTAGTTTATATTCCCTTTTAAAGGTTTTTCATAATTTATTAATTATTTTATAAACTTTAATAAGTTTTTTAAGGTTTTCTTTTAGCTTATATTTTATAGTTTTTAAAGTTTTATTATTTTTTTCGATTTAAGTTTTTTGCTTTTTTTAAAGCTTTACTTCGAGGATTTTATTTTTAGCGGTGAGTTTCCTCTCATCTTATCCTCTAAGGAGGTGTCTTTTATATCTATTAATATTTAAGTAATTTAAAATTTCCCTATTAAACTAAATCTATTTGTTAAATAAGTGAAGCGTGGTTAGTTTATTTAAGGAGGTTTTAGTGGTTTTTTTAGAAATTATCGTGTTAAGGAGAAGATTTAATTAAGGTTTTAGTTTTTAACTTTCGTCAAATTTATTTTGCAAATTTCATTATAGGTTTTTTATTAAGAAATTTGATATAAAATAATAATTAAGTAATTACTTAGGTTTAAAAAAAACTTCTTTGTAAAATTTCTTCCAAATTAATAATTAACCAAATCTAAAAAAGATTACCTTATAGAAATTTTTCTTCTAAGTTAGGAGTATTTTTCCCAGGTGACGAGTTGCCGATACTAAATAAAACGTGCGGAATAATAACCTCAAAGCTGAAATATTTAATTTTTAAATTATTAAAAGATAAAATAAGTAAAACGTTACATAAATTTAACGAGTAGGATTTTAATAAAGTAATAAGTGGTAAGTAAATAATTTCCTTACTATTAAAAATTTCAAGGTTAAAATCTTAATATAAATTGTCGATTTTTTTAATTTTATTAATAAAAAATAGGAAATTATACTTGTTAAAAAATCTAAGGAAAGTTGGTTTTTGTAAAGGTTTTTTCCACAAATTATATTTTTCGTTTTTCCTACTGCCATTAACGTTATTATTATTTACTATCGAATCCATTTTATTAGTTAATTATTTAAGTAATAAAGCAAAAAGTTTTTATTAATATTAATAGCTTTAATAAAATAAATTTATTAAATTTATTTAACAAATCCGATATAAATAAAATTTAAAAAGATAAGTTAGTCCTTAACTTTTATAATATTAGTTATCCAAAAGGTTTAAATATGTATATAATTTAGGGTATAGGGAATAATTAAAATATTTAAAGAAAATTTTCCCATAGCGTTTTCTATTTTTTTTTTTTAAGATTTTTGCGTAGTGAGAGTCGTAGCAGTTTTTATTAAAATGTCTACATCGTGTATATAAAAAGAGGGAATTTTAAGAAAATATAAGGTAAATTATAAAGTGAAATAATTATTTTAGTTATAAGCTCTAGGCTTATAATTTGTTAAAGTAAATGCAAATTATAAGAGTTGTGTAGTTGGTTATATATTAAAAGAGTAAATTCTAATGGTAGCTACTAAAGATGTAGATAGTATATATATGCTATAGGTATGGGGCGGATGTTACCAGCCACCCTATACTAGCCACCTGAATATTCCAACAACAACGACTCGCGGCTCTTCGAATACCAGGGAGAGCTAATACTGGAGCAGAAGGGATTCTCAGGGATGAAACACAACGACGAGGTAAGATCTCTTAGGTAGTACCTAGTAAACAAGCAAAGCTAACATAGCCCACTAACAGATGGATGATAGCGAAGCTCGATCATCCAATTCGATAAACATAGACCTTATTGGAAGACTCACCCAAGGCCGACTGAATGTGTCTAATACTCCATGTAAACGTGGGATGCATTCACCCAAGTCCTAAAACTACGGATAAGTTAACGCTTTAACTAGACCAAGGGCAGAGTCATGGTTGATTACGACGCATTTTTCCAGTATGGGTATGGGGGAACGGACGGGCAGAATGGGGCGCTTAGACCTAACTCTGGGGGTACTGGGTGTGGATGCAATGGCTGCCAAGAGAACAAGGGGCTAGCGGCAAGATACCGGACGCGCTTCGACGACAAAAAGTTTGCGAACTCTCATGAGACTTGGGACGACGAGCAGTACCTGATTTTCCTACCCCGTGTACTCGGCTACATCCCCCAACAAAAGCAATGGGCACAGCTTCAGGTAAATCGGTTGGAGTTGCTCGGGACGGGAAATGAGACAACCGCTTGGGAGTCGCGGCTCAGGTTGGCTAGTATCGAACATGAAAAGTCAAAGAGAGGAAGGAAAAGTAAGGCTTTTTAAGTACTGATACAGTATGTGATAATATGGCTAACTATCAAGCGCTTACGCGACAGAAAAGACGCGCAAGAGGGATGAGGACGACGAAGATAAGCTATTGGAAGTAAATGACATTATGTCAGGCGAAGGGAAGGGTCCTATAATCCTACTTTATGGTCAGAATCTTCGCTTGTTTTTCTCTTAATACATACCCAAGCTTTAGCTAATCAATCCGTAATGCGTAGGCCCCCCTGGAGTAGGAAAGACCTCAACGGCCGAGACCATTGCCACTGCTACTCAAGCCTCTGTTCTCAATCAGTGTCGCTGATGTGGGAACCAAAGCCAAGCATGTGGAGGCCAACCTCCAGAGAGTTTTTGATCTAGCCACCCGCCCCCTTTTAACCCCTTTTCTTATTAATCCCGCCAAACCAACAACCCCTTCGCATAAAGCCCCGCCACAATCCCCACCCCCCTCCCCTTATCCCGCACCACCGACGCGCTCGTCGGGTACTCCCAGCCCGAATAAATATGCTGCACGCCGCCCTCGGGCGTCCACTCGCTGGCCCAGGACGCCGCGCTCAGCGTCTTGCACCTTTCTTCCGCCTCCTCGCGCTGTTCTGGCGGTTTGTCTGATAATAGCTCGGGCCGATTGCACGTGCGTCGCGAGCGCGCGAAGGCGCCGAGGCTGGGCAGGTGCGGGTGTCCGGCGATGAGCAGCGCCTCGTCGCCGTGCTGGCCTTTGGAGACGGAGAGGTTGTCTGGGAGGAAGGGGACGGGGAAGGAGGTGCTTTGGGTTAGGGTTGGGTGATTGCTTGTGGTGGAGGAAGAGGAGGAGATGGAAAACAGCTTCACGAGGCGCGTGTTGGTGCTGGCGACGGCGAGGGTGGTGTCGTGGCGCAGGAGCGCAAGGCCATTGGCGTACGCTAGGCGCGCGACCACGGCGGCGTCGACGGTCCCGTTCGGCAGGATGCGCACGTGCGCGACGCTCGCGATGGGCGGCGCGAGGTACGTCTCCAGAGCCCAGAGCAGGCGGTGCGAGCGCGCGGGGAAGTAGTGCTGGTTCGTGACGAAGAACTCGGATTCGCTGAGCGCGGCGATCGAGTTCGGGGCGTAGATGAGCGGGTGCGGCAGCGAGCGCACGTGCGTCGCCGTGAGGGTGTCCAGGTCGAGCTGGAATTGCTCGATGCGGGCGCCCGCGCGCCGGTGGTTGGTGACGAGTAAGGTGGAGCTGGGCTCGTGGTACTCGAGGCCGAGAGTGCGGAGCTCTGTGGAGGAGGGGAAGTTGAGGATGCGGATGCGCGTGAGGGAGGAGGCGGAGGGGGAGGAAGAGGAGTAATTGTAGGCGTAGAGCTCGGCGTTGGGGTCGGGCGGGGCGTTGTCGACGAAGTTGCCCTAATGTGGCTAATATGAGAACTCATCGTCCACGATGAAGCAAGGGGGATGTGTTATGGCAACTAAGGTGATAATTTACCATAACAGTGTTCCAAGTCTCGCGACCCGGATCGCAAGGCACAATTGCGAGACCACGGGACTCGACCAGCAGTGCATCCTCGCAACTCCGGATCTGGTCCGCAAACTTGATCTCGTAGGATGTGAAGTTTGCATGTCGGGGCATCCGACTCTGCGCATTGAAGTATGCCAGCGACAAAACTTGGTACCGAGAATACCAGAACGCGGCGAAAGGCGCGAGGAGAAGCACGAGCTGTTGAAGAGGTTAGTTATTTATTGCGTGTTTTGGTCTTTGGATGGGGAAACAGGGACGATCCATGAATGAATGTCTGTCTTACAATGCTTGTCTTGATATTAATACCCGACATCATGATTTAACTATCACCGTACACTGGCGCAAACTTAAGAGGGAAAAGAAGGTGAGAGCTTGAGAAAGGAAGGTAAGGGCTGGAGGTGTTTTAGATCAGCCCTGAAGTCTTGAAAATGGACCCCACATGTCGATCACACAGCGTGGTGTATAAATGGGCAAGGAATCCTAACCCTGCACGTCTTTTGCCTTTTAGACATTGCTAAGGTTAGCCGTAGATATATTTATATTTCCTATATAGTAGGGATGCGTTGCAATTATTGTATCCAGTATCTATTTTGAAGTTCTCTAACGATTCGGTGTGCCGTATTCGTCATATTATGGGTGGTGTCTAACGGCCGAGAGGGCCCAGCCGTGTTGCATTGGCCAAGACAAATCTCACAATGAGGAGCCCTGGACATCTTTATCGTTATGGTATTGGGTAGGAAAAGTCTTAGCTGAAGGTCGTGCAACCACTCACAGCATTCGGGGGCTGCTGACGGTGTGTGCTTGTGGTGGAGAAAAATGAAGGATACCTACACAAGATCGGGGGGTGACAAGATGACACGCAGAGAGACTATAACATAGGTTGATATACACCCAGTACCTACCATATTACCTATATTCGATAGGTTTGGTCTGAAAACCATTAAACTCACTGTCAGCAACTCACTTCTGATGTCTGGACTTACAGATTTGGTAGCCTCTTTACCTAGATGTGCTGTATGTATAGTCTTCTCTGCGTTATCCCACTCTTGGTGATTCTTCTTTCTAACTGCATATACCTAGGCAACATGCATGCTTATTGCTGTAGAAGCGTCAACCTGTGCCACCACAGACTCGGCATGCGCGTGTCATGATGAAGATCTGAACACTCAAGCTACCACTTGCATCACAGCGAACTGCACCGTTCGAGAATCTCTCACTACTAAGAATCTGACTTCTACATCGTGTGGAATCGCTCCATACGTGGATCACTCCTACGTTCGGATACTTGCCGTCTTTGTCAGCCTCTCTGCTGTTTCTGTCTTGCTTCGTGTCGCTGCGAGGCTCCAGGCAAGGGTCCCTGTGTGGTGGGATGATATCATCATCACTTTATCTTTTGTGAGTAAGCCCCTCACCCCTGATCCATGGAGAATGCTATATGCTGACGACTGTATCCCGCCTTCCCGATCGTAGCTTGGATGTGTTGCTTATGCCAGCATATTCTGGGCTTGTACGATACCGTTACCTCTACCCCCTTATGAATCCATATCTTCTTCGGCAGATTGGCAGGTAAATGGCACAACAAGCTAACAATTGCTGCATAATAGTGAAGCCCCATGGCTTAGGTACTGATATATGGGCCGTGCCATTTGACGATATCACACTGAGCTTCCAGGCATTCTATGCGCTTTTCATTCTCTACGTCTTGAGCCGGGACCTCGTGCGTCTCTCCATCCTGCTATTTTACCATCGCATATTCGGCCGTACGCCTCTAGCTCGGCGGTTGATTCAATTCACCTTCGTCCTGATTATCGCGTGCTACATCGCTTTCGTCTTTGCCATCGCCTTTGGCTGCACGCCCATCGACTACTTCTGGACCGCGTGGGATGGCGAGCACGAGGGCCACTGCATCAACACTAATGCTATCTTCTGGGCAGGCGCTTTCATCGTTATCCCGATTGATATATGGATCATGTTGATATCCCTGCCGTTTATTGTGCGGTTGAAGTTGTCGATGCAGAAGAGGGTTTTGACGGGGATTATGTTCACGTTTGGAATCTTGTGAGTACCTAGTAGGAATAGTGTATGGGCAAGATGGTATTGACAATGGAATGAATTAACAATTCGATCTAGCGTTACCGTTGTAAGCCTTTATCGGCTAAGAACCATCAACCGCTTTACGCTGTCACAAAATCCAACGGGTGAGTTATAAGTTCATAATTCGCCCCACTCCCCCCTTTTCACATGCTTAACGTTAGCCACCCCTATCCTACTACACCCCTTACTGATGCATTCTTCCATCTCCGATAGCCGACTTCGTCGAAGTTGGGATTTGGTCCGGCCTCGAGCTCTACGTCGGCATCATCTGCGCATGCCTGCCCAACTTTCACCACCTTCTCAAACCCCTGTATCGCTACCTACGCTTTTCTAGGGCGAAGTCTCCACATCCCAGCGCACTAGACTCTAGTGGTAGTAGTAGACCCCATAAACACTTGAATGATGTGGGAGGGACCCCGAAGCCGATGATTCGCGCGACGACGACGGTCGATGTCGAGCATCATGTTCCGGAAAGCCAGGATCATCTGTATGATGTGGATAGGGGTGATGTCACGGGAGGGGTGGAGGAAGTTGAGCTGGGTACGAGGAAAAGGGGCGAGACGAGGGGGTCTGTTTGGTGTTGAAAGGGGGGCGGGCAAAATTATTAAGAAAGCCGTATGTTTAATTACATCGGTAGGTAGGTTTGATGACTTATAGTGCTCCACCGAGTCCTCGGTGAACACCTGGGCAGTTAAAAGTTTGGAATCCAATGATACCTACAATGCCGTCACCACGTAGGTAAGTATACAGGAGAAGTCAGATCCCACCCTCGCTAATTTCCCATCTCATCGATCAAGCCTTATATCTCGTAACGAATGCCTTAACGCCTGCGTGCCAATGATGAACAACTCATCGCTGTACGCAATGACGTCCTTGGGGCCCGCCCCATCAAACTCAAAATCAAACCGTTGGACCAGCGTGGAGATCACAATGCACATCTCCGCCTGCGCAAGGCTAGATCATAAGATCTCCCAGGCAGTCAGCGAAACCGCACATTCCACCCCCCCATTCATAGACGACAACTTACTGCATCCCAAGACAATTCCGCGTCCCCCTCGAAAACGGCGCTTACGTCTTCTCGGCCTTCTTCCGCGCGTCTAGCCCCATCCATCGCTCCGGCGCAAAGCGCTCCGGCTCCGGATACAAGCCCGCGTCCATGTGCATCAGCAGCGTCGTGAGGTGGCTGTCTGAGTCTGCCGATGCGTGGCTAAGATCAATGTTCGAAGTGAGCTCGGCGCGGAGGGTGGCGAGGATAATGGGAGAAGTGTACACGTAGGTAGTATAGGACGAGGCGCATGGCGGCGGCGGCGGTCTCGAAGGCGGTGCCGGTGACCGGTGCTGACAGTCGTCGAAGATGCGCAGGACCTCTTTCTCGGAGGCGGGGAGGTTGAAGTGCAGGATTGCGTGGATCATGGAGCGTGATTCTTTGGCTTCGGCGCCGAAGGCGGGGGTTGAGAAGGCGGAGACGGTCTCTTGCGTGATGGATATGTTAGCTAGAAGATTATATTGCGATTGAATATGATGAGTTCAACTTTGAACGATTTGGTGATGAAACGGCTGCGTTGAGAAGTGCACATGTGACGATTTGCTCCCTTGCGTTGCGTTGCGTACTGGACATATTACCTCCGTAACCAACTCATATATCACATGACTGGTACTCCGTAACCTCAGTACGATATTGTATAAGATCGGGGTTATCACGTGGCGCCTTGGATTAGTCACCATCTAGGATCAGAAGGTACTGTACCTCCTTGAAAATTTTTTTTTTTTTTTCTCTTTCCTTTATTCTCGTTTCTTTATTCTCGTTCCTTTATTCTCTTTCCTCGTTCACAAAATCATCATCAATCAAATCCGTAACTTGCGAAAGCGAATGCAACTGCTAAGACATATTCGCATTTTATTACTTACGACTTACAATAACCAGCATACGTAATCCTCGGCGCCCTTACTTGCAGACAGAAAACAGCCCCTAAAAGGATGTATGTTTAACTCGTATGCGATCCAATCAGTCAGGCTTTCACTTCTCCAGCATACAGGATTGGGTATTCTTAGTTTTCTTCTCATCATGTTGGTTCTAGAATATCATCAACATGCCTTTGATAATCAAACGGAGAAGGTAGGTAGTTTATCAGTACCCATGGGGCATTCTATGTCGCTCATCGATGCATGCATCTGGCCACATTATGAAGCGAAATGTGAGCCCAACTATATGGCCTGACCAGGACAGATGCACGTTGCCAAAAGCGCAAGTTAGTCCTGTTAACATTACAGAGCATTGTGGACGTCTTGCCCACCACGCGCATTGTCGCGTCGTTAGTTGACGAGCTGAGCCGCAAAAGAGCTATCGCATTCCGGCTAGCGCTACGTGGGATGATCGGCCCGCGAATGGTTTGGCCAAGAGATGCGAAGCAAGATTTCTATGGCCTCGCAGCGGGTGGCATTCCGCCAGGAGAACAGGGGTTAAGTGCCGCAGAGCTCTGGCCCGGGTCAGTCTTCTATATGGAAACATATAATCCCACTCGGAACTGAGCTTGCTGTAAAGCTTTACTCGCTTTTGCATAATGCTGAGTCCTTTTCCGATGTGATGCATTTCCGCCTTGAGCACTGGTCGGCGCCAGAGCATGAGACAAACAAGATCATTAAGCTCGTGCTGCTATGAGGCGTGCATTCCAACCCTTGTACCGGCAGGGCTATAACGTATCTTGCATCAAGTATGGCGTTGGCCAAGCAAATATGAGACCTTGACTTCTAAAAAGGTGAGAGTGAGCGGTTAAGTTTGGAGGGGGAGTTCTAGGGAAGGCTAACAGGCGTGACACACAGGACGAATTCCAATTATATCATAGCACTATGCTCAGTCATGGCTGTTTCAAATCTCGACTTCATGGTGCGTGAGAAATATTGGCAGGATTTAAAGGTACGTGGAGCATATTAATTTATAGTTACGAACACTTGAATTAAGTGGGCAAGGAGTCTGCGCCCAGATTTACATCATCCTGAATCATCATGAATACTAGGTACCTATATCAGGCGCAGTTACTAATCGTATCTAACGGCGTCGTTCTTGCGGCTATTAGGTGCATACTGAATTGACTAGGGGTAGGTGATGATACTCCGTTTCCAGAAGATCTTTCTAGCAAACATTTATCTCAGACGGTCGAGTATAGCTGGCGTAGGGATCGCGCGTAAACTGTTACCCCATAATCCCGATCCGATGCAACCACCACCGAAGGTATTGCAGATACTATGCAGGTCATAGAGCACTCCATGGGGATACTCTACTATGCTCACGTCAGATTTAGCACATGGTGTCACCTCGAAACTTGGGAAGAAAACATATCAGTCTACTACCTATTTTCAGCTCTTCGCACTCGCCTAGACCATATCATGCTTTATACACCGCAAATTACTATTCGGACTTAGTGTGCATATCCAATCAATGTTATGATTTCATCGGTTACGAAATCTTTATCTTTACATGGGATGTTCGAGCTATCCAGCAAATAGAGCATGGGAGTGGATAGGTTAGGTAGGTATGGAGTGTAGTACCTAACTATACTAGGAAAAAGATCCTAAAAAAAGAAACACGATCTTGGATCCTGCTGTGCTTATGTGATATGTTACACTAACAGAATATCCTTCAAAATATCCTCTTTACAGACTATACTAAGGTTAGTGTGTTACACCATTCAGTGATGTGCGGGATATACTACCCAGATATTCATAGACAGATGCATACCTACCTGGGTAGGTACCTAGCTATACTTAGGTAGCGTGCCTAGCAGGTAGGTAGGTAGGAGGTGAGTATATATTTAGTCCTGTACGTGCTGTTCAGAGCCGTGTATGATGTGCAACACCTAGTAGTCACATAGCACCTAATCTCTATCTTCACCGTTGTACGAACCTTACACGCAATGGTCACTCAGTTCAAAGCCCTCATATTCGACCTTGGGGGAGTTCTGTTAGAATGGGATCGTAGTAGCGTCAACGCTTTATCGCGTAGTCAATTCTCAACTATTATGAACTCGACGTTCTGGCACGATTTAGATAGGGGGAAGCTCACAGTCAAAGAAGCATGTGATGTAAGTAACGAATCAACCATACTATACTCTATATGCCATATCTTCAACATGATCTAAAACTTTCGGTAGCATTTCGGCAATGTACTTGGAGTAGATCCTTCCATAGTCGAAGGGTCCCTAGACCAAGCCCAGAAATCGTTGACAGCCAACATTCCCCTTGTGCAAACCATCTACGATCTCAAGGCCTCAAATCCCGAGCTCGAATTCTACGTCATGTCTAATATCTCGCGCGTGAGTGCTTCTTTCCTTCTCCTCTTATATAACATACCTACCTAGCTAAAAAGCCCACAGGAGCATTTTGAAGTTGTCCAAGCCTTAGACATACCTTGGCCAATGTTCAACAGATCATTTGCATCAGGGCTCGAAGGCATGCGCAAGCCTGACCTATGCTTCTTTGAACACGTCATTAAAGAAATCGGACATGATCCGACGGAAATGATATTCCTCGACGACACGCCCGAGAATATATGCGCAGCCCGATCCTTGGGGATCCACTCCATACTGGTCGACAACCGACTGGCCAAAGTCGGCGGGACACTGCGGAATCTCATGGAAGACCCCCTAGCTCGCGCAGGAGATTACATGGAAGCCAACGCCAAGAAGCACCACTGCGTTGTGGAGGGCCACGACGACATCATCCTCAAGGACAACTTCGCGCAGCTCCTCATCTGGGAGCTCACTGGCGACGAAGACATAATTTACCTGAAATGGCCCACCGGGGCACTGAGCGGGAGTCCAGATAGCAAAGTCAACGGTAACACCCAGCCCACGACCTTCTCTACCAGCGACGTTGAGAGCGGCCTGTGGAACTACTTCTACGAGAAGCCTGCCCTCACCACCCGGGAGTTCCCGCCCGACGCAGACACGACAGCGATAGCGTACCTGTCCCTGCCCCCGGACCGTCTCCGCCGCGTGGCCGACATCGAGAAGGTGCTGGACCTGATGGTGGCAAACGCGGACCCCAGCGGCATAATGCAGACGTACTTCGCCGCCTCGCGGCCGCGGACCACGCCGGAGGTGTGCTGCAACATCGTGCGCGCCTTCCACCGCTTCGGCCACGGCGCCGACCCGCGCAAGAAGCAGACCGAGGACTGGGTCGTCCAGTGCCTGGCCAACGGCGCCTGCCTCGACGGCAACAGGTACTACTCGACGCCCGAGAGCTTCCTGTACTTCGTCGCGCTGCTGCACGCCGAGTGTGCCGCTACCACCACCACCACCACCACCACCACCACCGCGTCGTCGTCGCTGAGAGAGAGGCTCGAGGTGGTGAAAGTGAAGCTCGGCGAGCGCCTCGACATGCCCACGAACCCCGTCGCGCTCGCGCTGCGGATATCCGCATGTCAGGTCGTGGGGATCGATCCGCAGCTCTACCGGAAGGACCTCACCAGGCTGCTGGACCTGCAGCAGGAGGACGGGGGGTGGCCGGCCGGCCACTTCTGCTGCTACGGGCGGACGGGCGCCAGGATAGGCAATCGGGGGTTGACAACAGCGCTGGCCATGAAGATCATACGGCATGAGAGAGCGTTGGCAAGTAAGCTCTTCTTCTAGGTGTTCTGACCTAGGTAGCGGGTTCCAGATATATATCGGCTCGGCGCTTTTTATCTTTCTACAATCTTGCAACTAGGTACCTAAATATACCCTACCATCGGCTATCGTCAACCGGGACAGACCGGGTCCGGGACACCGGTTCCCCACCAAAATCCACTAAAACTCACCATTTTTAAAAAGGTGTAGCTAGCTCAATAAAATCGATAAAATTATGCAGTTAAATTCAATCTGTAGACCTTTGCAATATGTACATATAATTGAAAAGTTGGGCTAGTAAGCTTTCCCAGAGCGCGTGCGGCGTCTCTCTGAAACAATCTCTTCCTGGGGCCTATTTGCCCCATCCGGCTCTGTATGCGTTTCCTCATCCATAAGCCGCGCCACGCCTTCTAGATTGTCTTCAACTGGATCAGAGGCTCCAGGGGGGTCTAGCTCCTTCATAGCCTTAAGGGATAAGAATTTCTGGTTGGGATTAGGTATCCGACGCCGGCGTTTTGTACGTAGCTGCTCCACCTCACCTTGAGCGGCTTCCAGCTCCTTTTTGTACATTAACTCTCGGACCTGATACCTATTGAGCTCCTTACGGATATCTCTGCATAGCAGGCGAGTCCCTGGGGTTGCATGAAGGGCGTGTTGAGCAAATCTAACGCCTACGGACGGAGATTGAAAGGCGGCACCCAGCTGCTTTCCCTCCCGCTCCTCTTCTTTTACTACAGGAACCGTACCTGGCTCCTTTTTGCATTCCGGATGGTCCTTGGCCTTACGTCTTGAGATAGGCCAATTCCCTGTTGTCCTGAAGCCGGCCTTGATATTCCTTACGGTAAATGCCGCTTCCCGTGCTTTTGCGTAGCAAAGAATAAAGGAGGCCCTATCAACGGGAGCCGCGTTTGTGGCGGCGACGTGATCACTTAGATGCTTGGAATAGGCACTCTTTAATGCATTAAAGGGACCATTATCGAGTGGTTGTAGGCCGTGAGATGTGTGGGCGGGAAGAAAGCACAATTCAATATTGTTGAAATAGCATATCTCCATAAACTCATCCTAACAAATATTAACAAGGGTGGGTCTGAATAAGGGCATATATATCGTAATAAATACGCGAAAAATACAAAAATAGGATTAATGAATAGAGAATTGAATGGACTTACTGTTGTATGGCTTTGATGGCCATCACAGATCAAAAGGCGGCGGTCGTCCTTATGTTTTTTATGAAGGTTGGTTTCGGGGATGAATATCTCCTTGAGCCACTCTACTGCAATATGGTTATTAGACCAACCCTTGTCGGACGTAATAAACCTCCAGTTGAGTGCTGATCTCATCTCCTGCTTAAAGTAGCTGCTTTGCAAGTACTTTCCTTTGAATATTATCCCAGGCTCAAGAGCTACACCAGTAGCACTGATACATTCAATGAAGGATGTCCAGGCTCTTTCTTGTGGGCATTTCAAGTGCGCCTCTCGAGTTTTAGATGATCCAAGAACAAATTCAGTACTAGCTGATAATTATTAGATATTTAGTAAATAATAAAAACAAAAATTAGGGCCATACCTTGTCCCATCATCAATCCCCCCTCATCCATGTTGTAGGTAAGATCAGGGCTGATATTCCCGTATATACCCTCTCTGGTATCAAAATACCAGTTTACAGCTCTCTCATTGAAGCTATTAAAGCGGGCAGCCTCCATCCTACGGCCTTTTTTCATCCGTATATCGGGGTGGCGCTTGTGAAATCGTCTGACCCAGTTGACGCCAATGGGCTCAGAATAGCCGTTGAGGGTTGAATATTTAGTCGCGATACGGCGTACAATATCCGGCCGGGGGGCATATCCGATGGTTTCCTGCCTTATTATCCATGCAGCTAGCATATCCTCTTGATCCATTGTCAGTTTCGTGCCGATATAGCTACCTTTTCGTGGCTTTCTCCCGTGCATCCGGGCCGAGAGTGTGGATTTAGGGACCCAGTGCTTTTCGGCCGCTCTACGAAGAGATAGGCCATTTTCAGTGATATCAAATATAGCGTTAGAAACGTCTTCTTCTGTATATGAATCCATTGAAAACTAGAAGTGATTTGGTCTATTGGTTCTATCTGAAAAGTGTGTTCTATTCCGGGGGTATAAATCCTCATTTTGGCGGCATTTACTCCTATTTTCAATACCCGATATCTCCACCTACAATGGTCCAAATTTAATAAAAACAGCCTCACTCCATAGACCTTATTCGAAATAACCATGGAACGAGAAATTGGATTTATATAAATTTATTTGGTTGAGGGAGGCGTATTTCCAAATGGTGACTTTTAGTGGATTTTGGTGGGGAACCGGTGTCCCGGACCCGGTCTGTCCCGGTTGACGATAGCCGATGGTAAGATATCATCAGCTTGGCTCCAAAGGGCTAGATATTGAGCTAGGTAGAAATGCCACGCGTCATAAAGTATTGTGACAATGGATAGGTATCTTCTATCGTCCGCGAGCAGATATATATGCGCATGCCGGCGACATAATCGTTGACCGGACTTGAGGCAGCGCTAGGGTTGCTATCCCCATTGTCACGCATGGCACTCTAGATCGCTGCGCCAGGGTACGTGTAGCTACGGTATGCCTAACGCGTTGAACAGATATGCGTTGAGGTTAAGCTGGATACCTGAATTGCATAAGATGAGGTAGAGATGTTATATATATATACAGGAGATGTGAACACCATTATCACCCTTTGATCCTCTTGGAGGAGGTGAGGGACGTTAGTTTGGGCGTGGGGAATGAGGGGCAGTGGGAGGCGGTTGAGTTTTTGAAGGTGAGGGGATAGGGGGGTTTAGGTTAGGTAGAGGTGAAAGGGGCGGGTGAAAGGACGGCTGGGTAGGTATGAGGTGCAGGAGCTGGAGAATGGATGTAAGAGCAGTGTATAAAGAAGAACAGTTATTCTTCTCATTGAAACTTAGCTAAATAGTGTATAAAATTTTAACCAAAATTTGTACATACGATATATTTCAAAAGTGATAGGTTTGGGGACTCAGGGGTACCTAGGGTAATTCAGGGGTAAATTTAAGGCTTGGCAATTTCGAAGATACATCCATACTATTACTATACCTCGATCTTCGAGGAAATACTTACGACAGAGGGAATCGAAGCAGCTTGTGTAGGTATCTATATACCTGTCCACTACTAGGTATAAATCAACATTTGGCATTTTTCATTTCATCTAAATACGACGATCTTGAGGTCTTTACAATCCCGACTTCATGCATGGGCAGCTTCAATTTGACTCATAAGGAAGCTCACTCTGAATTGTGTTATTATATACAGAGCAGCTACTATGTTTCACGTTTCTAATGAGCGTCCGAAAGCTTATTGATCAAGGAGTGAATCCATATCGCAATCGACATAGGGAGTCCAAAAAAGGCCCAAGGCCCCAAAATCTGCCAGACACATTCAAGCCTGGACAGCGGCCTCACTGGACTTTTCCGCATCAAGGCGGTGGAAACCTCCCTGGGCCGCCACATCCTTCTGGAGCACAACCATGCGCTTCTGATCGCCGGTAGGGTCCGAAGACTCGCCTTCAAGCATCCAGGACAGGAACGAGTTGGTGTAGTTGGGCTGGAAGCTCTCGTCGAGGACGCCGAGGCGCTTGCCGTACCTAGTGACCTTCTGCCAGTCGCGCTGAACATTCTTCAGATCCTTGGAGAAGTAGGCGAATGAGCGCTCGAAGATCTTACGGTTAAGATCGGTGCCCATGACCGGTTTGAACTCGACGTACTCGGCGTACGCCTTCTCCGGCTCGGCGAGAACGAAGTCGGTGGCCCGCTTGACTGCACGCATGAATGCGCGCACCTTCTCCGGGTTCTCGGAGATGAACTTCTCGTTGCCGATGTATAGGATGGTGCAGAAGCAGCAGCAACCTAGCTCGGCAAGTTCGTCAATGCGCAGCATCTGCACGTCGCTCTTGGGACGGCCCTGCGCAGCAAGCCACTCTTCGAGTTCGACCATCTGGACGTTTTCGAGGCCGATGCCAGCATCAATCTCGCCTTTGATGATGGCCTTTGAAACGTTCATGCCGCAACGGACTGCGGTGTAGTCCGCAGGGGTCATCCCGTAGTGCGAGGTAAGCTCATCAATCTGAATCTGCATAGATTTTTAATGAGAAAATTCCGAGGAGGCGTCAAATCATGTGCAGATACCTTTCCGAACTCGCCTACATAGCCAATTCGTTTTCCCTTGAGAGTCTTGAAATCGGTAGTAATACCGCTGTCCTTGAGGTACACAACGCCTGTGAAAGGCTCATCGAGAAGGGAACCAATAGACAAGACAGGAAAGTTTCGGGCTTTGGCCTACGTCGTAACTTTTAGCTTACGTTTGCCTGGAGAGTTATTGTTGAACGATGTCTTACAGCAAGGGTGTGGATCATGGCCTTAAATCCAAGATCGACCTTTTCGGTGCCGATGATTTCGGTAACGTCCTACGATGTCTTAGCATTTAGGATGCATGTGAAGCTTGCATGATGCGTACGCTAGGGTCGTTGGGTTCAAGCAGAGCAACCTTGATGCCCTCATCCTTGAAGTATCCCTTCGCTTGGGCAAGGTAAAGAGGGGCATGGTATGGCGTCGCATGCCTGATATTGTTAGTAATTGATCACTTTTAGCAGATACTTTCATGCTTGCCAGTTGGTCAAGAACGTGATCTTGTCGGTAGACATGATGGATCAAGCAATGCTTCGACAGTCAATACCACACTGATCAGACAAATAGGGGGAGGAGAAAGTAGCATGTCCTTTCGCTGGAATTATCCAGATCAAGTTTGAACGGTGTAATCTCAGCCCTGATGTCTTTCTAGTGTCTGATATCACCTCTCGATAGATCGTATCATATCAAAAGGTGATTCATCACAAAATCAAGAACATCGAGCACCCGCCATGCGTTTAAATAACGTTACCTTGATACTGAGATAGCTCCATGATGGGAGATGCTTCCATTAACCGTACCGATGGAGTGAGGTCTTAGATGAGATTTTAATAGGTAAATAGCTTTGTAGTTGAGTCTGGTTATCACGATCGCGGGAAGAGAGATTGGTGAGTTGGAAGAGAGAAGAGAGAAGGTAGGCGTCTACAGCACAGCACAGAAAAGGACAGGAGGGCTCTTTAAATCGGACAGGATGAGGGGTAAGTAGTAGTAGTACGGCATAGTAGTAGCCATTCGATGGTGGGTCGTTCATGCAGTCTATTCGTCATATTAATCATATTAATCTGGCAAATCTGATGGCCGGTTTATTTATCTCAGGGGATCATATCGTTTTAACTCGGTTTGAGACGGTCTAAGTTTATCAAGACTTAGATGCCTACTATTTACCTTAACAACATTTGAATCATTGAACCATTGAATCATTACCACGCAGGCGTCTATTTCGTATTTGAAAAGTTAAAATCCTTTGTTGGTCGTATGGATCATCGTCAGTTGAGAACCTTGGAAGTTTGACGACTAGATTAGCGGCACTGCCTCTTAGTGTATCTTATGTACATAGTTATGTACCTAGTAAGGGCAACGGCGAGCCCAAAGTAGACAGCAAGCATCCACTGATAGTCTGGTACATGTGGTGACCGTTGAGTCACAAGGACAAGGCAATAAGGTACAGTGTTTGCACAACATTGAATGTAGTACAACAAGACATGACTGCTGTTGCCTGAATCATCTTTGAATCGTCTTTCAACCTTGCAATCCATGAATGATGATCCATCCAACCAAAACTGCCAATTGATCACCAACTAGGTCGTTCTAGCAGCCCATTGCCTCAGCCTCAGTCAGGTACATACATGGTAATTTATTTCGTATGTGTATGTAGGTACTCACTAGATCCTACGCTTTCAATGTGTCCTGGTATATAAGCCAACGTCAATGCTTTCAGAATTATGACTTCCCGTTTCTCAACACCACATCACTTGTGCTTGCTCATCCCGCAGACGTATTCCCAGCACCAAATACGTCCAGAGCAGGTCGGTGACTGTATCAGTACTCATCACATTGACTTACCCATCAGTAGTCCCTTTCTATTTGAGCAACTATCACTACCTGGGTAGACAGCCTGCGCTATAATCTGGACCGAGAATGTCGCATCTCCCAGACCCTGAGCAGCATAAAACTGCTGGTGTTGGCTTTCATACCTCGCCTAGTGCTCTGCTTCGACGCCGTCGGCTTCTTCTCGACATCCAAGAACTCGTTGAAAAGCCTTACCCGAACATCAACGTACATGTCCGCGATGACGACCTCAAAACAATTTGCTTGGTCCTCACCCCTACCAACTATAAACCTCTTCATATCACCATGAGCCTTCCGGATCTGTACCCGGTACATCCGCCTGAGATGGCCATGAACTCAACAGTTTACCATCCAAACGTTATCGGGAATTTTATTTGTGTCACCATCCTAAGGCCCCATATGCACACTCCGGCGTACACCCTGAGGGGCTTAGCAATCCAGATATTGAGCGTTTTCTCAAGCGAAAGTATCGAGCAAGATTATGGAGCCACAAAAAAGTTGGATAATTACAAGGACATAGACAAGAGGTTAACTGATAGATTCGAGTGTTCACACTGTGATTTCGGAAAGACGAAAAGTATTGGTAAAACTACACAGCCGTGTTACGATGCGCGCACAGAGAGCAACCCGAGTCAATGGCCTACGCCTGGAGAGAGAACCGAACCACTATTACACGATCCGACGCAAGACGTTCAGGTCGCTCTACCCATCCAAAAGAACGAGACAACAGCTTGCGAAATCGACAGACTACCAAAGGAGCTGCTTCTACTCATCATCGACCACCTAGAGTTTGATCATTTGACAAAATTTGCCGCTGCCTGGCCGAAGGTGAGCGACCTGATGATAGAATTCGACGTCGTGCGACAGCGTGAGCTGCAGTGCTTCTGCCTCAAGAAAGATTACAGGGCTGTCAAGCTTGGTGTGGGCGTCGAGATTCAAAACGGGTATGTCGCATCGGAGTTCGACTTTATCTCCCAAGAAGCCTTCCATCATTGGAAAATTCGCGAATCCATAAACAGGCTGGGATTTCAGCATTGGCTTCCTTTGCCCATTTCACACCCTCACTGGCGTGGTGTTCGGGGTGACGCTGTAACGTCGCTACGCAAGATGAACAGTGCGCTAAATAAAGGAGGACCGTTCGGCTTTGTCCAGGTGCTAATCGGTTTCATGAATGATGTTGTCGTTCGCCTCAACCAAGTAAAAGTCGAGAATAGGCGTTCTCCCAAATCCAATCTTCGTCACGCGTCGGAAAAGGCTATTGAGTCATATTTCCACCTATTCCACCTTCTCATATGTCTTGCAGTCGAGGATCCATCCTTGGTTAAGCGTGCGAATTCCATGCTGCTAAACTTTAAGAATGGAAAGCGATCCAAGGCCGACTGTCCCAGCCTAGGCCACCTCCTCGTCACATTATTAATATCCGACGTCAAGGTCACCGAGGAAATCATACAGGCTATCATAGCAGAGGCGATCACCAGAAATGTTGTCTGGCTCCTCGACAAGAAAGGGGCAAACTTGCCGGAGCTTTCGCACATGGAGACACAGCCGGTATCTGCCTATCGTCTCGACAAGACCTTTGAGGGCTCGCGAACTTCGTATCGGCTTCTGATGTTCTCCGAACTGTTCCGGCGCACCGCACGACCTTCGCATCAAAAGCCACTAAGCCAAGTCTGCGACGAGCTCTTTGAGCGGCATGGCGCGCCTCCGCGTGGTGCGGCGCAGGAGCTGGCAGAGGCGGTTCGCCGCGTGCACACCATCAACAATTTCCCGGCTTTTCTGAAAGAAATGGGCATAGCCAAGGCTCCTAATCCGGCAAGCTTCACTACTTTCCTACGAAAGACGATTCACGACAGCATGGAGAAGGGGTACTCGGTATGGGGTATGAAGCCGGCATGGGTGCTCGTGCTACGCCGTCGCAAGGACCCAAGCATACACAGCGAACCGATGACCGAGTATGAGAGACATTTCGTGGAGCAGAATGAAAATGGCTATCCGGAACAGCACTGCGCGTCCTTCTTCCCCAAGCGGGACAAGGCGGGTGCACCAAACAGGGGTCGCGGGGGCCGCCGTCCGTGAGAGCGTCAGTATTACTAGACAGCTTCTAAGTAAGGAGCTGGATGGGTTAGTACTGAGTGGAAGCAAAAACTGAGATGGATGGAGGTGGAAGGTGGAAATGGAAATGGAAATGGTGGCAGGGGAGAGAAGATCGACTGCAGGGATAGCTCACACACTAATTTAGTGATAAGCAGGGGTTATAAGGCTTAGAGCTTGCACTAAAACTTAGCGTCGTAGTGCACTAGCACAGCCCTGGAGTACTTCGTGAGTTGACTGGCCAGCAGACGTGAGCCACGATCACGAAGCATCAAGAAGAAGAAAAAACATGAAAGGAAAAAAGACTACGAGGGATAAAATCACCAATGTTTTACAGACAAGTTAGATTCACTGTTTTTTTCAGATATCTAGGTAGTTAGGCCGTAGACTTGACGGTCGTTGTATTAGACCCCTTTACAATCATGAGCAGTAAATATGAGTTACATCAATATTATCAATATTTCCATGGTAATAATTCTTCCATGGACGTTTTACATGGCTACTTACCTAGTACCTACCTAGACATAGTGTCAGGCGGGGAATCATACGTTTGACACTCACATAGGTAGGTAGGTAGGTACCTATACATCACTCGCTTCTAGTACATTCTATTCTATTCTATCATATACAACGAGGACAAAAAGCCTGCTGCCTGCAGCTATGTTGTCGTCTATATTGTACCTAGTACTGAGTGGAGACATAAATACCTCGGTACCTAGATCTGAAGCCTTATATATAAGGCAGCAATATCACAACCCTCACCGGCGATACCATTTCTCCTGAGTACCGAGTACCCTCCCCAAGGTACCTCTCGACCGAAGTTAAACTTATAGGTCCCCGGAAAGCAACATCTCTCACTTCCTGGGTGAAAACTCGGGTACCTGAGTTTTCAACCTAGGTTGGCTCAGTGGTAAGGCGCGAAAACCACCAGGGCTCCCCAGAAAGTGCGGGTTCAGAACGAAAACCACTGTGGGACCCCCGAGGGTGCGGGTTCAATCCTACCACAAACCTTTTGCTTTTTTTTCCTTTTCTTTTTTTTTTTTTTTTTTTTTTTTCTACAATTCTTTTTGGAATTGAACACCACCACTTATAAAATGAAGCTTGAGTCACGTAACGATCCCCAAGACGGACGACTCGCAAGCCTCCCTCCCTCCCTCCCTCCCTCTCCTCGATCGCCACAACTACACTAACCAAGAAAGCATCGTCACATCGCTTCTCCTCCTCCTCCTCCTCCTCCTCCAACACCACACAGTACCCAAGGCAGACTTTCTCGAGCGCTTGCCGTTACCACGCCCCCGCGTCGCGTGTCACTCGAACGGCGCAACATCGACGCCCTTTCCAAGCGCGGGCGCACGAGGACGACGAGCGGCGGTTGTGGCGCGCGGAGTGAGTGGTGGGGATCCCTGGGATGCGCTGGCGATCGTGGCGGGATTGCTGCGATTGTTTTTGTTTCCTTTGGATGCGGGGAGGGGAGGGGAGGGATAGTGTTAGTTTGGCCTTGTTGGCGATGTGCTTGCTGAATGGTGAGATTCTGCATACCTAATGGGTTTGATGGGAGGGGGGGGGGGGGGGCTGCGGGGGACATGACGGCAGCGCAGTTTCGGGAGGAGTGCTGTGTCGATGGGATACAAGCCCCCGACGACGTGCCGAAGCTGTCGTATAACAAGGGCTGTCGGCTCATGGATGTTGGGCTTGCGCGAGAGGGCACGGAGACGAAGGGGCGTTTGTGGGAGTTGGGGCGCATTACTAGGTATTTCGACGAGGAAATTTAATAATGCTGGGTTGGGATTACCTACAGGAGCATCGGTATCTGTGCCGTCTCTGCGCCGAGCTACACGAGCTTTCGGGAAACAGGACTTGCGCACGCAGGAAATCGAACGTTCTCTAGACGATGATATCCGAGGCAGCGACCTCTACAGCGTGAGGGAGAACTACATGCTCATGATGGCGGTGGCAGTGGCCAAGACAGTCCGCGAGGGAGGGTCGCTGAGGGTTGGGAAGCTTTGGGACCCGGAGGGACGGTCACGAAAGGGGGGGGCACAGCGATTTTCGTGTGGGATGATACTCAGTTTAGGGATGGCGATGACGGGCCGAGGTTTGTGTTCACGTGCCTGCAGCCCAGAAAGGATGGCTTCAGTGGACACGATGCCTGCGATGTGGATCGGCACGCGTCGCTCGGGGTGGACTTTGAGGGAGGGGGCTTGAGAGGAATCACAGGCACGAGAGCGTGCATTGTCCCGCATCTGATGATCCGGTGCTGGATCCATGGGATGTGCTTTTCTTTTTCGCTGGATGTCCGCGGCGAGAGGTCGTTTTCCCCTGGCCGCGCGCGCGCTAAGGAGTATACCAACCTCATGAGCGATGACAGCGCAAGATATTTTTTTTTTATTTACGGTGACGATGAGAATAAAGCGCACGTGTGTCTCGGCCGGACTGCCTACCAGCCTACGTGCCTACTACTGTATATGCACGGCATACTTGGCAAAAAGCAACACGGTATTCGTTTAGGAAGCTATCTACGGCGGAAGGATAGCCCTGCAGGAAGCAGGAAGCAAGGCGTGGGCGGGATGGATGCGATTGATGGATGCAAGATGCAAGATGCAAGTTTGGGGAAGTGGAAGTTTGAAGTAAATAGGGCAGGTCGGAGTTGAGATTTTTTTCCCAGCGCTGTGGTATGGAATTTTACAATCAATCCCTCCAGAGTCCAGAGGTCTGCAGGTTGGTCAGCCCAGCGGGAACCCCTGCCCCCTTGGCTGAAACCAGAACCAAACCAAAGCAACCCGTTAGAAGGCGTAAGGAGGTCCAACATCTCGGGATTTTTATTTTTTTATTTTCTGCAAGATGAGATGTAAGTTAATGGTGGCTTGCAGGAATAACGGCAGAAGGAAGCAAGTGACTTGCTTTACATGTATGTATGACGCGGATCGGCCTTTTTGAGCCAACCACGCATTTCGATAATTTCGATTTTTATTGTAGGATCTATGGGATTCATTGGTTCGAGGTGTACGGTCGATCGAAGCTGGCTTGAGTGGACAAAACAAGCGCTGCAGTGCGTCAATTGGAGATGTTCTGGAACTTCGCGTGCCAAGAGTCTGTAAGTGGATGTTTAATGAGTGATCTCTGAACCCCCCTGCTTCGTTCTAGTTTGATAATTGCGTTCATGATAGGTTGATCGTTCGCATCGAATGACATACATACAGACCTACATAATACATATGTATATGCAGGTACTAGCCTAACATATTCAGTTGGATGTAAAGTAACCTTGAGGGATCTGAACAGTGAATTATCCGAACTGTCGTTATACAAACATCACGTAGATATATCTCACCATGACTAGAGGAATATTAATATGTTAGTGGATGAGATCTCATCGGTAACTGGCGTCGGAGATTAAAGAAATCCACCGCTGACCCGACCATTCAGCTCGTACGACAGACATTCGAATTTCGTGGGTTGTAGCCCACTGGAGATGAAAGGATGCTATGTAATTTATTACAGTACGTGGTTACGTCGTGGTAGATTCTTAATTCGAGTGTTTGCATCATAACCTTGGTAGGTATATATTGGGAACTGCCCTTGCTTCGATGTTCCTCTGACTATTCTCGAAGAATTGAACACGCCAGTACGTACCTACTAAGTAGTAAGTACTCTCTCATAGAGAATATCAGATACATATCTACATATGTAGACGCACGATTTTCAGACGGACCGGGATGACGAGTGTTGAAATCGCCTGCAAGTAACGACACTAGTGTTTCTGATTGGTGAAGTCTACCTCTTCCATCTTTTGATTCGCTAGGAGATTTTAGTCAGGGGCATGGGGTCCAGGGGTCTTTACTGCATAGTATGTCTCCGTCTACTGGCCAATTGCTCTTTTCGGGCAATGTCCAATCCGTATTCGAACTCGTAGTCTCGTAATTGTCACTATCTAGGTATCTTGTTTATGCGCCACCTTCAACGGTTCAACCCCACGATACACAGAAACACCTCTAATTTATGGGCTTATGTGAATGTGTTAATCAGCACCTATTTTAGCAGATATTTTTAGCACGAATACTATGTTTAAGGCTGTTTGCTAATTAGATCACTTCCTAAGTTATTTGCTTGGAAATTAACTCTTTAATGCTGAGTACAAGTGAGTAGGGATTTATAATGAGAATTCTCGGTTGTGCCCCATGATGGGTCATGGGAGCCCTGGTAATTTATGGACCTTTACTTACCATACTTAGGTAGTTTACTGGTACTTTACTGGTAGTTTACTGGTAGTTTACTATCATCAACGCTGTAAAGCACTGACCTTGCGGTGCATTTCGAAGCCTTTTTCGGTCCACTCCCGGCCCCTTTTCTCCACAATTCTCTATAGACGACATGAACTAATGCCAGGTACAACACTGAAACTGGACTCAGTGGACTGGACTTGCCGTTTTCTTCTTCCTATCACAACCCCAACCCTACCGCTGCTGCGCTGCTTGTAGTTGTTGTTGCTCTTTTTCTTCTTTCGATCTTTTCTTCCTTCTTGTTGCTTTTGTTTGCTATTTGCTTTATTTCTCTTTTTCGGTTAGTTGATGTAACTGGAACCTACCATTTTTTCATCCTTCCTTCGCCATCCATTGCGTTTTTTATTACGACCCAGTGTCGTCTGGTCCTCTCTCACAACGTCGCAATCACTTCTATTGCGACTATTTACCGCTCTTTCGAACTTGAAATTCTTTACTCTCTTTTTTTCTCAATTTTCTGTCTTGCAGGACTTCCCATCCTGTCTTGATGACAACTAGGTTGCCTGCGTGCCATTCGTTTTCCCGCTTTTTAAAATCACGACTCCCGCCGCCGCCACTCAAACGAACTACCGTCGGCTTCCGCAGCCAAACTCTCGGCGAGCAAAACAAGTAATTGTTCTTGCTTGATTACCTCTTGATCGCCATTCCCCAGACATCCCATCAGGTCCGATTCCTTGGGGTTTCTTCGCGATTTGCTTATTAATATCTTAACGACCCTGTTACGTCTGAAACGCGAACGGTATCTGAGACCAGCAAGTCGCATCACTGGGTTCTTGCTACTACTCTCTCTTCCACCTAATCGGGAGACAGCGCTGAGCGGACACTACGGCAACTTGGTCATAACATTTACCAAGCCGTCGGCACTCGTATGCTTTTCGGACCGTGTTTGTAGAGCTTGGCTTTCCTGGGAGACCTCAAACGCAGCCAACGCGACGTATTCGATAGAATACCATCAAGCTCGAGCATTGCTCTATCTTCTAGGACTAGCTTGTTGTCATCGAACGAGGGACCGACAAAGTTGAACTGGCACGAAGGAGAGCTAGCACTTCTCGAAACGTCAAGCGTACGTGATCCCTTACTCTGCACCAGACCCCTGGCCCCCCCCAATTGGGGTATCCGCAGCCAATGAATTATTTGCACTTGCTGTTGAAATCAATTGCATTGAATCAGAATTTGGTCCATTCCTTGGCTCGAGCTTGCGAGAATCTCTTGGCTTCTTGACGTATGTGAGGATCGTATCACGAATCCGAGTACTGTTCTCTGATCTTCGCTGCTGCATGAACCACGTGAACCATTCATTACCTTGAGATTGAATCCCTTTATTGTAAACTTGACTGACATATGGCAGGCCCATCCAGCAACCACTATCGCTTTCAAGTGACTGGATTACTTAATTGCGTATTGCTGCTGGCTTAGCACCGTGGGCTATTTTCACCTTGCCGTTCGTTTTGATCAAAAGAGTTGCATCAAGTTTGTGTTTGACAACATTCGCGTTGTTCTAAATAAAGTGGAGGAGGATCTCACTGTTTAACCATCAACGACCTTAGCTGACTCGACTCCGCGCGACATCCTCGGTCATCTGCGTCGAAGTCATTTCTTGTGCCACCCGAACGAATACGAGGCCACATAGTTCCCGATCTCGTTTTCGTTTGATTCTCTTTCCTACCGACAGGTTATCGGTTGCCGGCATTGTAGCGACGCGGACTGTTGAGGGCGAGGGTTAGGAATTCGCGTATGCCGTTGATAAAGCCGGCAAACGCCGTGAAGGAATTGGGAAGAATCGGCCGTGTGGAAAGCTGAAAATTCGTTCTGGGCTTTGCAGGACCCAGATTTTTATATAAATGAGTCGATCTCAAAATGGAAGAAATAACGACCAACCATCCGATTTGGGGGGATCCGTCAGAAGAGCGCGAGAACAGGCCGAGACGATTATAAGAGGTGGATATTCGGAGCCTCTGTCAGCAAGGCGTCATAATTTACAGATTCGTGATGAGCAGGGGCAGATTGGAATGGCGATATCAAAACCGACACCAGTGGCCCAGTGGCCTCTCCCCGGCCCTATTTCCGCACCAGCAATGACCGATGCCGAGCCGTATCGACCACCTCCCGGACGATCACAACCACCGCAACGACCCCCGCGACCTAGCAGGACATTATCAATTCTTGACAGTTCTCGTGTTCAAGACCACACACCTGTGTTCCAGTATACACCGCAAGATATCAGGACATCAGAGCTTTCGGCACCCGAGACTATACCGAGTACCTCCTCCAGACGGTCAAATACTTCTTCAGTCGGGTCCATTCCCGACTTCCCGTTACCAGTAACCACACCACCTCCACAACAACCTAGGAGAAGTGTCACTTTAGGCCCACCACCATCTTCGAGAAGAGGGGCCTCTTCATTTTATTCCACGGCGTCTTTTGTTTCACCAATACCAGAGGAGAGCCCGAGGACACGATCACATGCTTCTTATGCATCTAGCGCCGCGATACCGGAGAGTTTTGGGAGTCTCACGCCAGGATATAGCCCAAATTCTCTATATGTTGACGATACGATAGCAGAAGAGTCCATCGCCAGCGACGACGAGAGCCGCCTAGTAAGGAATGCAAGTATAGGGAAGAGGGGGAAACCATCTTTGGTAACCACATCTGGTCCCGAAAAGAAGGATGGATTCTTAAGGCCGGGGCCAAGCCCAGTCCCGGGCGGACCATTTCGAGACGGCACCGGCTACCTCGAGGCTTCATCAAGCTCATCTGGAAACGGTTCACGGGAGGCAGTTGGAGCTGCCGTCACCCCAGAAAGCATGCTAAATGCATTTGAGGGCGCGAGTGCCACGGATCCTTCATCATTACGAAAAGCTACCCCTTCACCAAGGCCATACAGATTTTCCGCCATACGGAGACCGCCACGCCTAGACATAGACGCAGTGAGGAAGGCTGAGCAGAGAGGGAGCTTGACGAGTCTACCGGATTTAATTCGACGGGCAACCAGATTGGCAGCTTTAATGGACAGAGGGCGCAGACCCGCTAGTCGGTTCGACGAGTTAGACTTCCCGGAAGAAGTCTACAATAACGAATCCGAGAAGGAATATTCTTGTGGGTTCCACTGCATCGATTCACGTTGTATATACTGACCAATGGCGTAGATGATATGAGGCATCAGTCCGGGTTGTCGGGTATGCTCGCAGCATTCCCGCCCCCGGGAAGTCGGAATGATGCACGCAAAAGTAGGGCTTCGACGTCTTGGCCTCTAACACGAATGTCATTTCGAGGGCCTCCAGCAGAATCGGATCGATCACTCGAGCCGGAAACAGAGTCGCAGAAAAAGAAGCGCCGTTGTTGTGGATTGCCGATATGCACCTTTTTCGTATTGGCTCTTATTTTGCTGTGTATTATTACAGCCGCCGTCGTGGTCCCGGTTAAGTTCCTCGTTATTGATAAGGCGGCTCAGAGCAATAGGGCAGCACAAGAGACTGCGAATGAGTGTGAGACACAATTAGTATGTGCCAATGGGGGTACCAATGTTCAGCTTAATGGAACTTGTTCGTGCATTTGCTCGAATGGTTTCACGGGTGTGGATTGCACTATTCCTACTTCGCAAGGTTGCACTACGACTTCGATCAGCATGGCCACTACTAGCATCAGCAATGTCACCATCGGCCAGGCGATACCCCGACTCATAAGAGATGCCCAGGCCAATTTCTCAATCCCCCTTGTCGCCACCGAGATACAATCCAAGTTCAACAAGGAAAACCTCTCTTGTGTTATTGAGAATGCGTTGGTTACTTTTGATGGGCAATTCCTGCAAGCACAGAAAGCTCTGTCTGAGGTTTCAAATCTCGATACCGATCAAGATCTTGTGAAGGCCGGCGTAGTTGGGAATGAGGTTCCGATCACACTAAGTGTGCTTCCGGACGTGGACATTACCGTGACAGTTCAGAACCCGGCCGGTACTGGTGCATTTTCTGGGAGCTTTGTGGTAACCACGCTGACTTCCCCAACAACAATTTCCGGCTCTACGATATTTGCCACCACCATCACAGATAGTAACTCTAAGCGAGCAACACCTACACCCATGCCCACAACGGCGCCAGCATCGACATCCACTACTCGGAGCCGCACAACTAGTGCAACTACGACGGCTGCCACGGCTACGCCATCAGCGAGCTTTGATGTCAGCACTGAGATTGTCGACTTTGCCCGCGTGGCAGTGCTGTATATTTTCCAAGAACAGACCTTGGACGATGCCTCGAATGCTCAGACCTCGATTCAGAATTTCTTTCGCGATGTGGGATCTGGGCAGAATACCACATCTGCCATGAATGTCACGCTGGGTGGGGGAAACACGATTGATTTCGTGGACTTGTCCGTCGATATAGGTGACGGACAAAAAGTCGGTGGTCGAGGCGGGTGAGGGACTCGAAGCGGGTAATTGTGACGCATTTCCATATCTCGAATGACGTATCGAAAGAACGTGTCGAACAGAACGGAATAATGCAATTAATTCCCGAAGAGTATGAGCAACATGAGCACGCAAGCTTGTTGAGCGACATGGGTTGATGCAGGCTACGAGCAACGGAGTGGAATGAAATACCTAGTAACCTACCTACCTTATTATTCTATGGTTTTATCATTCTCTCTCTACCAAACTAAAGGAAAAGGACGATCCGAAGTAGATCGGTCTTTGTCTTTTTGTATACATATTTCTATCGATTTTTTTTTTTCACTCACGCATGAAAGGGCAGCACCGGAAGAAGAAGCGCAATTGCATTGCATGTGCATAGGGTTGAGGTTGTTGTTTTAGCGCCGGCGTAGATAGGAGAACAAAAAACACTCTCAGATAGGTAGCTCGAGCTAAAATCTTTCGAGGCAATGTTTAATCGAATTGAGTTTCAAACGTACCATACGTACCATACAATACAGGGGTCCTGAAGGGGCTTTGGGTGATCGGGATTCACTGCATTTGCAGATGTCTATTGCTTTTGGTGCTTGCTTGCTTACTTACCCCGAATATGCGTAGGGAGGTAGGTAGGTAGGTATGTAGGGAGGGGAATGGCGTCAGCGATTGCCAGTCAGTCCAGTCACCTGGGCAGTCAGTCAGTCAGTCACATGGGTTTTGGAACTGCATTCATTGCACTGTTGTAGTGTGGTGTATGTAGGGGGGGGGTGGGTAGGTAAGTAGGTAGGTAGGTAGGTAGGTAAAGTAGGTACACATCTTGCGCGTGGAGTCAGTCAGCACTTGCTACGCCATGCCATGCCATGCCATGCTGTTCTGATCTGCTCTGCTCTGCTCTGTTGAGGCTTGTGGATCACGCGACGACTCCACTGGACACTTATTTATTTATTACCTACTATGTAGATAGGGGGTGGATGCATGTGTGTGTGTGTGTGTGTGTGTGTGTGATAGTGAAAGAGAGCTAGCTGGAGAAAAAAAGAGGGTGTAGAGACGATGAATTTAGGCAAAGGGAAGGAAAGGCGAGAAGACAAGAAAGACTAAAAGAGACTTGGAGAAGAAAATAGTTGGTGTGGAAGTGAGTGAGTGAGAAGATCTCGGGGCTTGAACGTTCTTGTTCCACACACCGTATGTATGTATGTATGTATGTATGTATTGGTTTGAGTCGATCACGGGATATAGGTAGCTTGGGTAGGGCTTGGGTAGGTAGGGAGGGTAAGGGTGCTGAAGAATTGATGGGGTAGATAGATATCGGCGGGAAGGGAGAACATTGAAGATTATGAAGAGGAAGAGGAAGAGGCGGAGAATGGGGAGGAGGAGGAGGAGGAGAGGGTTGGTGGAGGTGGAAGAGGATGAGGAAGAGTGCATATGTTTATTAGCTCGGCTATGCGAAAATTCAATGTTTGGAAAAGCCTCTTTTTCTATCTTTTTATACCTACATATAGTATCCTACCTATGCATGTATGTAGATTCCCATGTAGCCATGTGCTATGCAGACTCGAGAGGCTTAGTTATTCTCTTTTTTTTTTATCCCGGGATCTTCTCTTCTCGGCTTTCTTGTGCCGCTTTTTTTTGGATCTTCAATCCAGTTTTCGGTTTTTGGGGGGGATTTTTTTTTTGCGCACTACCATGACGCAGGCCGGGGCGCACAAGTCACACTTTTTTTTTGGTCTACAACTTTACCAAGTTATGTAGAGTAATATCTAGGTACTGTATGTATGTATGTATGTAGAGCTTGCTTTGCGTTGCGTCGGGGATGGGCGAATGGATGCAGATGGGCAGATGGGGGGGGTGTAATGTGTATGTGCGGTGCGGTTAACCATGTAAATGCGCATGTGCAGATATAACTACATCATGTAGGTACTAACTATGCAGCTGCTCGTATCGTACCTTGGTTCGAATACACATAATCGTGTTTTTTTAGTTTTTTTTTCCTTTCGCTTGATCGCGCGGCGCGCGGATGTCCCATACGATAGATACATACGTATTGCATTGCAGCAGAGGTTAATGCGTTTGCGTATCGCGATCGCGATTCGTGGAGGTTGGGGCTTTTTTGGGGGGGCTTGGGCTTTGGGCTTGGGGGGGAGGGAAGGGTTCGGGGTTCAACGTTGGCTGGCCTATTGGTGTAACGCGCGACTTTTTTTTTTCTTCTTTTTTTTGGTTCAGGGTAGTTATCAAGGTCAGGTAAGGCAGGTTATTAGCTACCCTAGATACATAGGTAGGGTTATCTATCGTGTTGTTGTTAATTTTACCATGGATCTAGGTTAGGTTTATCTCACTTTCGATTCTCTTTTTTTCTCATCTCTTCCCTGCGCGTTTTCGCGTGGTAGATGGGGCAGGCTGGTTAGATACACGATCCCTATCCCTAATCCTGTGGGCATTTTATGGATGGCAGGTGTGGAACAGGACTGGGGGGTAAGAAAGCATGATTGATTACAGGGCACAAGCTGGCAGACAGGCACCGCGGGACACAGGATTATACAGGTGATATGTAAGGTACGGTTACTGTGCATACACCATGCATACATATATCGAGCATAATCGAGGCAATAGTGTATCTGTCTAGGTATGAATGCTGCACACAGACGTAACGGACCCTCTTCTTTTTTTTTTGCTGCGCTCTGTCTCGACTCTCGATCCTCTTTTTTTCTTTCAACCCAAGCTGCTTTTTGGCTAGCTAGGTAAAGCTTAGGTGCCTTACCTTATTTTACCTGCCCACTTACCTCATAAGTTAAGGCTGGATGCATACCTACCTAGCTAGGCTGCCAGGTTGTAACTTGTTAGCCAGTGGGCTGGCTGGCCGGCCGATCTATCCTTTAATATCAAGGGCTTTTATACGGTACCCCAAGCTGCAAGAGGCAAGATTTGTGGTCTGTGTTCGCGTGTCTAGGTGTCTGTGTTCTCGCAAGCATATCCGTTTTTGCTGCGAACCCAAAGACGTGTGTCCAATCAGAAAATTGGGCGGTACTGGAGTATCGGTGGTCGAACCGTGGTTTTATGACATTAGACTAAGATTTGAACACATGCCACCATGAGAGCAGGAGGGGCGGGAATGGGGAATGGGAAGAGGGGAGAAAAGTTGGCGTTGGCGTTGGCGTTGGCGTTGACGAAAACTCCCAAATGCTACTGTATACCTACTAGATAGGGTAGATAGGTAAAAATGCTATTGTAGGTAGCAATGACAATCGATAGCATGGTCAACTAAGACCTACGTAGACATCTAACTGCATGATCACAATGTGTATTGTACAAAAATACGATAACTATGTTTTTTACGAAGCTTACAGTAGTTACCTGGCATACTATACCTATATCCTACTACTTACCCAACACACAGGACCCAATCGGGTGGAGGCTTATTCGGTGTGAATCAAGAAATAAATAATGCAGAAGCCGGGCTGAAAGAGACATGCGGTGTGACGGTCCGGAGGGTTGGGAAAAAAGTTGACGACATGATAACGTTTTTTTATTTTTATTTCTCTTCTCTCTTTTCTCTCTTTTTTTTTTTATTTTGTCTCTTTCTTCTTTTCTTTTCTTTTTCTTGAATTCTGATTGGTTGATCCTACATTAATGGAGGCCCAGCCAAGTCTAGGTCCCCCGTCTTTGGTGTCTTTTTGGTTGATTGATGCAGGGGAATGGCGTTGTGGGACCATGGTGCTTGCGCTGAAGGATCGTCAACTGCCGGTTCTACTGTGCGAGCCGTGCCTGCTGAGCAACTTATATGGGGGTCCCCGACGGGGGCTTTCTGGAGACATTGTAGATGTTTTGGGGCTATTGCTGCTATTCCTGCTATTGCTGACTGCCTACTGCAAGTTAGGCGTACCGTGCGTAGTATTGATGATGTGAGAGTTGTTTTATCAGCATAAGCTAGGAAAAGGTACTGTACTGAACCAGTTTGTAACTTTGTACCCTCTCTAGGTACCTACAGAATAAGGTAATGGGCAAAGGAGGAATTAAGGATGGATGGAGGATTTTACCCTGCGAGAAAGTAACTCACCGTTATTCCGCATTTTTGTTTTTTGTCCCTTTTCTACGAAATCCGCTTTGCCCCTGTGCCTTGCATGATTTGAGTTGCGGTCGCTCGGGTTCCCACCCCGGGGGGCCAGAGCTGAAAGAGAAAAGGTCTCGCTGGTTTTTATATCTTGCTGGCTCCCTCCCGAGAACTACGGCACGAGGTTAGCTGATGGGTTTTCCGAGACGAAAGAGAGTGAGCTGACACGAAGAGTGAGAGTGTGTGAGAGAGAGAAAGAGAGCGCGAGTTGACAAGATCCATTTTCTCACCACCCACCACCCTTCCAGCCATCTACAATACACATTCCTTTTTAACGATTATGTTCACTCTATGATTATGATAATGGTGTATATGGTCATACTGTCCCTCCTTTGAATGAGTTTTACGACCTGCTTGGATCTTACGTTCGCTTTATACGGCCCTGCTCAACTGTCTAGAATCATATACGCCTACTTGTGCTTGCTTGTTAACGGCCGGGCTCCCAGTCGTTCCTTTTTTGATTTCTTTTTGGATTCGGCTTGTATCTACTATCGCTACACACGCCGTCTCATCCACGAGACCGGTGCAGCGTCCTGTATTTCCACTTGACGAATATACAGTCATTGAGCAGTGCCAAGAAAGAAAAATCATATACGTCTAAATGTCACACTCCCTATTCCCCGCTGCATATTCTCCCATGATCATGCTGGACGATGAGACAACACAGGAGAAGTGGAGGAGTCCCAAGTCGCCCAGGTCGCCCAAGTCTCCCAAGGCAGCAGCTCTTCCCAGACTAACATTGCCTCCCGCTATCAAGACCAACTCTGTCAACCTCAACGACCCTAACACATATCAGCCTCATGCTCTGAGTGTCGACTTTCAGTGTATCCCAGGTGGCGGCGGAGACGTATCCCCTTGTTCTGAGGTCCCGCCATCTTCACGGTGTAGCGCCATATCGCTTTCGCCATCACTCTTTCCGCTACCACCGGCCGGGGCCTCACCATCACCATGTTCTCACTACCCAACTCCCACACCATCATCACCTCCCGGTACAGCCCGCTCACATACATCTGTATCATCATGGTTCTCACCACCATCGCCACCCCCCACAGCACCACTACCACCAACGCCAACGCAAAGGAGAATGGCGAACCTAATGGCCGATTCCAATGAGCTCGACACCCTTCAGACACCCACACAGGCCAGGCTCAAGAAACCCATTTCAACACAAGCTTTAAATCAGCCCCTTCTACCATATACCACTCGCCCCCGACGGGCTTGCACTTACACATATACCATCGACACCCAAGGATATCGCGAGTCCGCAGTTGACCCCGATGCACCGCTCTCACCACTCTCACCCCCACCGCCATCATTCCCGCCCCCGTACACACCCAAGGAGCGGCTGAGCGGCGCCAGCATGAGCACCCGCGTGGACTCGTCAACGCCGCTCGCGTACAAATCACTATCACACGACGGCACCCGCAACCCAGCAATAGAGTACGAGTCACCACAGCACAGCGACGACGAGGACGTGGAGGCAGGGACCAAGAGGAAGTGGTGGGCCGGATTCAAGAAGAGAAAGAGGCGGACGGTGTGGTGGGTGGTCGGGGCGGTCTCGGCCGCGGTCTTGATGGTCATTGCCGGGGTGGTCGTCGGGGTCATCCTCGCGATGTCGGGATGATAGGTCGCTAATCAGGTGGTCGCCTAAGAATAGGCCGTTGCCCCTTGTCTTACCTGGGTACTCTACTACCTACCGGTACTGAGGGGTAATCACTCCTCTTACTAACAAGAGGTTTTACTATATTATTATGAATGAATGAAACTTGCGAAAAAAAAAAACACAACACCATCAAACACAACTGAGAAGGGGAAGGGGAATTTCACCACACACACACTATAAAAAAAAGGGAAAAATAAATATTAATTAACGAATTGAGGGTACGGTGAGGATGATGAGGTAGGTGTGTATATTAGCTAACGAAACGCGTTATGTACCTACTATGTTATGTATATGTATGTATGGTAATCCGAACTGGGCTGGCCATCCCAAGACATCAAAAGGGAACCTTGGAAAAGAAAAAGGAAAAAAAAGAATAGGCCCCAGATAGAACTCTCAGACACACACACCCCCCTTTCGTCGCGAGACGGAGCCGATGTAAGTCAAGAAAGAACCTCGAATCTTCGCCTCCTCAATCAATATCTGTGCAATTCTTGTGTGACTCGGGTGCCTGGGTAATCATTGGCGAACGTTTGGTCATGTGCTGAATAAAATACTGTGTAAGGTGATGAAGATTCCATGCTTACTTGGGTTCTGATAGGTTGATACTGATAGGTTAATATGCAGTAGTAGTCTAGTTTAGAGAAGAACTAGTGCTATGCTTAGAATTACCCCTTTTATCATTTTCCGACCCGTTGTATGGTCGGGACGATACAAAGCCGGGGTGGATCCACATAACGCATTTAATGCCGACGTAGTCCGGAGTTTACTTCCTACCGGATTACACTTTTCGCTACCGCTACCGGCACGAAGGCTTCTACGTAGCACGCCTGCTGTTGCCCTCGTGTGAATTTTTATCTATTTTCATCGCTACAGGCTTTTTTTCCATCGTACTGAATTACGCATTTGGTTGACCTCGTACTTTTAGCTCGCCCTAGTAAATTGAATCAATCTCGTCCGTGTCCTTCGCCTGAATACCAAACCGGCCAAATAATTCACGGGCGGGCTTTACTCGTCCACTCCAACATCGCGGCGCCGCTACGGCAACCAAGCCGCGCCATCCTTCCGATGGATCCTTTAATAAACCAGCAAGCACGGGGTCCGCCCAAGCGCACCCAGATAAGCTATGCCTGCGAGGCTTGTCGGATTTCCAAGATCAAGTGCCAGCCCGGGCCGCAGTCAGGGATCTGTAAACGGTATAGTAGCCTTGTCACTAGTTTGTTCACTATTTGGTTTTATGGTATAGGTAAAAGTAAATGTGATGTAAAAGGCTAAGATAGGTGCTGGCGCCATACAGTTGCTCCGAGTTCAAGCGGGAGTGTGTCTTCCGCGCTAATCCGCGAACCCGCCGGCCTAGGGTGTCGAGACCGTAAGTATGCCTCTTTGTTCCCCCCAATCAACAAACCCCCCATAGTTGATGAATGCGAGTACCATCGTAGCTACTCTTTTCCAATGTTCCCTAAAATAAATCACACTTACCCAAGCATAGCGACACCGAGGCCCCCCCTCCCCCACCAGGCCCCAGCAAAACCTTCAGCATCGAATTCACCATGCCCGTCGACAGCAACCCCCACGACGCCTTCGACGACCTGCGAGAAAAACACGAGCGCTTCATCTCGGACCTCGTGCCCTCCTCCAGCGAAGAAGAAGAAGAAGAGGAGAACCTTACTACTACTACCACATCCCAGGCATTCAGTTTCAACGACCTCTCCACCCCAACCCCATCAGCGCCCTCACGCCCTGTGAGCAGCCTCGGCATCAAACCGCTCTTCAACCTCGACTCCGCAGCGAAGCTCCTCGCGTCGTTCCGCGCGATGCTGCCGAGCTGCCCGTGCGTCGTGCTGCCCGACGACGATGTGAGGGCGATGGCGCGGAAGACGCCGTTTGTGCTGCTGGCGATACTGGCGGTTACGAGCTGTTCGACGAGCTTGCAGGGGCATAGTTTGTATGATGAGGAGTTTCGCAAGATACTGGGGTTGAAGTTTGTGGCGGGGGGGGAGAGGTCGGTGGAGTTGTTGCAGGGGGTGTTGGTTTATTGTGCTTGGTGAGTTTCTTTTTTCCCCCCTTTTTGGAGTTGCTTTTTTTTTATGTCGTCCTTGAAGATGTTTTCTAGGTAGGGAGGTGAATATAGTATTGGGGAACATTCTACTAAACGACATTCATGGACTAGGTATCCCTTCCACCTGCGCCCTAAGAATAGGCAGGTGCTACAGTATCTGAGGATGGCAGTGGATATCGTACACGACTTAGAACTAGACGAGGAGACGGATTCAAACTTCACGTCGCAATCCCCTGAGAGGGTAGCAGAAAGATTACAGAGCATCCGAGCGTACCTCACTTGCTTTTATATCAACTCCGTGTTAGTCATCTTTATCCTCGCCCCCTTTTCACTAACCCCTATCCACGTGTCTAATTGCCGTTTCTCCTTGTAACAAAACAGACACGCATGGGCATGGTCCAAGCCCTACACCCTGCGCTACACCTCATGGCTGTCCAAATGCTGCGACACTCTCGAGCAGACCAGCGACCTCGAACAAGACCATATCCTCGTGTGGCTAGTGCGCCTACAGTACATCCTCAACGAGCTCGAGGAAGCAGACCGAATTAATAAGAAAGCCGATGCTGCTAGTACTAGCAGTCAGAGCGAGCACCACCGCCGGCTCATACGTATTGGGCTAGAGACGGAGCTACGCGACTTTCAGACGAGGATTCCGGGACATATATCTACGAGGCGTGAGTTAGCCCCCCACCCCCCCTTTAATCCTAAGTAGGCAGACCGATTGTCAGGTACTTACATCTCAACCTCTGCTATATACTAACACAAAAAACCAGCAAGCATCCTAATGCTCTCCCTCATCGCCGACATCTACCTCCTCGCCGCGCCCCTCATCCAAGTCCGCATCACCACCACCACCACCTCCTCCTCCTCCTCCTCCCTCGACCCCGTAAAGCTGCAAGCCGTAACCTACACCGTGCGCGCCTTCTTCGACTACGCCACCAGCCTCAACGAGGCGCAGAAGGCCTGCTTCAGCGGTGTCGACACGGCGCGCTTCATCCACGCCGTCATCCTCGCGTACAGGCTCTCGTTCCCGGTCCCGGCGTGTCCGGGGTACGACTGTGTGCAGGGGAGGCGGGTGCTTGATTTTGGGAGGGTTTTGGCGAGGTTGTCGGAGAGTGGTGGTGGTGGTGGTGGTGATGACGCTGGTACTGGGGGTGAAGGGGTGGGGGTAGGGGGGGATGATGCCGAGACACGGGGGAAGAGGAAAGTAGACGTCGTCGCGGCGCTGCAAGTCGTGCTGGGCTCTGTGCAGGCGAAGTTCGAGAGGAAGAGCGAGGGGCTGCAGGCGGCAGTCGCGGCGGCGGCGGAGGAGAGCACGAGGAGGGCGCGTGGGTGTCCCATGTTTGACGGGAGCTTGGACGCGTACTTGCCGTTGTGGGAGGGCCAGCAGAGCAGTGGGAGCATGAGCTCGTCCTGCGCGACTTTCTCCTCCGCGGATAGTGGCCTGGCGTGTCCGGTGGGGCCGGCGAAACCGGAGTGTTTCCATGATCTGTGGGCGACTATGACGGTTGGTTGGGCCGCGGAGGCGGACTTTGGTCTACGGCTAGGGGGTGATGGTGATATGGTGGGGTTTGGCGTTGGGAATGGTGGCGTTGATGAGCTTGTTGAATTGGGAGAGTTATGAAAAAAGGGGGGGGATTTGAGACAAATGATACAGTATCCTAGGTATTTAAGTCCATGAAGAAATACTTTGCTATCTTGGCTATGCGGCGAACCGTGGTCTTCTTGATTAAGCACACCGAGGTATGTAGGTGTAGGTATAGATAATGTCTCCTTCCGTGTCTCAGGTGATAACAATGTCCTCTGTGCATTCCCGACCGGACTTTTCTCTTGTCGCCATTAACACATTAATAACTTGCAATTAACACATTAGCATCTGTAAAGTATATACCTACGACTGCTTTATGTTCACAACCTTGGAAGTTTGCTTGCGATTCCCCTTAATTTAAAGGATTTCTCCGGTCGTTTGAATATCACAAGCCACCAAACACTATCTTTTTTTTTCGAGTCAATTTATCTCCGTATTACCTAGTAGGTAGGCAATCAGCCTTACCGGGTGTTACGGCCGGTATGCAGCCTTTGCATCCCCGCTTCCGTCATGCGAGGGATCACTTCCCCGAGAAGGAGAAGGTGCATTTATTAATATGTTGATAAAATGAAGTTTAAGGGTTGCGGTTGAAAGTGCTTTATTCTATGCCCCTGAGCCCCTGAACCTAAATTTTACTCGTATCAAGTATAGACATCAGCAGGCGAATAGGCATTGCGATTAATTTATATCAACGACGGCTATGGGTATTAGTGAGACTCGCCATGTTTATTAATTAGGTACCTGAGCAGATTCGTAAAGTTCCGCCTGCATCAATGACTAATATCTCATGAAACCATGGAACTACGCCGTTTGCGCCTCCGTCTCCTGTTCCTTCGCAACCGCATCCTCATACGTATCGTACTTGTACCGAAAGCCCGGGTGATCATCCCTCAGATACACCTGCCCCTTTCCGTATAGCCGCTCTCTCAGCATCACCCGTTCACCATTCTCCCCCCATCCTCCTCTGCGGGTGGATATCTCCCTCTCCTCCTCAGCTCCGGCACCAAGTACTCCAACGCATCCTCAAAACTCCCCGGCGTGATCACATAGCCCAGATTAAACCCATCCACACCCGCCACATCGACCCACTCCTCCATCACATCCGCCACCTCCGCCGCCGTCCCCACCGGCATCGCACCCATGCCGCCAATCGCACTCACAACCCCCAAGTTCCTCGGCGTCAGCCGCGGCACGTCGTCCCCCCTATACTGCAGGTTCCCGAGCGCCGAGTGCACGCGCGCGATCGCCGAGATGTCGTCGGCCGTGAGCTCGTGGTCGAGGTCGAAGCGCGCGACGTCGATCCCCGTGCTCGCGCTGAACTGCGCTAGCCCGCCTTCCACAAGCACGTACCGCAAAGCGTCCTCGTGCTTGGCTCGTGCGTCGGCGGGGGAGGAGCCGATGATGGGGGTTATCATGGCGAAGATCTTGATGGAGGAGGGGTCACGGCCGGAGGAGGAGGCGGCGGCGGCGCGGATGGCTTGGACGCGGGGCGCGAGGATGTGAGGGGAGAGGGCGGAGACGAAGATCCCTTCGGCGTGGGTTGCGCCGAATTGGATGCCGGCTCTATGCTCAGGTAAGGCTCTTGTTAGCGAATAAAGGTTCAAAGGGGTTAGGCTATGGTTTCTGCTCACGGCGAAGTGCCCGCTTGGAAGAGGACGGGAGTCCGCTGGGGCGATGGATCTACGATATGGGGAGCATCGACGCGGAACTTCGCGCCATGGTGATGAATAGTCCGGATCTGCGAATAGTCGGCGTAGACGCCTTTCTCTGCGTCTTCAACCAGGGCTTTATCGGACCACGAGTCCTCCCAGAGCCTATGCAGATGTTAGTGCTTAGAGCTTACTCGTATCATTCAGATGGGGTTAATGTACTTGTATAAAACTCTCAGATACTCGTCTGCAATCTCGTAGCGTTTATCATGTTCCACGTAGGGTAGTCCGACCTTGCCACAGTCAGTTATCGGCACCCCGTCATTTTGAAGAAGGAGGAACTCTTACAGCCCGAGACGCTGATTCCTTCCAACTCGTTACGATGTTCCAACCAAAGCGACCTCCTGTCAGATGATCCAGCGTACTGAAGCGTTTTGCCACGACATAGGGCTGTTCATACGAGGTTGACGTCGTTATGGCAAATCCAAGCTTCTTCGTAACTGCTGCCATTGCTGAGACCGGCTTTATATAGCGTGAGATTCTATGGAGAGTGTAGCGCAGTGACGACCGATATGATCAGTGTCGGTACTCACAATTACTGGATCGGCCATGGGGAATTGGCTTCCCGTTCGGATAGCTGGCTCAGCGCTCCCCTTATATCTGCACAGGCCAACATCGTTATCAAACCACATACTGATCCTGCTTATGAACATAGAATAACTCACGTGTCATAAGGACCGAACGTATCGGCCAGGAAAAAGTGACGTGAAGCCCCCCTTTTCGAGGAGCTTGGCAAGGTCAGTCCAGTACGACAAGTCGCGTCGCTTATCCTTTGCTCGATCTTTGGGGTTCCTCCACTGGCCGAACGATAGATGGCCGACCGTAAACATGTCGAATCCATTTAGAAGAATTTGTTTCTTGTTACTGTCGTTCAGGGGGGTTTCTACGTTTGGGTCGGCGGACCGGACGGGTAGAGTTGCCATGTTGCTTTCTGTCAACAATATGGACTAAGAAATCAATTTGAACTTGGTTAAATCACTGTTAAAACTATCTTGAACAAGTAATGGGATTTTATTTCATTATAGCAAGATTGATACGAAGACAACTCTTTCTAAGGCGACCCTGCGTATCCTCAACAGCTGCGGTGTTCATACTGTCGACGTTGTCCTACACAGGGGTTGATTCCGCCATTACCCATCTCCAAAATCCTACTTGATGATGCCATATTGATACTCCTGGATAGGCAATATCTACATAGTTGGTATTATTTCCATGAGTATTATCTTGGTTTGAAGTCTCCGGGTCCGTGACTCCGTCATATCAACGCTCGTTCCGGTTAACCCCGCGCTGTCGCCATGATCAGACTGGAATGCGTGATCAGCTCAACGCACCCTTATCAAGTTGAAATGCACATTGGGTTACCATTTTAGTCGTAAGCACGTCATGATTCTGTGCGTATGAATCGAGTCAATTGCTGTTATCTAAATCCTTGTTCTGCTATGTATGCTTGTAGATTGGCGAATTGCTAATAACACCCACAATCGCAACACTCATTATATATGATGTTTCTGCCTTGTGAAACGATTCACGGTACTACATTATGTTTATATCGTAGTAGTCAACATACTTAATATGGCTTCATCATCAACATCCGGGCCGGAAATTGGCACGAGCGATGATGCCGCAAGCATTCCGGGAAAGACCAACGTCACGATTTCCCGGGCTGACGAGACCAATCTACGTGTTGCAGTATAACTGCAAGCAAGAAGAAGAAAGAGGAAAGGAAGAAAGCTTGCTTTATTCTCAAACTATAGATGGCGGAGTGCCAATATATGGCCATAAGGGCCATATGGCTAAGGATGCTTAAGGCATTTGCAACATATTCCTGTTGGTATAAAGCTATGTAGCTATTGCCACATTTACTGTCGGTGGGTGGTTTTAAAGCTATGTAGTTAGGTAACTAAAGTATAATTTTCCATTTCTTTTTAAAATAACAATCGTTTTTTTTTTTTAATTTTTTAAAGTAATATCTGTAGGTTTATTTTTTCCATTCGTACTTTTCCAAACTTATTAATCGGATAAAGGCCTTGTGTTTTTCCTTTACCAATGGTTTAATTAGTTTATCTGCTATTATTTCTTTAGTTTTAACGTGTTAGATTTTAATATTTTTACGTTAAATTCTATTAATAATTTATTTATACCAGGTATCGATATAGCGGGTTTTTGCTGTATTTAAGGGATTAAGAGCTGTAATAATCGCGTTAATTAAATTTAAGAAAAGTAATAAAGGCTTTAGTTAGGGATATCTTAATTCTTAAAGGAGTTTTAATATTTATATTTTCGATAGTTTTATTAAAGATAAATTGATAAACTTTATTTCCGTATTACTTAATACGATTAGTGATTGTTTTTTTAAACTTTAATGTATAAGGCTTTTTACTAAGGTTATTAAATGGGTTTTCGTTAATTTTTTTAATCTTAGATAATTTATAAAAATAATATTTGCTTAAATTGTTAACTTTAAGTTCTTAAGATCGTATTTATTACTTAACGTTATTCCGAAGTTTTATATGGTATTAATGTATTTTTATAAGTGTTTTTTTAGTTTAAAATGAATTTTACTAAGTCTTACGTTAGCCTTTATAAGGGCTAATATTGTTTTAATTATGTCTAAACGAGTCCTAATAAATAATTAATTTAAAGATTTTATTTCTTTAATGTATTTAACATGTTTAAGTTTAATAATCTTTTCTTATATTAATGGAATTATAATATCGGATTTTTATAGCGACTTTATTTTTTTTAATGTTTTAATATTATACTTTGAGAGAATTTTTCTAGTAAATTTAAATTAATTAAAGAATATTTAACGTAATTCCCTATTTTATTTAATTTTAAATCTAATAAATTTAGTCATTTTGTTTATTTTATTAAGCTTGAAAATGTCGTTTAAGTCGGTTTTTATTTTCTCGATAATTTTAAGTGTGTTGCTTATAATTAATAAGTCGTTAATATATATTAATATAAAGACTTCCAGTTTTTTATTTTTAAATAAATAACACTTCGTAAACATGCTTTTAAATTTTATTTTTTTTATTGTCTTTAATATGTTTTTAAATCATTAAATCGGAGCTTGTTTTAAGCTATAAAGTGTTTGCTTAAGTTTTTATATTTAATTTATTTTATCTTTATAATTAATTATTTATTTAATGTAAATTTCAATTCTTTTTAGAATTATATTATTTAAAAACGTAGTAATAATGTTAAATTATAAACATTTAAGGTTAAGAGTTATTATTAAGGTAAAAAAGATTTTAATTATAATTAAGTTTATAATTATAACGTAAATATCTTAAATTGCTTAAGAATCGTTAATCTTAAAGTTGCCACATATAATTAATTTTACTCGATTATATATAAATTTATCCTTCTCGTTAAACTTTTAATTTAAAACTTATTTAATTAATAATGGTTTTTTTTTTAAAGGAAAATTAATTAGTTTAAAAATCTTTCGTTTTATAAGATTATTAAATTATTTATTAAAGGCTAGTTTTTATTATTTTTATATTTTTAGATTATTTTTAGCTTGTTTAAGTGATTTAATTAATAGTGGAGTTATGGTTTATTTAATTTTAATATTTATTAAAGTGTAAGCCGGTAAATTTTTTTTAATTTAACTTTTGTAACGGTAATAAACTTTAAGCTTTATTAACGTAAGGAAAGACTTTCTTTTTCCTTTTATAAGGTTTAATTTATTATAAAATATCGGAGCTTTTTTTTTTTTAGAAAATCGTTTTAATTGTGGAGGTTTTAAAGGTTAAGGTGGTGGTTAAAATAATTGTTAAGTTTATATTAATTAAAAAGATTAAAAAAGTTAAAAAGGTTAAGCGAAAGGTTAAAAAAAAGGTTAAGTTTGTTTAGTAATATATGTATTTTTCATTTACTATTATAATTGATTTTCCTTATTCTTTTTTTTTTCGTCTTTTTTTTTGTTTATTAAATTATTATAATCGTTAAAATTAATATCTTTTTCTTTATCTTCTTAATTTTCTTTAACTTATTTAACTTTATTATTTCTTTTATTAAGCTTTTCTTTTAAATTTTAACCTTTTTAAGAGATTTTTTTTTAATTTTCGTGATTTTCGTTAAGATTAAGGTTAATTTAAACCATTATTATATCTAAGATTAAATTTTTATTTATATTATTATTTTTAATTATGTTTTATACCGCACTTTAAAAGTTATTACTTTTATTTTAACTTTTAGATTTTATTTTAAATTATGTTTTTAAAGGCTTTTTAAGAATTATAATAGGTATAATTTTTTTAAGTATTCGGATTAATATATGGGTTAAAGTTGGAGTAATTTTTAGGGTAATTTCCGGCGTGATATTAAGTGTTAAAGTAATTTTTAAAGTTATTTTTAATGAGATAATGGGTGTAATTATTAGTGGTGTTAATATCGGTGATCGATTTGGTTTAAGACTTAATTTGCGACTTAGTTTAAGGCTTAGTTTATGGGTGGATTTAAGGCTGTTATGATTTAATTATTATTATATTAAAAATATTGTCGGTTTTTTTTATTATTACATTTATAAATTAAGCTTTATATTTTCTAAATGGTTTTAAGTTTTAAATTCTTTAAGGCTAATTTTAACTTTAAATTTATTTAATTTTATTAGATTTAAATTAATTAAAATAACCTTATATTTTAGATTTTTTAACTTATTTTCATTGTAACGTTTTTTTTTATTAAATTTAATATTTTTTATAAGAATGATTTAATTAAGCTATAACACCTAAATTTTATATATTTTTAATCGTTTATTTTTATATCTTATTATATAACCTTTAATTACTTAAAATACCTGCTTTTTTTTATATGGGATTTGTTTTTTTTATACTTAAGTAATCGCTTTAAAGGTTTATAGATTTAATAAATATTCTTTTTTTATTTTTTTAGGAAGTTTAAAGTAATTATAAAAACGGTTATAAAGGGATTTATAATTTTCGTTAACTTTTATAAGAAGTAAATTTATAATTATAATAATTATTTTTTTAGCCTATAACTAAAGGAATATCGATAGCTTAAATTTAATTATAATAACCTTTATTAAAGTAATTACCAAGTCGTTAGCTTTTTCAACTTATTTATTTTACTTTAATATGTGATTAACTGTTATTTTAAATTATATATTAGCTTTTTTAAGTTCATTCTTTATAACTCCTTTCTTTCCTAGGAATTCTTTTCCTTTATTAAAGTAAAAAATCTGGATTTTAAGTTTAATTTAAAGTTTAATTTCTTTTTAAAAATTAAATATTAATCGGTAAATCACTTCCTTATTTTTTAAGAATTTTACTTATTAGTAATTATTATATCTATTTATGAATATACATGAATATTTGAAACTTATATGGCTTTTTTAATTATAAGATAAGATATTTATATAAATAATTTAAAGAAGTCGTAATGCTAGGATTAAAAGTGCTTTTCAAATAAGTTTCTTTGCTTTTATTTATGTATATATATCGTAAAATTCCGGTTTAAATGAGATTTTTAATTTTAATCCACATCTTTTATAAGTTAGTTTGATTTTTAAAAAGTTTATATATATTAAACGTTTATATATTAAGTTAATATTAATTATTATAAAGGTGGTTTAAGGTTTATATTAATTATTAAAGATTTTAAATAATTGGAATATTTTTAATTTTTATAACTATTTAATTTTTATTATTTCTTAAGTTATTAAATCCTTTAAACGTAAAGTGTTTGTTATTTTATTAAATATAATATTGTTGTTTTTTAATTGTTTTATGCTTATTAAGTTTATAAGTGTTTTTAAATAATAATTTGCATTTAAAAGTCGTAAATTAGTTACACCCTTATTATTTCGATAAACTTTTATTATTATTATATTATAACTTAAAGCTTTAGTTTTATTATTATTTAAAGTTATTATACTTAGTAGTATTAGGAAAGGTTAATAAGTTTTAAATTATTTAAGGTTATTAAACATATAATTTATATAACCTAAATCGTTAACGCATATATTTTAAGAGAGGTTTTTAATTTAATTAAAGTTTATAACTACGGCTAAAGAAATATTTATTAATAAAAAGTTATTATTTACTTATCCGTATAATAAAGCTTTAATATTAATATTTAATAAGCCTTTAAATGTTTTATTTTTTCTTAATTTAATTACTATTTTATCCTTTAAAGCTGGCTTTAACTTTAAATAAAAAACGTAATACTTTTTAATTCTTTTTATATGGCACTTCTTACATTAAATACACCATTATTAAGTCGGATAATATTTCTTCTTACATATTATATAATCGATAAGTTATTTCTTTTTTAATTTTAATAACTCACCTCCTTTAATGTTTAAGTTTAACGGTTTAAATAAGAATATAGTTGCTATTAAGTTTTTATTATTTGCTTTTTATATGAATTTTTTTAGGAATAATTACTAAGTTAAGATTTTTTTTTAATAATCCCGTTTTAGGAATTAATATTAATTTAAATATCGTTCCTTAATGGCTTTTATTATATTAAACATTTTTACGGTTTTAAGTAAATCAAGATTTAATTGTTTAAATTTATCGAATATTTTCTTAAATTTAATTATATAATTACGTAAAGTTATTTTATTTTTAAGGGTAAGGTTTTTTAATTAGTAATATAATTAAGATATTAATTATTTAAAAACTTTAAATATTATTTTTAATATTAAATTGTAAATTACTTTAAGATTATTTTTTTTATCTTCTTAATCAATTATTTTCAATTAAGTAATTACGTTTAAATTGCGTAATAAACTTATTAATAAAGTTATATAATAAATTCTTTCCTTGCGATATTTTCGTTTCATTTTATTAAATGTTCCTTATAAAGGCGTTTATCGTATACCATTAATAAATTTATTAAGTTTATAATATTAATAATGTTAACGTATTAATCTTTTTCATTCTTTAAATCCATACTCGTCGAAAAGTAATGAAATTAATGGGAAATATAATAAGCCTTCCGCTATTTTAGCGGGTTTTTTAATTAATTTTAATATTTATTTAATGTTATATTTTATTATTGATTTTTTATTATTATTTATAATTAAAAGGTTTATTGTTTTAAGATTTTTCTTATCGTGTTAATATTTTAAATATTTTAATGGCCTCGTTTAAAACCTTATTTAGTGGGTTTTTTTTAAAATAAATAGGTACGATACTTAATTTTAATACCCTTTTAGGCTTTTTCTTTAATGACTTTATCTTTTAATTTAGTTTTACATTGGATAGGTTTTTTGCCTATATTTCGTTAATTTAATCTCGGCTTTATAAAAATTGAGGGAAGCAATATTTCATAATATTTTCTTTAATTATCTGATGTCTTTTGGTATTAAATCGGCGCTTTTCAAGCGGCACGGAGTTTATAATCTGTTGTAGTATAATTGCAAGCAAGAAGAAGAAAGAGGAAAGGAAGAAAGCTTGCTTTATTCTTAAACTATAGATGGCGGAGTGTTAATATATGGCCATAAGGGCCATATGGCTAAGGATGCCTAAGGCACCTGTAACATTATGTGATGACGAAAATGTAAGATCCAACTTCCTCGCATCGTTTACCGCAAAAGAGGCAGACGCAATTATGAAAAAGGTTGACAACCGTTTTCTCGTCCTAATAGGTCTCATGTACATGATCAAGCAGGCAAGTGACGCTCGATAGGAATCTCCAATTTTTCGTATGAGATTGCGTGAGACTTCGCTAACGCGGCACAGATCGACGTGAATAATGCGGCCAACGTCAAAGTGCTGCAAGTCGGCGAACCAACAAATATCTTAACGGAGCTGAACATGTCGACAAACCAGTATAACTGGGTTCAGTCTATTTACGGTGTATGGCCAAACTACCACAATAATGAGATTGTAATGATAGAATACTTTGTCTGACCTGTAATAGATCGCCTATATCCTCTTCGAGACGCCCAGCAACCTGGTTCTGAAGCGAATGAGCCCTCACGTGTGGCAAGCCCGCATTTTCTTCTGCTGGGGCATAATCGTGGCTTGTCACGCTGCGGTTCAAAACCGCCACGCGTTATATGCGTTGCGGTTTCTTCTTGGGTAAGATATTATGCCCACAGACTTGAACCGTGAAGGAAATAGGGGTAAAGCTGACGTACCGCTAGTATGTTCGAAGCCGGCATGTTCCCCGGCGTAATCGCGCAGCTCGCGGCTTGGTACAGGACAGATGAGATGGGGAGACCGGTGGCCTGGTTCTTCACTATCCAGAACACGTCCAATATCGTAGGGTCACTGCTCTGTTATGGAATCAGCTACATGAATGGAGTGGGAGGTCTGAGTGCCTGGAGATGGTGCGCAACCACCCCCTTCTCCCCTCACAGTCTGCCTAAAACTTCCATCACTAACCTCTAGGCTTTTTCCAGGGTCTACCTCATCGAAGGCATCATCACCATCTTCTTCGCCGGCGCCGTGTTCACCATCCTGCCGGACTACCCCAAATCCCCACGAAGCAACGCATGGCTCACCCCTCGCGAACAAGAGTTCATCGAGGTCCGGCTACCAGAAAACGCGCCCCTGACAAGCGATCCGTTCTTCTCCGCGAAGGAGATCGTCGCGTCGCTGAGGTCGCCCCTGATCTGGTCCTTCATGCTCTCGCAGATGCTGGTTAACTTCGGGAACTACGCGCTGACCTGGTATCTCCCGACGATCGTCACGAACTTGGGCTTCACCGCGCTGCCGAAGAACCAGCTGCTTAACATACCGCCCGCGGCGGCGGCGATTGGGGGGCTGATTTTCTCGTCGTGGTTTCTTGGGAAGGCGTATATTGTCCGCCCGCTTTACATCATGTATGCCATCCATCCATCCATCTGTCTGTTTGTCTGTTTGTCTGTCTACTCCGTTTCTAACCCTCTGCACAGGTTCATCATGACCGGCATGGTAGTCTGCTTCGTCCTCTTCTTCACGCTCGACTCGCGCATCGGGATCTACATCGCCTGCATCCTCGGCACCACGTTCACGTCCAGCTACTTCATCCCCTTCTGGGCCTGGCGCACCGCCACCCTGCGCGGCTCCACCGGCTCCGCCTTCACCCTCGGCTTCCAGAACGCCATCGGCCAGGTCGGCACCGTCACCGCCCCGCAGCTGTTCCAGCAGAAGTGGGCGTACAGCGGCTACAAGCAGTCGTTTGCGATCGCGGCGGCGGGCACCGTCGCGGCGTTCTTCGCCAATCTGTGGACGTGGTGGCTTACGAGGAATACGGAGTATGATGTTATGAGGGTTCGGAGGCTCATTAGACAGGCGAAGAAGGAAGGGAAAGTATTTCATGGGGATGATGTGAAGGTATTTGAGGAAAGGGGGTTTTTTGACGGGCTGAGGAAACGGAGTGATGTTGAAGTCGCCGTTGTTTGATTACGGATGTCTGTTGGTTTGAGGTTATATACTACTAGGTAGGTACAAACAACCCTAACCCGATATATTCCTACCCCTAACCCTAAGTGCCCATTACCTAATCATACATACCTAGTACTCAATATCTTCATTGGATATTAGATTCCACACGAACATACTTGAGAATTGAAGATGGCATTCAATGTGGTTTCCATATCAGATGTCTACCTAGGGTATATCTGAGTATACTGAGACTGCAACTCGACGTCGAATTGTTTACCTATCGGAGCGCATCGGCCGATCTACACGACCGTCCACCATGTCCACCCTTTACCCACTCTTCCTATTGACCCCCTTTCCAGACACATCCTCCATCAACCACGGCAAGACCTTCGCCCCCCAATACTGGCGCATCTTATAGTGGCCGAGCCCCTCGGGCATAGACTCGATAGCCTCCGCCAACGCTTTCCCGTCCCCTTCTGCCTTGACTTGGTCAAGCCGGGTCATGTAAGACCGAACCGTGAAAATAACGGCGCTGGTGCGCGGCAGCTTGGTGAGAGTCTGGTGTTCAATGCGCAAGAAGCATTCGTCGAACTCGGGGTCGGCTTTTTCGTCGGCGACGGTCTGCTCGGTGCCGGGGTAGTAGTTGTTGCCATCAGTGCGGAATAAGTCTGCGCCGTCGACTTGTAGAGACCACTTTTTCTCTGGTTAGCATGATATGTCTACTCGCTTACTTATGAAATGATACCAACGCACATTCATACGTCCAATGAAGTCCCCGGGAATCATCCTTCCAAAGTACCGGTCCACGCTGAGCCCAAGCTTCTTATCATAGCCCGGAACGGGCTTGTGGATCTCCCGGACAGATTCGCCAACACGGGCCGGGCTTAGGAATCCGCCGGGGAAACAGGCGATGTAACCTTGTAGACGGTATTGGTCGTCGGCGTCGGGGCACATGAAGTAGAAGTCCTCCTGTTTCACGCTCGTCTGTTAGTAAACCTTTATTACGTATTACTGACAACAGGAAGGGGTATAGCCGCAGACGCTATTCAAAGGGAAAAGGGGGGCTTTGTTTAACACTAACCTCAACGTTTTCTCCCATATAAGCCAACATCTGCGCATGCGTCAATCCCACCATGCTGAGCGGATAAGTCGACCCCGTAGCTAGGTTCCTGGCCACCTTTCCATGGGCCTTGAACATAGTCGGGAACCTAGCAGGCAAGTACTTGATCATGACTTCCTCGTACAGCTCCTCGATGGCTGGGTTGACCTTCTCGCCGGTCCCAATGGTGAACTCGGGCTTCTCCCTGATCAGGGGTAGACGCTCTTGGATGCGGTTGAGATAGCCGTGGTCCATGCGGATCCACTCGGAGCGAGTACGCTTTTGGATACCTAGAAATGATGAGCGTTTGGGGTCTATAGTATTAAGTGAGATACGATAATACCCATGGTGACATGACCTTGCGTCTTGTAAGGCTGATAGCGGATAGGGTCGACTTTGCGGAAGTCGAAATCCCACAATGGCTCGATATCATGGTCTGGATTCTGCTTCTTCTGGTATAGTGGCTGGGTCTCGCCTTTGGTGAAAATTCTCCAGGCTTGAGTAAGTGCCAAAAGAACTGGAGCTAGGAGGAAATACCATAGGGCTCCCGGAGCGTAAACTGTCTCGTAGATAATTCCAAGCATGGCTGGATATTGACTGCCTAGGTGGGTTGAACTGTTAATGGTCGATTTCTGGTAGGTCTTCTTGTGTTTGTTATATACCCGCCTGGATGTTCAAATCTACCCACTACTCAAGCGACATGACACCTTCCTGTTCCGCTATAACTTATTGATGTAATTCAGTCAATATACCTAGGCATGAAGCATCTTGGATTGGGTAACATGATTCCCAAGATAGTGGATCTTTCTGCAACACTGTAAGTGATATGTCGCGCGTTGAATTTCGTGCGTGCATTGTACAGTCATATGCCTCTTCCCATGGTTTGCCCCTTTAAAGAATGCAACAAGAAGCAAACCCCGACCCAGAAGTCGCACTTTCGGGGCTTGTATACCAGGAGTGAGAGTCGAGTGGTAACAAACTCTAATTTGTTCGTAGAACTTAGGGATCCATACTAGGTACGGAGTTGAGACTCATGATACACTCTCGTCAAAGACGTGATAGTTACCTCGTATGAGTTGTGCCGAAAATAGCCTCGGCAAGCATGACTATATCGAGACCTCTTTCTTTCATATCCCGCTTCGCTATCTGCTGGCAAGGGGCTTTGGGTCTGAATCTAGACGACCTCCTACTAAAGATAGGAATGCCCTGTACCAGATCTGGTAAACTGCCTTCCTGTTTCTATCCTACCGTAAAGTCACCCAATGCCTGGCGAAAATGAGCTGATAGATCGAGAAAAATACAGGCCATCGGTCTGCAAACACCTATGACACGGAGTTTGCTCCTTTCGTAGCAACTTTGACGACCAAGATTGTCAAATGACTGGATCCTCAAGCACAGGTATCAAGCCCTTGAGACTGCAGAGTGCGGGAATAGGGGTTAGACTGACTCGGCTCGAATATGAAATTCTCAATGTCGGTTGCGGAGAAGGTCCCCTGACCGCGAAGATGGCAGCACAGGTAAACCTCATTGTCGGCATAGATGCCTCGTCTGACATGAATAGAGCCGTTCTACCAGATGTTGCTCGAAATTGATGCTCGTGTAGTTGGCTGTCGATACCTCAACAAAGCAATTGGCTAACATTTACGAGAACAATAAAAGTCCCATGCAGTTGGAGCACTCAGTTGATTACCTAACCTAGCAGTAACATTGAAGGTCTAGGTTAAGTACTTCGTACTAATGCCACATGGCTACCCAATTATCCAGAGTTCATCTCACCTCTCGGCTTTCAGTCCGTATGGTTTTGGACCACGAATTGACTACGAATTGCGGAGATATCCGATTGTATTCTTGTATTCTTGTATTCTTGTAGATAATAACCGTCTAGATCCATAGAATAGAGTCTCTAGTACGAATCACGATGGAGGGAAGTTTAAATGTACCCTTGTCTTTAAGTGGACCTACAAGTGGACCTACAAGTGAATTGTCAGGCCATTTCTGAAAATTTGGTAGAGGATTCTGTTATCAATAATTGATGTATCTTCTCTCCAATATTAGGCTTTTCAGTACTTACGACCTAAATATTCATTTGTGCCTCCTCAAGAAATAACAGTCACTATGCCTCCCAAAGTTGAAGCTGTCAAGGACAATGTCGTTGCTTTCGGCAGGGTTCGTAAGAACTTAAAGATGGGATGCGTTGGTCTGCCTAATGTGGGAAAGTCTAGTCTATTCAATCTCTTAACCGAGCAAAGCGCCGCTGCAGAGAACTACCCCTTTTGCACGATTGAGCCCAATGAGGCAAGATGTCCTGTTCCCGACGCTCGATATGTAAGTCGAAATACTCTACAGAAAAATCGCAATAGATACCTAGTACCTAGTAACTAAAGTACGCAATACTTGTAGGACTTCCTCTGTGACCTTTGGAAGCCCCCGTCTATGTACCCAGCCTACTTACAGGTCACCGACATCGCTGGTCTGATCAAGGGTGCTTCCCAAGGAGAAGGACTTGGAAATGCTTTCCTGTCTCATATCCAGGCCGTCGACGGCATGTTCCACATTGTCAGGTACAGCATGGATCACTGAACTGCTGCACTGTTGCGCCTTCAAACTAACACGGACTCTATAACAGAGCATTCGATAATGATCAAGTCTTGCATGTCGATGACTCGATCGATCCCGTCCGGGACTTAGGTCGGTTCGCCCAAGCCTCTCGAGCTGACGGAACTAATCAGTGCATCTTCTCTAGATACCATCCAAAGCGAGCTTTGCAAGAAGGATCTCGGTTTGTATTTTTTGTATTTTCCTCTAAATCGGCTTCACACTAGCTAACCCCACCACCCCCCGTCCGTTTTAGACATTCTGCAGAAGACCATCATTGCCGAAGAAGCAATTGTCAAAAAGGCAGGTGGCAAGTACAAGATGCTACCTCTCTTCACAGAGACAACGACAAAGATCCGAGCAGTGAGCCCCAGAATTTCCAGTCTCATAGGTCCAACCAGTTTAAATATGCTCACAATACAATCGTGAGAATAGATGCTGGAGAAGGATCAGCCAGTCAGAGACGGAAGCTGGACACCGGCCGAGATTGCGCTTATCAACGAGAAGATACAGCTAATCACCACCAAGCCAACCATCTACCTCGTCAACTTGACCATGAAGGACTACCTCAGACAGAAGAGCAAGTACCTGCCATCTATCGCTAAGTGGGTCACCGAGCACGGAGGCCTTCCCCGCGACATCATTCCCTTCTCTATCGAGTTTGAAGAGAAGCTCCACAGCATGAAGGACGATCCGGCTGCACAGGCCGAGTTCCTCAAGGACAGCAAGGTCAAGTCGAAACTGGACAAGATCATCACTGAAGGATTTACGAAGCTAGGCCTGCAATACTACTTCACTGGTCTGCTCACACTTTGCCACTTCCCCCCTGGGCGAATTTCCCGCGCTAACTTGTAATACGTAGCTGGTGAGAAGGAAATCAGATGCTGGACTATTCCCAGAGGATGTCTAGCACCACAAGCCGCTGGAGTTATCCACGGCGATTTCGAGAGGGGATTCATCAAGGCCGAAGTGGTCGCCTACCAAGATTTCCACGACCTCTGCCAGGGCGGGAAGTCCATGGGCCCCATCAAGGCTGCTGGAAAATACCGACAAGAAGGAAAGTCTTATGTAAGTATTTACTCAAAGACTCCCTCCCGATACTGCAGCAGCTGACTTTGTTTTTCTTCCAGGTTGTCCAAGATGGAGATATCATCCACTTCCAATTCAGTATGTTATTAAAAGTTGCCCCCAATACTAACTCCTTGCTGACTCCCTGTCTTAGACGTTTCAAACAAGAAATAGATACACCCCTTTTCGAGGCCGGCGGCTATGGAAGTTCGGATAGCGACCATTTTCAACAACTAGGGCCAATTCAGCTTAGGATATGTTCATCGTAGACTCCTTGACCTTTTACCAAGACCGCGAGCATCTATAGATCTGATTTACGAAACTTGCTAGATAGATCAATCAAAGACTAAATTGGTTCCCCGCGTCAGTATAAAACAGTTGTGCTGTTTGAGCAGATCTAGGCGAAAAGCATCTTTGCCTTAAGCTATAGTAATTGATATTGGAAAGACTGGGCTTATGGTTCAGAAAATGAAAAGCACGAAACTACTCGAAGTACCTCAATAGTTCAGTAGCGACAAATCAACATAGCCAACTAATCACCTACGAGTACTACCAGCTGACTAGATACTTCTTCATCATGAGGAGGTTCCCATAGGGGAGAGGGATGTTCTAAACTAACTAATTTGGGGCAGGTTAGGGCATCTCGTCTGCTGCCGAGCTGATGTACTATAAGCCCCCAGTCTTCGTTAACCCCTTTATCTCAAGATTAGTCAGCAGGCACACCCGTGTTGTATATTCGATATCGCTTAGAACATACCAGGCAGGTATCCACACCAGGACATGTTACAACCATGTATTGTCTCTATGTGGAACAGACCTCGCTTCCAAGATCCTAGACAGAGAAACTCCAGTTGCTGTAACCGAAGCTTCATGATGCATCGGGGTTCGGGGTTGGATCTCTGGCTATCTCCAGGTTTGAATGTTTTGTTTGACTTACCTTAGCCTTGTATGCGTGTGGATAGGAGCATGGCCCCCGTAGTTCCTATCCAATCTTAGATTTAATTGAAAAGAGGAATTGCGAGAACAAAGTGCAACAGACAATGTAAGACAACGGGGCATCAAAAGTCCACGTGACCATCAAAGGGTAGATCACATGACTCAGTTTTGGCATTAGTGCTGAGTCATCTCCACGGCATGTAGAGGCTGCATGTGACTACCTAGTACCTAGGTAGGTACGTAGGTACCCAGGTACCTAGTATGTACACCATCGGAGATATCATCCTTCTGCTATACTGGGGGTATACATTAGCCCACATTCTCCCAGGGCCCATACCGTATATGCCCTCGAAAGTGATGGGATACGCCTCGAAGTATAGGCAGAAAATGGCTGGTTTTGAGACAGCTCCAAAACCAAAAAAGAAAGGGGTAAAGAAAAAGGGGGAGGGACTGACCGCAAGCAAACAATGCAACGCGGTTTCTCTGCCCTTCGCACCTAGTATATAGACCACTGGTTAATCAACAATGACCGCTTTTACACCAAGCGCTAAACTAGGCCTTCATGAGGTCGGCGCCGGTTCTGGATGCCTTTGACCAAGATTTTGTCATCCCGTCCTTTGCGTAGCCATTCCAGTTCGTGTCAAGAATGCGTCGTGTCTGTCTGTACAGCGTAAGTTATTATTATATACTGAAAGTTTCATTACATTCATTTAGGAAGTAATCCTGGATTTGGGGAGAGAATAGTTGACTTCTTGGGGAGCGGATGCCAAGACATCGAGATCATAAAGGGGTAAAAAACACTTGCAGCTAGGATGATGATACTAAGACTAATTTCGATATTCTCTTCTATTATAAAGTAGTTAGGTATCTATCCGGAATTGTGCTCTAACGACAATAGTTAGATCAAGCGTCTTATCAAAATCAGCTTACATATACCTAGGTATCAAGCGTGCTAGTCTACCTAGTACCCGTAGCAGAGTAAATCGTCACGCAAAGAACTCCCTCAACCACTCCCCCATCCCCTCCGTCGCCCCCCTCCTCCCCATCTCCAGCGTCTCCAGCACCTCCCCCCCCTTTACCTTCACCCTCCTCACCCCCTTCACCTCCAACCCCAGCAACTCCTGCCCCAGACACCCCCATCCCACTCCCTCTCCATCCCATCCCCACACACAGAAAAAACCTCCTATCCAACCCCTCAATAAACCTGCACACGCCACACGCCCACAGGGAACCGCCGCACCCCTCCCCCCCTCCGTAGCTCCAGGCGATTTGCTCCAGCCCGCCCTCGGGCCGCGCCACGTGCCATAGGCGCTCCGAGCCCGGGTCGAGCGCGTGTGCATGCTTTTTTCTTTCTTTTTTTTTTTTTTTTTTTTTGCAGGAAAAGACGAGGAAGACGGGGCGGCGGTGGTGGAGGGCCAGCCAGGGAGGGATGTGATGGGCAGGAAGCGGGGTTTTCAGGCCTGAGTGGGCACGTGTACCTAGGGGATGCGGATGTGGCGGGGGCGGCACCTCGACCTGATATCAGCAAGCCGTACTCGTCGGGGTCGGCCGTGTCGGCAACGAGGGATGTGCGTTGGGGGCAGATGTCGGGTCGCTGCGCGGCGCGTGAAATGCAGGGCAGCAGCCTGCTCGACCGTGTTTTGAGTGTGCGTCGTGTGCATGTGCGGGGTAGGAGAGGAGGGCGGAGGGGTGAGTTTGGCTTGGATGCGGCAGGCGCATCGTTCTGGCGGCTTGAACTCGAACCCCGGCTCCAGGTTCGCCACGGCTTCGTCTTCGTTTAGGCTCGTGTGGATGTGGATGGGGAATGTAGTAGCCTAGGAGGGACTTTTTGATTTGCTAATCTTCATCATCATCGTCGTCGCCATCTAGATCGAACTCGTAGTTCTCTTTCTCCTCCGCCCAGTCAGAATTCGCAACCTGCAGATTCGCCACCGTCAAGCCGGTATTCGCAGCCCTAATGCGGAACGAGTCGACGTTGCGCTCGAGCTCGTCGTCGTCTAGCGTTACTAGTATGACGCCCTTGCTTCGCCACTCCTTGTCGGCGACGGCGATGAACCACCTAGGCTCAAACTTCTTCTCCTTCACCAGTTCGAGGTGGTGGTCGAAGACGGCGCGCAGGGGCTGGCCGATGAAGCGTGGCTGCGGGGCAATGCGCACGTTGGCTCCAGGTTCATTGCCCGTGTCTATGCACTCAGCTTCGCATACACGCTGGAGGTCTGCGAGCTCCGTGTCGGTTAGGTCGACGAGAGTATAGATAGGTGCTGGTGTCAAAGCGGTGTTGTTGTCGTATTCTGGTGACTTAACAGGCAGGGAGAGATCTGGGGTATCGGACATGATTCTATTGGTTATTAATTCAGGGTACTTAGGTAGTGAATATCGACGGTTGGGATTCTTAGCCAGATGATATCTTATAATTCTAGTCTCGGGATTTGTTGATGAAGGATGTGAATGTGAGGTGAAGACGGTCGTATATTAATTGCCTACACCGCCGCACAGCAACATGATGTGACCCCGGCGCAGATGTGAGTCAGCATGCATACTTCGTATATACGCGAATGATAGGTAGAGGGAATTTGATATGTAGATCCCTTGGATAGCGATCATCCATGTTATTCCATTCCATCATCCTAGGTACACGTCGTAGGTAACTAGCCTAGGTATATTATTAGATACTCCTGCTAGGAATGCACAGATTCTTCGAGTAATATACAATATTCATCAGAATACCTTCATGAAAGCCCCCCTTTTCTCAATCTCTCTCCTTTACAACCATCTGCGACCGTATCATACTATAGAAGTGCTTAAATTCAAAGCATGCTACTGGAAGCAATTTGGAGATTCCTAGTAAGGCATGAAGCTTTAGGTTAGGAGTCTGCCCCAGTCTCCAGGTTGAACCAAGGGTCCAGTAGTAAATTCAAGGCACAAGGTCGATCCTCCGGCCTCCACTGGAGCATCTTTCTGATAACAGATAGAAACTGTTCTTTCTCCTCCCCTTCAAGGTTCTCCTCTTCTTCGTCTAACGAGGTATTCTCAATATTCTGGAGGTGAGGGTGCAGATTTCCTACAAACCCGTCAGTTAGCCTCTATCACAGATTTCCATCGTTTCATGGAGGGGTTCTTGTACCATCTTCGTCAAAGAATTCATATGAACATCTGCTTCTCTCTAAGAAGTCTCTGGGTGGATTTCCTAGGAGAGATACCATCCTCGCCAACTGCGCTCCTCTGGTAACCTCCCTGTTGGGTTCTCCGTTGCGGAAGAGATGTTTGCCCTCGAACAGATACCACATCTATTGACAGTCCGTTAACATTACGAGGTACACGGTACAGGTTTCTCATATTGGCCTTACCATAATCCCAAGACTCCAAATGTCCACCTTCTCGTTCCAAGGGATACCTAGGACAATCTCCGGCGCTCGGTATGCATCTTGCATCGCTTCGCCAAGAAAGGGGCCTTCCCCCACTCGTACCTTACCAAAGTCGCAAATAACCGGGAACGCATCCGACCCAATCATAGGGGTTCTCGATTTGTATATAACCCTATCAGCTGTAATCTTCCTTGGTGTAGGATACATCAGCTCTTCTTGCACGAAGCCGTCCCAAATCCGAACGTTTTCCGACGCCATCATGATATTTCCTGGGTGGAGATCTATGCCCGTCTTAGCTCAAACAACCCAAGTTGGTAAGGGGGTAGGTAGGTAAGTATCAGTACCAGTGTGAACCATGCTGCCCATCGAGTGGAGGTACCAAACCCCCGGCATGAAAGTATATATCACGGACTTCAGTAGACGCAGTGAGAATTTACCACCACGCCGGTTGCGAACATCCTCAAGAGTCATACACAGCGGGGCATAGACCATACAGACATGCGATCCAACTGGCCCATTGATCCGGAAGCTTCGCCGACAAAATCGTAGGCGATCTAGCCCAAAGTCGTCACCGTCATTTATAGATCTAAGGTAGCGATGAATATTGTTTTCGGTTGCAGCCTGCTGTGATCCAGTTTCATAGATCTTCACAGTCGCATAGGTATCTTGCCTTCACCTGCGTCAGCACCCCTCGATCCCCAAGTTTAGACAGTTGAGAAAAGTAGGTGTGCTTACTCATTGTCCCGACATAACCAAGCCGTCGACGCGGAGCCATAGCCAAGCTTCACCATAACTTGGTACCTGGTAGTGATGAAATCGCCGAGCCGGATAGGATACCATCTTTCAGGGTCGAACGACGATATCGTCTCCTCCTCTAAGACAATATCCTCGTCAATCACCTCAAACTCAGGCACGAGATCTTCTAGCGGGGTCAAGTGACCGTCTTCCTCATCACTTGACGGATATTCTGACCACCCATCTGACAATCCATTTGACAATCCATTTGGCAATCCATTTGTTTCCATTGTTGATGAGCACAGAAGGTGGTATTACTAGTGATATAGAACGGGCTGGCTTTTACTAATTAGTCGTATTTCTCAGCTACTTCAAATAGGGGGGATGGGTAGTTTCAGAATTTGCGCTTTACTCTGAATTAGAAAAGATTATGTTCTATAGTTCTTCACAGATGTCCTCGTATATGTACTAATCTAGGACGAGTCATTCTACACCTATGTTCGTATCCCAGCCTACAGGTTTGTACTTATCTGTGTAGCAACGGAGTTGTTTTCATGATCATTGTTGAAGTACACCCATATGTGCGTAGACTCTTAGTTAGCCATCAGTGTACACGTGCTCATATTTAGATTCCAACGCAGAAACCAACGACCCTTCCTTCTGGCAGTATTTACGTAGTTGGTATTACCTGTTGCTGTCACTATCGTGATAATGATCTTGCACAACACCTAGAGCCACGCACACACCTTAATCTGCCAACCGAATGTTTGCCTGGACTCGGAGTGCTTCCTTTACGTCGATTCGCAAATGATAATCTATAATGTAATAAGTTCAATGCTTCGAATAGTTGCTATACATACCAAGGTAGGGTGTGTGGTTAAAATATTACAACATTGAAAAAAGCGCGGAAAACATCAAAGTCAATAAAAAATCATGTACCGATACATAATAATTTTGGTGTATCAGTACATTCACCTCCCGCTATTCTACGTAGCATAATAGTGACAGTGACACTGGGTATATAACTACCTGGTAACACTGTAACACCCGGTAACACGCGATCACTAAACCATGGCGGGGTAGTTATGGAATGGATCTAGAAAAAGCACAGGCCTTTTTTCTTTTTAAGAGCCTCAAATTAAAGCCAACGTCATTGGTCATAAGAATAAAGTTAGCTACTAGGTACTACCGCACTAGGTATTGACCTATGATATTTGAACCTCGAAAATACATCCATGAATACCTACCAACCAACATACCTACATACCTACATACCTACATACCTACATAGCAAATCATGCGACATGGTCACCTATGCAGCTTTCATGGTGAAGATATCAGATCATTAAGGCCACAGGTCTCTGATACCTGACCAGGCAGTCTCTTATCTCCCGAATTATTCTACATCAACTACAATTAACAAATCAAGATGCAACAGTTGCGCGTCCTAGCCCGTCGTCTCCTCGTCCTTCGCCCCTCGAGTTCTTCCGTCACCGCCCGTCAATTCACCAGACATACCAATTACGCTGTTCGTGTACGACCACAGGTCCCTTTTCTATCCGTCCCTCTCTCCAAGAATCATCAATTCCGATACTTGACCACCGAGAGGAAGAAGTGGCTGGTCTATGAAATTGTCCTCGGTCTCAAATACACAGCCTATTCATGGGCAATCGTCGCCTTCTCCCTTGCAGCCTACTTAAGTATAGAGCAGGAATGGCTCGAGAAGAAATACCCCACTCCCCATGAATGGGGTTTCCTGACCCGGGTACGGTTCAGAAAAGGGAAATGGGTACCCAATCGAACAGACCGGCCAGAGCCCGATTGGGTTCGTACCAGTGAATATGCCAAGAACGTCGTAGAGAGGCTAGAAGATCCGGAAATCGAAGGTGCCGGACTACAAGATCTGTCTGAGAGCGGAACCCCCGCGTTCGACATAACCGCAAAGAGCGAACCGTGGAGGAGAGGCTACTACGAAGCATTGATGCAATGCGCAAAGGCAGCCGAGAACCTCGATGATAAGGTCACGGACACAACGCGACATTTGGTATTCCCAGCCAACCAAGTCATAGGTCCATCAAATCCCCACCCGAAGCCAATTTTCCATGGTTCAGAGAGCGCGCCTCGCGAGGAGAATTGCGTGCGCGCCTTCCCTGAGCCAGAAAACTACTACGACAAGATCTTAGCAACGAATGGCTTCACTCCGAAACAGAAGATGGACGCTGCGCTGGAGTATGCTGCGTGGTTCGACTTTAAGGGCGCAGCTGATGCTGCTGGGGCCATGTACGAGCAGGCACTAACCTTGGCCACCGAAACCTCTCCGCCTCCGTACGACCCAAATTCATATGTCCTGCGGGATACCACGCGCCTACCCTCCATCAACCTACTAGTTACCCTCACTGCCGTAGCCACACACAAGGCACGCAACGGGGATATTGCCACAGCCCTACCCATCCTACTCTCCATACTCCGCGCGCGACGGTCCCTCCCGAGTCCACAACCCCTGCAACGGGTCACATACGACGCTTTTGATGAAGAAGCGCCATCGCCCTCTCCATGGACTTGGAGAAACATCTATAACACCGCCAAGCGCGTGCTCGCTCCACCAGCCTACCCACCACCACCCGACGACGGCTTCTCCCCACCCATCCGCGACGCCAAGGAGCTATGCGAAGAAGCGGCACTGAACCTCTACATCGGCGAGATCATCTATGCCGCCTCCACCTCCTCCAGCGCATCGCGCCACACGCCCGAAGACGGCCTTGCCTGGACGCGCGAAGCCGTCGACCTCGCCGAGGAGCAGCTCCACAAACTTAGCCACACCACCAACCCCTCCTCCCCATCCTCCTCCCCCTACTCCGCCTTCACCACCCCCGAAGCCACCCCCGCCCTCGCCGCCGCAAAAATCGCCTGCAAGGAATGCCTCACCAGCGGCCTCGGCAACTGGCGCACCATGGTATCGCGCCTCGCGCGCGAGGAGCGCGAAAAGGCCGCGGCCAAAGACCCGCATAACACCGGTGGCTGGCTAACCAACCTCTGGGGCGATGCGAAATCCGACCTAGGGCAGCAGCAGCAGCAGCAGAACGAAAAAGGCGGGCGCTGGACGGCAGAGGAGAACGTGGTCCGCGAGCGCACGAAGAGGGCGATGGAGGTGCTGGAGCACGAGGAGGCGCCTAAGCCGGGCCTTGGGTCCATTTTCTGGGCCTGAGGATGTGTTTTGGAACTACTTAAGGTAGGTAGGTACCTGGGATGGATTTATTTATGAAATGAGGTACCTAGGGAGAACGGAAGAGAAAAAGACTAGGGTGGAAGGGTCGATGTGTTTAACTATTAGGTAGGTAGGCGGTACCTACGTATGGTGCATGGCATGGCACGACGCAATAACAGGCATGTGTGTGTCTGTCTACCTCTTCATGGATATAGTTATTCCCCCCCCCCCCCCCCTTCTTTTTCTTTCTTCCACCACTGTTTATTCGAGTTGGGGACTTGCCTAACCACACGTCGATCGCTACTGTTCATACGAATGCTTTGGGCAGGGGGGGAATTACATAGTATGATACATAGTCTGGGAATGGTGTTCATGGCACGGCATGATGTAGGATATTAGTTACCTACTTACCTAGGGTATATATACCTTTCAAGCGTATATTCACGTGGTCCTATGCATGTGACACTGAATGGTGAGAGGTATCTTTCATTTAAACGGTGATAAATAAGCCAGTCTTAATTACCTAGGTGCTAGATTTTCGACTGTTTCCACGGCCTTACCCTTACCCTTGTCCTTATCCGTACATGCATTGATCTCTCCACCCTCGTCGCTGTGCTCCCTGTCCTGGCCATTTTTTGGACGCTCCACAAGAACGAAACGCGGCTTGTTATCGTCTTCCTTTGCATCTTCGCCCTCCTTGACCTCTTGAGTCTGCCACTGACTCCAATCAGGCTCATCTGCGTTAGTAGCCGGATCAGCGTGTATGATCTGGAACTCTGGGTTCACATAGTCCTCGCCTTCAGGGGTCAGAGCCACCTCCTGGAGCCAATCGAGTATTACTTTGGAGCCAGCGATCAACGTCTGCTCCGTGTAATTCTGCTCGCCGCTGCTGAAGACCGGGCATCCCAGTTCCGTGAAGGTGGTAGTGTTGGGGTTGCCCTCGGGGCCAGAGAGGACCATACCTACAGGCTCGAGGGAAGTTGCGTAAGCTCGAGCTTTCTGTGAGAATTTTAGTGTCAATGAGGGTATTAAAGGGGCTGTGTGTTTTAGACAGAGAATACGAATGAGAAAGAATTAAGAGGAAATGAGCGGAAAATGCATACGTTTCGCAAGAACACGTTGGCGAACTCCTCACTTCGCAGCTCAGAGGCCGGATGTAACCCACCGACGAGAGAAAGGCAGTTGATTCGGTCCTTGAAACGTTCCCAGACCGGCGGCAGGTCAAGGTACTCCTCAACGGTATCCGCGCCATCTCCGATCCCAATTACATCGATCCCAGGGCGCATATTCAAGAAGTGTGGAATTACTTTGTCAAAGATGTAATGAACATGGGTCTTCATGCTCTCGTTGTGCGGTACTTTGGTATCTTCAGTGATCGCATTGCCTGCCTGGACAGCGCTTTTCATAGGTGTATTATGGAAAGCGGAGTGACCGAGAGTGCGGTTACCGGCGGCCCACCAGAGCAGTTCGCCCATGTTGGCGAGAATAATGCCTGGTGGGTTCGAGTCGGTAGAGGAGCATTGCTGCTTCAGCAGCGCGGAGACGATAGATACCATGGAGCCCTTATTGACTCCACCAGGACCACCGAGAACGCGGTGGGCTAGGACACCCAAGTCTTGCATTGACTCGCCAAAGATGACCACAACACGTGTTCTGGTGCCGATTCCATCGCTGACAAAGATGGGAACATGCGGCTTTTTTGGGTCAGTCGTACCCAGGGGCAGCAAGACCTTCTTCATCCCGAGATTTTCGAGACGAGCCCAAACCTCATTCTGGAGGGCCTCTACATGGTTAATGTCAGTCATAGTTCTAGCGCTATCGAGTGGACAGTTAGGTGAGGAAACTAGGGGGTTCGCTCACGATTCATCGCGTACCGCTGGCGGTCGTTCCATCGTGGGTTCCGGTTTATGAAATACTTGAAGTAGTATTCTGGATTTTCGATGGAGCAGACTTCATCGTTCTCATTGATGAAGTAGCTAGGTTGGTTAATGAAACTGTTCTAATTTATAACGAGACAGGAGGAGCACTCATCAAAGTACTCTGTAGGTACTTACCCAAGTTCCTTTAGGTCGACAGGGAATTGAGGGTCTTTTGGTAGACCAGACCACTTTCGTCTAAACATTGTGTCGTAGAAGATGTGTGAATGAAGGGATACCTAGTAAGATCGATGGGAAGAGGAACACGGCGTTGTTATATTCGATTGTCTTTTGGAGAGGAAATGATAAATGGAGAGGGGATGGAAAAGGATTGGAAAGGGGAAGGAAGGAAAGGCAAATGATATCGAGCTAATTGTTTGCAATATACCTACCCTAGGTAAGATACAGGTACAAAATGCATGCCCCAGGCAGTAACTTCCAAGTTTCATTATTAAATCGGAAGGCACATGAGTAACAAATATGCTCACGCCAGGGTTGTTCAAATTGCATATCTAAGTACTCTGTAATTATGTATCGATATACCTCGGCCATCTACTATTAATCTAATTGATATCAGCAACTGTGTAGCTGCCTAGCAAGTTTAGATGCCCAGTGGTAAGGCTATAGTTGTATAGTTGTAGTGGTTATTCGGCGTCGGTTGAGCATGCACATTGATGTGATAAACAGTCCTAGCATAGGTAGCGATAAGTTGTTTGTCTGAATTTGTCCTTTTTTTCTAAGTAGGGTTGGTTTACTATATGTGCTGTAGGTACACACCGCAAGCATCAATCATAGCCAGCGGAAGTCTAATCGCATATCCTACACCACATGTATCGCCAATGGTTTTGTCGCGAACTACCAGCTAGCCTTCTTCACACCTGGTAGGTTACCATATATTGCCTGCATTCTGAAATTGTACTAGAGGAAAAATAATGTCAGCATGTGCACAAGTCATTTCCTACGTTCAGGGGTCCTTCCTTACTCTTGAGAGCTTGAAGTCGCGCAGTACACCTCTGCCCTTGCCACCCATTATACATCGTCCTCGGATTTGCGTCGGTCGCGTGTAGCAGTGCATCTGTGTCAACTGCAGCTGGGCCTCAGCTCGCGCATGAGGAGAAAGGGTGGTATTTCTGATAATGTATCGCAAGGCTTGTCTAGATTATCGCGAAGCAGGTATTAGAATATTAGGTACATCAGAACAGACGAGCATAGCTGTTTTGCGCACCTCTCAGGCTCGAATTGAGCATATGCCTTCCTCTTGGAGTGATCTCGAATTGTCTTAATATTGACGAAGCAGCCAATATCGAGCTTCTTGGCCCGGAACATCGACATCTTTGCGGTTAGTTGACGGAATCCGAACTTTTCTACTATGAATTGGCTCCAGATTTTTCAAGTTGTCGCTCAAGCCCACCTGCCCACCTTGAATGTCAACGTGCGGTTTGGCATGAAGTTATTTGCTGACTTATCAAACTGTGCTAAGACCCACATAACTATTACCTAGATAGTTAGTAGTAATCCATCAACCGATATTTTTCCGAAGCTTCACTTGCAATTGAAGCTGCGCGGGCCTCACTTCTCAGTACTTACTATCAATTGAAGTACGATAGAAAAGCCCTTTAGTTATTGTTTGCTTGTCATAAAAGCATCCATAGCCCTCACTTCATAGCCAAGAATCATCTCAATTCCCTACTAAATATGGCCTTAATTATTGAAGCTTCCATCTATGGATGATTATCGATAATCAAATCGAAAATCAGCTTCAACCGTGTAAATACATACACTATGTAACTAACTTGAGGTTGTAACATTGAATTTTGGCAGCTGCGATTTACGTACCTGGATGAACATAGCGGGTCAAGCCTCCAGTTTTCCAGGGGTCTTTCGTACCTAAGTAGCATATTTGAAGTCCAGCACGTCAGTCGCGATGCACCTAGCAAATCCATACGGGTCATCAATGACGTCGACTTGTCCACCAATTTTTCAACACGCCAAATTCAGCTTATGATGTAAAGTGGCAGACATTCGTAGCACCTAGAAGTACTTTTAGTGCCTAAAGTTAATTGACATTTAGTATCGATAATGAAAGTTCGGCAGCCATGACGTAGTTGAATTGTCAAGTGTAATTGATGGTATTTAACAGCTGGATTGCCATTGTCTTGCTCACACAATTGCAATCAATATCATCTATTTACAACTCAGTAAGCTCAAGTCTTGAAAGCATATCCTCTGATCAATCTACCACATATATATATATATATATATATTCTACACAAATACACATCCACCATGTCTGGAAACTCCAACGTCGGACAAGCCTCAGTCTATGAAGCCGGTGATCAGAGGAACCCGAAGCAGTCTGATATCCCAGGCCCTACCAGGTTCGAAGAAGGCACTGAGAACTCCCACCTACCCAATGACTCCAGTAAGTCCCATGCCCACAACCATACCCCCAAACCCCCCATTCAGTCGTGTGATCTAACCTTATCTTCTAGAGGATGAACGATCCATTGCCAACCGTCTAGCAAACGAAGAGGTATGCCTCAGTCACTCCCAATCACAATTGTGTACCTATGTTTGAGTCTAACAATTCGTAGCGCAAAGAGCATCTAAAGGACGAAGATGACCCAGAGACCAAAGCCTCCAAACAAGACCCTACACTACCGGTAAATTGCCATCCATCGTTGACTTAGATATGAATGCACGTACTTACATCCATTCCAGGCAAAGCTACACGGCAACAAGCCGTCAAGGGGCGCCAGGGTCGATGCTGACATACAACAAGAGGAGGAGGAATACCTCGAGCGGAAGGGCAAGAACTAGATAATCTGATTCACATCCTGAGACATAGTGACCTATACCAAACACGATGAAAAAAAATCCTGACACAATCTTTCTATCTTCGTATATGAATATGTGTGTCTAAATCAAGACGTATCCAAATATCCAATGTGAAATCCCTAATAACATAAATCCTAGGTTAATCCAATCCCAGCCAAATACTCACAATTTTGCCCCACTAGCTCTCCTCTTCTCCCTCTCTTTATCTTTCAACAGCCTTCTAAGAATCTTGCCACTAGGACTCTTGGGTATCGCATCCACAAACTCGATCCCGCCCTTCAGCCACTTGTACCTGGCTTTGTGCTCTTCCACCCACATGTGAATCTCCCGCGTGACTTCTGCATCTGGCCGCGCCGCCGCTGACGCAGCCTTAACCACGAATGCCTTCGGCACCTCTCCAGAGCTTTCGTCGGGTACGGGGATGACTGTGCAATCGTTAACGGCAGGGTGGCTGAGCAGATGCGCTTCCAGTTCTGCTGGCGCGACTTGGTGGCCCTGCGCAATTTGATCAGCAATTGAAACGTTTCGCCATGCTGACATGACTTGCAGTAGACAGACGCATGCTCTCACCTTGACCTTGATCAACTCCTTCAACCGATCGACCACGGCAAAATGCTCGTACCCCGACGGCGCCTTCCTTACAACCGCCACATCGCCCGTCCGTATCCAGCGGCCATCATGATCCCACACGAACGCCTCGGACGTCGCTCTCTCGTTATTCAAGTAGCCCAGCGTGACGGAGGGCGACTGGACCCAGAGCTCGCCGCGCTTGTCGTACTCGATGATCTCGTGCCCGTCCTCGCCGATCAGCTTCGCGCGACATGCCGGCGCCAGGGACCCCGAGGTGCCGATCATGATGTCGGTCTCGCTCGTGCTGAGGACCACCGTGCTCGTCTCCGTCATCCCGTAGCCCTGCGCCACCTGCAGGAAGGGGAACGCCTTCAGCATGTCCTCGTGCGTCTCGGCGCCGAGCGGTGCGGCGCCCGTGTACACCATCCGCAGGCTTCGCAGGTCGTACTTGGCGCACAGGTCGGGGTTGCGCAGCATCTGTATGACAATGGGAGGGACCTAGCACAATCAATTAATTAATATAACCACTCGTCATCCCCGTCTTCTAAGCAAGGCAGTACGCGTTGAGTGAGACCAACAATGTGCATAAAGTTAATCTTGAACCTCTGGATCGTCTCCAGCAGCGTCTTCAACTCGAACTTGGGCAGCACAATCACGCCGTCGCCCCGGTACGTGCCTACTTGCGCGACAACCACCAGCCCGTAGATATGGCTGAACGGTAGGAGGCCGAGTTGGATCTGCGTCTCGACGCCTTTCGCCCTTCGTCCGGGCTCCTCGTGCCACCGGACCTGCATTATGTTCGCGATCACGTTTCTGTGCGCAATCATGACGGCTTTCTAAAAAGTAACGTTAGCACCTACTCAATCAATCCTTCTCCGTCAAACGCCAGCAAAGAAAGGAAAAGAGAGAGAAAAAAAAAGAAAAGGGGGAGGGGACTGACAGGCAACCCCGACGTGCCACTCGAATAGCACAGATACGCAACCTGCCGCGCGCCCTGCCCCTTCGCCCACGCCAGCGGCGGCAGCTCCGGCAGCGCCCTGCCCTCCTCGATCAGCTCGTCGAGGCTCTTGAACGGGACGGGGTCGAACTGGCCCGGCAGCCGCATCAGGAACACCCTGTCGTCGGGGATGCCGCACGCGCGCGACGCCTTCAGCGCCGTCTCCAGCAGCGGGACGCAGGTGATGAGGGCCTTGGCGCCGGAGCTCCGGAGCTGGTGCTCGAGCTCGGCGGCCGAGTACATGGCGTTGGCGGGCGTCGCGATGCCGGAGAGGCGGTGGACGGCGAAGGTCGACATCATGTAGTCGATCTAGCACATTAATAAAACCGGCCTGATTTGCTCATCGCTAGGTAGGTAGGTAGATTACCGAGTTCAGGGAAAAGACACCAACGACCTTGTCCCAAGGCGTCTCCTCGTTGGCGCGCCAGCCCATGCGCTTCGCGAGCGACCGCGCCAGCAGCTGGTACCGCGCCGTCATCTCGGCGGCGCTGTACGTCTTCCCCGTGATCCCGCACGTGTACGGGTTCCGCGACTTGGCGAGCGATTGCCGGCCATACCGCTCGTCGCTCCAGAATTCGTGGAGCGGGATTGAGTCTGGCGGGTCTGTATGTGTAGGTAAAGGGTTTATTGGTAAGCGGCTGCTGCTCTCTCTCTCTATTTTTTTTATCTTTTTGGGGGTGGGAGGGTCTTTAGGTAGAACTTACCGAAAGGCAACTCGGGCACCCAGGGCGGTGGGGTAAACACCATCTTTGCAATTCCTGTTTTGGGATGGAATAAGGATGGAGTAGGTGTCTAGGTAAGTTTCGAGTAAAACCCCTACTCGAGAATAGATAGACAGGCACGAGATTGAGGGAAAGGGCGCGGCTTTACGGTATTCTAGTAACAAAGGGGAATCGGTTCACAAAGGGCGGCTGGCAGGAGAAAGGGATATGTAGATATGAAGGGTCAATGGTAGATAGGTCAGTGTTACATTTATGTATGTTAGGTAGGTAATGTACTTACTTACTATGTATTTACAACGCACGCACGCGCAAACAGTTGAGCCATGGTGGTTGTCCTTACGTCCATCCAATGAACTAAACTCCGCATTTCCGCATCTCACTAATCTGCCTTCCCCACAATCTTTCCCACGGATCTTCCCCCCGAGCTAGGCCAAGGGAGCAGGTTGGCAGGTAACTAGCCGGATATAACTAGTTAAAGTATTGAATGTACAATAGCTTCTCGCGTGCCGAACTTGACAAAGCAAACAAGTAGCCATGTAGTTAACTTATTGCTTGGATGGATTAATCAAATCAAACCTGGAACTCCTTTCAGCTTAGCCTGCCTGCTCTATTGTTGCAGATCGCCAATCAGCTTTTCAACCGTTTCTTCGGGTTTTCTTGGTAGCCATTATGTATTTCATTAATTTCGTAGTTGCACAAGTGAACGTTAATGTCAACGGTATCTTTGATTTTGTGTAAGTTGGACACTTCCCGAGATGCTTACTCAGCGAATGAAACCTCTCTTTCTAATGTTGTGTGAATGTTGAGGGTTCATCAGTTCAGTTCAGTTCAGTTCCACAATGGGGATGTCATTGACATGCAAGAATGTAAGGTGGTAACTACATACCTAGTACTGTACCTACCCTCAGCATACATACATAACCTCGGCTTGATGGACCCCACATTACATCAATTGCTTTAGCGGAATCGCTAACCTAGACCCCTTGTCTTTCCAGGGGTACGGGCAGCCCACAACCCTTGGACCAATAGGAATTTTCCGATGTCTCTGATGTAAAGCCACCACAGCCACATGGTTGCGATCCACAGATTGTTGGAGCACAGCCATTTTCTTCAACGTCACCCACCTTATGTACATGCTGCATTGCATTGCAGGTCCTCACTTGAGCCTCAATATATGATATGGAAAGCTTGACTTTAGGCGTAGCTGGGGAACTTTGCTATTGTATGAGGATCTGGAACAAATGTAATACTTCGTAAATATTGAAGATGCACTATCTACCCACTTTACCTGAAAAAGGGGGTTGTAATGATATCGATGCCACTATCATGGATTTGATGTAATACCTACCGTCTCTCTACAAAATGCGCAAATACTTTGGTTTCCTAGCCATGATGATTAGCATGCCTCTTTCTCTACAAGAGCAGCGCGTATATGACTCTAACCCAGATCTACCTTTCATGTAAATCTAGAGCAATCATATGTATCATGGGGGTTTGTAGCAGCAAATGCTGCAGGTTTCTTATAGATGCAGAGGTATCAACAATGCTACTTTTTTGTTTAAATCTCAATTGCTTAACTTTGGCTACTGGGTTTGATTTGTTATTTTAACCCTCAGGTTTGAAATGTTAGTTGCTGAATACTGGCTGTATACTACCTAGAAGTTGGACAATATTGGTATGATACATGCAGACAATGTGTTTACCTTACAAGGCAAACATTCACCATGAATTATTATATAACCGTACGTTTACGTTCTATGAAGCTTGTCTTCCCCTTCAATCCATCCTGACCTAGAATTATTTTCATGACTGCCACTATCTATTTACGTCTGCTCTCAAGTTGAAGTCAATGAAGGTGTGCACCCTCAGACTATGTCTACAATACTTGTTAGCTACTCGACGGCGTTTAGTCAAGAGTATGCCTTAACTATCAATATTTTATTGTGAATCGTATCACATTGTAGGAACAAGGCCCACTTCTTTATACATACCATGAGATGCTGGACATAGGAAGCACGAAACCTAACAAGTTCCGCGTATGTATGTATATAGCTATGTACATATACATATATCGAATCAAATGGCGCTTTCTCATAGCAGTAATTGCCAGCAAAGTTCGCCCCTTCCAGTTTACTAGCCACCTGTGTGGACACTCACTTACCTAGTACCTGCCTACAACGTTGAAGGTAAGTACACAGCAAGTGCTCCAGCTGCTTATAGGTAGTGTTCGAGCTCAGTAATGACCTTCTGTAAAGCTATAGAGCCCTACGGCGTTCCTTCCTCTGATAGAATTATCCACTGGACATGTACATACCCACACTAGAGTGCTCGTCTTCAGCCATGGCACCTTCAAGCTTCCGTACGAGTCGCTATTCATTAGGTAGTAGTTTTCTACTTTTAATCGTGCCTTCTCTTCCTGGATGGAATCACCTCGCCCCATTTATATTAATATGTAAATCGAGACCCTCTTCCAAGCGAGTTACTTCGGCTCTTCTGTTTTTTTTCTTTTTTTTCCCCAACCCGTCACATAAATTACATCTCGACAACCCGTCTTCCTACCTGCGCCGTTGTACTCACGTACAATTTCTCATCTTCAATTATCCAACATTATATCAACATTCATTACAACATACGAGTGTTAGAAATAGCAATCAATCGTGCCAGTTCTTCTATATGACCACTCAGATACGAATCGCCAATATAGTATCAACATAGGAGCATTATTGAAGATACCTGCACTGGCATAGGCACATTGCCTATGCTCTGGTCTGGTAAGTCCCCTTATTTATTCGTTTTAGTCATCTCAACGTTCGTTCTTTCCATTTTGTGTCTCAACCATCAGCTCTTTTCAACCGCGTACCATCCAAAATAGAGGTCTAGTCGGTCTAGTGTTTACCCCCTTCCTATAAACATTCTATCGCAGCTTCCGAATGCCATAATTGATTCAATAATCACCTCTCCCACTTGCCGTATGAAATCTCTGACTAGCCTGACTGTCCCTTTTCTTCAGCCGCACAACATCTAACCCTCTACTTCCTCCTTTCCTTCCCGTGACATACCGAAGTACATATCCATCTACCCAACACTCTAACAATTTATTCAAGAACCAAGCTTCTTCAGCCATTCATTATTCACACTCAAATAACCATTCCCTGTGTGCCTTCGCAATATTGCACACTAACCTTGTCGATCCGATTCAGACTACACATTTACTTCCTGCGCCGAAATCTACTCAAGTCCTCACTGAGGCCATTATATCAACGCCGCCTGGTATCATTACTTATCATATTAAAGTTATATCATATACCGGCCTACCTAATCCCGCCACTTTCTCAGTAAGGATCACTTCAGTTATTTACTCATTTATTGCGGCCGATTTATTGATAACCTACTCATATCCCCTCCCCTATGACTTTATCTCCCTTCATGATAACTATCACTCCTCCTCCTTCGCTGCGCTATTCATCTCTCTTCATATTCATCGTCTCCCTCCTTGCCACCCCTCCTCCATCCCTAGTAATGACATAACATAACATATAGTCTATTGAGAGGACTACTAACAGTTTTCCTAGTCATTAAACCTCGAATCCCTCTTCTTCATATTCATTTCTTCATAAATATATTCAAACAACACCCCTCCTCTTCATATATTTCTCAGTCATTTAAGTTTCTGTCAGTAGAAACGCTCATCACATCCCGTTTCTATCATCCTAGTACGGGCATTACAGTATTGCCGATAACAATGTCTGGCATTAAAATGAATCCTGGCACGAAGCGAAAGCTTCGTGTAGACGATTATTTTCGTCCAGTCAATAGTCCCAAGCGTCACCAGCCCTCATCGCGAAGGGCTACCCGTAGCCAAGCAGACATACCAGCAACCACTATTGAGACCACCGATAGTGATCCTATCGACCTAGAACCGACCCAAGATGAAATCCCAGCGGATTTCGTTGACATTCATTGTGGAAAACCGGAGGCACATGGCAAACCTCCGGCATGGTCCCCCAAGCGAGCTGCATTGAATGATGCAGTATCCTACTACAAGTCCCACCAGGGGAGCGTCTACAGCCGAAGTAAAACGGCGCTGGGGCTCCTGATCGATGAATCGGTGGAGATTCGAGATTACTTCTCTAGCGAAGTAATCATCACTACTATGTAAGCTCTTCGGTATAGAAAATGGTTATGGTGATCACACTGACGAAAAGTTGAACAGAGGCGGGGGGAAGACATTAGACCCCGTTACAAAGAAGATGGTTCGCTCGAAGGACCAGGATTCTAACGGGTTGAATTACGTCGCACTGCGAAATGCGTATCTCGAAAAGTCACCCCTTGTAGTTGTGGCTGGTAAGTAAAGTGTAAGACTCTGAAAGTACCTACGGTCTAACAAAGTATTAGGTGCCGGAAACACACTGTTTCCGGTTAAACCACCATCATATTATAATGTCCTTGACTACTTCTGGATTACTGATATGTGGTCAGAAGTCGGACAAGGACTCAAGGATGGCGAGAAGATCGCCATAAAGCAGTTTAAGATGCGCCTGGAAAAGGTCAACCTGGGCTCGAGATCCTGGTGGGCACCCAAAGGCGCCAGCGCGCATGACGTAGGCGAATTCAGCATCGGTGAATTTATCACACCGTCTGCCAGTTGCCGATTTTGTCGCACGTCCAGCAAGCAGTTGTTCAAGGAGGATTGGACATGCTTGAACAAGGAGTGTGAAAAATTCTTCTACTTCAAGGACGGTATTGACACCAAGCAATTGGAGCATAGCGACGAGTTCTTGAAAGAACGAACTGCTTGCCCGAACCTAATGCGCGGACACCCCCTGACTCCCTCTTTGCCTTCAAAGAAGAGCAATGATTCTGGCAGCGAGGAGCGTTTTAAGCAGGGGATCGTCTGTCCGAAGTGCCGCTGCTGCAGCCGGCGGATCAAGTGGGAAGGGTGGTTCTGTGAGAACCCCGACTGCGACTTCACATACAAGGTGCCAATTAAGATGATTGCCTTCGCAGACGTGCTAAAGGAGAATCGCATACACGAGAGCAAATCCCGGAACTGCAAGCTGCACAAAAGTATTAAGGCATTCGACACGACCATTGGCGATGTCGATATCAAGACCTACTTCTTGCCAGATGAAACGGACAAGGGTGGCTTTGTCGGCTCAGTCACACGAATTCGTCCCGGCGAACAAGCGCTGCAACGACCAGGAGGATTCAATGACTTGTATGCACATGTCCAAAGCAGCGACATCAAGTTCCAGAGGAACCCTGCGAAGAACTCTGGTAAGTATTACCCAGATCATCATATCAAGTGGCCACTAGAGACTAATGATTAATTCAGGATGCAGAATCGAAGAGTTGACGTCCCATTTTGCCGTCAACTTTGTAAGTCCCCCCTTCATCGCAGTTGACGCTTGATCGGAACACTAACGACCGCACAGGGTGCGCCTTACAAGTTCGGTGTGGTTGTCAAAACCACAAACGGCTTCAGCGACGCGCCCTTACCTATCATCGAATCCCTCCTTCGACTAACTTGGGCCGGAAAGACAGCAGTTTCCATTACGAACAGCCTTATCCAGGATAAGGAGATTACTGCAAATGAGATAGCAGAAGAGTTTGTCCCATACAACGAGGAACTAGTCCTCGCGTACTTTGAAAAGTCGAAGATAAGCGTATGTCTCTCTCTATTTCTCTCTCTCTCTCCAGGATTTCTTTGAAGCTAACTCCAACCCCCAGGCCCACGATGACGGCGAAAAGGAGTTGGGACCCAACGTCGCGACTCTATCACTCGGATCCCCCTCCACGATGACGTTCAGCCCCAAGAAAGGGCTGAACATAGGCGAAACTCACGACAAGACAAAGAAGCTGCGAGCCGCAATGCTCACACTGAAGTTGAAGCACGGCGACATGGTGGTCATGCACGGCCAGCATATCCAGAGCCGTTACTTGGTACGTCTCAGTGTTTCGCTCAACTTATGTTCTACCCTCTCTAATAACGTAAATGGTGCTAATGCCGTCGAACCGAAAACAGCACGCCGTCGAGCCAACCGGCAAGCACCGATTCGCCCTAACCTGCCGCCACATTCTGCCCGAACGGATGCCCAACGAGGAGCAGCGTCAGCTGGCCCTGGTGAACGGCAAACTGCCCGACCAATGGAGCTCCGTCCGTTATGACGGCGAGTCGGACCAGTTTCAAGCCCCCACTGGCGATCCCGTCGCTAGTCCGACTGAGACGTTGGCGAAGGGCGAGGAGGAGGCTTAGTTGCCTAGGCGGCTAGGCGGATCGAAGAAAGCCAAGACGAATGATTCACACTGCTATGCTTCCGGTGTACCGATTCAGTTTTGCTTTGCCAAGCTGCGCATGACGACACGACACTTATGATAGGTAACTGAACTGCGACGATTTCACGAGGAGACGAGGTATATAAGTGGGAGGAGGAACACCCTAGGTTCCCAGGGCATTTTCTTTTTTTCTTTTTTTGTTTTTTTCCAGGAGGAACTAGCATTCCACTGAAGCACACTTGCTTGCTTGCTTGCATTTACGCGCTGGAACGGCGGGGGAGGGGGGAGGGAGTTAACGATACGATACCCATTTCGTTGACTATTTTTCATTTTCCAAGGTTACCTACCAAGAAAAGGGGGGGGGGGAAGATACTTGAGGTACACCTAGTTATACATATAGCTTTTGCGATACATACCTAGCATCCATGTCATGTAAGTACACTAGGTACCTAGCTAGGCGGCGGAACAGCTATATTTTTTTTTTTTACATTTGCTTTTGCTTTGCAGACTCAACGCAATGAGTCGATCAGTCAGTCAATCGAAGATATAGCCGCCCCTTTTACACATGAATTTGTGCTTGGACTTGCTTCTAACCTACCTAGTGAACTAACTGCCTCTATTCCCTTTTTTTGTTTTTTGGATCTCAAAGCGTGAAATGTCTTGTCCCTTGCATGTATGAAAGTATACGCGTAACTGAGTATGCATGGTATTTTCACGTAGAATGAGCATTGCCATGCGAAATGAACATGTCTACATCAAAGAGGATGCAAATGCGTTCGTTGTTTGGTGCCATATGCTAGATACCTAACCTAGGTACCTGGGTAGATAGATAATCAAGCGCCGTTCGTGTAGGTTAGAAGACACCCGTACCGCACCATGTCTAGGTACCACACCATAACCATACCGTGCCTGGGTAAGTATCTGGATAAGTACCTAGGTTAGGTAGGTAGATAATATGTAGCTCCTTGGGGTAAAAAAAGCGTAGCCGAACCGGGGCTAAGCCCAATGGATGGATGTCTCTGTCTGTCTGTCTGTTTGTCCCCCTCTCTCTTCTTAATCCAAAACAAATCTATATCTGCTCGTACTCTCCACGCTGTGGCCGTCTATTCCCAACCCCTTTCACTTCGTTTCTCCCTTTCAGCTTCAAATGTCAGTGTCAACTCACACGCACTGTGTCTCTCTTTCACCGCCCCTTATTCTTGCGTCTCCTCTCCCACTCCGCGCGCTCCTCCTCGTCACTTCCCGAGAACTCCGCATCATCGTCGTCACCATCATGTGAATCGAAGAAAGCATTGGCCGCAGCGCTGTTACCCTTCGCGTTCCCGGCCTCGTTATTCTTACTGTTACTATCGTCCACAAAGTCACCGGCGTTGAGCTCGGCGTACTCGTGCTTCTGGATGAGGTCGCGCAGGCCGGGGTTGGCGGGGTCGACAAGCTGGAGGGGGGTGAGGCGGGCCTTGTTGCGGGTTCGGGTGGAGGAGCCGGCCTCGAGCATCATCTGCACGAGGGCGTTGCCGAACTCGCGCTGCGCGGGGGGCTCGCTGTTGATCCAGCGGATGGCGCTGTGTAAAGGGGTGTCCCCTTCGGCACGGTTCGTGGGATCGCATTCGAAGTTGGGCTGGTCGAGGAGGGTGTCGATTACTTCGTCTGTGTTTTTGAAAAAGGGGGTTCTGGTTAGAAGACGAGGAGTTTATGGTTGGGAGGGGTTGTTAGGGTAGGTAGGGTAGGGAAAGGGGATGGCAGATGGCTGGGAGATAGGACAAGTAGGGGTCTTATCAAAGTCTTGCGATAGGGGGCTGAAAAGGAGCATATAGGGAGGTAGGGAGGTAGACGGGGAACATGGAGAGGGCAAAAAGAAGGAAAGAAGAAACACACAATTGCCCTGTAGCGCGGCCTCATGGTATAAGTGGTTTCCCATGACGGTGGTGGTGTTGTTGAGGAGGTTCGATATCTCGTCGTCATCCTTGCAGTTAGAGATGATTTCGTTAAGTAGGTCGACGTTGTTCCGTCGGCAAGCCTCGATCAGCTGCTCTTTCACGGAAGCGCCCTAGTTTGACATATGTCTTGCGTGAGCCCCTATTGTTCCACATGTTTACCTCCCTACCGACCTGCTTGGGTAGCAGGCAGGTAGGTAGATAACTCTCTCTCTCGGGTGTAGTAGGTATCAATGGCTTCTAACCTCATGTTCATGACCGTCCGCCATCTTGTTCCGAACTCAACAATAGTTTCCTCGTGGTATATATCGATCCCAAGTCTGTAGACGGTTTGCGGTTTGGGTTGCGGTTTGGGTTGCGATTTGGCTTGACTCAGCTCAGCTCTTCACCGTACTTCTTTTAATTTGTAACAGATGGGCTGTGACAGCTAGGTAGACGTTGAGAGTTAGCCAGTTGGTCAGAAATAAGTTAAGACTAAGGATGATCTAAAGTCAACCTTTTGACTAGTATTGATTGTGTACAATGTGTATGTACAATATAGTGATTGATAGTTAATAGGTAGAAAGAAGGGCGCCTAATGATAGGCGGATGGTTAGTTACTGGATTCTCAGCTTGGAGGCTGTGACGTGCCAAATAAAGTTGCTGAACCAAAGTCTAACCCCACCATCCAACAATTAGATGGAACCTGCGCCCACCCACTTGGCACTTGGGCCTTGCACCTGCGGGGGTCTAGGTACATACAGCATGTATTGCACAATACATACATCATGTACAGTAACTAACTAGTTAACGGAGGCATTATTTTAGCGGTCTCCGGCGGGACTACCTAGTACTAGGCTAGTAGTTAGTTACCTACCCCTGCATGTGCTAACCATTCATCAATGTTGATCTTGGACCAAAAAAAGTCCCCGCCAAAATTTACTTAGCAGTTCGTTCGGTCATACCAAAACCAAACATCAAAACTTATAAAACTTATTATCCAAGTTCTTATCGCGAAAGCAAATCAGAATACTTGAACATTACTGGAAAATCAATATCTATTCAGTCTTCCTCGTCACCATGCTGCTCTGTACGTTCATTTCATCTTCCGCAGCATTACTAATGAAAAAAAAGCTAACCATCTATCTCCCAGTCTGTCCGCAGTGTTCCAATATCCTCACCATCTCCCCGTCTCCCGACACCGGGCGCAACCGCCTCGAGTGCCGAACCTGCCCCTACCAGTATGCCATCGAACAGCCCATGTACTCGCGACGACACTTCAAGAGGAAAGAGCGCGAGGATGTCTTCGGTGGTGCCCAGGCCTGGGAGAACGCCGACAAGCAAAAGGTGCAGTGCAACAACTCGTCATGCGACGGGAACGAGGCCGCCTTCTACCAGATCCAGATCCGCAGTGCTGATGAGCCCATGACCACTTTCTACAAGGTAAGTCTGATCGAAGTGGTTGCTGCGACAAAGCAGGTGGCAGTGTATGTGCAGAAAAGATGCTAATGTATTGATTCTCTTTTAGTGCATGGCGTGCGGACATCGGTGGAGAGAAAACTAAACGTGAACTGGCGGATCGATTTGGTGATTTATAGCATAGCTGGGGTATTTCTGTCGGTCGGTTCTCGGAGTCCTTTTGACGGCGTTATTAGCAAGGGCTGGCCAGAGTTGATATCATTTGAAAACAACATACAACTACCCTATTCATCATGATACCCATATTTGCTTCAAGCCTTTACCAGTAGCATTTTGTAATATCCTAATTCATGGCTTTTCCATACCCTGAGAACAGCCAACGCGAGTGTACATAGTGCCCTCCTACTCGGCCTTGTGCCACTCCACCGAGGCTTTCGCGCCCTCCGTAGCTAATGCCTGTACGAGCTCCGGACTTAATATGTCCTGGCGGAAGCGCTCCTCCTGCAGCAGCTCGAGATGCTTGAGTGTGGGACCTGGGTAGTTCAGGTACTTGATGTATGGGGGTCGCGTCCAATAGCGCAGGTAATCGAGGTATGCGACGAAGGCGGGCTCACTAAGGAACTTTTGCGACGCGAGGTGGTTGAGGTAGAAGGGATTCGCGAGGGATTGGACAAACTTTGGTGGCTGTAGTTAGCGATGGGTGCAGTAGGACAGGATGTTAATAGAGAGATAGAGGTAAGATGCATACCTCAAGCTCAATCTCGAAGCGAGTGAAGCCGCCGTATTTCGGCTCGTTGTCTTCTGGGATGAGAGGAGGGGATTGCTGCATTTGTATGTCCTCTTGAATGTCCATCATTTTGTTTTGTTTCGTCAACGAATATCGTTGACTATGGGATCTAATTGTGTGAAGAAGATATCTCTGTCTGGGGAGTGAAGTGATGCGAAATGGATGTAGTAGTTCAAGTCAGTCTGTAGAGGTAACTACCTGTGTACGCAGTCCTAGGTACATATGAAGGTCCAAATTAATCGCATTGTAAGGATGACTAAGCCCGCTTTTACTTATAGTTACATGTACCTAGGTACATAGCCATAGATGCTATTGCTGCTAGTGCTAATCTCATTCTTTCTTCCTTCTTGATTGGATATGTGAGGGACAGAATCCCATATCGAAGCAACGATCTATAGCACAGGGCATACCGAGAAGAGGGAAGTTTGTATTGTACCGTAGGTAACTACTGCCTGTAATTGCCTAATTACAGCATTACAGCATTACAGCATGACGTCAATCCAACTCCATCCTCCGTCCCATATAAAAACACTACCTACCTACATGTAGGGTACAATATAAAAACAGCTAACGTTAGTGTTGTATGAGCCTTTTAAACAACCTCCCAAGCAAGGATTAACAAGGATTAATAAACCTCATCAAACCAGAATTCTCCCACAAGCGCAGTCACGAGTATCCATTCGTACTTGCAACAAAACACGCAAAAATAGCATCAGTGGTTTAGTGGTAAAATCCATCGTTGCCATCGATGGGCCCCGCGTTCGATTCGCGGCTGATGCATTTCTTTTTCTATTTTTTTTTCTTTCTTTCGTTACCTCCAACTACATACATACCATCAAGCTTACATGTAGATACAATAATGGAGAGAGAGAGAGAGAGAGAGAGAGAGCCCTAATAATGAAAACTTGCCCTTTTCAGCGCTTGGTACGCTGTTCATGGACTACCATTGGCTAAGCTAAGCTAACGTGACTCTGCAATCCACCTGGTTTTCCCACACGCACAAATTTGGAAACTCTGGTGATTTTTTTTTTCGTCAAATACCTCCGTACTATGCTGTCTGTCATATGTATCATCTAATAGACGAACACCAATAGAGAGCCAAAAAAAAATTCATCAAAAATAAATATATGGAGAGCAAAAAAAGAATAGATTTATATATATAAAGGAATTTTCAGGTTTGTCCTCGGTGAGGCTCGAACTCACGACCTTTGGATATCCCAACACCTGTGAGGGTTGAGTCATGTATATATTTGTGGTATTTCTATGAGACCAACGCTCTAACCAACTGAGCCACGAAGACCGGATGGAACTTCGGCATGTTAAGATGGCTCTTCAAGGGAAGCAAAGCCCAACAGCTAGCTATGGGCCGGGAGGAGGGACTTCGGGCGTGGTAGAGCGGACGATGTGGGCCGTCGGACTAGTCTAACCTAGGGGCTATTACTATGTAGGTAGGTATATTCCACGAAATCATATCTAGGGGTGATATCTCTATAGCCAACGCCTTTTTAGAGCTTCGCATGTAGTCCTACAGTCGGTATCAATCTAGACTGGACCTATTTTAACTGTAGGTAGGTAGGTAGGTAGGTAGGTATCATATGCTTTCATACACGACTCGATAACTACCTTGACTGCCTAGGTAGGTGCCTAGAAACCTGGTGATATAAATTCTTACACAGCACCTACCTACCTACCTAGCAGAGCCTCACGGGCTAAGCGTAAAGGAACGAAGCTATCTATACCTCCTCTACTCGATTGTCTCAATATCGAACGGCGACCTAATAACCGACAAAGCTATTATCACAACGACGGAGAGCGCTCCGAAGCAATGCATCCATTTTTTTATTTTTTATTTTTTTCACAAGAAGGCGCTACGCTATAGAAGCCCTTTAAAATCACGGGCGAACCGATCACCGCGGGAGGAGTTTGTGGCCCGGGGGATAGAGCATGGTGAAATTGTCGTTAGTTTGCAATTGTGGGAGTACCTTCGGCTCGAAGTATGCGATGCTGGATTAGGGAGACCTGGAAGACTCCCTCCCATATGGTGATCATAGTCGGAAGGGCTAGAACTCATGTATGCCTCTTAAGGTTTGATACCTACGTACCATACTTCTTAGTAGCCCTGCATGCTGAATACCACTAGGGAGGTTAGCAACAGCGTTAAATATACCAGCCAACCAGCCAACCTATGTACCTAGCCTAATTTCCCCCAAAGCCAAACGATCTCTACCTAGGTAGCCAACGACCTTGGAAAGGGAAAGTCACGTGATTCAGGGGTAAAGTAGAAGGGCTACAACCTACCTACCTACCTATTCCATCAATGTACCCGATTTTTATATTCAACCATCATAGAGACGATAGTTTCAACGGACCATCTCATCCTGAGTTAGGTGAGGTGGTCTTCAGTCCATACTACCTAGGTAGGTAGTCTTAACACCAACTGAAGTCACTTGATGGAAACCTTAGCTAGCTGCTGTACCTAGGGTTAGGAATATGGGACCTTGGGTGGAGCTGAAGCCAACCTCGGAAAGCCTACATGTGGGTAGGTAGCTAATACATAGATATCAACCGATTCAAGCATCATTGAGATGTCAAAGATGTCTAGGTCCCAGATGTCAATCAGCCAATAAACGACATGAATATTCAATTACCTAGAACTTCCTAACGCCATGACAAGAAATATCCAAGCCCACCCCAAGACTCTGTTCCTCTCTCCAACCCCCTATACCCCCCAGCAGTCTAAGATGCCAATTTTTCACCATTCATCGCCCCTATTTATGCCTTATGTATATCTGCCTACCTGCCCAGCCCCAAGATATCGATAAGTTCACCACCACCAACCACATACACACATAGGATAAGCAGAACACACATAGTAAGACGAGCTGATAGATTGGGTGGGTTAAGACTCATGCGATCAAATTTGTGTCTGTCTGTCTGTCTGTCTGTCTGTCTGTCTGTCTGTCTGTCTGCTACTAGTGGCAGGGGTTGTAATAGGAAGAGGAGAAGGGGGGAGAGGGAGAGGGGGGGAGGGATAATATGTTTGCACGATCTAAAATCTTTCCGAGTTGTGTCCCGTCCAGAACGGTACAGTCGCCGATCCATCTGGGAACATATCCATCTTTGGCTCGTCTGTTTGTTCGTTTTCCTTTTGCTCATAGCCAAACTATCGCCATCGCCAACGTGCCTCCGGATATATCCCCCACTATAAATTCCCCTTTTCCTCTTCCTCTCGTTCTTTCTTCGTTACACAATACCTATCCTCAAGGCCTTTTCTTACCGGACAGCAATAAACGTGTCTTGGTTTACCTCCTAAAATGTTACCAGTGGTTTGGGAACCCCACGCCCCTGTGGTGTTTATACCATACCCAAGACGCCACCCCAGTACGGCGTGTATTATCAGGATTATCAAACTTGAGTCCCTGCACAAACTATCCATCGTGATCACTGCCTTACATACACAGCTTCACAGCTGCGGAATTGTCAACATTGCGTTTTCGGCACTACACCCCAGGGGAAGCAGAGTGCAGAAACCCTCAATTGTACCGAAGCCTATTGAGGGTGTGTCGTCTCTATCTGGCACCGCCGTTGGGAACCCCAGGGATGCCCTGCGGATTTTGTGCCGCCTGAGCCGCCATTTGCAAAGCCGCTTGGGCATTCACCTCGGCTTGGTGGATGGCGTTTTGAATAACGGATTGCTCGTCAGCTGATAGGTTGGATGTGAGGTTGGAGTAAAATGGAGGATTTTCCTGTTGTATTTCTGTGTTGAATTATGTTAGAGATCGAAACAAAATGAATAGGCTATGTTGGACTTACTTAGGAGAACGTTTCGGAAAAGCTGATAAGGCTCAATTTTGTCGAGTGGTGATTCCAGCAGCACACTATCTTCACCCAATTCATCGTCCGAATCATCAAGCTGATCCTTGTATTGACCGTCGATCTGGCTGAATTTTGCTGCTTCTTCATTAAGAAATTCGAGATACGCCGTACTCTCGTCCCTAGCATCACCTTGGTCTCCCTCGGCACCCTCCTCTGGGTTCCAGTTGGTATCCTCATCGGCCCATTCGTCATCATCGTCAAATTCGTAGGTCGCAGAATCATAGGTGAAATCTTCCTTCAGAGCCTCCTCGCGATTCTTCAAAGCATTGGGCAGTGTTTTGAAGAGACCAGTAAGCCCTTGCAAAAGTCTTGGCCAACCAGTGCTCACGCTGGCGGGAATCTGGTCTGCACTTAGACTTAACAAGGAGACAATGGCTACGATACAAAGCTTCTTGTCGTGAACCCGGCTGAAGTGGTCCATGTTGCTGAACCACAGGCTAAAAAACCTATTGGTCCACCCTTTATTCTCCAACACCGCTATAGTCAAAATCGGGTTATAGTAGATGGCATTTATAACCATCTCCATTAGGTGAATCTTATACGACTTGACTTTGATATCGTTCCCGCTGAGTACTATCATGGACATGGCGATAAACCCGGTGACAGATTGGTCAATATGACCACGCAAGCTCAGCATCATAGCTTCTGCAAGCTTGCATGCACAGATGCGGTCGACACCTCCAACCTTCTGGTCTTGAAACATGTCTTGGACCATTCCGTACAGAGCCTGTACGTATTCGGGTTTCTGGGTCAGTTGAGCAGCGCCATACTGTACAAAGTTGTCGAGGGCTGGGAGCATATCTTCCAGGTATAGCTCGGCACCGGACTTGAAAGTTGCGTGGATAAGCTCAAAGGCTTGCCACATGGTGGGTGAGATGCTCTTGGCAGCGAATGTGCAGCTATCAATAATTTCGAATACTTCATTATAGAGATCTAGGCAGAAACATTAGTTAACGGAATGGGCGAAAAGGAGAAAGAGGAGGATTGATCAAATTACCGTATAACTTGTTTTCGAGCGTCACTTGGATGACAGGCATGAGAACCGCCTCGATGTGAAGCAGTACGTCCGGAGTACTCTCGAGGGTTAAAATGAGAGTGCCAATCGTCTGCAGGACACCCAGGGCAGTGATGCTCTTGTCGTCGAGGTAGTCGCCGAAATCATCGTCTCCATTGCGGGCATCGTTTTTGTCCAACAGTTCGCGGATGATTCGGAGATAGGTGTCTCGAAGTTGCTCGCTGAGGGCCACCGCAAAGGGCGTGAGCTCAGCAGCGAAGACCTCAACAAAATCTTCCATGACGTTGGCAAGGGCATCAATGTCGCACTCGTTGGCCAGCTTCAACAGCTGCTGCATGATCGTAGGAATGCTCTGCTGCATGCTGATGCGGATAGCGTCGTGCCTAATCAGGGGCTGCAAGGCAAGGGCTGCTGTGACTCTGACTGGCAAATCGGTATCTGCCATGCAGTCTAGGATATGCCGATAGATAATGAGCAGATTATTCTGGTCCTTGAAGTTGAGCTGTTCGAACTTCTCGATGGTGTCACATGCGCGGGCCCGAAGATAACCCAGAGGACTCTTAAAGTCGGGGAAGACGTATCGGACCAAGAAATATTCGATCTGGTCGGCGACTGGGCTCTTCTTGCCTAGAAGGACTGGTGCCAAGGTAGCGATCATTCTCAATGCCCCCTCTTTCGCGATGTGGTTCTTCTTATCGTCAGGTGATTGTTCGTATTCATTAACAACTCCATTCACAAATTGTAGAATCTCAAACGTTTGCTTGCGACGAGCCTTGGTCAAGGTGACGAGGAAATTAGTAGCGGCTACATCCGGAGCGGAAACCTCTTCATAAAAGTTAAGTTTTCGGTGGAGATATTCTTCAGGCTCATCCTCAAACTTTTCCACGTCCTCCTGACTGAGGCACAAAACGGGGAATACCAGATGCGTAACCAGGTTAGTGAGGTGCGGTTGCATCAAGCTCCACATCGACTTGGGGCGACAACACTCGTCGAGGAAGACAAGTGTATACGATAAGCATGCCTTGCTAAGCCAAGCTGTCTTGGAAACCCACTTCTCGATTTCTTGAAGGTAGTGCTTTAACACCTCGGGCGCGATTGTGGACTCGAATTCCTTTGCATACCTAATCGTCTCATCATTTTTGGTGGTAAGAGACGAAGGATTACCTTGTCTTTACAATAGAAGTTAGTAAACTGGCTGGGCTACCCCCGATCTCATAAGGAATACCAACCTAATCCAGAGTCTGTTCAGATTGAAGTAGGCCCACTTCTTGGCCTTCCACCAGTGATGACGCTCTCGTTCCTCGATGTCGTCAGACATGGCCGAGGCGGGTATCGCCTTCGACACGGTTTGCAGGAAAATGGTGCACCATCCGATGTTGACGTCGTGCTGTCTAAGGTAGCTGGAGAGTTCGATCTAGTAGCCAAAGTCAGAAGTGCTGCGATGATGAGAGACCATCATAGAGAAACACTTACCCAGGTTGCGTGTTTATAGGCCTTCAGTGCGATGTGCAACATCTCGCCGGCTTCGTCGCTTTCCTGGTTGACCAATTCATTACAAACTTGCTGAAGTCTAGGAAAACTAGCCTCGACGATCTTGTCAAATTCTGCTCTACTACTGTCCTCGGGACCCTTGAACCTGTACGCTCGACAGGTCACCAACAGGCACTGCAGACCAGCAAGAACTGAAGGGGCATCATTTGCATGTAGCAACTGAAGGGTAACGTCCATGAAACTAGGCCATCTTCCAGGGAAGTCGAAGTGCAAGATCCGCTGAATCAGCTGTAATAACTGTTGGCGGACGGGGCCACGAGAGGCGGCAAGTATTGGAAGGATGCGGTCGCGAAAGCGTTGTTTCTCATCTTCTGCTATCAACGGATCGTCGGGGTAATGGTCGCTCCTAGACCAGCCTCGATTCGTTCGATTCTTGAGATAGATGACGGCTAAGAATCGACAGTGTCAGCGAGATAAATCCAGGTGAGTATAGACGGACGTGATGTTCTACTGGTATGGTGCGGGATAGAAGGGAACGAAATGTATTCATACAGGAGAGTTGAACAGAATCGTCAGGCTCCGCCGTCAAGACGTCAAGCAGGACATCGGTGAAGCCAGGATGACTCTCGGCCTATAATTTGGAGTTAAATAATTTTGTCAGCGTATATATGCCCAACAAGCCAGTAGGCAACCAGGAAAGCGTAGACGCGTCAAACATAAGATATAATGTTGAAAGGATGGCGCATCGCATCGCATGACATCGCGCAGCATAACACAACAGAACCCAACACAACACGACACGATACGACACAGTACAGCACGCATCACGCCGAGGTATGACATAGAATACAAGAATAGTGAAGGGAAACGGGAGAAAGCAGTGGGGAAAAACAATGGGAATATTTACCTGCTTGAGTTCCAACTCGGCGGCCCTCCGCACATTGGCATCGGGGGAGAGGGTAGCGACAACACGAGCCCTTACGGCTTCGGCATTCATGGTGGATTCCTTGTCGTTGCTGTTTTTTGGGGTTTTGTACTTGATTTTGATTTTGACTTTTGACTTTTTCAAAGCAGTACTAGCCTAGGTAATGTCTGATGATAGTACCAGGTATAGGTATAGGTATAGCGAGCAGTATAACAAAAAGCAATGACGTTTTGTTTCTGTATAACGGGTTTCGGTAAGGATTCGGGGGGTGTGGTGCCCGTTCGACCGGGTCGAGTCGACAAGGCAAAAAAGTAAGGAAGGAAGCTGAACAGACAATAAAAGAGTTGGTCGAGAAAAATGCGGTTTGTGATGGTGAGATTATTGTTCAGCTGGCGGCGCTGCACCCAATTGTGGTGTAGGGTGTTTAAAAAAAATAAGTTTTGAATTATGTGAGGTTAGACTTGAACGGTAGTGACTCGTTATTTTTGCGCCCGTTCAAAAATGGCGGGGCAAAAAAAAAGACTTGAAGTCAACTCGTCTGGAAAGCAAGAGGCGCCACAGATTGCCCAGGGTCTAGTCCCAATCCGCTTGTTCGTAGTAGGCATTATTGTACGATAGTACTAGGTACTTAGGATTAGGTTAGTACCAGTGACCAATAGTACTTGCCAAGGTACATATTGTATTGTACAGTACATCACGTACTGACTGTAGTACTGTACCTAGTACTAACCTAGGTATTCAATGTTGTACCTGACCCTGCTGACCCTGATGGGATCTGGCGCTAATGGTGGGCAACAATTTTTAGTTGGATTCCAAGGTTAGTTGGATTAGGTACCCTAGGTAGGTACTAGGTAGTCACTGGTAGTGTAGTGTAGTCGGATTCTTTAGGGCGTGTCACAGACCTACTGGTGGTGCCTGGAGCAGTGATGCTTCAAGCCTGAAGCCCAGGCTCCCTTTAAGAATGCTAGGGCTGCTAGGGTCCAGGGAACAAACCTTGCAACGCACCCTAAAAGTTTTACAACTTCGAATGCCCCAGTAAGGGTTTGTGAGAATTAACGATACATATGTAGATAGATCATCAACGTCCATCTAACTGTACGTTGTAGATAGTACTGTAGATAGATGCATTCATCCATACCTAGTACATAGCCAACATTCAAGTGCATACCACATCCTTACTACTTTGTATATAATTAGTTAGCACTTGCAAACTAGAAATTGCATTCCACTGCTTATGTCAGTACTAAGCGGTCTGCAGTGACTCTGCACATACTAACAACGCTTAGTACCTACATAGTACCTAGTAGATAGTATGTAGATGCCTGTACATGTAGGCACTGGGTAGGTATCACACGGTACACACATATTTGATATCCTGTGCTGATGATACAATACATAGTAGGCATACACATGGCATACACTGTACGGTATGTGCCTATCCGCTTATGGGTTGCATTCGATGTCAACTGAAAACGTGTTTGGAATGCCTCCCTCTTCATAGGGCAACCCGATAGACAGAAGGTATTAGATTCTATCTCTTCTCCATAAACGTATGTGTACCTACATATAGTAAGTAGCAACATTCAAGTTAGGTAAAGGATGTTAACATTAGGATGACATAGGTATATCATCAATCTTACGTACCCAGGTACCCATATGTATCAATAATCATGGATGCCATTGAAAATGATTGAAGGTTGCTCGCATATTATAGGTACTAATCTAGCCTAGGTATATATTATATTGCTAGGGTTGCTAGGGTTGCTAGGTTACATGTAGTAGATACATATGCATATATTTGGGTAAAAGGCCAAGATTAATATATCTGCGTATGAGAGGTGAAAACGGTGCAACTTCACACATCGAAGGAATAAAAACATGTGCCTACATGTAATATGTAGCAGCCTAATGAAATGATTTGTTGGAGTGGAAAGACAGCCAGCGGTAACATGTAGGCATTAGTGAATGATCAAGTGTACATGTTCGAATACACATATAGTCTCAGTGCTACAAAGGCATCTAGAGGCCATCCTACTGGAAATAGCATGTACATACATACCTCCTTCCGTTTGCACTTCAATATATATTTCAAGTTATATTATACATGTATTAATATTGAACCTTAGGAGTACGTAGGGACCAACTCGGGAAGCCGAAGACGGTCGAGGACATGGCCGACTTCAGGTTAGTTCAACAATTGATGTTGGTTTTTATGAACGTAAGCGGCAACTACGCTTGCCGCCCCTCACTCCTTGTACTACCTACCCTAGGTATTCCATGAAATTCCAATTGGATTGTCTCCACTTCACACAATTGGCAATTGAGTTTAAGGCTTTAAGCAGAGTTTAAGGCTAGGTACATATCAATATCATTGTCCATTGGGCTCTTATCCATGTCACTGGTGACTTCGATGTTTAAAGAAGAAGAAGATGACGCCGGCTAAACAGCGGTAGCAGTACAATACATACATTCAAGTTGTCCCTGAAGATCTCCACAATCTTTTTTTATTTCCATCTATTTCTATTTCCATCTACCTACCTACATCCTACACTACATACCCAACATACCCTACCCTAGGTAGGTAGCATATTCTATCTATCCTAACCACATCTAGATTGCCCTCCAGATGCATACCTTCGCTGCCTCATCATGTCCATCTCTCACATCAAGACCTGTATACATACGTACCTAGGTAGTTACTATCATCATGCGAGTTGATATCATGAGTTAATCTACCGGTTTCAATGTTCCAACCCATGGTTCCTATCTAAAACCTCCCCAATGGGATGGCTAACCGCCCGGCTTTCACATCCGAATATCCTGGCAGTTCACGTTTCCTCACCCACCGTACCGTGTGTTCCAAAATGCCGGCGGTTATCGAAGAAAATACTGTAAATCAAATAAATCCGAATGCGTACTTACCTAATAGGTAAGCAGGTAGGCAAACCAAATTGCGCATCTCCAACGGGGTTTGAGAGAGAATTATAGATAGCATGCTAACCAGACAAGCGATATCGATATACTTCGTCGCAGGCAGCTTTATATATATCATGATATCAGACATTCAAGCATACACCATATCAAAAAGATGGTGTTCGCGGAGCATTGATCAACCGGTCGGCTCCGTTGTAGGTATTTCAACGAGGACCAATACGATAATTCGAGGTTTGCCATGTAACGTCGTCACAAGAACCCTGAAGCAAGCAAGCAAAGCAACAAGCATATAAAGCCTTCATAGCAGCATTGAATCCTGCGACTCCTTTTAGCCCCCTCAAACCTAGGACAAGGATCTTTTCTATTTGTTTACCCTCCTCGACTCTCTCAATTCATGTAAACAAACGTTTGCCTACACATGTCACTGTTTCGTTACATCAAACTCGTTAGTTTTCAGATCCAGCTGATGCTCGCACATAGCAAACTAGGTACGCACTACACTGTATAGTCATGCATGCAACCCGGCCCGACAGAAGTTCGCTTATACAACACGAGGCGGGCCGAGCTTTTGCTTTTCGTAAAACATCAAAGACATAACTCGACATGTAGCGAAACAACGTGCCTGCTTACTCGATCTTCCAGTCCCCTTTCCCATCCTAGGTACAAAAAGCAAAGGCAAGATCTAGACAGGTAACTTATATTTGCAAACAGCAACATACCTACTTACGTCATCTTGCTTTAAGCCAGGGATACATGTAAATGTAGTTCGAGGAATTCCTCGGAACTTGGAAGGCGAGAGAAAAAAGGCACGAGGTAAGTATTCAGTGTTGGAGCCGCATGCTTCCATGTGTCGGCCACGCCGACACATGGTCTTGAAGGCCGATGCAGAGTGTAGCCTATCAGGGTCACTCGTTCATGCCCGAGTCGACGAGGCTTTGGTAGGACCTAGGTACTAGGTACGCTTCCATCTGGCAGAATCCCCCAGAAACTCATGTCCTCGAATACTGCATTAGGCAGGCAGGTAATCCGCAGGGACTCGATACATATTCGCTGCAAGGCTCTAGCCTCTTCAAACGCGGATGTAGGTAAGTAATGATTTCGTGCCCCCCCTTTTGGCAGTAGGTACAGCATGTAGATTCCCGTCTGTAAGGATTCTGCTAGCCTTGCATATAGGTAAGCCCAATACTAGCATAGGTCGTTCGTTTCCCGGGGCTGCCGTTTTCCTTTATGCTCACCTACAAGGACATGTACTTAGGAGATCGCGCACCTAGGTAGCGGTACGGTTCTGCGCCTACAGACGGACAATTCGACTGGAATCTGACAGAGCATAGCCGCAAGGCATTGTTGCAGCTGTCTTTATACCTACCTCGCCGCATAGCTAGGTAAGTAGGCAGATAGAGGCCTGGGGCTTCCCTCCAAATGGATACCGCTAGATTAAGTAGGTAGAGAAAAATGTGCCCAAGTGAAGTGAATAGCAAGCAGCAATTCTCAGGCTGTATATAATCGTCCACACCTCCTCAATTGTAGAAATTTTACGCACAAGTCATACACCAACCATTCATTAATCCGTTCATAGAGAATCCATCGTTCTAGTGGTCTATATAAACATCGACCAAGAGCAGTTCCATCCATATGTGTATCCACCGATTATCACCCACATATGCCTACCTAGGTAGACATACACTCTTACTGATGGCTTTGCTTCACTTCACCCCCTTTCCAACCCCCCTATACGAGGACTGCTCGCTGTAGTGTAGAGGGCCTTATCCACGTATGAGCTATGTACGTACTGCCATCTCTTACCCTCTCAATGAGACACGCTGTCGACGGCTCGTTGCCATATCTACCTGCCTAGTTTCGAGATCATACCGGGCGGACTCTTCTCTTCAGATTACAGATATAAGTAGGTAGTTATCCTTCCTCCCCACTTCTATTCGAGCCCAACAAGTATCTAGAGGGGGGAAACTGCCGCGTCTAGAGTGGTAGATTCCAGGAGGCAGTGGAGGGTGTTAAAAAAGAGGTGTGGATTAGATGAATAGCTACATACCTAGCTATCACGCCCCCCACCTCGTCTATGTCAATATAAAAGTTCACTACCTATACGTCGTTGGTACTAAGTACATATATGATAGCCAAGGAATATATAATGAATAGGAGGAGGCACCTGCTAGGTAGAGCATACGTACCTAACCTATGTACCTAGTACCTAGAGCTGGGTTGGGAGTGTGTATGTGCATCATGCCGCTGATTCTAGACAGATAATGGTGGGACTGCGTACACCTAGGTTACCTTAGTATCTAACCTAGGAATACCTACGTTCAGTGAGGAATGGAATCCATGTACAAGATCGATAGAAACTGGGAGAAATCATTGCAAGGCCAAGAATAACTTCTCCTGGTGTTATCTATCTTATGCATGGATTCATTGGACGATGATGTTTAGAATGCTTCTCGTGGATAGGGGTTCCCGCTACGGTGCTTAATGGATGTGTGCCTAGGTGTATATATCAGACAGATATCCTTGATGACTAGGCTAAGAGCTCTGATATTATAGCCTACCTACCTACCTACCTACTTAAGTGCCAAGGGAGGTAGGTAAGTGATAATTATCTGTTCGAGACACTTATCTAACCTACCTACCTCCATGCCTCCCTATCCTCGAAATACATCATTAGTATCAGCATCAGACACTTGATAGGAAAAGCTCATAAGAACCTTGAAGCCTCCTCATCAACTACCTATACCCCCTCCCCCCACACATCTCCATTACCTAGGTATCCACACACCTTGAAACCCCCTTTTCTTCCCCTCTTATCACCGCAGATAGACAGGTAAATGTTGAACATACCTATCACATACCTACCCTAGGCACCTCCTTAGGCAGCTGGGTACCTAGTTAGGTAAGTCCGTACCTACCTACCTATAACTATACGCACCAACTCTCCTATGATACCTACCTTCAGTGTTAGTTTCACGTGCCGTTCAAATCCCAATCCCAACCTAAACCCCCGAACCTCAACCTACCCTTACTTAATGACCTATCTACCTACCTAACCTACCAACCTCCATATCTATGCACCGACCCAAGTATACAAGAACCAAAGCATCCAGATGTCCCGCGTACCTGCATACCAGGTACCTACCTACCTACCTGCCTGCCTGCCTGCCTGCCTGCCTGACAGTATCTATTCACGCAGGTACGTAAAACACCACTTTTCAAGGTCCTCGCTCCCAAGAAACGGAAGTACCTGTACCTACACCAACGAAGCCAGCCAACCAATACTGTGTAGTATGTACGAGGTAAGCAAGCACCTCACCTAACCTCACCTCACCTTACCTAACCTAACATTCCCAAGAGTAGGCAAGATAGCCGCCATCTGACACCACACTAACTAACTCAAGCAGTATAAAGTAACGCCCATTCAAGTCAAGTCAAGTCAACCCAAACAACATCAAGTCAAGTCAAGTGAAATAGAAGCACCGCCAGCCTACCCCGCGACAGACCACCATACCCAGCCAACCAGGTACCTGCCTACCTAAGCCAACCAACTATCCATACCTGGACCCAGATACCAACTACTCCCCAGCTACACATACTAGGTACAGACAAGTTAGCTAACAACCAACAACTAACAACCATCCGCTTATAGGTATGTAGGTACAGTACATACTCCTAATCACCTGACACCTGCTTACAAGACATGAGTCAAGCGTACATGTACCTACCTACTACCTTAACCTAGGTGGTTGGGTAACCTAGAACCTTAACCCAACTACAGCCCAGCACTAGGTAGACCAGCGTTAGAGGCACTCAAGTACTTAGGTGAGATAGGTAAGATAGAATACCTACTAGGTAAGTAAGACAGCACATCAAATCACGGTCTACAATCACCTAACCTAGGCACATGCACAACGTCGAATAAACAAAAGTGGAAAAGAAACGCCATATATTCCAGTTCCATTGAACCCAACAACGTACATGTCTTTTCCCATCCCCAGGCCAATACAGACAGCGCAATCCACATCCCAACACATAACCCCATTAACCCTCATGATGACAAAACCCAAGCCCTATCCATGCCCCACCTTCACCACACCCATCTAGTCGTAGACACGATACACACTTGCCTCATCCATCCAAACAAGCACCACTCAGCTTCCCAGCACACAAGCCCAAGTGCACCCAAGCAATCCCATCCACAACCAGGCCATGGTTAGTAAGCCACCGTCCGTCCATCCGGAAAGGCTAGTCAATGAAAACATAGCAGAATAAAAGGCAGAGGCAAAAGCAAAAGCAAGAGCAGGAAATGGGTCCTGGGAGTTGGAAGACAATAGTGGTAAGGTGAGAAGAAGGCACAGAAGAAGCAACATGAATGGATGGTGGACAAATGGCAGGGTTCAAAAATGCGCAAGGGGAGAGCAAAAGCTGGCTACTGACTGGGCGAATATTGTGAATGTCCAGAAATGTTGACTGATGGTATCCATTGGTAAGTCCATAGATAGGTAGGTCCACTACAGGGGGTTGTTCAGGGCGACTGCTTCATTCTCCATATGGCTTGCCAACTGGTGTTCTAAATGTCCAGGAAGTTGTTGATCAGTCCAGAAGCGGAAGACGGCTGTATCCTGAAAGGTACTGCAGCACATCTTTTCCTGATATGTCCATTCCTTGGGTGTTTCATCCAGGGTCCATTGTAAGCGCACTAGAAATCCAGTTGCTGAACAAGCACTGTTGAATCGGTGTGGTGAACCAATCGGCCAACCTGTACTGCCATGAGCAGACCAGACCAGACCTTCATAGGTCCCAGGTGGTGAGTGTATCATGGATTCACGGCCATCATTGTAGTCCTCTGCTAACTTGTTTGATTGGCCTTTGTCTGCAGGAATCAGCGGGATCAAGCGGTTGCATACTCACCACATAATTCTTGCTTTGGCGACATAAAAAGTATGGTCCTCTTTCAATCGGGTCATGTATGGTTGACGACAAATCACGACCATGCAAAAAGGGAAGCTGGGCGTGTGTTCCTGTGGTGCAACTGAGGGTGGACTTCTTACCTGCATATCCGACTGAAGATTCAGGGACCATTGCTTCTTTTTTGCACTAAGACCTTGTTCAGGCTAGTGATCCATGGCAGGCTTGCCAAATGTCCAGTGGAATTGTCCAGTGGTAGATTGAATCCCCGGAATTATCCAGGTGTAATGTTGTAGTATCCGGTGAAGAGTAATCCATGGAAATTTTGCTGCTATGTCCATCGGTCAAAATCAAGCTGGCATTCCAACCAGTTTCCTTGGTAAAAGCATCCATGGGATGGCAGTGAGTAATCCTGAGTATTGTGTCGAGTAGTCCGAGGTGGCCTGTATGTTAGTAGTACATGCACGAAGGCGGAAGAAAAAAAGAAATCCGTGAGGATATTGCCAGGGCAAGTAGAAGCATTGAAAACATCTTGGAGATATCCTTCGCAGGAGTGGTTGGCATATATATACAATCCGTCCAGCGCTCACCTTGCTGTCCGGATCTCGAGCCCTATCTATTAGTAAAATCGTTCCAGCATCTCACCATAATGCAATCCGCGACTGGCCATGGAAATTCTCAAACCAGGAATTTGAAATAAAAGAAAACAGCCTCCTTCGGCTGGATCCGGACAGCAAGTTGTGGCAGGAGCCAATCCATAGATAGAAATACTAACCAAATAGTAATAGTAATAAAAATAAAAAAGAGAACTTCTTTTCCCCGTCGGCCTGTAGCCTGGTATAAATGTGCGGCAAAAAGCCAACTCCGTACAGAGGCATAGCAGAAACAATGGTCGTCGTTAGTCGATTGAGGCCCACCCATATGCAAGTCGTAACAAAGTTCCCGTTCATAGTACGCCGTATCCATTCTGGGGCCCAAGATTTCATGTGCGGAGTAATCGTAGTAAAATAGGTTAGGTACCGGGTGTCCTGGAGATATGTAGATGGAAGGTTGCGTTGGGTTTGGTTGATTGGTTGGTTGGATCCAGGTCTCTTCTCCTTTCTCTTCCTCATGAGAGTGGTTTCGGGTGGTAACAACATTATTCAAAAGTCGCAAACTTGCAACTGCGCAAGACACACAAAGGTCTGTAAAAATTCAAAACCCGGTCTATCCATTATTTTTTTGCATGGCAAAAATTCCGGAGCAGGACCACGATATGGTTTGTTAGGGACTCCAAATCCTGGGAATCTCGGCAATGAAAACAATTAATCATGGAGGAAGAATCACAGACAAGACGGAAGAAGAGTCCGCCTAGTATACTCCAGCGGTTTTTAGTTTCGTCCAGAGCGATGAGGCCGATGAGCGTGTCTGGAATCGGTATGGCGATCGACGCTGTCCCTGTTTTCACGATGCCGCGCAGACGCTCCACTAGTTGGAATTTGAGTACTGGTTGTGGTGGTTGAGGTACGGGGGGCAGGGGTGTTTTCATACTGTGGATCTTGTGCTGAACCGTAGGAGGTTGTGCCTGCTGGAGATGCTAAACAATCAGAAAGGGGAATAGGGAGGTGGATTATAAACCTGTGGTGTACGCACCGCGTCCATAGAATGGATCTCCAGGTTGCACGGTAGGCGCATAGGACGGGTTCGACGGTGACGGGTTCGAAGGGTAAAATCCACCGCCAGGCGCCGATGATGGATAGCCCTGAGGTGCAGGTGGTCCTGAAGTTGCGTAAGTAGTCCTACTTGCCGGCATTGTGGTCATGGGCGTCCTTTGATCCCTAGGGTCTCTCGGGTCTCTTGAGCCTGCGTACGGGTCATTATACATGGCCTGTTGGTTGTTCGCCACTCTCGAATCTGCTCCAACCAGCTGGAAAGGAGGCTCCTGGCCGGCCTGGCCAAACCCTTGCGGAGCCATAGAAGGATAATTCACACCTCCGGCAGGAGTCTGAAATTGCGCCTGGGTAGTATACCCTTGTTGAGAACTATACCCACCCTGAGGATATGGCTGCGATGCATACGCGCCAGAGGCACCTGTATATCCTGCGGAACCAGTGCCTGGGTACCTGGGAGTAGCATCACCGTACGGATCTCGGTTTGGATCCGCCGCCGCGAATCCGGCCTCGGTAGGTCCGTAGTATTGACGGGATTGGTGTGTGTCCGAGTTTCTATATTGGACTATAGGGGAGTTAGAGAGTCTGACATATACGCCATTCGAGTCTCTCGAGGCTATAGTACCTCCCGCAGCATTGTTACGGCTCGCCGATTGCTGCCGCCTTTCTTGGTCCCAGCGCGCCGAATCTGCTTTCAGGTCTTCAATCATAGCCTGCACGCAGTAGAAAACCCCCAGTCAGCGATTGTCATATCCGAAATCGCATCGCGAAAAAGTCAACTCACTGTCGTCAGGTTACGATACGCATTTATGTAGTAACCCTGAATGATTTGGCCGGTCGAAGGGTTCTGCATCACATTCAAATGTTAGAGTGGAGTTGCGAAAACATGTACTGATTCTGATTTTTCAAAAACAAAAGAAAACAAAAGAAAAGAATATCAATCAAATCAATCGTACCTCGTATGTGCCAGGCCGAACGAGTGCATCGTTGCCAAGGTAGCGACAGATGTCGGCCGTGATTACCTCACGATCGATTCCGTCCCTTGGAACAAAGTACTCATTCTGGCGGTTTTGCGTAGGTAGCGTGTTGCCACCCGACGGTGCTGGTCTTCTAGCAGCCATCGTTTATTCGAAATATGCGTGAATTACCGGTCGACGACGATTATGTAGGTATGTATGTTGAGCGGGGGGAGGGTAAGAGGAAAAAAGGGAAAGGGTCGAGGAGTAAAAGGACAACAAAGGTAGATGAATGGATAAATTAAGATTTAGAGAAGAATGAGCGGTCGAGAGAGAGGAAAGGAATTGAAAGGGTGGAGGGAGCGAAAGAGGAAGAAGAGGGTTGGATGGATGGATGGATGGATGGATGATGGGATGGAATGGTTGGATTGGATGGTGGAGGGTGGGGAGGAGAAAAGGGCGGCAAAGACAGTTTTTTTTTTGTTGGTGGGTCCTGGGCTTGAGGGCTCCGCGGCACAAAAGAGTCCTACTGCAGCAAAAGGAGGGGCCTATTTAGGGGGGGGCCAGGGCTATTAGGGAAAAGTGACAAGGCACAACGGCGACACCCAAACAGGGATTATGGTGTGGCGTGCAGGTCCAATCCTTAACGGGTGGCAATGGTGACCTACAGGGCTTTTGCAGCGCTGCACCGTCACAAACAACCTGGAACTTGTTCAAAGTAAAGTAGAACTTGAACAAGAAAAAAAAAAGGCAAAAAAAAAAAGGAATAATACGATTTAATCTTGGGGATAAAACCGTAACTCCAATATCGTAAGACCAGATTGTATATGTAGGTAGGTAAGTTAGTACCTGGGTAGGCCTAGGTAGATATGTAGGTATGGAGATAATTGGATTGTATTATTGTATTGTATGAGTGAGGGAGACACATAAGACAGCGCAACAAGTCAAAAGATAAGCCAGCCAGCAAGCAAGTTTTGTTATGAGATTGGGGGGAGGCGAATATGACTGTCAGCTGAGAAGGAACGGTGTCTTTTCCCGGACAAGGCAGCAAAACCAATGAGTTGATTGTTGTGCGCGGACGCTGTGGAGCGGTGTCACCGTACCAGACGGAGCGTGGGATGGTATGTATGGTTGATTGGGTTGGTGGCGGACAATGAGTAAGAGTGACTGACTGACTGACTGTCTGTCTGTCTTGAGGAGGACAGATAGTAGGTAACAATAATGACAATGATAGGTAAACAAAGTATTAATGTAATAATAAAAGTCAAATAAGTATCCAGGTAGGTAGATATTATTAGGTATAGTGAATCTCAAAAAGCGATAGTAAAGGCGGATCGAGTATCACGGGAATTGAACTGCTTCCAAGCTAGGCACGTAGGGTCGCAGCCTGAAAGGATGGATGGTACCTTAAAGGCTTAGTTTAGGTGGTAAGCGTTCGAGATGCAAGTGAGTTTGACAAAACTCTCACCCGGCCTGCGGCTTGATGGAAGCGGAAGGGATGGATAGGAACCCCCGGTGATGAGTGACGCGCAGCGACGGGGTCCAAGAAGCTGGGAATGATCTGTTCCGTTGCAGCAAGATTTGAAGACTGGCAGACGGGAAGACTGCCCAGGTTGCCAGGTGGAAAACAAGACAGTACTGGACTGGACAGAACTGAGGATACAACAGGGAGGGACGGTACACACTGCCTAATTCGAGTTCTAGACTGGCTGAGCTAGGGTAACCCGAGCAAAAGTGTGGCTAATGACAAGAGATTCCTTGATAAAGATTCAAGGTTGTCGTGTGAGATTGCGAGAGATTGTGAGATTGTGAAGATAGATAAAATGGAGAGCTCCGCCTCTAGGATTTCCGAATGTGGGATGGGTGAATGGCTGGTGCCTGTATGTCTTGCATCAAGGGGTAACAAACAAACAAACAAACAAAACCAACACAAACCAATGGATTGGATAATACTTCAACTTCGACTTCAATTCCGTTCTTTTTCTTTTTCTTCTTCGTTTTCTTCTTATTTTTCTCTTCGATGCTTTGATGCAACCTTATCAGTCCTTTTGGTGATAATCGATTGATGGATCCGTACGCAAATAATTATCGTAGAAGCTTTTTTTCCTATCGAACATCAAGTTGATACAGGTAATTGACCGACCACGATTTCTTGGACCGAAATTTCTAAGACCGAAACCCGAAAAGTGCTTTTCGAAGAAGCTAGTCCGAGGAAGACTCTTGGTCGCAGTCTTGTCTACTTAAGGCCGTCGGTGGAGCAAAATTTATTTCGTCGGTGGCCCCTTTGGGTTGGGCTGCTTGCTCAGAAAATCAAAGTCGTCTTTCTCTCGCGTAGTCTCTCTCGTAGTCTCTTCTTTTTCACACCAGCTTGGTTATGTATGTAGGTAGGTATATAGGTATGTTCTAGCAATCCGCCCAAACAAGACCGGGAAACTTTCTTTAAAAAAACGTCCCTGAACAAGGGATGCCGTCTCTAGACTTCCTATTATACACGCACACGTCCCCCCTATCAGAAGATTTGAAATAAATCCTATCACATGGGGAATCTGTGTTCCATTTGCCTTACTCCATCCCTCTGTGGCCCGGGTTGACACCCTACCGACCGGGCTCATTCCCAAATGAAAAGAGGGTACAATGTTATGTAGGAAGGAGAGGAATTTGTGCTGAGTAGAATTGGTATCGTCTCTTCACTGGATCAGCCCCATCGTTTGTGGCCGGCACATAATCAAGTGCGGCTTCATCCTCAGTGGCTAGATAAATTTATGTAGGATGGGTCCCGCCACTCGAAGATGGGTCTCATTCCGCTTGAAGCGAGCGATTAGGGATTTGATTTTTACCATAATCCATGATGGGTGATGGTCAAAAAGGGGACGTGGCACTGTGAGAAAAGCAGGCTGGGGATAGACAAAAAAAAAACGCTGGAAACTGGAAAATGCCTGTTCTCGCCGGTTGGGTATCAATGCACCCGAGCCTAAAAAAACAAAGTAGCGGGCGCTGCGTCGTGGGTGCCTAAGAACACCCTTTGGCCAATCACTACCAACTTAGGTCTCATTCCTGTGACATGATGACTGTCCCAAATTCACATTTCGGTATTTTTCGTGAGATGAATGATGAAAAGGCCAAGTTGCTGTTCACTGTTAGGTCGCCTTGCGACACCACCACCTGCTTCATAATGAGCACACTCTTCTGATGCTTGCCTGCCTACTACGTACTGGTAGTTATGTAGGCCCTACCCATACATACGTACCTGTCAAACTGCAAGGTGGGTGGTAGCATAATATTCCCTAGACTCTTTTAACATACCAAGGGCTGCCGTTTCCGCACCTGACTATTAGGTGGTATCATCTAACGATTAGTACCATTCTCTTCGTTGTCGCGCACACCACAATCTTTCAGTCTAGAAAGCCTCCCGAAAAAAACTTTCTACCGTAGTAATATCGAGAGTTCATCCCTTATTATTGCATGTGAATCTTGGGGGCCGTCCGCACGCGTGCCGTGTTGTTCATGTGAGGCCGATGGGCTGTCTCGCCGAATCGGTCCACCAATGTAGTACACAATTCCCGGGTTTGAATGATGCACTTGAACATTAGGTGACTCTCTTAAGACACGAACGAGCCGTCAAGCGCGAGTTCACGAACAACCCATTTGCCTAACCTCGCACCACCGACACCTATACCGTAAGGTAGTGAGTGGGTCAGGCGGTGCAGACCGACATTTCTGTTGGCCCAGATTTTTTTCGTCGGTTCCTTGCCGAATGCCTGAACACTAAGCTTCTATTGTCCTCAACATATCGCAATCGGCATAACCCATCACTACTTAAGACGGGATCCCAGAAGACGCCATCCGTTTTCGTATCGCCGAAATTTAGACACAGATAGGAGAAATGTGCATAAAGGTGGACCTGCTGTATAAGGGATGCACCGAATGTTGGTGAACGCGATCCCCGTTGGACGCCATATATGAAGACAAAGATAGCATCTCGCCTGGACGAATGGATGCGTTGGAGTTGACTAGGGCGCATGTAGCGTTCGCTTCGAGTTGAGTGGTATGCTAGGGATTGCTTCACCCAAATTTCAATTTACTCTGCCCTTGCTCAAGCTTAGTGCTAGAGGTACTACCTCTTGTAGATTTCTTAGAAGATAATGATGACGATGATGCAGCTGCAGTCTTCTGACTGCGTGATCCCGTGGATTGGTGGCTAGCAAATGTCTGGTTGCCACGTTCTTCCTCCTGAAGGTCTTTGGCGAGATGCCAGTCGAGGTGGCTCTGTAGGGCCTCGGCGCCTTCAAGTCTTGCATTACAGCGCGTACATACCTTGACGTATTCCGTAGCTGGCCATAGTCGACTTCCTGAACTGTTTAGGGACGCCTCTTTTGTCTCGATTTTGCTATTGCCCGTCCCAGTTAGGTCGTCGTCGATACTCTCCTCGGGATCTCCACTCGAACTCTCCCTCTTTGGGAAGAATCGCTGGATACCGGGGCTCTCGACCCGTCGTTTCTTCTCCGGTCGTTCATGCGTGACTGGACCTGCTGGATCCTCTCGGAGGTTTCCCTTGGATTCACGTGCCTCGTCCCCTTTTAATAAGAAGGCACCTATACCCCGGTTGCCAGTGATACCGTCTTCAAATCCTCCCACACTCAAGCTGAGGTTGGAGCATGGCCAGACTTTACCTTCTTGGATAAATTGGATGAATAGATTCTTGGCAAGTTCGAACAATGTTGCCTCATCGAGGGTCTTCCCTTGAGGAATATTACTCTGTCGTGAGCGGGTCTGAACCCCTTGGCGGTGATGTAAGTTGATTGTCTTCGGCCGCCTCTTGTTTTCGAGAACACCTTCCTCCACCAATCGCGAGAATATGTCGGCGGCAAAGATTCGTAACCACTTGACAGCTTGTTCCTGATTGTTTATGTAGGGCCTAAAGGATTTGGCCGACAGCATCGACTTGATCTGCGTCCGCGAGCTAACCTCGCTCACGTCGATACCTCGTATAGTATTGTAGAGCCACACTCCAGTGTCATCACCTAATTTGAGCTTCATTTGCTCTACTGGCACATGCAACAAATCTTTAACTGCTTCTGTGTGAAAAGTTGACACGACCTGCTCGCCAAGCTTGCCGCCCAAGTTTCGAATCTTGGTAAATTTCATGTCAGATAGAAAATGCTGCACCGCTCGATTCCGAATAACCGTCTGTTGGTTGGGCTTCTTGTAGCCGGAGCCCAACTTACTCAGCAGCTTGTTCCCTGCTATACCGGCAGAACATGTGTAGCCTAACGTTCGACGAATTTGAGCTCGTATATCTCGAACAATTTCTGATCCAATGAGAATGGCTACGTCGTCCCAGTCCGGGTCATCCGCCTCGATCTCTGCATCCTCGAAATCCACAAGTGCGTCCGCTTGCCAGTCGAGGGCAGTGACTGGAGGGAGAGGCAATTTCTCCGTAGGATCATCATACGGGGGAGGGTAAGCAAGCTCCGGGAACCTCTGCAGAAAAATAGAGTGGATATGTGCAGATAGATCCAGAAAGACCTCGTCTATGCTTGCCTTCTCAACCCTCTGCAGGTTGGACGGAAGGCTCTCTTTGATTAGCGCGAGAATTCTTCGTGACTGAAGCCTGTAAGGATCTAAAGAAACCTTGTGAGTGCCAATATGGGCAGCTGCGTCGTCATGATACGCCCATTTCTCGTCACCTTCCCTCCAAGTAGCAACGTGCTGCGAGATGAGTTTCGGGCACAACTTCTTCGCATCAGTCACAGTGCAGTGCCGACCTATACCAAACTCTCGCGCAGGATAGTTGACGGCAATCAGCCCTTGCCTGTAGTCTGTAAGTCTTATGCAATACAATGATAGAATTCACATCCTCATAAAGCTGTATATACATACCACTGTTGAACAGCTAAAGGTTGATCTTCAGCCGTACCAAGACGCACCATCTCACACTGAGCATAAAAAGCATCTAGATCGATATGGGCAATGACACGAAGAGGAGTTGACGTGGAATATGATGTTAACAGGGTTAGTTGTCGATAAGTGAATCGAGATTTCCGTCTGCCGGTGCCGTGGACGGGAGATGACATGTGGAAACGGGGTGAAGACATGCTCGGCAAAGCATGCGGACTTGGGTTTGGTTACTCTCGAATCGGATAACAGCGGAGCGGGATGACTATATAATATAAACATGTGATGTATGTATAACTGATGGCCGGAGAGCAAGGACCATTGTTGCACAGTGTTCCGCGCCGACCCGGTCTGACTATGGCGATTCAATATTTTTTTCGGACCGTCGCAACATTGAAGTTGATAGAAAATGAGAGGTACATAAAAGTTGAAAGAGCTGAGAAGTGAAAGAAGTACTTCTTACTCCGGGAAAGTGACGCGCCGGTACCCGTGATCTACCTGACCTAAGAACGCGCCTACCTCGATGTCGGCGAAGGGCAAAGACAAAAAAGTGGAGACTAATTTGACTACTTTGCTCTGTTGGTAGGCAAGACCTGGCACAGGCTGGCAGGACCTGGGAGGTACGCTCCAAACTCCAAAGCTGGTTACGTCAATTAAGCAAACCACATGACTCGTATTTTACTTTCGTTCCCATCGTTCCCATATCTCTGTTTCCTTCTTTCTTTCCTTTCTCATAATATTGATTTTATGCTGTGTGGCCTTCAAGGTAATGCAATGCCGTCTTGGGGAGCAACGGGTGTTCTTTCTTCGCATATACCTGTAATATAAGCATTTTTGATCAAACACATCAAATTCTCCAATCTTAATTTATTCAATTCAATGTTAACCTTGGAATATTGAAGCGTGTAGGCCTCCTATATAGGTATCTACCTGACATCCAATATGCTTGGTCACCGCCTATACGTCGGCAGCGTTGGAATGAGCCGTATGCCAGTATCCCTTTGGAGATATCTAGCCCTGCGTGTGGCGGTTTTCTCGTCCAGTGATCACCTGGCAGCCCTGCTCCCCATGCAGGTACTCCCGCGTTAGAAATTGTACGATGAACGCTATTCCGTCTACTTCCCACAACATTCCACTTTCTCAACCCATGTGTTTTGATCACTTCGACATCTGGATGTCGTCTTGTCGGAAACGGCAAGGTCTCCTATCGCGCCGATGGGTGTTCGCAGACGTATGTACCTACCTACTGGGTAGTTAGGCAGACAGGTGGTATCAGAACCGGATGAGTGCGGAACAATTTATGACAGGCTGACGATCTTACTCTTGCAAATTACTTACATACATACATTATGTACACAATCTGACGCTGATGAGATTTATGAACTTGTATGACTAATCCCATCGGTCGGATACTGGTTCGCGGACCTCGTCAAGCCATTGAGGCATAAAATAAGCGGCCAGTCTCCCGTCAGAAGATGGACGCGCAGGTTGCAATTATCGCAAGATGCTTGCTTTTCTTCGGTTTGGCCGAAAGCTTTTTTTCAATTCTTTCAAGTAACCTATCTATTAGGCCGAGCTGAGAAGCTCACTCGGTACTCAAAGGAGCAATCCCAGCTTCTCGGCACCTGAGAACTTCTTCTCCCTCCGGCTCTCCCACGTCATAAGAGCGGACTCGACGAAGTTCTACCTTGCATGGTGGCGGATGAGAAAGGAGTGTGGTTTTGGTGAGACGTGATGGTTGAAGGAACGTTGAGTGGTCAAAGGCTCTGCTCCTGGAAGATGCCCTGTGTTATACAACGTCTGGCTATAGAGCTTTCTCCAATCGTGCAATTCATGATTTATGGTTGAGGCTCAATTGTGCCGATGGAGTAGATCCCACGGACGATCGTTGGGGGAGGATCTTCGGTCATCTTTCCCAGAGGTCTTCGCCACAGCCGACATTGTCAATAATCACCACAATTCAAGTCATGATGTCTATCGTTTCTAGTCATGGCTGTTGTTTACTGCTGGCATGTGTGGATAGGCATATGCCGATAAAATCTGCGCTTCGGTTTAGATTCCCGAAAACTTTATAGAAGAGGGTATGCACTTCTTACACTCGTGTACTAAGGACTAGGTAAGTACCTACGTGAATAGCGGCCTCTTCTTCGCTCTATCTCTCAAACCTCATTCTACTGGAACTCCCACGAACCACTACCGCTTCTAGCAAACCCCCATGTATACACGGGCCGCCCGTCATGGCTATCCGTAAAATTTGCCGTTGTCACACGACATTTTTTGGTTCCCATTCTCATTCGCCCAGAAGAGAGAACCCCCATTGTCTGCTGCCAGGCTGCCGGATCCATGATCCAAGATGTCGCAGACCGGTGAGGCTCTATCTACCTTGTATTACGAAGTACCACACCGACTTCTTCTTATTCCCTTGCCGTAGCGATACTCTAGATTCTCCTTGGGGCAACCTTCATCCCACTTTTGAATCTTATGGTACCTACATAGGGCTCGATCGGTGTCACGTCCTACGTACCCACGTTCCGCTAGTTTGTACGGGGCTGAGATGGGTACGGTTCCATGTAGGTACCTAGTAGGGAGGTAGATACCTATGTATGTATCATCTATCCTTAGAAGGTTATGGGTTGGGGACTAAAAGGGATATTGGGTAGGGTGTGTGTAGTAATATAGATTTGACGAAATCCAGAACAAGTGACTGCCAGGTCTAAGATTCAACTTGCTCTCTCTTTCAGCTCAGTATAAATGAACGGACAGCTATAATCCCGAACCACGACCCTTCCTTCTTCAAAACGTATGTGTAAGCTAGGTAGGTACCTAGGTATGTATGTACACAGCCTTGAGGTTGACGCCTAGTACGTAAGTAGCATAGGCCAGGTACCTAGGCATTACTCGACAAAAAAAAACAAAAAAACTTGGAGACGGGTTAGGTAAGGCTGTAAGAGAGGATTGATTATGCGGCACTGACGTTTCTTGTTTTGTGTGTGTGTGTAAGTGTGTGTGTGTATGTCTGCTTACTTACCTAAGTGTTTCCAGCCCTTCTCAGATGTAAAACAGCTTTCTAACCCGGTTGTAGGTGCCGGTCCCGGGAAGGTTGGATGTTCGGTAGGAACCATGTAGGCATGTATGTACGTAACCCTTGAGAAGATCTCGGCACACAGGACCATGTATCCGGGAACATAATGGCGGTACGGGGAGATCGATCCACGCAGGGTTTGCTTTTCACCCACGACGTCGTCCTCCTCCTCCTCCTTCCTTCCGAGAGGGAAATAACTCTCTCTCTCTCTCTCTTTCTTGCGCTCGGCTCTCTTCGTGTAGGTATGTATGATTGTCTTGGTGGTCCGAGAACGGACCGGTTTAGAAGAGAGAGAGAGAGAGAGAGAGCAAAGTGAAGTGTCAAGTCTAGAACCTGGCGATGGGCCGCAGTGTGTATAAAAGTGCAAAATGAGAATAGGTACTACTTATGTACCAGTAGTTAGTAGGTAGGCACCTGTTACCTAACGTAGGTATGTGTACGTAAGTCTGAAGAAACTTTGCAACAACCTTCTTACTCAACTGACGCGATCTCTCATGCGTGCGGCTCCGCTCACTGCTACCTACCGTGTCACGCCTGGTTTCTTTTCTCCTCTCTTTCTCTCTCTATCCTCATCGCCACGGATCTTTAATTGCCATGGGCAAGCAAAAGCAAAAACTGAAAAGGGGAGGGTTCGTGGGAGCGGTGAGTAGGAGTCAGGTTAGATAGGTATGTAACCTAACCTACCTTACCACAAAGTCCTGGAGCCGGTCCGTCCCCCCGCCCCTTTTTTTCCTTTTCCTTTTTCTTTTTGGTTTCCCGTCTTCTTGGTCTCCCGAAAGGGCAATACATACACACTGGGTATGCATCCAGGCATACATACGCACAAGTTGAATGGGCCGCCTTGCTCGCCTTACCTAGAGGACCTTCGCTTACCTCACCCATATCTTTCCCAAGGAAAAAGAAACAGCCACGATTCCTGTTGTACTTGCCCTTTCCACGGCCCCGGCTTACTTGTGTTATTGGCTTAGCACAACCTTCCTGCGGATAATCATCACGACCTCCTGCGGATGAGATCATGAACCAGCCCGTCGGTATCCAAACAGAAACCACGGAAAGCTTCAAGAGTCCCCCCCCCCCCAAGGTTGCGTGCGGTAAAAAAAATTCATTCTTACCTATCTCCTATTTCGCCATTTCGTGTGAGTGAATCCTGCCTAGGGTTTTAGGTATACTCTCATGAAACGTACGTTTCGGTGTTCTTTCTTGCGTAGGGAGATAGGTAGGTAGGTAGGTAGGTACCCGGCCAGCCAACTACCAGCTAACTAGGTACCTAGGCAGAGAGAGAGCGGATAGATCTTTCTCTCTCCTCATCAGGTATACCCTTTCCCCCTTCCCGCCATTGCAACCTCCTTCTCGGCTCGTTCTCTTACCTACCCAGTCTACATAGCCCAGAGACCTTTTTTTTTTTCCCACTGGCGAAATACCTAACCCTTTTTGCTAGGCTCAAATCGCCTGGTTTTTCCTTTTCGAACTACCTACTCCCTTTCTTCTCCTCAGCAAAGCGTCGCAGACCGGTTCTCGGTAGGTAGTGGCTCCCGGCAAAGAAACCCTGCCATCCCAAGTTCGGTTCTAATTTTTAGTTCTTTTTTTCTTCCTCTTCTTCGTCTTGCTTCCTTCCTTTCTCCTTGCGTGACTATCCCTGTATGTAAATGTAGGTGTAGGTAGCTTGTAATCTCGTAATCAATATAGTCAATATGTAGTATAACACTGCCCGTTTATCAGCCTATCTACCTGTCTATTTGTATGTATGTATGTATGTATGTATGTCTGTTCTATCCCATCCGTCCTGTCTGTCTAGGCGGAGTTCGAGTGAGATGCCCTCATGTGATACAACGATCCTATCATCGATCATAGCCGTCACCGAAAGGCAGGACCGCAAGGTACCTACTATCAGGTTTGGGATACACTATTCTGCCCATCAGACGAACCGTTCTATCGGCAAACTTGTGAGGCTCTGCGGCTTTTTTTTGCTGCTTCGTTTTTTTGCCCCTTTCGAAACTTAGAGAGAGGAGGATCCTTTGCTGCTTCGTGGGCTTTGCTTCTCATGATCCGATAAGCATTGCGGCTCTAGGTCGGTCAGTCGGTCAGTCAGTCAGGCTGGTTGGCAGGTTAGTAGGTTAGTAGGTTGGCAGGTTGGCAGGTTGGCAGGTTGGCAGGTTGGTAGGTTGGTAGGTTGGTAGGCTGTGGTGAGCAAAGACGGATGATGTAGATGCGTGCGTACGTACGTAAGTGCGAGATATCATAACCCCTTTAGTCTGCGCGGGCGTATAAATGGCAGCTCGAATCCCGTCGTTTGTGAGGAAGAAAATATCCGTCAAGCTCGACAAGTGAACAGCAGAGTTTAGCTTGAGTGCCCTCTTCGTTCCATACACCACTCAACATTAGTGTTTCCAGTTCTCTCCTTCCTTGTTTCTCTTCGAAACTATAAACGGCTTTGCGTCTTTAGGCTCCAACGATATCAAACAACCAACCTACCTAGCAACCTATTTACGCTAGCCACTATGTAAGAAAGCCACCCAGCCAGCAAAGCACCCCCAAAAGATCTTCTCTCCTAATAAAAGTAACACCTGTAGGAGCGAAAAAAGCGTCTCCGGCTCCTCCTCCCCCGGCGGACCACAGCCAGACAACGACGTCTACACAACGTCCAGCAAGATCAAATGTTCCGAGTGTGGGAACGAGGACTACTTCGAATACGTCAACAGCGAAGAGGACGCCAACTGCAAGGAGTGCAGGCATAAGAAGTGCGACGACTGCAAGATAGTCTAGCCACACTCCGCGCCTTCGACTCAACTCGACTCAACTGGGCCCAACTCGAATCAGCTCGAGAATGCTAGACTTCGTGTTGTGCACGACCGGTCCATGAATGATAAAGGGGCTGCAGTGGGATATACAAAAGAGGCCGCGTTTCGTTTCGTCCGTTTACATGGGCATTGGATTCTATCTGTTTCTCAACTGTCTGTCGTTTGTTACTAACCCTGAAGTTTTTCATGTCCTCAGAGAAACACACACCCGCATCAATGTATCCCATCTCCCCACCCCTCCCTCTCTACCTGCCTACCTATTTACCTACGACACATTGCTATAGCTAGCCGGTTTAGCTAGGCAAGCAAATAGGGGCGACACTCGTTTTCCTCTCCCTTTTCCTTATCTACCTAGGTACCTATGATAGACCTCGAGGCTTTTCAAGATTTCTCTCCTTCTATTTCCCTTCCCTGCTTTTTCTTTTCCCTTTTATTTCATACCTATTCTTTCGTTTTTTTTTTTTTTTGTTTTTTTTTTCTTTTTCGATAGAATTAGGATAGCTCAACCTGTCCCCTTTTCTTTTTCAATAAAATTCCATAAAACCCCAAAAAACAAATAGGTTTTGAATTACCTAGGTTAACTCCCCAGTGACATATAAAATACATTACTAGGTAAATAAGACGAAGAAGCAAAAAAACTGAGCCATGAATAGTCCTAGTCGTAGTCGTGTCTTTTGGTATTGTAATACATAGGTACCTAAGCCCCCCTTTCCCCTATTCCAATTTCCCGCCCTACATACAAAAAAGGCCATTGGCTGGTACGTACCCGTAACTTATAAGTTGGCTACGCCACACCCGCAATTCTTGAACAGGTAAATACAATACCTTACACACACCTTCAAGTTATATCGAATGTAGGTGAGAATAGAAGCCCAAGTACTAATTCCCCATAACTACTGCGCAAGACATACCTTGGGTAAGTAGTTAATAGTAACTAATCAATAAATGCGGCGCAGCGAGGTGAGAAATCAAATAGACCAAAAAAAAACCCACAGGTTTGGTTCGGGTCGTTCCGTTCACCGCCGCGGCGTATGTAGGTAAAGTAAGTAAGGCGACATGACATATCCATCAAACAATGGCCCCCCAAAAAAACTTAAGAATAAATATACGATGAAAGTAAGCCATTAACTATACATACTTTCCAAGGCTACCTTCCTACCACTAGACATCTATCACACTTCCTACCACTAGACATCTATCACACAATAAATAGGTAGTCAAGAAGACGAGGACTTAGCAGCATCAGACACACGCTCAATCATTCCCACCCTACCTCTACCTACCTACCTACCTCACTAGTTAATTATCTATGTATTTCCCTCTATCTATCTCTACTTAATATATTCCCTTTACTATACTTTACTTTTCTTCACTTCAATGTTCGTTGGAATACCACCACTATGTGCTCATCCATCCATCCATCTATCCATACAAACACGCAAGCAATAGCACATGCATCATTACTCTAGGTAGCCTCCCCAGCCTAGGTATGTATGTACGCATGCATGCCCATCGCTCCCTCACTATTACAAATATATTTAACCCATCCACCCATCCACCACAAGACATTAATAAATCCCTCCATAAAAACTTTACTTTCAAAACTCCAAAGTCCAATTGTTCAAAGCGGGTGACGATAGACACCAAGTTAGGTAGGTCGGCAGGCCCTTCAATAAGCCGAAATCGTGGTTACGTGGGAGGGTAGGTAGGTAGATAGGTAGGCGGGCGGAATCGGTAGGTACAATCGGCAACGCGTCGTTCGTCCAGATGAAAAATAAGGGGGGGTATCAAATGCAAACCAAACAAGCCCAAAAAAGAAATTAACAAAAAATTAAAAGGATTCCAGTCCAGTCCAGTCCTATTCCCTACTTAATCTATTCCCTCCTCCTGCTCCTCCTCCTCCTGCTCTCCCAATCTCCTTCATCTCCAGCCCCGCGCCCTCACCGCCAGCTGTCGCCATCGCCAGACCCGTAAGTTCGTACCTAGCCAGGACATCCGCCAGCGCACGGCCCATGGGGTAGAAGCTGTCGTGGCTTTCGTGGTTGACGCAAGGTGACTTGCGGAACGGCAGGACCCAGTCGAGGAGGTGGGGGCCCATGATGTTCTGCCAGTTGCGCCACGCCCCGAGGTCCCACAGGTTCTCGCCGGGCTCCGTCTTAAGGATGGCGAACGTGCGGTTTGCGAGGTCGTCGCGGGTGGTCGGGCGAGCGCGCGCGTCCGAGCTGCTGCTTCTAGCCGTTCGGGGCACCGCCGTTCCGTTAAGCCGGCCGTTGGTGGTGATCTCGCCCGGCCGTGGCAGGGGATAAGTTACCACACTGAACCTGTCCGTCGCCTCGGTGCCGCGGGGCACGCGAACGGCCAGTTGGTATACTTTAGATCGGGAGTTCAGCATGTCGACGTTGGTCATGTTGAGCAAGATGTATCGGATAGACGTCAGGGTCATTAATGAAGTGAAGAGCCCGAAAAATGCAGCCAGTACTATGGCAGGTATGAAATGCGGATCCAGTGGAGCGTCATCATTGATCACTTTGCGAAGGCTCGAGGCCGCGGCGCCGAGAACAACACCGCAGTAACAGGCAGTATAGGTGGTGAATTGCACGAAAAACTTGAAAGCTATCAAATGGTTAGCCAAACATGGAACAAGCACCCGAAGTTAAGTGGTTACGCAACGCGCATCATAGCTGGTCACTCACAATTCTCCCCTACCATGCCGCCGACCCATGGGCAGTAGTGGTCCATACGTAATACGCAGCGATTGATCTCACTGCTGTGGTGGACGCGGTCTGGCTTCCAATTGCAGCACTCCGAGCACCATCTCGGGCGACCATCATTTTCACAAGTGAAGACATCTTTGGTGTAGAACTCCTCCAAGCCAGGACTATCGGGATTCGGATCGGGACCGCTATGATAGGGCTGACTCTCGAGGTCACTTTCTCGGCGGTTTCTGCCTCGTTTTCGTCTGTCTCTTTCTATCTTTCTCCGTTCTATCGCCAGCGGACCGAGAGGTACGAGTCCAGGATCGAGGATGACAGTGAGGGTATTTCGTAGATAGGTGATTACCATCAACAAGAGGAATAGGAAATATAGGATGAGGATAGTAATAGCTGCCCCAGCTTCGCCGCGCTGGCTGATGAGATACTGGGCTAAAATTTGGAAAGAATCTTAGTGTCAGTGAAGAGCCATGGAATGCAAAATTGAGTTATTCAACCATAGACAGTAAAACTTACAGCAAACCCGGCCGACAATGACAAAGGTAGCATAGCTAATAGCGGCAACAAGAATCGCAGGGACTAAACGAGTGATCCAGCGCGTCGCAGGTCGGGTACTTTCGATCACAGGCATTTCCGCCGCATCCTGGTGGTGGTTCCCTTTTCTATTTCTGCCTCTGTGCTTGCGTTTGCCACTCTCTTTCTCTTTCTCACTTTCACTATTATCACAACCTCTGTCTCTGCAACTGCAACTGCAACAGCCTCTTCTTTTTCTACCTTCCCTCCAATTATTATTAGTAGTAGTAGTCTTAGTAACGAAGGCAAGACAAAAGCAAATTCCCAACACTGAAGTGAAAAGCAAATGGTAAAGCGTTCGTCGGAGGGCCGACGAGGCGCGAATAAGGAAGAAGCTTGTGGTTGATGGTTGTTTGGGTGGTTGCATGGGGGCTGCATGGGTTGCATGCAGCAAAGAATTCAAGATTGCATCGAGTCTCAATGGGTCGAGTTAACGGGTCCAAACCCAATTCTAAATCCATTCTAAACTGTTCTAATCCGTTCTAGGTAGCGCCTAACCGACCCCGTCGATACTACGTCAAGACCAGGATCAATGATTGCCGGATCATAATTTGCGTGATAACTTCCTTGCTATTAATAGCTAATACTATGCAATTATGCATCATTTGATGTATTATCTAAGGAAGTCCGTACACATATACAGTGCACAAATATTCACTGTGTGAAACATTGAACCCATCTGGGGTCCTTACATATATGTAGTAGACTCCTTACATAAGGTCCCAAGGTTACTAATCTTATTGTTCGTGTCAACGGTGTCAGTGTGTCAGTGTGTCAGTTAATATTCCCAAGAATGTTAGCAGTTTGAAAGTCAAAACCCGAACCAATTTTGACTATCTATTGTCTGTACCTCCTTATGAAAAGGGGCTACAATCATTTTGATCACCATTTCCCCAAAAAAATCACATCAACCTTGGGGAAGCATCCGCACTCCTTTTTGTTTGACACTCGCCTGGTTGTATAATACACTTCTGCTGTGATCAAGTCATACCTTGAGGTGTCTTAGGTACATATGTAGGGGAAGATATACTTGAATTATATAGGTCAGGTGATTGGTACAACAAGGCTCCTCTAGCGCAAGTAGCCATAACTCTCAACCATGGCGGGTATACCCATCACGTTTCCAAACGCCGTGCCATGTCCTGTTATGTTCTATCCATCGTCTCTTCTTCATTCGTCATATCATTCATCCCTTTCTAACCACAACACCCTCTGTCATCCCTAAGCCAACATGATGCCAATCGCCATGCCAGCAACCAACATCCACCCCATTATAGGTGCCTTGAAACCCACCGCGGCACTTTGTTTCGACTCGATATAACTTATATTCATCGCCTTTTGCAGAATATCAGGGGTTACCTTTCCGCTCGCCGCAATCTGATGTAGCTCGTCCGCAAACGCTGCTAATATCGCAGTGCTTCGCCCCTCCGGGCAAAACACAACTTCCCACCCGCCTCCGCTGGGAATTATAAACGTGGATGTCTGGTCATCGAACGCGTAGCTGTACGCGTCAGGGCACATAGCCTTGGCGTTATATGAGTACTGGCTAGGTTGGCAAATCCACGGGTCGTTATAGTCGCCCGTGCAGCAATCCGACGGAAAGTTGTCGGCCGCACATGCGCTCTTACACGGATCGAAAACCGGGCGCTGTAAATTGTCGTCCGGGTATGGGTATATGCCGTCTCCGGGCTTCTCCGGCAAGAAAGCTTGGAGATTCCATGGACACCAGCCAGCCAAGTCACCATTGGATTGTATATCCTCGTATGGCATAGGATAGGTCGAGTTGGTGTAGGTTAGTCCAGTCTTACTGAAGGCAGAAAGGTATCCAGGTGTTCCGATGCATGAAGGATTGACTAGGTTCGGCGGGATGTAGGACGTGTTGTCTGCGGGATGGTAGACTATTCCTATAGGCAGGTTATAGCCATCGACAAGTGAAATGTCGTAGAAGGTCTGCCTGCCAGTCACACCACCGGCAAGATTGAACTCAGCAAGAGTGACGGGTACAGCGCCCTGTTCTGCTATGTTAGCAGATGGGGCATCATTCCGCTCCTATTTTCAGACTTACACCATACTCGCAATCCAGCTTGCCAAAACAGTCACCAGTCAAACATGTCGCTGTGTCCCCGCCAGTGCTGCAATTTGTCCGACCCCATATTCTTCCCTGCCAGGTAGGGCCAACAGTCTGGATTTTGGTCTCGCCCGGGCCGAGTTCGAAACCGTGAGAGTCGGGAGGGTCCCCATGCTGAGTTCTAATACCAGGCCATAGAGTTTCTCCGCAGTTGTTGGTGACGATTAGAGGGATTGCATTGTCGTACTTGGTCAAAGGTCGGCTGGTTCCTTGATATTGCCTGTTGGTACCTAGATAATCAAAAGCGTACAACTCGTGGTTGCTCGGGTATACAATAGCACCCGCTTGTGGGAAGCGTGATAGCAAAAGGAGCGCAGTACTGATGGCCGATTGATTCCTCGTGTGACAATATCGGCGGTCACGTTCTAGTGGCCACTGAGGCATAGTATCGTGTTCCTACTCGAATTTCAGGCTGAGACCCAAAGTTGAAGATTTCTAATCGCGTTATAGCGCCGTTATCGAAAAATGAACTGGTAGGAATGGCCCGTGGGGGATGTATGTCAGGAGTCGAGTATGCTGAGTAACTAGATAGACAGTTCATTATCTAGCTACCTAAGTACCTGTTGGTTCCAAAAGGGAGCTCCTGAAGGATCATTGAGGTCAAGTGTGTCGCCTGAAGTTCAATCCTCGATATGTATCTTGAGGCTGGTCTCTCTAAACATACGCGGTACTTCTCTCTAACCAAGTTCAGTGCCGTATTTAGACGACGTATCGGGTTCTGTTGGTGATGTATGATAGGAAGTAAGAGACGAATGGGCGACGATAACAAGACAGTTAACCACCCTATCTGACCAAAATACACTCCGCAAAGATCCTCGCCTTAGTTATTGAGGAGACGAGGATCGAGCAGGGACAGGATTCGCCGAAGGAGGATTTAGTATATACTTGATAAGATATGGTATAGGGGGTTTGATGTGGATTATTGTAGGAAAGGTATAGATCAATCCTTTCAAGGAGGTTTGTTGATACGGATAAAAGTGATGTTGAAGGAGTGTATTTCAGTATATATGTAGTAAGAGGAGGTGGTAGATATAGATAAAGCAGTTGCCATTCAGTGTTATTTGGCGCCTTGTCATGTCGCGGGAATGAACGATGACGCAGTTGCAACTGGCTATCAAGTTTTGTCGCAATATTCCGGGGTTATCCAGGGGGTGACATTATGTACCCCTGCATTACATTTAGGTACTATGTACCTTCCCCAGATAGATCTACATTTGAACCCAAAGGAAGCCGTCAAACTTAACAGTTTTTGCCACCGCTAGATTGCATTATCGATGCCCATGTCCATGTACAATATATCAGTTACAATGTATCAATACTACTATTGCACGTCCCGAGCTTCATGTTCAAGTTCAATGGTTGTACCAATTCTTTGCATTTCTGCATATAACTACCTAAGGTAGGTAGGTAGGTAGGTAGGTAGGAGATACCTTAAAATGTGCAAATATTCTCTTTCCCATGTAACCAGCTACCTATTCACCCTTCAAATGGTTTCCCTTGGCCATATAAATGGTCATCTCACCATCATCAACACTTCTTGTCAGCTTAAAATATTGAGAGAAGACTCTTTCTAAGTACGTTTGTTATTGCTCTTCTTTAGACGAGGTATCATTGGAAAGCTACTAAAAATTGCAATAGACGAAAGACGTTGTATAAAAGAACGCCCAACTACCACGTAGTACGCCCACATATTTTGATTCCCTTATCTAAACCTAGATCTGCAGCGGCCCATGACCTCTCCTTGGCAGACTAGTTCGGCACTGAATTCGGACCCGTCGAGGGTTAGGTAGATATCGAAATATACTCGGTAGAAAGTGCCCTGCGGTGTGTCCATTCGCTCGAAATCTTTCTCGAGGTTCTTGCGAGACAGATCCGATGTTAAAGTGACGACCTCTTTTATACCTATAAAAATGGGGAAAGGAACTTGTCAGTTGTGGAACATCTATTGAATAGTGGCAAAAGAAACTTACGAGGGTCCTTAGTATACTCGGGGCAAACATCGTCATCGCAAGCGTATAGAATGTCTTCGTACATGAGTGTAGCGCCGGGGGCCACTTGTCGGAAAAAGGAAACCTTGACTGGCTCCCCGATCTTGACCTTCTGGCCCTTCTGCACAAAGATCTGTCGAGTGAACTTGCATCTGTCCTTGCCATCAAGGGATGGCACACGATATGCTTCGGGGTGATAACCCTCCTTAAAGGGTTGGAGGGTTGCCATGAGGTAATGGCGACGAGCCACACGATGCGTGATAACCCGCTCGGTGATACCCGCCGTGACGGCACCCTTCACGATGGCAGCCACTGAGTCCATAGGCCGTACAACCTTGGACTGGAATTGGGGCGGAACGTGAAGCTTAATTTGCTGGAAGAGATATTCAGAAGCTCCGAAACCACCGACAACCAGAATATTCTGCAATGTCCGATTTTGTGCCTGGATGGCGATGATTTGGTTTCGTACAAGTTCCAGAATTCGGTTCACAACAGGTTCAAAGCATTGAAGGATCTCCTCGTTGGTGAAAGTCATGTAACCTTCCTCAATACCGGCCTCGGGGAATTCAGCCTCGATACCAACGTCAACGGCCCATTTCTGGCCATTATTCCTAAAATCGGCCTTGATTCTGTTCTCGAAATCCATAATGCACTTGGCGTATACACGGCCAGCAGTCTTAGATCCGTCCGGAAGCTTCATCTTGCGGATTTTAGTTCGAAGAATATTACTAAAATTCCTGTTCAGGGCTGTAGAACCGCATGAATCACCAGAACCGGCGGTACACTCAGCTACGGTAAATGGATTTTCATCCTCGACCTCGTAGGCGATCAAATCAACCGTACCACCACCACAATCAACAATGAGGATAGCATCGTGAACCTTGAGATTCAATAGGCCAGTCTTGGCGCAGAAAAGCGACGCGGCTTCGGGTTCACTGACTAGCGTCAATCTGTTATCATTTTCATCCCGGAGGAAGCCAGCTTGGATGGCTGCGGCTCTCGTGGCAGCTTTACCAGCGTCGTTCCAAATGGCTGGCACCGTCAGGTAATAGCGGATGTTGCGCTCTTCTCGATTGAAAACTTCACCGAGCGTTTTCTGTAACGCTGCTCGCATCGCTTGTCGAAGTTTAAACAGGTAGTCTGCTGCCACGTCGATCTCCGACTTTCCCGGAGGCAATGGCGGTAGGTTAATAGGGTCAATATATGTGTTACCTGATAACATGAGCTGGAGCTTAAACCATTCGACTTTCTGGACACCCGGTTTCGGGTATCCCGTTGGCGCAAGCGCATCAGCGATATCTGGACCCCATCCAACTACCTTTTGGTATTGATCGTAATATAAAACGGTCGGTATCTGTTCAGAGTTAGCGACTCCAGTTCGGAAATGTCACAATCTTCAAACTGCCTGCCTTTTGCTTTGTGTATGAACCTGCGCCAGGCCATTCTGTAATAATATCTTCCTTTGCCTCATTGTTGGTTGCGAAAGCAAATGCGACACCGGAGAAGGTTGTACCCTGTACCACATGGTTAGCCCCAAAGAATACGGTAGAGAAGAAGAATTTTTTCAAGACAATGAACTTGGGAAAAATCATACAAAATCGATTCCAACAATTAATTGAGCCTTACTCCGGCTGTTGCCTTCGACCTCGGCAGCCGGTCGGCCGTAAGACTGCATGGCGTTGGTAGGTTGGGGAGCAGGAGCGGGAGGCGGGTAACCAGCGTATCCGGGAGGGCCGCCAGCAACACCTGGAGGAGGTTGTTGTTGCGCACCTGGAGGCATGTGCATCTGAGGGGGGTAGCCCGATACAGGAGCGCCGGTATTGATGGGAGGAGGGCCACCGACCATTTGGGATGGCGGTGTGCGAGCCGGGCCTAAGGGACTTGCCCGATCAACAGGGGGTTGTTGTCCAGGTTGAAAGTTTGGAGTGTAGCTGGGTGGACGAGGTCCAGCGCCGGGATGGTTCATTATCGGGAGACTCGTCTGGGACGAAGAAGATCTTATAGAAGGGGCAGAACCGGGGGGGTGGTGTGGATGATGGGGATGATGGGGATGCGCTTGGGCTGGTGGGAACTGCTGCGCTATTTGAGGTGGAGGGGTCGAAGTCGCAGGCGGCGGAATATCAGGCGAGCTGGAGGGGATACTGGCGGTGGATTTCCGTTTACCTAATCCTAGGCCCTTAAAGCGGGAATTCAAATTCAATGAATTCATAAGTGACAATGGGAGGAAGAGGGAAGGAAGAAAATAAAAGGGAAGGGGGTAAGAAAAGAGAAGATCAATTAAGTCAGATAATCAATCAGGTGGGAAAGCCTTTGCGTCGCTCTGTGTGATTTGATTGAGGGTAGGATCACTGTACTGCTGCCGGGCTAGGTTGATAAGGCAGGCTGAGCTGTGCCAGGTGTGCCAGGTGTGCCAGGGGAATTGCTGACAATCCCAAGAACCAAGAACAGAGAGCGGGAGAAGTCCATACGAAGGTTCAAAGCGAGCGGCGTAGTTGAAAGGTGGTGAGGGGTGTTTGGCGTCCCCTACTTGCTACTCTGCTCTTCTGCCTAGTATACTGGCTGCTGGTACGGGTACTGATGTAGGTATTGGTGCTGGTGCTGGTGCTGGCTTTGGCTTTAGCTCTGGCTCCGGGCTTTTGCTGCTTGCTGCTTGCTTGCTTGCTCACGGTTCACGTGGGTGGAGTCCCTTGTCATCCAACCTGTCTTGTCTAGGCTGTCTAGCTAGTCCCGTCTCGTCCTTGTCTGGTTGGCTTGGCTTATGAGCCAACTAAGGTACCTACTTAGGTAGAGATGTATAATAATATGGTAATTAGTTGACCGGAACGAGGGGTATTCGCAGTGGCCTGGCCTAAAAGTGCGAAGGTATTGTTGAATGTACAGGTATGTATATACAATTATTTTGCTTGTCCAGGACTCCAGATGTCCTTGAAGGAAAAGTCGTACGTCCTCAAGGGACACGCTAATTAGGTAGGTAAGTAGGCAAGTAGGTAAGTAAAGTGTATGTATGGCTTCTGCAATGCTTGTTGTTTGTGCGTGGTTCCTTATTAAACGTAGGTACCGTACCGTAGGTTATGTAGGACTCGAATTTAATAAAGAGAGGCGGGATGGGCTCGAATGGAGCCAGCAAGTGAGAAAATAGTACTATGTAGGCTGTGGGACGCTACCATTCAAGTATGGTCGAATCACAGCTGGTCTTGTGCATTACCCTGTTCCCTGTTCGTTTATTTAGATTCCACTGTGGCTGAAGGAGCTGACAGCGCTAGAAACAGTTTGGCAGGGTTTGTTTTTTCCCTCTTTCTTTTTTTGTTGGTTTTTTTTTTTCGTATTTCTTCAATGTTCTTCGTATGGCATTGGTAGGGCTTTTAGGGAGAATAAAATAGGGCTGAAGGGGGTTTTATCGAAGACCGAAAAGTCCTAACAGATTGGATAGATTTAAAAAGGGAAAAATAAAAAGAGGAGAATAGGTTTTGGTAGATGAGACGATGCAACAATGGGTTAATGTGATGTGTGGAGTAGGTAGAGCCTAGGGAGGTAGGTACATATGTAGGGATAGTACATAGTAGGGATAGTAGTATGAATGCCATCGCACCTCCCTTCATTAATAAGTCCTGAAGAGGATTGTGGCAATGATACCGTATCAATGGATGATTTTAATAACTCGATATAATTCCCAGCTTTCAATGTTCTGTTTCCCTTGTTCTGGTATCCGCTTTCTACATAGCAGGTAACATTGAATAATGAACATTGAATACCAACATCAAGCTAACTTACGTACGTAAATGTATTGATGTATGCAGATTGATAGATATGTACTAGTTACCTACTACGTTGTATGCAGAATGCAGCCAGTGTCGTTCTTTGTCGCAAAACTGATCAAAGTTGGTGTGCTATCTACTTCTGTATCTAATTGCTCATGGATGTTCGGAAGTTTTATGCGAGTAAGCGCCTTGCTTGGTGAGTCGAAAGGTTGATATATTGATATCAATCATCACATATCCCTGGAATTATAATCCTCAGCTGTGCCGACTAAAACCACGTAAAGCATCTATGTACCAGGCAATGACAGCAGGTTTGTATTGTTTCTCATGTACCCTAAGTAGTTAGATAACTGTCGGCTGCGATGATGCTATCAATCTAGATAGCAAAGAGCTGCCCTACGAAGTTACAAAGCGTTACGTACCCTAAAAGTATCTCGATGTTCGAACGTTCAAGTTGCTGCCACATGGCAACATTGAATTTATTTATTGAGATAAGCACCGTTTAAGTTGTAAAGGCTAATACAATACTCCTCAAATGTAGCTATTACACAGGTACCTAATCAAAGAAGGGTTAGTGAAGTTTGGTGTTCTTTATTTTAGGTAGTACTATGTACTGTACCCTACCCAGACTTCTTTGTCAAGAGCATCTGTTGGCCATAAGGTCAAACGGTTGGAAGATTCAGCTATGGATGTTAGTGTACATAGTTCATTATCGTTCTTACCGTGTAGTTAGGCATTAGCTAGTAGGGATGTATTCAGGGTTTAACAATACATAACTACCTAGGTAGTCTCCCCACAAGTTCTGCGCATAACCCTTGTCAGTATAATAACTTTGAAAGGATACTTCGATTTCTATAGGCAATCACAGAACATCAAGTGATTAATACTGCTAAAGAACGTGCAACTTATAGTTTTCAATGTCCTACCATCAACGTCCATACCTACATGATAGTACCATCCATACTATGAAATTGGTGCCTGATTTGGGCTTTTGGTGTTTAATAGGAACCTTGGAATGTACCTAATTTGGCTCCACAAACGCTTCTGCGCCGACCCCTCCAAGCCCCTCCAGCCCCGCTATTCCAATTTGTGCTAGGATTCTCTCCCCGCTTCTTGAAGCTACATAACTAGTACTATGTACTATGTCGCAGCGCTGAAATAGGTAGGGAGAGTGGCTTGGTTAGACTCAGCCTCTTTGAAAGAACGAGGAGCAGCGGAAACCAAGGACTCCGACTGGATCAATAATAACCAACTTGAACTTCAGCCACTTGTCTGTCAAGGCCTGAGATCATGAACTTCAAGTTAAACTCGAACTTGAACCTGGAATCTTCAATGATTAACTATTACTCAACATGAAACGTTAAGCATCATGATTTCGGGTACTCTTTTTGAGGGAGCCAACCACATCAAGGACTGGAACTTATATTCATTTGCCTAATAACTAGGTAGTCTCTTTGGTGTTGTCTTTCCGTCTCGATGGCTTTTTCCCTTCTTCTTTTCCCTTAGGTTTTTTTTTAGTACTGCGTAGCACCTCATCAGGTTGAAGGATTCACCAACTACCTAGATGTTGTTTCATCATTTTGTTCAATACTACGTCAAGACTTTTTGAGGCAGGTTACTTACATCTAGCCCGTTTCCCTATGCAGTAACGTCTATCCGTTTCAAGTTTTCATTGCTCACGTCAGTCTACCAGATTGGTTCAGTACTGTCAGCTTCATCAGTCAGCTGTCTGATCTCTCTCTTCTCTGGTACCTTGCATCCCTAGGTACATACAGCATTGCCAAGAATATAAAAGGATCGCCACAATGTAACACCAGCGTGTTAGACAGCTCCTCATTCTGGAATGTTCAGCATATCCCTCACGAAAGAAAAGAGTTGGGTGCAAACCTTCCAAACCCAATACTATAAAAATGGCCACTCGGTAGTCTAGGCCTCAACAGTTTCTGCAGGCATTGAACTCGGTCACTATATAGATTTGAATCTCAAGACCAAGTCTGGTGACCGAGATATGTGAAAGGCCTTGATCCAAGCCTCTCACAGCCTGAGCATCCGCCAAACAAATCTCATAGGTTCGTTACTTACTTTCATCCACGCCTTGCTGGCCAAACCCCAGATTTGCTTCGCCAATTGGTACCTATCGATGTTTACCGCGACAACCTGTCAAAATTATCATCTCTTTTGACTCGGGTACCTGGTAGGCAGAGAGCCATTCAAGTCGAAAGGTCAAGATACAGCCGCCACTATATGAGACTGGCCCCTTATCACAAATTGCTTGTGTCAAAATCATAATCATAGAAGAATCCTCCACGCTGCCCCATCAGGGCCAGCTCTCACCGAGATTCAAGGCTACTTAGGCAAATATTCGAAAGGGAAACGTAGCCTAATTTCGGCGTTCCTAAGATTCTCGGGCTTTCCGCATCTCGGCGCCGTAGACGGCGACTCACTAGGCTAACTCCGTCAGAAGCATATACCGAATTAGATGAGTTTTCTCAGCTACAGAACACCCATGTAATGGAATGCGTGGCCTCGTACGCAGGAAAGCAAAACTTAACATCGCAGATAGGGGAAGTGATCCGCGGCAAGCTCCAGAAGGTAATTTATAAGTTAAGCTATTCTTTTTATCTGTGCATACCGGGAAGCATGCAGCAATGCGGCTAGGACAGCGTGAGTTGGGTAGGGTCAAAGACGTGATCACGATAGGATCTATAGGCTTTTATAGGCACGATGAACAGGAGATGAAGAAATTGTACTTACAAACCTAAGCTAGGTGGTAGTAGGAAGATGGAAACGAAAATACTCGAATTTAGGTGCTTGAGACATTCCTAATACATCATCTCCTATTATGTGATGTGGCTTTCCTCCTATTAGTTGTAAGGATTTATGCGAGGCACAATGCTGGAAAAATGCATTGTAGCTTTCTATGTTCTATCCAGTGTATCGTACCTCTTCTACACACATATTCTTGGATGGTAGTAGGTACCCTAGGTAGGTAGGCATCTAGATATGTTCCCATACGGCACATACATACCTACTCCTAGTGTAGAGAAATAGGTTCTTATAGCATGAATTTAGAACGGTCTTTCTCCTTGTGTAGACTACCGACCTAACATACCACGTAGGTAAAACGTTCTAGCATAAAAATATCCTCCGGATGGATAACTCTTACGATTATGGTTACCCCTTTTCCCCCTTACCATTTTTTTCCGATTAGAAAGAAAAGGCGCGACGTCTGTACGATGAGCAGAGCCACTCATACAAGGCTCTGTCCACGACGATGCCTGCCTTCGTCCCTATTCCTGCGGAAGCCTTTTGGGAAAACGTGATGCCTGGCCTATCGCATAATACGCACACATTCACACACAAACAAACAAATAGGTTAGATTCTTGTAAAAAGAAAAAAAAAACACAGCCGCAAGAACATATTCATTTATTTATGCCTAGGTAGGTTGACATAGTAACTCGCTGGCAAGTAAGTCTGTCAAGTCCGTGCCTAAGCAAGCGTAAATACCTACCTACCTACCTATGTACCTACCCAAGTAGCAAAAGCTCATCGTAAAAGAAAAAATAGGAGAAGCTAGGAATTTCTTTCAAAAAAAGCAAATGAAAAAAAAAAGAAGCTGCGAGCAAAAACGGTGCAGAAACCCCTTAATGGGGGGGGGGGGGGGGGGGGTGAGACACACACTGCCCAAGCTCGAGACCACCCACGACAACGAAGACGAGAGGACCCGGAGAGATCGCGAAGCAGGTCATCGTCGGCCACGTGCTCGCGACGCAAGACGTAAAAAAAAAAAAACACGGAGACGGACGACATGGTGTTCCGTCCAGAAGCACAGCCGCACGAGCTGGCGCATGTGAACAAACCTGGAGAAGATGGACACGCAGCAGCAGCAGCAGCAGGATCAGAGGACATGCGGGAGCCAGAACCCGGGCGGGGGCGGGGAACGCAGGGTGATGCGAAACCCATCATGTTTCCGCACCCACGCTCCTCGGGCTCGATCACGTACATCGTAACCTAGGTCCGATCAGTTGCTGCGCGCAAGCTGTGAGAGGAGTAACTTGCCTCGCCTCGCTGCTTACCTAGGTAGGTAGACGTAATGATGTTGACGCTGAAGATTTTGATTCCCAAATAGCTATTGCCCAGGTGTCCGAGTTCACGAACCATTACCTATTTCGATGCCCGTACCTAGGCACGCAACCAAATGAAACAGATACATCCTCGCCCGAGGGGCTGGTATGGGGACGGGGGCGGTCTCGCGGAATACTCCTTCCTACTTGGCGATGCTTTCTCACCCTTCTGCGTGGTCGTTTGTTATTGATATAGGTAGGTACACTTGATAGGTTACGAGTGGTGCCCATCCCACCACGAACGTGCACGGATGAGGATGAGGATGAGGATCAATTGGGTGTTGTCTTGAAGGGTGGCCGAGTATTATTATTCTCTCCCAAGACCCTGTGGAATTATTCTTAACCTTGTAATGATTCCTCCCAATTTCTATCATTGGGATGGGTAGATTCGCTGGATAAAGCTTATAATAATTCTCGCGGATAGGGGGTCCCCCGCTATGGTATTGAGTTTATACAATAAATAATTTTCCCGAATCGAGACACGATCATCCAATAGCGCGCCGGGACTCGTAGTAATTTAAATCTACCTAGGGGTATAATGTATGCCTCTAGTACCCCCTACTAAGTATCTGGAAGTCAAAACAGCATACAGAGCCTCCTATCTCTTCTTCCCACGACTCGAAGCACCACCACTTCCCTTACCCCCTCCCTTCCCCTTCGCGTCTCCCCCCCCTCCACTAAGCATAACCCTCAGCTTCCCGACAGGAACAACATTGATGACCTCCTCAGGCTTCAGTGCCTTGAGGAGCTCCACCTCGCGGGGCCACATCTTCTCCTTGTCCTCGCTCTTCTCGTCGACGACGCCCTTCTTTGTGGAAGCCGTCTTCCACGCGTCCAGAACCTCCTTCACGGCCTTGCCCTTTTTCTGCGCGCCCGGCTGCATCTTGACCTTGTACTTGCAGCGGCTCAGGGCGCTGTAAGGGGCGCACACCACAACTACCTCGAGGATCTCGTCGCCTGCGAGTGGTGTGCCGACGAGCGAGTCAAGGGGCGTCAGACTGGCTGCCTCGTCGGCATCTAACATGTCAATTCCCTCGTCGAGCATCATCTTGCGAACCTCTTCATGCTCGGCGGTCTCGCGTTGCTGCCGTTGGTGTTGCGCTCGGCGACGTTCAAGAGCCGCTACGCGCTGTGCCTCGCGTTCCGCCTTAGCCTTTGCCTCGGCTTCTGCCCTTTCCCTGCCAGCTTTAGCACCTATGAGAGCTTCGATCGCGGCACGGTCCTCCTCATCTTGGTCTTTGTACTTGGCAGCTATTTTCTTAGCTTTGTTACGTTGACCGCGTTTGGGTTGCTGCCCCTTCTTAAGGGGTTGGGGTGTTGACTTTCCCGATGATTTGGGTGCTGGGCTCTCTGCAGTTGTCCTCGAAGGTGTTAGGTCAGCTTGAGTTGTTATTTCGGTATCTTCTTCTTGTTCATCCTCTTGTTCGTCTTGAATTTTATTTTCTGTTTCTAGAGCGGGACTAGAGGAGCCAGCAATAGGGAATTCCTCGGAAATTGTCATGCTACCAACCCCTTGCACGGGAGGGTCTTCGGTTCTCTCTGGCGATTCGTTTTCGTTATCATCCCTTTCTATGGGTTGAAGGGGGTTTGATTTCCGTTCAGCGTCCTCTTCATTCCTTACATCATCATCATTCCCCGAGTCACTGTTGTCATCTTCTGCATCGACCCTTTCCTGAGTACTTGGTGCCGCCTCGTCAGAAGTGCCTGCAGAAACCTGTTTGTTTGGGTTTGATTCCGACAGATCATAAAGACGATGCTTGACGTGTTTTGCTTTACTCTCCTCACTTATCCTAAACATCAATGCAAGCCCTAGTAACAATTGCGCAGGAGGCAAGAAGTTCTTCTTCCCTCGTATCATGAAGCTGCCAGTGGTTAGATATTCTCCAGTTGGTGCTGATTTCGATACTTGATCCGCATTTACCCACCATGCACCCATACCAGCCTTTGAGTCCCAGGCAGATGAAGCACAGACCGCCAAAGATCCAGCTTGTGATAAGGTTGAGGGCGGTATAGGGGCTTCGGGTGTGTTGGGGATATTCTTGATGAGTACGCTCGGCGCGCCGTGAAGATCTGCGTGTACATATACGTCTCCTTTCTTCAGATATCGTCTATAAAGCATCTCGTTTTGCTGAGCATCCTTCCCGCCTAGGACGAGATAACCGTCTGATGAGATGAACCATATAAACTTTTCAAACCAGAATTGTTTCCGAATCGGTTGTAGAACTGGCTTCTCTTGTTTTAACCCCTTTCTTAACTCGGCAGTAATTTTCTGCTCCGCATTTTTCAATGCAGTCTTTGACTGTAACATCGTCTTTTGCTCCTTTACGGCAGCCACTTTCCTCTCACCATAGTATTCTCCTGCATTGGCATAAGGTGTGAGACCGAGATTAATGTCGACGGTTAGCCTAGTTTCCCGCGTCTTCTGCGCAGATGCTTCTGTGCCGCCGTAATCGCTATCGTCCGAGTCTACTGAGTCGGTATCAGAAGCATCACTTTCCTCTTCCTCTTCCACCTCAGCTTCTCCGAGGAGTACAGTGATGGTATTCTCGTGTAGCTTCAGAGGGGATACGATGATGGCAGCCACCGGGTTGTGGCGCCGACGTTCCCGATCGACAAGCTTGCCAATGTCCTCCCAGTCCATCCCCTGCATTATCAACCCATTGACGGCATCCATAGCCTCTTGAACTCTTTCGACATTAGCTTCTATCGCACTTGCTTTACGTATATTAAGTTGTTGGACTGCCTGAAGGCCCTCAATGCGCTTGGCGTGCTCAGCTTTGGTGGCATCCAATTTTCGTTTGGCATCCGCCTCCCTTTCGGTTAGGCGTGATTCTAATTTCTGTCCTTCTATGGAAGAGAAGAACTCATCCACCATCTTATTAAAGTTGTCGAAAGTGAGGACGGTGTATTCCGGATCTTCTTCAAACTGGCAAGGTAAGAATGGATGGAAGTCCTCGTACAGTAAGTTTCTATTTGGCTTCTCGTCCCCGCCTGTGTCATCTGATGGCATGCTCTGGGGGCCTGGTCTCGTTTTCGCGAGTATGTAACCCTTACAGTTATCGGAGCTACCTACTTCCTGAACCAGTTTGCGAGCTTCCTCAAGTGATCGCAACAAATGGTCAAGAAGTCCTTCATTTTCCAACACCGCAGTTGGCTGTACGGTCGAATCGAACGCAGTAACTTTCATGGCATGATCAACCAAGATCGGAGGAAGCTCGGTGATGGTTGTCGCAAGTCCTCTTCGTAACTGGTCCCCTGATTTCTTCTTGATTTTCTTGCCCGCGGTAGCTGAAGCTGCGGCCTTTTGAATGATGGTCTGCAGCGCATCTTTGATACGCTCCTTTGTTAGATCCGGGACGCCGCGATAGTTTTGTCTATTTTCCAACGAATATGTCAGGCCTGGGCGTTGTGGTTCCTGGCCTTCCCCCTCTGGAACGTTCCGGAGTAGTGTTAGGATCTTGAGCTCATTGTCCGTCAAGATTACGTTGCCGCTGGCGAAGAACTCCAGGTACAGTCTGTATTGGCCATCGCTGAACTGAAACTCAATGATGCGATCGGTACCTATTTGTGAAACGGCGGTAACTCGTCGAGTTTTCAAAACTTTACGTAGCTTCTGAACGAAGACAGAGGGGGCGGCAGCGGTAGTGCGCGCAAACTCGGTAAGATGACATCGAAAGCCGGAATCTATGAGAAGTTGCTTCTTCACTTCAGGTTTTGCGAACTTGAATAGAAGGATCTTTGAGGACAGGTCGTAGATGTTAGAAACTCGGAGGGATACCAGGCTTGTAGACAGCTCATGAGCGATGGCCTAGATTGCGACAGGGGAACAAGTTAGTCGTGCTCAGTTCAGTTACTACCTAAGTAGGTAACTAAGGTTAGAATGGGCTGGATGAGGTACCTTGACATCTAACGAAGAGAACCTCTGCTTCATTTTTACCCTCCGGTTTGCGATTGTATTTCCTTACACTGGAGCTGTCGTGAGCGCCTACATGTAATGTAGGTGTTAAGTAAATAGGTACTATGCTATGTAGTACTAACTGTGCTATGTAAGAGACTGAGAGAGACATCGGAGTGTGACGCATGCGGGGCACATCGTTGAAAGAGAAGATCAGATTACGTCAATTATAATGGGTCTGGTTAAACGGTTCAAGCCTTGAACCTTCAAGGTTACTTGTACTACTAGTAGTACTAGGTAGTTATGTGACAAATCAGAAAGGAGAAACACATGTAGTATCCCTGTCGCTTGCTCCGTATTAAACGTATTTTGTGTTTGCATTTTATGGACTTATGGACTTATCATTTATCATATCATGTAAACCCAAAAAGCAAAAGATCACTTTCATCATTCATTATCAATCTACACTTTCTGCATCTTTTCAAACTTATGATGGCTTATATACACCACACAACTTGGAAGTAACCTACCTAAGGTACCTATTCATCGTCATCCTCAAAAAGTTCAATACCATCTACAGCAACTTCGAATCCTGAGAGTAATAGCGTTAGCAGATGTACACATATTTCAATGAGTGAGTGAACCTACCATCGCTTCCTGTAGCGCCAAAGCTGATGGTGTTTGCGTCGCCACGCTTCAGAGTTAGCTGGATCGGAGTGGAGGTGTGGTAACCAGCACGAGAGTTCAGGCTCGAGATGTTGATAGCCGGCTCGTCATTGACGAATATATGGGCCTCTCCAGCTAATACGATCGTCAGCTTACTTCCAACCAAGCTTCCAACCAAGCCTCAAGCAAATGTTCGTAACATACCTTCTGGGTTGTTCACTCGGTAGTGGAACGAAAGCCACTGGCGAGATCCAGTGCCAGTCACGTTCTGGAAAGTCACGTCGCTTGTGTCGCTGACTTTACGAAATATTAGCCTTCCTGCAATGAATCTTAGTCAGGGGTAAAGGGGTAAAGGGGGTTTACCTCCGTGCACAGCCCGCTTGCTCACGCAGTCGCTGCAGTCCCTCACCACTTTTTGTTGTCAGTCTTCATTGCATGCAAGGCTTCATCTCAGAATACGTTACCTGTCTTGCCTGACAAAACCGCATGCTCGGCCTCGTAGCGTTTTTTCGTTGTGGGGTAGGAAACTACGCCGGTCTTTGGGTCGAGTTTCCACATCTCGTGGTAATCGATCTGAACAGAGTGTGACCTAAACACAACACAGGTAGGATTAGTTGACAGGAGGCCTTTTGATAGAACTCAGTGCCTTTGGCGACTTACCCAGAGTTGATATTCATGGGTGCCCATACATAGTTCGAGCTGGCGCCGCCCTTCGAGTCCCATGCATCGCCCATGTAAATGTGCGTGGTCTTTTGTGAGCCCTTCACCGTCAGCTCGTGAGTGTTCTGCGAGCCATAAGTATTCTGGGCCTGCGGCGCGATATCTGATCCTCCCTGCCATGGGCCATTAATCGATGTCGACCAGAAGGCTTTGTTCGGGTTGGATCTCCATCCAGTTTTCCCCGAGACGATGAGGTAGTAGACCCCGTCGGCCTTTACGATTCCGGGTGCCTCGTACGCTCCACCCCCTATTCATCTCGCGTCAGCACTTGTCTCAGACATAAGCGCTTTGCACAGGGAACCTACTGAGATCCGAAACCATGCTACCTAGTGTGCCGTCACTGTTGATTTTGTTGACCTGAACGATGTTGTGGTCAGCACTAGTGAGGAGGTAATAGGTGTCTAACACGTCGCTTTCGTTAGCAAGCGGGACTCTCGTTGATTTGGTAGGCATGTTTCACCTGCGTCCTCGTCATAGAACATTCCGGTGTCCGAGTAGGAATAGTCATTTGGCGGAATGTGAACCTTGGCCGATTGGCCGTAACCACCAACGAAGGCCGACGACTTGAGTGATAGGACGTAACGGTCCTGCTGCCCGAACAACTGTCACCGGTCAATTTGGTCAGCTCAAGCTCGCGTACCACAGCATCATTTCAGGATCGGTGGTATCGTACCCAATACGACCCGTTTGGCTTCGCTATCTTGGGTCGCCACATGCCAGTAATGGAGCTTGCCTGCTTCCCAAGGTTCTTCCAGTTGATGAGGTCGGTAGACGAGTACAACATCGGCGTTTGGTCTCCAAGACATTGTCAGTTCGGTAGGTTCAACATAGAGAACCCAAGGGTAAGGGTTGATTTACTGCTAGCAGCTTGGCCGACCCAGTAGAAGGTATCACCACGTTGAACGACGCCGCCGCCGTGGGCATCGATCTTGTTCCCATCCGTGTCATACCACACAGCGCCTGGTGCGATCCAAGACGCGCCCAAGACGCTGGATGCCGCACAGGTCCATAGCAGAGTAGATGGCTTCATATTGTCGTCGTTTAACTTGTCTAGTTGAATGGTAACGCAGCTAATCGTCTATCTATCCATTCAAACTACGCCGATCCTTCCTTCGCCTTGCCTCATGATATATACATACAGCTAGCCCCTATCCTTCACCTCGGGATAATATCATGGCGAGCCTGGCCGGGTAATTGGTGTTCTGAATTATTTTTCCTCCTTCTCGATGTCACCGTAGCGGAGCGATGATCGTTTCGGGATACGTCCGCATTCTTATTGTAGAAAGCAAAACGTTCACGAAAGTGCGGGGAGCGCGATGTAACAACATAGCTAAGCCCGGCGTTTATTTAAGATATACTAGGCGCCTCCAAACGCTATACTCAACAGCTCCGGTGGCTTATATATATATACCTTAGCATAATGCGTTGGGGTAGCCGCCATAACTGATAACCGGCTAAAATTCAGAGACATTCTGGAGTGGCCCAATTCTAATTATCACGACAGCATTTCTGGTGATAGATACTCAGTAGGTACCTATAGGACATACTTACCTAATAGGTAGGCCCATTGAAAAAAGACTCCTTACTACACCATTATCAAATGTAGAAATTGCATTTAGTTAGGTGTGAATAACTACATACCTACTGTATCACAGGTTCAGCCATGGTTAAGAGCGCCAATCATGACTGTTCGAGATACCATAGGGGCCATAGCACTGGAAGCCAACAAGTGGTGAGTCAATACCTTTGCTGTGCCTTCTCTACCGCAATTTTACAAAAAGGCTATCTCAGAAATTACCTAGAGGATCTACATATTCGCACCTACATCTATTAGGCAGGTATCTAATAGCTGCCTAGGTAGGAAATGGTATCTACGTAGGTAGCTATCCCGAAGGGTGCATGTAGTTAGACAAAGCAAAAATCGGTCTCACGACATCCAAAATCACGATGAATGGCGATGCCCAATACTAACGATTCAATGCATGCCTCTAGTACTTACCTACATACCTACATACATGTGTACGATGCAAAAAGCCTGCATCTACAACTTGCATTTGCATGTGGAGTATTATTGCCTGTGTCACCACAACACAGTATATCCCACCGGATACTATATAGGTAGGCATGTATGTAAGGGGGCAAATATGATTATACGACGCCTGCTCCGGTGGGAAAGCCTCCACCGGAAGCTAATTTACAGATGCGAATTGTTATGAGCAATTTTTTTCGGCAGGAATTTCTATATATAGCCATATACACTATTTATTTTGCGTCATGGCGGAAATTTGAACGGTGGGATTTCGAGAAGAAAAAGAATGATGGATTGTCGGGCCTGGCCTTCTTCGGGTTCCAAGGTTCTGGGCTTCGTGTCCGCCTTGAACATCGAACACGAGTGGGAATGAGGCCCGAGTGTGCTGTTTTTGTTAATTAGCTGGGCTGCTCCATACAATATCTATTACATACACAACCCAGATAATAAGTCCTTGCCAGCCTTGCATGGGCCATTTTTGCCCGAAGCAAAGGCCTGCTTGGTTGTTGCGGGACGGACGGGGTGGCCATGGCTAAGACCTCCACGATCTCGGGGCGGGTCGAGAGAGAAGCTCGGATCCTCCCCATATGCCATGGTATTATGAGCATGATATAAAGTGGACGGGATCCAGTGTGCGGGCTCGTAAGGAGGCCCCGTCTCTCTTTCGAACAGCACATACCAACGTGGAGGCCCAGGGAAGGTTTGTGCTGGTAGACAAATCGGTTACAGCCGCATTGATCTTCGATATGGGTTAGCAGCCGGGCTCGTGCGCCCACGCCAGGGGCGAGCCATTCAATTCTGGCCCATCCATCCAGAACTCACAGCGTGGTCGGGTTCGGCCGTATAAGAAGCGGGGAGTGGAGAGTTATAGAGGGTGGAGGAGATGATAATCATGATTGATTGACTGATTGTCCTCTCCGCACCCCGTCGTTTGCCTTGCCTGCATATGGAAGAAGAAATAATAATAATAATAACGACACGCAAGGCGAAGATGAGACACCTCGCCCTTCACCGACCGACGACGGGGAAGGGAAGGACGGACGGTTGTCTCACAATTGCCACGCACCGAAAGTCCTGCGTCACGAATACGGACGCTCTGGCAACTCCACGCCCGAGCTTTGCGCCTTCAATTCTCGCTCGGTCTTGCCTTGGCACGACGACCACGCCACGTGTTGAGTCGCCCGTCTCTACGGGACGGGAGATGAGCTGAATTACTAGTCTGCTGTTGGGAGTGTCATTCCAGAGCCGCAAGGGAAATCTACACTATGCATGCGGCTCTAGCCGTGAGGATGTGCGGTGCGGTCAAGGCGGGCGGGTATCTATCCAAGTGGACGGTTCCCGGGCGCAAAAGGCAAGCCACAGCGACAGCAGGGCGAAGCTGGGACCGAGCGAGAGTCACCTCAAGACGAATCGTCACCATCTGGCGCAATTGACGGAAGATGAGGATCGGTGGTTACTATCGTCCAAGCTCATCTGTTTACTAACTACGTACAGACCTACAATAAGTGCTCATCCTATAGGTGAGATTCGCGCTCGTAAGTCCTACGATCGCACGAGATTATGTGGTTCAAGTCTAGGTGACGACGATCCAATTCACATCAATTGCTATGTATGTATGTACTTAGGCATGTATGTGCAAGTACGTCGCCACAAAATTCAATTGGAGGGCATATTCCCCATTTGCAAATCTTATTGAGATGCTCATGCATAATTCTCTGGGCGATCACGATGTATGGCAATGGAGTCAGTCCTAGACTAAAGACAAAGCAGATCACATTAGCAGGCTGAGAAAGGATGAATGAGGGATAATCTACGAAAAGTGCCAACAGCAGTCGAAGTTTTGCTCTGCCAAGCCTTCAGCTGCTGGAGTCCCTCGGCATATTCCTACAATATTATCAATTATTAATTACCTGCGACATAATAATAGACAGTCGGTCAGTTCATCTTGACACGTGTGAGGAAATTCATCACACAAAGTCACAAATTGCTATCAGCATGTGCCATTAAGAGCTACATTAATGAAACTTTGCAATTCACACACACTCCAACCCCCCCCCTCTTCCCCATCGAGAGCATTTTGGCGATGATACCGATCCTTTTCGATGTAGCAAAACAATACGACTTGGAATTGACCAATGATGAGGCTTTGGCTACCTATCTAGGCCTACTAGGCTGCTAGGTACATAAATAACCTAGGTTTGTAGCTTAAGAGAGATCGAGAAGCTCGGACATATGACGAATCTTGGATCGTCAATGGCCTGTTGGCTAGCAGCAGTTTTTTCCCTGATAAATTGCGAGGCGCGGACCTCGTAATGACCCCCCTGGTCCTCCCAAGCTTTCTCCGCTTCTACACTAAGTCCCTTTGATCCTGATCATCCAGGGATGGGAAGGATGCCATAGCGCGTTTTGGCTTGCCGGTTGTCATAGCAACGAAATTGGGTCTGTCGACGATCAGGGGTAGATCGGGGGTTCATCAGGTAAGGGAATTGAGCCCTAAAACCTTTTTTTTTTTCGAAGACCTAAAGTTGACGAATGCCGAGGTTGTCGCCATGGTACCTATGTAAACTACACATGTATGAAATAATTAGACGGAAAACCAACCGATCAGCATGTGGCGAACGGTCGGGGGGGAAGTACATAGCAGCAGCAGCAGCAAGCAGGCAGGCAGGCAAAAGCAAGCAAGGCAGTTTTTGAATGGATTCTCCTCACCCACAAGATTTCACCAAAGATCCGCGCCCCTAGTTGCGCAAGACGCCGCAAGTGATTTGTGAGAAAAAAGGGGGGCCCGCTAATCAGTTGGCCCCAGGGTAGCATCTGTGGGCGGCAGTGGGCCTTGTTTTGCATCCGTACGACAGAAGAGCCATCCTCACTTGCTCAGCTTACCCTCTTCTTGCATGAGTCTAACCCGAGCTTGCGCGCATAACCCACTCCACAGTCCAATGAGGGAAATCCACGATATTACGCGTAATGGGAAGATGCCTTGGATGCCTTGCTGGATTTTCTGCAAGTGTCAGCATTAGGAGGGAGGGTAGGGTGGTTGGAAAAGCATGATACATGGCTATGTAGTTAGCATAATCGTGATTCGTTCCAGCATGCACGATCGATTTGGGCATTTAAGTGGCTGGATTTGGCTGCTAAACTAAAATGTTACTCGCTGCTCAGCAAGCAGCAATCGGAAACGAGACTTTCCAGCCCTTTTTTTTTTGTTTTTTTTTTTTTTTGCCTCCCGGGGAAAACCAACCTCCCCGATTTTTTCAGTAGTAATATCCGGGGCTGGTTAGGACTTGCATTACCGAGTCAGCGAAAAAGTGAACCCTTTGACCTTTTTAGGAGGGTAGATGTAGTATGTGCCTATGTATGTACGAGTTGTACACAAACAACAGAAGGCGGTGAAATCAAGATGTTGTTATTTATTATCATTATATTATTACATGTGTGTATGCAAACGCATCACGATTTAGGATGGATACATATGCCAGTTCCATGGCTTTGTTAACAAGAAGGCAACGCAACACGAACTTTGATTTCATTTCTTTTCTCCAATGGCTCAAAATAGTTGCTTTTCTGTAATCTACTAATCTGTAATCTTGGACAAGTCTCCATATTATCTCGGTTAGTTGACCGAATTAGAGACATCTTTTGCCATTCAATATCATATCTATCAGACAACGGAAAGGAAAAGAAACAAGACCAGACCAGACCAAGCCCAAAACAAAAGAGGTTGGGACGACAAGGTACATGGTACATGGTACTATTTACGATACGACGAGGTAGGTAGGTAACTAGTAGTGTCTATTGGCAGAACTGGAACTGGGAAAAGGAACGTTCAAAGCTGAAGGCACGCTTGGGACCAACTAGGACCAACCACCTAGTGGACCGATTTGGGTCGATCAATCCAATCTGATCATCACATGAAGCTGGAGCCAATGTCCCAATATCGGCTAAGACTATTGGATTCGTTTTATTTTCCCCGGGTCAACGGTGAAAGACGAAACGAACCAAACTTACAAGGGAGATGACGGTTTCTTGCTCCGTAAGTGGCCAGAGCGCGATCCATGTGGGCTTGAAGATGGAGACGTGCTGGAAAGGACAGTGTCAGAGTTGTGTCAATTGTAACTGGCAACTCGCGCCCCCCCGTGGGAGGAAGGGGGAAAAGATGGGAAGATGGGGGGGAAATCTCGACATTCACATTATTCCTAGTTCAACCCCCAGCCGCCTAACTTATTTAGGGGGGCGATAAACAGACTGTATCCCTGCCTGATCCATGATGATCCACTCGTGTAAACAAGACTTGACCACTCCAGACCCTGCAAGTATACTGCAAGCACAGGAGTCCAAGCTGGGACGGCCTGGGACGGCCGGGGACGAGCAGCAGCAACAAGCAGCAGATGCCCTGCCACGCCATTGCTCAGTACAGTATAGAATACATGTGCATCGCCCATCTCTCCTCCCTGCAGCTCCTCCTATTTCTTTCCTTCCAATGATCTCTTCTGCCACTTCACTCCCTCTATTCTCATTTGATCTCATCATCAACCCAACAACTCCTTCACACCCAACTCCAAAAACCCATATTCCCCGCTCTTCAAGTAAGAACCTGAACGAGAGAATCGAGTAAAGAAGCGAGCATCATCCGCCTGCTTCTCCTCCCTTCTTTTCTTTCAGATTTGTAGAAAGAAGAGCAAGAGGAATCTTCTTGTCTTCCTTTCGCCCTTAGTCGAAAGGTTGTCGAGGAGAGGACTCTCGCGCCGCAAAGGTCGCCAACCTGGACTTTGAAGCCCGCGTACCCGTTCCCTTCAGCATCTTTCCTCGGACCTATAAGGAAGCTGAGGTAGAAACCACCACCCACACCCACGAAGAGGTGCAAATTGATCTCCCCGCCAAACCAGAGAAAGCCGGACGGGAAGGTCAATACTCTTCTGTCTCTGCTTCAGCTGCTGCTCAGCTACCTCCCCGTCGAGAGCAACACGTAATAGAAGAAGAGGTCCGCATCACACGTGAAGAAGAACGTTACCGCCGTCCCGGTGTCCACCGCGAGCACTACGAGGAGAAGAGGTTAGTTGAAAACTGTCCATTTTCAAAGCAAACGAACAATTTCCCCCTTCTCCCCTTTTCCCATGGTTGTTTTCATGGCCACCATCAACTATGATCATTTAGCGAATTGCCTCATATCCAGAGTTTTCCATGTTGGATTTCCCAAGTTTTTTATTCTCGCGAACGGGATGAGGAGAAAAAAGAGAAGCAAGTTTCTTGTTAGAAAAACTGCGTGAAGAAGACTTTCAATAGTCGCAGCAATTGGACTGTGCTTTTGGTGCTTTGGGAACTTGTTGAACGCACGCGCCGGAAACTTGGGAAATCAAACCTGGTCAATTCTGGTTCGGAACCTGAAGTCGTTTCCGAAGTGGGCTCCAGTTCCAGTTCCAATTGAAATAAAATTGGCCAATCTGGATCCAAGCGGATACTGCCTCATTTTAAAAACGGGCGGACCCCTTGTCTAGTGCTGAGGGCCGTCACAGCTCACGATTTTCCTTCTTGTTGACCCAGTAACCCGGACCCCCCGACCCCCTTTTCTGAAAAAAGAAAAGAATCGAACAAAAAAAACATACAACCAAAACAATTCCCGAAAGGGAAAACATCACATTTTTTATGTCAAAAAAACTAACATCACATTTTCTCTTCCAATAGACCTAAATCTTCCTACCAAGAGTCTCACTTCTCAGTTTCCCGCCCCCCGACTTCCTCTGCCTTCGGGGAGTCATCTGTCGAGGTTGACCGCCGTCACAAACCACACGTTAGCACCCTAGACCGCATTGAACGCGAGTATCGCGCTCGTTCCCAACCTAGCTACAAGAAAGAGGAGATCAACGTTGCCGGTTCCACCGTCGACCCTCCCAGACCCAGCTCCCACTTTGCCGAGCAAGCCCACGTCACAGAGTCTACTGTCGACCCCCCTAGGATCCTCCCTTCTACCAGCTTCACCGAGTCGGTTCACGTCTCCGAGTCAACAGTTGACCCGCCCAAACCTAGTCCTTCAACGTACATTAAGGACGACAAAGCTGCCGAGGAGACCAAAGAGTATCCTCGACACCGCCACACCCCAGCTTCTCAGAAGTCTAGAATGGGATATTACGACGAAGAGGGTAGGTTTGCCTTATAATACCAGCCAATTCCCACCCCCCAAATTCCATTGTTTTTTATTTTTCATTATTTTCCATATAAAAAATTTTAATCTGAAAAAAAAATTAATTCTTTGTGCTTACCTATTACTACCTCAGGACACTATCACTCTTTCCGCCACAGTCTACACAAAATGGCCGACCGCGTCTTCCATCCCGAGGGCGAGCGCATCGAGATCGTTCGCGAGTCTCACAAGCATGCCTCCCCTAAGTCCAACGGAGCTCCCTCCGTCCCCAACACTGTCACCATCCCGTGCCACCACGTCCGCATGGGTGACATCCTGATGCTCCAGGGCCGTCCCTGCCAAGTCATCCGCATCTCTACCTCGTCGGCCACCGGCCAGCACCGTTACCTCGGTGTCGACCTCTTCACCAAGCAGCTGCACGAGGAGTCGTCCTTCATCTCCAACCCGGCCCCCAGCGTGGTGGTCCAGACCATGCTCGGCCCTGTCTTCAAGCAGTACCGCGTCCTGGACATCCACGACGGCAGCATCGTCGCCATGACCGAGACCGGCGACGTCAAGACCAACCTGCCCGTCATCGACCAGTCCAACCTCTGGACCCGCCTGACCCAGGCCTTCAACGCCGGCCACGGCAGCGTCCGCGTCCTCGTCCTCAACGATGGCGGCCGCGAGCTCGTCGTCGACATGAAGGTCATCCACGCCTCCAACCTGTAAAGATATTTTAGAGTGTGTTAAATGATGATTTAATGGTTATTATTCCGCTCTAAGAGATACGCGTGTGTGTGTGTGTGTGGGATTTTGGAAAGACACTTTTGTGTTTGTGTCGGACAAAAGGTGGTTCATCATGTGTTCAGTCAGTCAAGTCAAATCAAGTGTCATCAGTTTAATGGGATAAGACGTTTCTCTCTCTCTTTTTAACGCTTAATTGTGCCTCCAAAGTGTCAAATGGTCTTTTCATGAATGAATGGAGTCGTGGCTGATCTTCAAAGATTGCTTCCAACCTCACCTTTACCACTCCCCGATCTTTCCGCGAGTAATTCAAGTTGTTATGGATTGGCAAAAATTTGGACGTTAAGGGTTCTGGCTTGTTCTGATGTCGGATACATAGCTCTTGTGTATATGGATGGTAATACAATGTCGAGTCTTTAACGTACAAAACTTATGCATTGTCGATTGTGATGTGACTTGTTGTATTCTGTTACGCCTTACGCAAATGATGGTGATGATATTTGGTGGTGTCCCTTTTTGATCCTACTATGGACACTTTGCATTCAACTATCAAAGGTACTTAGTACATTACCATCCACATGCACACCCCTTCCTACCTTTGGCTTTTCATCGTTATACCTTGCTTTAGCTAGTCTACATATAACTTTCATCCACTGTAATATCCACAACTTGAAGCCATCAAGGTGTTCAAGCCAAAGTTACTATACCACTCTATACCACTCTTGGCCGTTACATATCCGTTACATGTCAGGTGTGGCCCAGGTCAGTCACCAGACTATCCTCTTTTACCGATCCCGGCGTTGCATTTCCCCCCATCCTCTCCCCTTATCAAGCAGCTGTGGTGATAAGGCGTCACCACATTCACCCACCTTCTCCTCTTGGCCATCTTGGAACATTATGGTCTAATCATTATACGTAGTAGCGTAGAGCCAGACCAAACTCAAGCTCTCAAATACCTCAAGCTTCAAGGTTCTTATAGGCAACTACTTAGGGGACATTGCTTGAAATACATCAAATACTCGATATCTGCTCTTTAATTCCCTTCCCAAGTAAACCACATTGACGTACCTAAGAACAATAACCCTCGTAGTAGCTATCAAATTGCAATCATCATGGGTGTGCAACAGTCTAAGCCCGAGGCGCCTGCGTATGAGAAAGCCGTTCGCGATCTCGTACAATCTCTCAAGTCTGAAGATGACTTCGTCCACGTAACTGCCGAGAAGGGGAATCTTGCCCATGGAGGCATAACCAGACAACCTGAGCAGCTCGCCATTGGGCTTACGCAAAACTGGCAGTCCAAGTTACTTGCCGATCCCAAGAACAGGTTCGTTCGTCTGTCTTATTTGCTCTCCTCCGCAATATATTGCTCCTGTCGGAATTAGTTAGTTAGTTAGTAACTAAAATGACCTTTCGCATAGATTGGCTCTCTCAGCCCTCAGCTCTGCCAACCCGCGCGAGGTCCTGGCATCGCGAACCGCCAAGATCGCCGACCAGCAGGTGTTCAACGTGCGCATCCCGTTCGAGGGCGCGCCCATCACGAACCAGCGGTCCTCGGGCCGGTGCTGGCTCTTCGCCAGCACGAACGTGTTCCGCATCGCCATCATGAAGAAGTACAACCTGGATGCGTTCGAGCTGTCGCAGGCGTACCTGTTTTTCTGGGACAAGCTCGAGAAGTCCAATTTCTTCCTCGAGAACATCATCGACACCGCCGACCAGCCTCTAGACGAGAGACTGGTGCAGAGGCTGCTGGCCGATCCCATCAGCGATGGCGGACAGTGGGACATGGTGTACAACCTCGTCGAGAAATACGGCCTCGTGCCGCAGACCCTGTACCCGGATAGCTGGAACGCCATGAGGAGCAGCACCATCAACTCCATCATCGTCGCGAAGCTGCGCGAGTACGCCATGATCCTCCGGCGCCTCGCCAACAGCTCCGCCACCACCGCCGCGACCTTATCCGCCACCAAGGACAAGATGATGCGCGAGATCCACCTCGTCCTCATCCTGACCCTCGGCCCACCCCCCAGCACCACCGACGAGTTCGAGTGGAACTACCTCGACAAGGACGGCAAGGCGCGCACGCTCACCTCGACGCCGCACAGGTTCGCGCAGGACATCTCCTCCCCCGAGTTCCGCATCAGCAGCACCGCGATCGCGAGCATGGTGTCCCTCGTGCACGACCCGCGCCACGACCCGCTCACGCTCATGACCGTGGACCGCCTCGGCAACATCGTCGGCAGCCGCGGCATCACGTACATCAACGTCGACATGGCGACGCTCAAGCACGCGTGCGTCTCGATGCTGCGCGCCGGCCTCCCCGTCTTCTTCGGCTCCGACGTCGGCAAGTACAGCGACTCCGCCGCCGGCATCATGGACCTCGACCTCGTCGACTACGAGCTCGGGTTCAACGTCGCGCTCTACGGGAAAGACCTGGACAAGGCCGCGAGACTGAGGGTCGGCGAGTCCGCGATGACGCACGCGATGGTGCTCACGGCGGTGCATGTCGAGGGCGCGGGGACGCCGGTCAGGTGGCGCGTGCAGAACTCGTGGGGCCCTGATGCCGGGACGAAAGGGTGGTTTGTGATGAGCGATAAGTGGATGGATCAGTTTGTTTACCAGGCCGTGGTGGATCCGAGGTTTTTGGCGAAGAAGGTTAGGGATGTGTTGAGTAAGGAGCCGGTTGTGCTGCCGTTGTGGGATCCGATGGGGAGTTTGGCTTAGGGGGGTGGAAGGGGGGCATGAGTTTCCGAGCGAGCTTTAGATTTGTTCTTGAGGGAGGGGGTTTCTTTTTGGGTTTTGATGATTTTTATGTGGGTGGTATGCTATATCTAGGTGCTTATATATCCGTGTTAGTGGGAAGGGGGCGAGGCTTTGGGCAGGTGTATTGGTAGATGTTAGGAGTCTCTATACAGTCATTACACTTTTGGTCGAGTTTGGCTGGTTATCTTACTTGCGTGCGGAGATGTCTTTGCAGTTATGTGTGTTGGCATGTTGCGCTTGTTACAGTTTCTATCTGGGTACTGGGCAGGTATAAGGTAGGTAGGTAAATGGTTAGTTCTCCTACTTTCTATAATACCTACCTACCCATATGGCAGTGTGACAACTTGTACTTAAGAGGTAGGTAGTAGGGAGGCAGGAACTGGTTCTGCTGCAGTGGTGTTTGCCTACCTACCTAGGTATGTAAGTAGTTGCTACTAAATCGCGAGGGCACAGGATGAGGATAAAGTAGAATTAAATAAGGAAGAGAAGTCAGTACCTATCCCTCCCTACCTAGGTACTGCATGACAACCTTTGAAATATGGGTAATGTTTCCTCGCCTCTACCTTCTATCGTGATCTTGTGTATTTAGACTCTGACAATACCCCCCCCCCCCCCCCTTTCGGAGAGACTGCCGTTGTCCTCGGTGGTCAAGAAGTCTCTTTGCTGTCGGGGTCATGATCTTGGTGTTTGTCTTATGATATGTTAGGTATCAGCTAGGTAGGTAGGTATGCTTGCCGCGCTCGAACTAAGATATCACGGGTATAATAAGGAGAAGGAGAAGGACGCAGGCCTAGTATATAATAATAGGGGAAGGAGGCAGGGTGATGGTGGATAAACGGGTATATCTGATCTTGTCAAATCTACAACGGGACGGGGGGTGATGAGGATGGGAATGGGAATGGGGATTGTTTGGATATCACTTGAATCCCGAGGTCGCTACAATCCTAATTTCCCTTTTATATACCTGGCTATATACGGTATATAGAGGAGTAGCTACTAGGTAGGTATTTATGCGCTGAGGTTAACTACATAGCTACCTCGCTCTACCTTTAGACGGGAGACCGGTTATCTACCTAGGCAGGAGGTTGTGAGGAATACCACGATGTTGGATACCTAGTATAGAGACCTACCTAGGTAGGTAGACACTCTGTGACAGACTACCTACTTACACCTCCAGGGTAGGTTCCCAACTACTTAGGTAAGTAGGTAGGTAGAGATGGGGAATTCAATGAGTCTGAGCCGCTTCGTAGAGAGATCCAAACGTGAGGGCTTGGGCTTTCTATCCCCCTTGATGCTATGATGCTATGTACCTAGCAGTCACTGTCATGGCTGGACGAAGAGAGAGAAAGGGGCGATACGAACTAGATACGCCTGATTGAATAGGTGACTACTTGTGAGTCTATCTATTAAGCAAGCTATGTAATAATAGCTATCTAGTACGTTGAGTATAATGCCTAGGTATTTCCTCATACACCCCTTTCTCTCTATTTGCCGTTGAGCTATTCTCTTGGTCTACGAGAGAACTTGTTACCTCGGCTACCTACTTGTGAGATATCTTCGCACGTCACATAGGTGATACTATCTACGACTAAGCTCTGCTATGTATGTTCAGTCGGCGACCATACGCTAGTATACCTACCTAGGCACCTAGTAGCTATCTAGCTCCCTAGCTACCCAAGCAGCCTATGACTAAGATATACCTCCGAGATGACATAGCTTTTTTTTTTTTTTTTCAGGGCTTAGTGCTTCCACGACACCGCCTAGTCTGATTGCGGGAAGTAGCCTCGTCTCCGGACATCGACAAAAGACAGCAAGAATCGTTCACGCAGAACCTCCCTAGTCCTTGATGCTGTGTTCTAGCGATGCTTTAAGGTTAGTCTATTGTGGCCTGACCGACGGCAGTGTAGTCGGGCGGATATTGCCTACATGGGGCGGGCAGAAAAGGGGGGTGCGCGGAAACGACGGCATATCCGCAGGCTAGCCCCGAAAAGATGGGGGCGATGCCGATGCCGAGACTACACATGGGGCTTGCCCTGCTTTGTTCGGGCAATTATACCTACCCAACGTCTACCCAAAAGATCGCGGATGTCCTTTCCGCTTCCCTTTGTCCTTCCCAGCATCTATCTCATCTGTGTGCGAGGCGGTACGTGGTTTAGGTAGCGCAGCTTGGGGCCCGGAATAGTCTCCTACTGCTGCATCTACAAACATAGACTAGGTACTAGGTAGGTAGGTAGGTATAGATTGTCTTATCCAAGCAGTCGGGCGGGCCACGACGAACGTGCATAGGGTAGGGTCGCCCGGATAGATAAGGTTGCGTACATAGCGTAGGACGAAAGGTGATTACGGGGCGGTTTGGTGTCGCTGCTTGACTTGAGGACAGATATACCTCGTAGGAGTTTACGGGGAAGGGGATCATTGCTTCCTTGGCGGATTAGAAGACGTTGGGCAACACTGGATAGGTGGAAGGGAAGTTTCAATTCAAGCTAAGTAAGACCTACCTTAGGTATGTACGCAATGGCTTGACTCCCCTTTCCCGTATAGGGCTACTACTGCCGAGTGTGTGGAATAGGTGAAGCTGTGTGTGTTGTTCAGCTCGATTTCGAGCCGCCTTTCTCTCTCTCTCTGACGCCGTTGCGACGACGCACATGCACGTAGGGTCCGACATTTCTTTTCAATCTAGATGTGTTCCCATGGCGCGACCACGCATGGTATCTTTGCCTACCTGGTACATGTAGGTAGGTAGGTTTCCGTGTGCCACCGTATTACAGCATAAGCAATAAGCATTAACACACCTAAGTACATATGTAGGTAGGTAAGCAATATACGAGGAAAAGGGGAGAGGGGGGTGCGCATCTAGATGGGATTTGCTCGGGCTGGGCTGGGGAGCCTTCTGTGTTTCTGTTCGAGGCTTCCCCCTTCCGCCCTCTCTTGTTTCTCCTTTCCTAACTGGGAGTTCTAGGTAATGTCCTTCTCTCCTCTTCGGCCGGGAAGGTCGGATATCAATAGACCGAGGCCTTGGGAGTGAGGGTATCGATGTTTATGGGCGGGTGGGCTTGAAACTCAACACGTCACCTCAGCCATGTATGAAAATCTCCGTAGGTGATACGTCAATGGCGTTTCTACGTTTTTTTGTGTGCGAAAGTGAGAGAGAGAGATGTTTCTGCAGCACAGTACCTACCTAGGTAGGTGGAATAAAGGCACAGTTTCCCAAATGAAGCCTACCCTATGTGGCCCCTTTGAGGAAATGTAACAGGTGAAGTTAAGCGAATTGGGAAAGCCATCTTGGCTAGGAGATTTTTGGTTTTGAAAATCTATCTCCTTTCATGGTTTCTAAATCTAGCAACCTATCGGGGATTTCCCAATGCGGATTCTGTTGAATATCACACCACATGGAAACCTCAACATCATGATCGTTCTTGGAAATTCGCATTCAATTCATAGACCGCTCGTCCATCACCGTCGCAGCGGCCCTGGCAGATGGAGAGAGAAAGAGAAAGAGAAAGGAGAGAGCCTTGTTAGAGAATGCCTTGGCTCTTTCGGAGAAAATTCTCCTCGTGTCTCCTTTCGACCCAACGTGATAAGGCAGTGAGAGTGATGACCTGGCATCTGTGTCACTATCACCTGAAGATTATGGGGTTCGTACGTATCGATGCCGGTAGAGTTTTCAAAGTTCTGGACCATTTCGGGGATTTTCTCCTTTTCTCTCTCTGTCTTCAGAACACAAGAGCTAATCAGAAAATAGAGTGGCATTAGTGAAGTCAAACCGACCGTTGAACGTTGAGTTCCGACTATAAGCGGCTAGTAGTGAGGCTCGGCCGTATCGTATGCAGTCTTTCTCGAAATCCTCCGTTGTTGTTTGACCTACCTACCTGCCTACCTCGTACCTGGTAATTTCCAACGTCATGCCAAAGGGGAAAAGGGAGCGGTGAAGTCCAAGGCAGATCTCCTTAGGGCTGCGCGACGCGCTGGTATGACCAATTACCTATTTCACCTATTTGTATCCCAAAATTTCCCGAGCCCAATAAGATGCGCGACCATAGCTCTGCTCGCTCTCGTTGGCTATATCAGTAAAACCTCGTGACAGACGACCAAAGCTCGAGATTGGGTGTTCGGTAGGGTTATTTTAAAAACAACATTGGCTGATCATAATCCCATGAAACTCGACGCCTACTTGATGCCCTATGTAGGCTGAGAAAAGCGCATGAAGCATGAGACGACAGGCAGGATCATGAGGCGCTTAATCTACATGACGCACTGGTGAAGGTTAATCTACCTACCACGTGTGTGTAGATACATACCTGGAGTGGGACTGGATGGAGTCTCAAGACTTCTCAGGACGTATGTATAGTTATCGTGATTTGGAAATTCCATTATTTTCCAGCTTAGCATGATCTGATACGGCGGAGGAGCTGAAGGTGAATCCACCCCCCTTTTAACCCAACTAGCCAGGATTCACCTTGAAGACTGCCTCCCAGCCGAGTTATAATAGTTTGTATTTAGGCGCTTTACGCATTGTGGGACTGTCGGACATGTAATTTACGCCCAATATGGGCTAGGAATCCTAGCCTGGAAGGATACCCGTTCTCCTGGGCCCGGGTTGCCGTCGAGTTGACGTCGTTACATTAACAGTAGGCGTTGATGGAGATGTTACTAAAATAGTCTTTTTAGTCAATATATTTATTGTGTCTTTGTCATAGGTAATAGACGTACGTACAAAACGCGAAAAGGACAGTGATAAACGATTCAAGTTACTTCATATATAAAATCATCGTGTTAATCACATTGACCTGAAGAGTTTATCACCAGTCCTTGATGGTGATGGTTGTCTTGGACCTAGTACATGATAGTATATGTATACATACCTCCCTAGGTACCGGTATTAGACGGGAGCCAAGAAAAACTTCCTAGGCCTAGAGACTATTAGGGCCGTTGTAATGGAAATGTAAGGAAAGGATTTGAAACATAGCACGAAATCCAGGCAATGCATTGGCTTAAACATGGCATGTGATTTGAGTGACCAGAGTTCTCGAGTGCCGCGCGGAGTCGCAAACCATCCCTCGATACTATGGCGGCCCAATCATACAGGGGGAGCCAAACCATTCGCCACTTGGGCGGTTCGTCTTTTTCTTCATCATGGTATCGTAAACCACAAGATATCTTTAAGCTCAAGTGATTACCTACATGTAGTACCTACCTACTACATAGATAAGTAGAGGTACGTATGCTGTCTTCGTGGTTCTTACTCGCTAGTTGAGCCACGCAGGATTTCGAATACGCAAGCAGGCAGCGCACTATGTACAGCACTATGTAGGCGGCCAAGTTTGTATGTATAGATACTATGCCTACCTATGTATGGATGATACGGATGTACATGCGCGAGACGAGGCAAGACGCTGGATCCAAAGGAGCGGGCCGGGCCACGAGGCCGCGAGGATGTATTAGAAGAGGTTTGCCAAAAAAAAAAAAAAAAAATCCCTTTAGCCAATTTGAAGTGACAATTTGTGAGTCAAAAAAGGTATCGTTGCAAAGGAGGAGGGTCCATTGGGTTCCAATCCAGTTAGCGTTGAAGCCCGAAACAACAGAATTAGCACCAATGAGCATGGCTAACCAGATTTCTATGGCCTTGACGATCAGAAAGGATGGGATGCGATGGGACATAAGATGGAAATATCAAAAATGAGACAGGAGAGGTCTTTGGCGACTGGTATGGTCGTATGTTGCCATGGCAAGAGAGTGTGATTAATGCTGAATGGTGATAAATGACACGGCCGACAGGCTTTCCTCACCTTTCCGTCCAGTTAGAGACGGTACGGGAGAATATGCGCTGGACAGTCTCAAGCGATCCGTATGTTGAGAACCAAGGTAATGAATAGATGATTAGGTAGGCTAGATGGGTTTGTAAGTATGTAGGTATCTACATAGGTAGGTAGGTCGGTAGGCAAGCAGGCAGGCGTCAAAAAGGAGGACTTATTGTTATTGCTGTTGCTGTTGCCGCCGCCGCTGCTGTTGTTGGCAGTTATCGCATCGCATTGGAATTTCCCGAAATAACAAAAACGAAAAACATTCCTCAATCATCCACCGGGATTACTGGGTACGTAGTAAATACCTATCAACATAAAAGTAGTTGGGCTATATGAAACTGAGGAAGGTCTAAATAGAGAAGAAACAAAGCATTTTTTATGAGCTGGGTTGGTTCAGTTCAGTTTAGTTGTTCGCTTGTCTTGAATATCTTAATGGAAGCTGACAAAATTGCGGCGTGAGATGAGTTTCCATTATTAGCACCAACGCAACGCAACGATCACTCAACACTTACACGCCCACTCACACCTATACCTATTCCTACACCTACATCTACTTCTACATATGTAGCCCAGACCTGTCCTTGCTAGCCTGGTATTTGGCACATATTTGGCACATGAACTTCTTGTTCCCACTTTCCATTGGGTACTACGTTGGAATCCGGCAGCATTTTTAATCCATCCATCTCTACCTACCTACAGTAGTAGGTACGAACATTACGACCGTATATAGTCGATCCTACCTATGACGGGTGCAAAAGGGCAAAAAGGACTAGGTTAGAACCATGATTTTCATAGGTCGCTGATCTTGATTCAGCTGTCGTTTGGCTCGTGTGCCGTTCCTTAGTATTGTACATACCATAGTAGCAATACCCTACTTACCTAAGGTACATACTCCTACCTAACCTTGGGAATACGATCTCGGAAGGGAAAAGAAGCGTGCACTAATAATACGGCGTCTCAAGCCCTTTTGGGACTGGAACCCTTGATTTTTCGTTCAACTGATTGACCATCTTGAACGGGGGTTCTCCTGGTCTTCCGATCAGCGTAACCTAGCGTAACCAACCCTCGCTGGCTGGTACCTGTCGTCGCATATCTCTAAGGTCTCTTAGCTCGACCCAGGCTCTGCCATTGACGCAACGCAATTCAATTTTGCGAAACGGGACGTCATCGTCAGCCCTTCTTCCAGCTAATTTGTTGAAGAGCACCCCTCCATTATCTTCGTCACTGTCATCTTTAATCATACCTCGCCCGAGACACTTGCTGATTGTTGTTTCTCGGCTGTCTTTTTCTTGTTGTTGTTATTGTTTATGCTTTAAGCGAGACAAACAGGAAAATAGAACAGAAAGAGAAAGAGAAGGAACGGGAAACATCACACAGACAGAACATTCACTGTTCACCTGACCAAGGCTGTGTTTCAATAGTGGGAATCCTACAACATAAATCCAACTAGGCGACAGGACAGGACAGCCTAAAAAAAAGAAAGAAAAAAAAGACGGTATCCTCCGACCCATCCAACCATTTACAACCGTCTAACCATAACCATCCATCCATCCCACTTCCCTCCATACTCCAGGGCTGCAGTGCACGGCAAAAACACACCTACGTACATGACCTACCTCAACTTTTACCTAACAGATCACCTAGGTGCATGAAAGAAGCCATCCCGCTAGAAAACTAGTTACGAGCTCTCACATACTAAGAAGTAGTGTACCTTTTTAACTACAGGCACTACAGAGCCTCAAGAGATCGTGGTTGGGCATTTCTCGGTTTTGATTTAATTTTTCCATCGCCCCATTTACTGCCGAGACTACCCTGTAGCCTGTAGAGGGGCAACGGGAGAGGCACATGTCCGAAATATCTCGGTCACTGTCGAAGTCAAGCTGAGTTTCGTCGCCATTGCAAGACAGGCAGTAGTAGCAGTCATTCTCAAGTCAGTTAACCTTAGTTACATACCTACCTAGGGGTACTAGGTAGTTGGTACTATCAACACCAGTACCACCATCACCACCACCACTATTCCAACACTATTCCCACCATCATTACCATTACCACCAACCCCGCTGTTACCACTTAGTTAACACGGGTTGGATATAATCAGGACCAAAAAAGGGAACGTTCTATTATTGGCTATACACCAAAGTCGACTTGGAGTGTAGAAACATTTCTCCTCTTCAGGCAGATAGATTAAAAGCGGATAGGCAGCACACCCTACAGTTATTACGGGCAACACACCTAACTTAGGTATTTACCTCTTTTTTCTTTCTACCGTCTACATATAACTATATCTACATCTACATCTATCTGTCTAGTTTGATTCCCCCATATTATTCCTTGCATCATATCTCGTGACCAGTCACTTTTTTTTTTTTTTTTCTTGGTTCAAATTCTGTTACAAACTGTACGATACATAAATTTGCTACAGAATTTGCTACAACATCAACGATAGGAGGGGGATCTGAACATCATCAAAGTGGTTCGTGGCTGTTCAAGGGGTTCTTTCGTTTTAGTGGCCCAATTTCACCGCCGGTTCCCTGTCTGCAGCCCAACCCGAGGGACGCACTTGCTACGATACAACCTTCCATGGCTTCTACCCCACGACAGGGACCCTTATCGTTTTTGCCTGTCGTGCCAGGATTATTGTTGATCGTCTCTTGGTACGTACACACCCACTACTCAACATTACTGGACACTCAATTTTTTGGGGCTTTTTTTCTTTTTTTCTTTTTTTCTTTTTTCTTTTTAATTTTTTTAAATTCTTTTCCTTAATGGCGGGAACCTGTCGGCTTTCGACTCTCCGTAAATTATCGTCAATATTATAAAATTTATTACACGCACCAAACATCAAATCCCTATTTAGCATAACATAACTTTATAAACTTGGTTGCTTACTTATCTTGTCGCAGAAAGAGACACCACTTATTATTATTTCATATGACCTGACGATATCGTGTGAGCACTGTGAGGCAAGAAACATATACATATTACACACACTGGGCCACCAGACACCACACACCGGACACTACCTACCTTAGACATCAGACACCACCAGACTACCAAGTTCTTTTCGCCCCCAAACTGAGAACCGGGGATCTCTCAGTCAGAAACTTGGCTATATCACACCAAAATTAAGAAATAAGCCGGACATTATTAACCACCGTCTGTCCCACTTCGTCCTTTGCGGCCTCCAGACCTATTATCCATACTAGGTTGCCTGCCATTTCGCTTTAATCTCTCACTTTCCTCCTTTCTTCACCTAGTCATCCTTACCGTACCATATCATACCATATACCATACTCAACCAAAAATTCTTATTCTCCCCCCTCAGCCTTGTCCTGAGATTACCACGGTTTGGTTTTGTTCGTCATCGACCAACATTAAGGTCGCACTGCGCCATTTTCTATCGTGAACCCCCCCAAAAAGGAGAAAGAGGCCAGCAATATGTCTGAGCCTCGCTATCGCTACTCGGGTCGTAGGTCGCCCACCTACAACCCCGCGCGAGCCTCGATGCCAGTAGGCGTCGGGTACAACCCTCATTACAGCGGGGATCTTCATACCGTACAGACTGGTCATTATAATTCTGCTGTTCCGCGGAGAGTGCAAGAACACAAAACATCTTCAACTCCTACGACCACTGTAACTACTTACAACGTCACCAAAGACCCTCCCCCTCCTCCTCCCCCTGTGACTCAGCGAACATCTAACACTGCACGCCGTCGCTCGTCAACGGTAGACTCGGCAGCCGTAAAGCCCATTATAGTCACCACCAATCATGCGACCCGACCCCATGGATCCTCTTCTCACACGTCATCTGCTGCTCGCGCAACTAGTCCGTCACGCGATCCCTACAGGTCTAGCGATGAGACATACTACACCCAACCAGCCTCCTCGATACCCTCGACCCGTGGTCAGCACCGCCACACTCACGGCTACACCCAAAGCGCAACCCTCAGCAACGATGAATTCTACCGATTGAGGGAACGCGTCGGCGACGACAGGCTCCGACCCCCGCAGCACACCGCGACCGATTATTACCGCTACTCGCTGCCCCACGCTAATCAGCTACCTCACGCTACCTTTGCGACGCCACCCCACGATCTCGGCGCCGCGGTTATCGACTACGAAAATGAAGGGTACGAGTACACCAAGCCCAGCGACCTGGCGCGATACGACCTGGACCACGATCGCCAACAGCGGGGTCGCAGCCGACGGGAGAGCACCGACCGCAGCAACGACCGCCCTTACTATCGCCCCACGGTGAACGTCGTGAGCAACGAGCCCGGCGGCCGCTTCGACGGCCAGGCTCGTGGTCGCGGGCCGCCACCCCCCTCCTCCGGTCTCGAGCGCTACAACCGTGCCGCCGCATCCGGGCTGTACGACCGCCCCACCGTCACCATGCCCGCCCTGCTGCCACCCGTGCCCGCCGCGCCACCCGTCGATCCCCTCCGTAGGATCGAGGCACCCCCGCGGGACGCACAGTCAGACGAGCGCGTGGAGCGGGAGCGTCGGACCACGCGCCCGCGCCCCGTGTCTCTGTACCAGGATGCGCCCGCGCGCATGTCGCACTCGGACGACCTGTACCGCTCGCACGATGATGAGCGCGTGCACCGCCGCAGCACGCAACCGCCACCGCCACCGCCTCTAACATTACCATCCCGGACGGAGCGCGACGACGGTTACCGCGACGACGACGTGACGAACCGCGGCTTCGGCATCCGCACCGACAAGACCCTAGAACTACCCGTGGACCGATCAGACCGCCCGGCGCGCTCGGTCGACCGACGCGACTATGATGACCGACGCAGCGTGCGCCGGGACGTCCCTGGCACTGCTGAGCGCGGTGAGCCAAGGCGGCGGTCTGACGAGTCGATCGACTACTCGCGGCAGCCGACCGAGCACACACTCACGCGCGTGGACTCGGCCCGCGAGCCGAAGCAGTCGCAGCAGCCGCCGCCGCCAGAGGGTCTCAAGCGGAAGAACAGTCTCGGCGGACGCTTTGCCGCGGGGCTCGGTGCCGTCGCTGCGTCCATGGGACTTACGGCTAAAGAAGCGGCGTCGGCATCAGCCGCGGAAGAGGAGCGCAAGGTATCTCCTCGCCGTGGGCGGGGCCCGGCGGATGAGGAGGAAGACCTGAGGAGTGCGTCGCGTGCTGGGGATCGACATAAGCTGAGAGAGAGGGAGAGGGAGCCACTTTCGGCGACTGCGGAGCGAAAATCTGCTCCGACTTTGGACCTTGAGGACGATGGCGTCTCGGAGCGGCGGAGGGAGACCCGCAGAGGAGGAGAGCGTGAGCGTGCAGGCTCGGTGCCGCCGTCTGCCAAGGACCGCGAGCTCGAGAGAGAGCGTGTCCGTGAGCGTGCGTATGAGCGTGAGAGGGAGAGAGAGCGCGATCAGCAGCGGGAGGCGGAGGAGAAGAAGGAGCGAGGTCGGGATGTAGGCTCTCGCGACCGTTCGAAGTCGCGAGATCGCGAACGTGATCGCGATGTCGACCGACGGGATGCCGAGGCCAAGCTAAACGGGTTGGCGGTCCCAGAGACCAGAGATGACGCACCCGCCTCTGACGAGGCCGCAGGTGCGTCACGAAGACGGCGACCCAACTCTGCATCCTTTGACCCTACCGACACCGCTGACTTACTCAACGTCAAGGCGGAGCTGGCTGCGAAGGACAATCAAGAGAAGGCCAAAGATAAAGCTGCCGCCAAGGAGCCGACCTTTGAGAAGGAGAAGGAGACGGCCAGTGACCGGCAGTCCGTCGACTCACGCGAGGAGTCGCGTGGGCGCGACCTCACCCCCTCCTCTTCCTCCTCCTCTTCCTCCAAAGAAGAGAAGCAAGTACGTGTAGTCTCCCCACCACGCGACAAGTCGGAGCACAAGCCCATCAAGGGCATCCTCAAGCCTCCCAAGGTAAAATTTCCTGAAGAAGAAAATCCGATCCGGGAAGGCGTGGCGCCGCACAAGGACGACAAGTCGAAGAAGGGCGTCCCCCCCGGCGCGCGGTGGACCAAGATCAACCGCAAGCTGATCAACCCGGCGGCGCTCGAGATCGGAAAGGAGCGGTTCGAGGTGCGCGACGACTTCGTCATCGTCCTGCGCGTCCTGAGCAAGGACGAGATCCAGGCCTACGCCACCGCCACCGCGCAGATAAGGGGTATGTTATATTACCACAGGAGAGTTTACTCAGGAACTTTGCTAATTTATTAAAACAGAAACCAAACGCAGAGAATACGAAAAAGAAGCCCGCGGCGAGCGTGAACCCTCTGATGAGGACGGCACCAACGGCACCAAGCGCAGCTCACGACGACACCGACGTACTACCGGTGGCGACTACGACGATGATTATGAGTACAAGCGCGACCGGGCTGGCAACAACGAGGACCGGGAGCTGCAGCGTCGGCACCGGCACCGGCGGGGGTCGGACTCTGACGACGATGGGCGTGGCCACCGTGCCATCGAGTATGATGTCGGCGGGCACGGCGGGCGCCATGATGTACGGCACCACCGGGTCCATCGCGATCGCGACTATGAGTCTGTTACTGTGAACTCGGATGATAGGCGGTAGATGAATCACTGCCATTTTCCTTACGTTTCTCCTTTTGCTCGGCGAACTGGCGCTGTAAGATGGATAGATGGATGGGACGTATACGATTTCAATATCCAAATATACATATATAACCTGTCTACCTGCCTATATACACCTATGCATATACCCTGGGTACCCACCTACCTACCTCAACTTCTTTACCTCCTCGCACATACCTACATACTTACCACCACATCACACCACATCACATCAACGAAAACAAAACACGACTCGTTCCAAATAAAACAGTTAGGATTCGAAGACGGACGGAGGAGAAAAGTATCTACCTACTTGCATGTATACAACCTATTCTACTAGATCGGAAAGTTTTACGACGGCGATGTACTGTATGTGTACCTACCTTCCCTGTGTAGGAAAAGTATATACCTATGTATGGATGTATGGATGAATTGGATGGCTTACGAAGCAAGAGCATGGGCGACGAAGAGCTACGGGAAACAATGATCATGTAGCTTTTTTTTTTTTTTTCACTTTTATCATGAGAGCGCGTCTGGAACGAAACATAGCTCGGTGTCGAGCGGCCTCTTATGAGCCGCGGGGGGCTGGTTACATTTTTTTCAATTCCTTTTTTTTGAACTTGGGCTTGGGAAATGTTTTATGTTATGATATATGATATGATACGATGTGATAGATGGGGATGGGGCAAAGCAAAGGAAGGTGTTGGATTGTAGTTTGGTCTTCTTTTTTTTCTTATTATATCAATCTTGGGTGTGCTTATTTCTTCTCGTCCCCTTTTCACACTTCTTGATATCTTGATCTCCTGATACTACTACTACTACTACTACTACTACCGGGTTTGTTACTTACATCTACGGCACTTGAGTTTTATTGTTGTGCATCATCATCATCATCATCATCACATATCATGTAGGTGCCGTCTTACCAAAAAAGAAAAGAGAAGAAAAACTCAGATACCCCAACGTCATGAAGAAGAATAATAAGAAGAATAGGAGCTCAGAGAGTTTGGATAGGCACATTACTTCGCTTTTCTCTCTCTCTCTCTCAAATATACCCGTAGATTTTACCTCGGTATTTATATTTACTTTTGTCGTATGTTACCTATATGAGTGAATGAACAGATGCTCCTTGGTGACTGGCTTCCATGACTACACACCAAAGTACTACTTCATCCTCTCTCATTCTGCCCCTGAGAGGCCCAGAGGTAAGATGCTCGGGTGCCTTCGTCAATCAAGTTTACTATGCACATACCTACCTACCTACCTACTTACCTACTTACATATATGTACGTAAATCCTTCCTTACTTACATGCCCGGGTACCTACCTCTCCACACATACATACATACATAAGTAGGTACCACATAACCTGTCACGTCGACCCTCCCTCCCTCCATCCACGCACCCGGCTTCCCCCCCCTCGCACAACAAAAAGAGACGCACATATCCGTTCCCGTCTTCGCCGCCGCCGCCGCCGCTGCGCACCGGGCCGCCCGTACCCTAGTTGCGTAGGTATATACGCAGGTAGCCGGGGACTGCTCTTTCGTGTCTGCTACATGATATACATACATACAATGTGCCTGGGTGCCTAATTAAGTAGGTACATACTTAAGCACTTCAATCTCACATACATACATACATACGCCCCGGGTGCTTGGTAGGTACGTACTGTACTGTACTTGTCTCCATGTGCCCGTGTCGATGTAGCAATGGCAGCGACAAGAGAAGTAGGTTAGGTTAGTAGATTGGTTATGCGTACTAGGTAGGTAGGTAGGTAGGCAGGTAGGTAGGTTAGGTTAGGTTGTCTGAGACAAACAAGACGTCACGCGCACCTATGTTTTCTTCAAATTGCTCATGTGGACAAATATATATATATATAGGTACCTATGTATGTATGTATGTATGTATGCTCGTTGAATGAATGCATGTATGTACATGCTATGCAGGTACGTGTGCTGTAGGACGTTTTCGTGCCTAGAACCAGGGGGAGCGATCGAACTGTGGAATCGTGATACTGGGGGCTTTGAGTTAGTTCATGGACCCTCAGGTGGATGGATGGATGGATGGATGGGCGTAATTCCGGCAGCGCCTGTTAGGCATTAGGAGTCTTTGTATTTACCTGTGCTATGTAGATAACCTACCTAGGTTAGGTAGGTTAGGTAGGTATCTATGTATATGCCCATAGCTCTCACCAACAAGCCCAAAACCAGGGGGGAGCAACAATGAAAAAAAAATAGGATCGAAGTCACCCCCCCCAAATCCCCCCCCCCTTTTATTGTCGCCAACGTCCACAGCGACAGCTAACGCAACGCGCCGCGCTTGAAAAAAAAAAGCCACAAGCAATCTTACATACATTCAACGTTTAAAAAAACCATCCACCAAACTAAAAAACTACCCGCTCGCCGTTGTCATCATATTTTTAGATTTACTCTTGACCACTGCTTCTTTTAAACGCAGCCCGTTGGCTGAATCTTACATGGCAGCATCATGTTGGCGTATAACGGCCTAATAACCTTAAGACGACGACATACAAACTTAACTACATATGAACTTCACATATCACCAATTCATACCTATATATGGCGTACATAGGTATCATTCACAAAACACTCTTGCACTCAACCCCTTAATCGAAAAGAAAAAGCCAAAAATTCGGTCCATATATACCCTGGGCAGGCAGGTATGTATTATTATTATCAATGCCGACTTCCGAATATAAGCTAGGTACCCTAGGTAGGTAGGTAGGAAGTCGTCCGTCTCACTTTTTGAATTGAAGAAAGCAAGATCATTGCTAATATATGAACACACTCGAATCCCCCACCCCCTTTCGCAGAAACCCCCCCCTTCCCCTCAAGCTCTCTCGTGAACCTAGAACATGGACGCTGCTGCTAGCCTGAAGAAAATATGAGAAAATCCTCTAGGTATTCATCATATTGCTGCTTCTCATCACCACCTAGGCCACGCTTCCTTTTCCATGTCTCCTTTTTTCACTTTTTTTTCCCGCCCCATAATAACGAGAATGCAAATAGCATTCGGTATGATCCCCTACGAATGGTAGGGGTCGAAGTAAGAATGCAAAGCTAGTTGGTATCCCAGACCACGAGGATCATCCGGAATACCCAGGTAAAGATAAGAAAACCCATCGTAAAAACTCGCGGAAAAGAAAACGCAGGAGGAAAAATCATTGGTCTTTAAGATGTAAAGCAACCCTGTCCCCCAACGAGCCGAGAATTTTTGTGAAAAAAAGTTCAAGTCAGGGCGCTAGAATGAGATGTCAAGGAAAAAACATCTAGGAATGATGACCATGAAAACCGAGTCGGATTGGGGTGCTGAAAATGAATAAATCAGTCGTATATCGTCATTAACTTCGGCGAATCTATGAAGCGCGAATATAATACATGCGCAAGGCGCAGGCAGCATATGTGCGAAGAAAGCGATTGTTTTGTGCGCCCTATATCGAAAGGAAGAGATCCTACCAGAGCACACGTGTAGAAATATAGAACCAGGGGGGATACACCCTTGATAAGAGAAGAGATGTGATGTGATGGGTAGATAAGATAGTGATGTCAGTCGCTGGTCGGGTATCATTTGCTCTGCGCAGTAGGAAGTAAGATGGCTTTAGATTCAAGACTCGTCATCCCGCTTCTCGCTTCGGCGCATTCGCTCGCCCCATCTTCGCTTGCCCACTCGCGTTTCGTAGTGAGGTACCGTAGTTCTAACGTCTTGTGTAACGCCCTCAATTGCGGTGCAGGTCTTGTTGCGGTAACAGTCAACTAGTAAACGTGTTAAAAAGAACATCGTGGTTTAGCTTGAAGATGCTTGGGTAAACTTACGAGCTCGTTGTAGGAAGACGGGCTTACCAGCGAAAACACGACTATGAAGCCATGCCATGCGGTAAGCTAGGTCGTTAATCCGTACTTCCTTTAAACGCGCGCCTCTTCGGATCCGAGGAATAGCAACATCCGCTTCATTCCCATCCGACATAGGCGCTTTGACCATGACGCGCTCCCTAACATTGCTTCTTCGGGCCCGTCCAGTTCGACCACCTTCGACCTCAACTCCATCGTCGCTTAGATCGTCTTCAAAGAATTGGCTGCCTGTGGCGCTCGGAGGTGGACTTTGCATCTCGCGTGGGAAGTAGCTGCGCGGGAATACGGCCGAGCTTTTACGAAACGAGTCGGGAATTTCCTTGGGATTTACATTTTCAAGTGTGACGCGCACCCGTAGGCGAGAGGTGCGTTTGTTATCTTCAACGAGGATGAACTTTCGCTTCTTAGCATCCGGTATATCAGGGAACAAGCCTTCCGGGACCTTGTCATCATCTCTGCTATTGCGCCGAGCTACAATGGTGCTTTGGTGAGAACCGCCAAGGCCATCGTGAATCGGTGGCATGGATGATGATCCAGATGTGGGATGACTAGGGTATTGCTGGGGGTAGCCGGTAAAGATCTGAGCTTGACGAACGTCGTCCGAGGATCCAGATCCGGGGCCGGTAGGTGCTTGGTGATGGTGATGATGGGATCCATCCACGTACTCTCCATCCCCTGTACAGAGCCAGATTAGCGGACTAGACCAGGGTTTGACGGCTATTTCGCGTGTAAAATTCAAGGCAACGAGAAATCAAAGCAACGTGAATATTTGCAATTTTGTGACGAGAAGGGTTCCAATACAAGATAGCAACGTGAGGTTGTGATATGTGCGCTTTGGTGAGTTTGTGCAGTGAAATGCAAAGCAAAGCCATGCAACTTTTGCCAGCAGACAGACGACTAGACCGTCCCGAACCAGCAAGGACTACCGAGTGTGCATGGCAACTAGATAATGTACAGAATAGTGCCAGTCCCTTAAGTGCTCCATAAAGCGCCTGCGGCTTTGCGCCGTTATATAAACATGAAAAGGCATCGCATCCGATCCGAAACAACCAAAAATAGGCACGAGGTATAATGATAAAAGGTATCACGTAATTGCACAAATAACAACAACAGCAACGCATGAATCACATCTGGTGAAACATACCGACTTCGTCTCCTCCGCCCTGAGCGTTTCCTTCGTGAGCATGGTGATGATGCATCTGCGGGCCCATGCCGCTCATCCCCGGTTTCCCCATGGGCGCGGCGCCGGGGCCAATAGGTCCAGGGGTTGTCATCCCTGCCGGACCACTGGGACCAGGCATATGTGTGGAATGAGGTGTTTGAACCGCCTTGCGATTGTTCATCTTGGCCATTCGACGAACGCGTCGACTTCGCAGTCTGGGGTCCTGGTTGCTGTTTCGCCAGCTGTCGACTGCTCTCTGAATTAGACCTCTCTTTCCACGAAGGCAGGGGTTGAGCTGTGCCAGCGCCCATCCAACCGTGTTGCACTCAGTCTCGTATTGGAGCCGGTTTCCGCGATATTGGTCTTTGGGGCAGCAGGCTCTTGGATAGACGCAGTTCTCTGTCTTGAAGTCGCTGCTAAGCTCATCCGTGTTCACAGACTCGACATCACATCGAATTGTATATTCCATCTTTACGCGATCGCGGGAATACTCGAACGCGATCCATTGCACACCATTGTTATCTTGCCTTACAACTAGCGGAGTAGTCGCGGGAATTGGTCCCGGAGCTGCGTTGTTGTTAACACCGCCAGGAGTCGAAGATCCGGTAGGAGTTGACAGTTGTCCGCCGTTCTGGCTCTGCTGTGAGTTTCCTAGAGGACCGGGCGTAGGTCTTTGCAATTGCGGAGGCATCTGTGGCTCCATCTTGGTGTGCCTAGGACTCCCAGTCATTCCCGTCTGAGCGTGTTGACTTGCGTGTTGCGTCATCTGGTGTTGCGGGGCTGTGTGCGACATCATCATGTTCGGCTGCGAAGCCATAGATTGATGCGGCTGCTGAGCATGCTGCTGGTAGGGAGAAGGCGCCTGCGGTGGCAGAGAGGAGTATTGCGGTTGCTGCGCGCCATAGTACATGGATTGAGGCTGGAGCTGCGAAGTTGGCTGGCCATAGATACTTCTGTGTTGATCATGGCCAGACGGCGACGCGACGGAAGCTGGAGAGTTGGATTGAGGCGTATGATACGACATCGGAGGGTATGGTCGGGGCATTTGAGCTGCGGCCATCATATCGGAGGTGTCTGTTCTACGTGTAAGCTTGCACAATGGCTCTGGACAAGGCGCGCGACGCGACGGGAACTCACCTGCGGATGTATATCCGCTTGTCGTGCCTGGAGTGCTGTAAGGGCTCTGGTGAGCGTAGTAAGGCAAATCTTGCGCGTGCTGAGCGCCAGGTGCGTGTCCGGTCTGCTGGTAGGTTGGCTGTATCGAGTGTGTTGATGAGTAGGCGGAAGGATGTTGCGATGGCTGTTGAGGCGCCTGATGATGCTGTTGGTGAACGATACTCGAGGGCCGAGGATGTTGGAGGTGCTGGGGAGGCGCCGGACCCTGCGAGTGGTGGGGATGATGCTGCATAGAGGAGACAACCATTAGTCCTGAACTCTGAAATGTCAAAGCCAAATAGTAAGGACAACCATGAAAGAGAAGACGAAGTAGGACGCGTCGGTAATTTTTATTTTTATTTTACTTGACACTGTCAAGGTCCAAGGAACTTAAACATCTCCTAGTGACGAGGTTTAACGGGTGAGGCTTGCTTAAGCGACGGGGGGAGGTATAGGTTATAAGACCAGGGGGGGCCTAAGCATACTACCGTAAGAGATAAAGAATTGCAGTACCAGGAAATGACACCACCAGGTGCTTGCTCCTAAAAGGGAGGAGTGGATAGGAATCGGAAGCGGAACCCGAAACTCTCAAAGTTCACCAACTAGGTTCTCCTTCAAGCCTATTTGGGACGCGACAATATCAATGCCTTGGTCAACGCCGTAAAAGAGTTATGAGAAGGGTATATGAGTGACAGGGGCAGCAGCAATGAGAACAAAGAGCGACGGCAGATTTGAGATCGGAGCGAGGATTTTAGAATGCGACGATGATGAGGGCAAGCAAGAGCAACGATATTTGAGCTGTGCAAGGTGAGATCTCAAGGTAAAAGGTATGAAAATATCAAGGTAAAGATACTTTGGCGCACCTCTAGGTGTATAACTGGGGCTAACGTATAGATGGGGCTTATTATGTATCAATATGCATGTACGTCCTAGAAGCCTCTCGTTCCGGGATAATTAACAGGGACGATATTACTGCTTAGTTTGGTAGAGGGAGGACGTGCGATGCCTGCGGCAAAGCATGAAATGTGAAAAGAAGAAGAATTGGAAGTTGGAGATTTCGCGTCAGGGTGTGGGCGGATCAAGATGTGGGACATCGCATGGAAGAAACGTGACAGGGGGCAGGGGGCAGGGGACAGCTGCATTTTTAGATGAAATGGCCAATGGCGGCGCGGCCAAGCAGGGCTAGGCTACCCGATGAGGTATTCTATGTCCGGGGCTAGCCAACAGGTGCAGGGGGGCGCCCTTCGCGAGCTCTCAGGGAGCAAGGCGGTGTGTATGGGGCGTGATCAGGTACTCGAAAGGTTGCGTGTACTATGGTGAGCTCCACGGCAAAGGCCAGAAGAGTACCCAGCGTACCCAGCGTACCCAGCGTACCCAGAATACCCAGAGTACCCAGAGTACCCACGACGAAACTCGTTCTGGTATTGAGATAGCCCCTTGCTCCAGAGAAAATATTCGGACTATTGTGGTAGTACATACGAGTACCAGGTAAATGTACTAGGTATACTAGGTAAATGTACCAAGTAAATGTACTACCCAGTCTACCCTAGGTAGGTATGTATCGTATCGTCATGTATGTGTGTATGTATGTATGCATGTACTTACATACAATGTACATAACATACACACTTTAGGAGATTCTCAACGACGAAACTTTCCTTAGCCGGTGGTCGGTCTTCCGTCACTGGACTGGACGAAACGTAACTCGTTCCTCGCCTTCAATCTCCCTCTTCTGCTTTTGGTGCTGCTGCCGCTCGCTGCTGAATTCTGAATCAACAATGGTGGGTGTGGTGACAAAGCCATCCAATTATTGGAGAATTGTTGTTGGGCCCACTTGACGCCAACACCACTTTTCTTAGACTTGAACCCTCCACAAGTGTGAGCAAGTACCGTGTACGACTTCGGTCCAATCTGCCTTTTTTTTTTCTCCTCCTTGCCTGTTTCTAGCCCGAAGGTACGATAAAGTCCGCCACACTAAACCAAGCTAGTCTTGCGTGTTGGATGGAAGAATTGAGCCGGGGAAAATGTACCCTACGGCGCTAGCATATAACGTGAAAAAATGGCATCTTGAAGGGACTCGACTCCGTTGAGCTCGTTGAACTTTTTTTTTAGGCCGTAGCCCGAAATGGAAAAGATACACTCCAACGGCTCTAGCCCCTCAACGGTCGTTTGTTCCCCCCTAGCGTCTTGTTTGGTACTTGCGCCATCAAAAAATCGGGCACGGCATATATGAAGAAGGGGAGAAAATGAGGGACCCAAGCTTTGGATCAAGGCAATAAGGCAATAACAAGCAGTGCATACATAACTACATAGTATAACTATGATTATGATTATGATTATGCCTATGCCTGTATATTCCTGTATAGGGCGTACGGGGCGGTACGAAATAATAATAATAAATCGCGAATTAAAAGAAATGCTCCTGTCTCCCCGCATCCACTTGTGCTAGGGGCATCGCGGGCACGTCAACATTCTGAAGGGGTTCCTGATAGGACCCAAGCATCGCAACCCCTGGAGACAGGCAGACCAGGAACGCTAAGGCAGCCCGCACAAGCCCTGTTCCAGAAAATGGCCCCCGGTCGCTTGTGAAACGAGCTCCCCTGTAATCCCCTTCATTCAGGACTGATCTAAGGTGATGATCAGGTTTGCGACAAGCCCGCCCCCGCGATTATACTGAATAAACGAGAGGATTCATTAGGTAGGTAGGAATGGAAAACATCCTGACCCGAAAGTTTAGGATCCACGGGACGGCTGGGATGCTTGCGTGTGACATCCCAAGTATGTACTTTAGCAGTCGCGTAACTACGCCGACTCGGGTCCAGTTCTTGGGAATCCGGGAAAAAAGACGTTCGCATTCGTAGCACTTGCTCGAGAACTCTAAGGTACAGCTACTAATATGAACTGAACATTGAAGAAGAAAAACCCTAAACTCACCGGGTCCGAACGTTGCTCCTCTTTGGCGTAGCCATTAGGAATCTGTCGATGTTGTCCCATCTTCATAACCATTGTCATAGATGAAGTCTGATTTTAGTTATTTAGTTATATTGGCAACTAGGTCAGTCCCGACTGTTCATCCCGAATTAGTAAAACAACATACAAGGGGAGCTCAAATGGCTCAGCCCTCTTTAGCTTATGCAGCCGTTAGAGAATGCCAGGCTTTGCGGGAGACATGGGAGAATGAGTGGATCGACAAGTGAAGAAACCATACCATGCAAATTCCCCGCATGTCTTATAAACCAGGATGAACGTCGCATTTGTATGCGCTTGCATACACAGACATCCAGCCTAGAAATATAAAGTTTGATGATGACTTAGTTATAATGAAATGGATATATACTCACATAATAACTGGATTAATAGGGTGATCGCGAAGCCTGCCTAATGAACGGAAGTGGCCGGGTGGGTAATGAAAGAAGATTGTAATGGTCCTAACTGGAGAGTCTTGTTATAAATTGACGGAATGGCTGGCTCTTCTATAGTATACTATGCAGTGCACCTACTAGGTAGTTAGTAATAATCTTACAGTGTATAATGAGGTGGATACAATGTTGATGACTAGGTTTCAACAAACATGAGAATATTAAAAATAGTAACGCGTAGCAATGAAGGATAGTGTCTAGTCAAAGCGTGGCGAATGAACAAATTTCATGCAAATCCTTCAGCTGAGGTTTGCCCAGAAATGAGACGTACGTAGGTAGGTGCGCGATATGGAGACCTCAGTGCCGTTTGTTGGGAGGGGCACATGATTAAAAAATAGGCCCATAAGTACATAGGAGGAAGGGGTGAAGATCATGATTATGAACGTGATTGTAAAAGCAGATAGTAAACGTAGGGGAAAGCAATCAACAACTTACGTCCAGAATAAAAATTTGGAGGTGGCCAGTTACGCGCGCACTTTATAAGGCCGCAAAGGTATAAACCGAATACCAACGTGTCGTTATTATAGATACTGTTGCTTGATAGACGGGTAGAATTCTCGGGTCTCGATAAAATTCCGCGTTTACCTCGTGGAATTTCCTTGTTTGCAAGGTTAAACCTTTTTACTGGTATCAACGAGGTCAAATCGCGTTTATCTCAGGTACGACTTTTTGCGATGCCTGCAAATCTTGCAGATGGCTGCACGAATCGACCAGGCAAACGACGTAATTTTCTGCAAGTTATATGTTGTGACCAGACCCCAGGATTCGATCTGTGCTGCCATATTAGTTCATGCATGCCAGCCTTGTCTAGTAAGATGCTGTCAAAAGAAAGTCGAGGGAACAAATGCATGGTTCCCCCAAGGCGGATGGGGGTAGGGGAGGGGGGAACGACAAGGAATAGGTATTGGTGGTGGAGGGGTGTAGAAAGTGCTGGGTTTTGGAAAGATGGCCCATCACCGCGCAAAACCGAACGGGGTACCAACTATGTAATGAAACGCCTATGTATACGACGAGAAAAGGTATACTTGAGGGACGAAACAGGAACACGGCTCTTGTGGCCCGTGATAATCAGCATATAGCCAAGTGTATACAGATCATTGACCGAGGACAACTATGTATGTACTTAGGGTAGGCATGTATGGATGTATGGATGTATGGGTAGATATGTATTGTATGCGGAAGAAGTGACTAGTCTGTACACAAGGAATCTCCGCATTAAGATGTGATATGTATGTGGTGCCAATGCCAATGGGGGTTTTTTAGATAAGGATTAGTTACATGGGAAATTTTGGGAGGATCAGATCTGGGGATAAAGTGGCGGCTGATGATCATCAGTGACAGGGGGCATTTCACAGCTGAGAGATGTGTAAACACGCAGCTTCAGACATAGAAATTGAAAATGTAAGGCGCCGACAACTGGGTTGCCGAGATCGTCGCACTACATATGAGCAAGTAGAATGGATAGGAACTGAAAGTCTTCTTACCTGAGATCTCAAAGGTTTCCGAGTGGACTGAAAATCTACTGGTCTAACCTAGGTAGACTAGGTTAGAATCCGTTAGATGGGTATGGGCGGACCGTTGTCTGGTAAATGTGCTTTCCGCGCCTGGCAATCTGATAACTTGCCGGGATCAGGGATTTAAGAATATGTCAGACAGGTTGAACCTGAATGTTCAGCCTCTCCAACGACGCTTGATAATCAGCGATTAAGAAGGCGGATGTAGAGGACCGATATTACCCAGTGTCTCGTGAGACGGCACCGATGGTAAAACCCTTTGAATCAGTTGGGTAATATTCTGTCACCTACAAAGCTGACAGATCGTGGCGAGGTACGAGCGCCGATGGAAGTCGGGAGGAGCTCCAGAAATGATTGGATCCAGCACTACCTGTGCGATCCAGCGTTTTCTCAGATAAATAATTGCGTACTCGGTTGGATGAAAGGTGGATGTAACCTGTAACTTCGTGGTTTGGTGGTGGTAGACCCTAATAGTTGCCTAATAGTTGAGTATAACGAAAGGATACAGATTAAGTAATCTGCAGTCTAAGGTCTCCCTAATTGCGAGATGCTACTACGGCATAGTATAAGTCAGCTCAGCGTCAAGAATATAAAAGTTCAATGTTTCTTTGGGAATTTGTAGGCTTCTAGGATCGTGAGCGAACCCCTGAGGATTGTCAAAAGCGGGAAGCGTGCAGGGGTACCGCGGTTCCCGAGAAACCTTGACTCAAATCAACGGCTGAACTTGCCCGCATGGAAACTAACACATTACGGGTAGGCAAGTCTGATAAGAAAAG